AGTTGAAATAATTATGATTCCACGAGGTTCACCGATCTTATCTGATTGCGCCAGGTCGATCCTTTAGCCCGTCCATCCATGAAGAAGAGAAAGATGATCTGCGTCGCTATAGACGGGAGTATATAAGTACTCCATCCTGCGTAGCCGTGCAGAGTCAGCTCCTTGATGATGTCGTCGCATTTAAACGGCCCCTTGGCTGTTGAACTTGCGACTGACCGACAAGTCTATCCATGTCCTTCTCATTGATACCCGAAAAGGAGCTGACTTACCATGACACAAGTGTATGTTTATGGCTTTGTACCTACTTAGACCTAGGGTAGCTTACCATGCTACCAGACGAGATGACCAAACACGACATAAATGCCTGCCTGCCACTTAATCCATGTTACTGGTTAGGAGAAGGCACTATTCATGCAACTCTATGCAAAGTTGAGTCAGCATACCTTCACAATGCACGTGACTACATAGATACATATAGAGTCACGTGTACGATGTGTGCTCAGGGGGTTGCTGAACATAAGACACATCATTATCATCCACAACGTCCCCTGTAGAGTCCATCCATCACGATCAGCCGATCTATGGGCCCAGATGCTCTCTGATTCTTTCCACGAGTCTAAATGTTCGATCGATTTCAAGTCTTATCTTGAAAATGGGATTATCTCGTGCAAGGCCAGGCGGAGCTTAATAGTCGTTCGCAAATCTTAATATTCCACTCGGAAGGCCATAAGTGGTAGATCAAGGTGACTTTCAAAGGGGGATTCTGAGCTCTGTGGACAGACCGGTGTCAAATAAGACCCCAAAGCGGCAGAGACGCAAAGAGTATCAGGACTTTATCAGGCTGATAGACCTCAGGTCTCTCCCTCTTCTTAACGACACGGTCAGTGAAGTGGTCTTAGAAGAGTACACCGATGAACGTGACTCCATGTTGAAAATAACATAATACCTGAAGAGCTCGCTCTTGGCCCTTTGCATAATTCTCTGGGAGACAGATACACGATCCGAGAGGATCTTCCAAGGGTTATCTACTCCTTCATGCCGTGAATTCCTTCTCTTCGGCAGATCAGTAAGGCCAAGTTATTAGAACAGTCAGAGATTACGGACGGAGTCTCTCACGTCGTGGATTGTCAATGATAGGACACCATACATTCTCAAGGTTAGTTAACCGACCTCTATACCAGGCCCACGACACAGAAACTATTCGCAATGAGTTGAAAGATCTCGAATACTTTCGAGGAGAACCGAACATTTGCTCAATTGGCTGGTATCGCAGTGGCCACGAATCCGTATACAACATCAAGTGCAACAGAACAACCTCCGTTATCTTTGGCATTCTATCAGTATTCTACCCTGGAGGATCCTTACAAAATCTATTAGATAAGGATCGCGTGAGGGAACATTCCTGGGAAAGCTGGACTATACAGATAGCTACTGCAATAAGCTACTTGCACAAGGCAGGAATAATACACATGAACATTAAACCCTCGAATGTTGTCCTCGACGCAGACGGGAACGCAGTGCTGATTGATATCAGTGGTGTTGGTAGAATTACACACATGTGGCTTGCTCCGGAGATCCGAAAAGAGATATCACCTGCCGGTCTTCCGTTTGAGGTGCGCCAGAGAAATGACACTTGGGCTTATGGCAAGCTATTGTCTGAAATCATATCACATGCAGGGTTTTGTCCTTTTTTGGAGACTTTGAATCACATTGCTTCCTGTCTTACAGGGGAAGACACACAAACGCGCATGGCTCTTCTAGAAGCTATCTCCCAACTAAAGGATGCTGGTGTCGACAGGGCATTATTATAGTATCTTTAGGGCTTTAGGGCATTATGCACACGGCCGAGAAGCCACCAGTGAGCGTATCTCCTTGGCGAGACACAGTCTGGTGGAAACAGATACCAATAATTCTCCTCATACGGCGATAGGCAATTAGTAAACTTAGCAGCTTCATAGTACTCTGGATAGAATCCACTACACTCCCAATCGATCAGTCCAGCAACAATGCAGCGATGGTCTCCTGCAAATTCTACCATGATATCATCCGGACCGAGGTCTCCATGGGTGAACACAACCCTGGTCGATGAAGTTGTCACCGCGACTAGAGGTGTGACTACTAGAATAGGGGGAGGGAAGAATCTGGACTGCTTTACGTGGATCAAGGGGAGCAGATGAAGGAGAAAACAGCCACGGTGGCTGTGTGGCTTTGCACCGAGATGGAGGAAGGCTGTAGATGGCTAGTCAGATGATCCTGCTATGCCCTGATCGTACTATACAATGTCGAATCATGTGCAGTAGTCTTTTTGTTACAGTCCGCCTTCTAGAGATGATCTCCATAACAGATGATGATTATATATAAGAATGTATAGTACTCAAACATATACACATACTCCAATCAACTAGATATAACCGACGTCTTAAACGCCCCCACCACATCACATTCCCGAATCCAGGCACGCGACCAAGAATGACCACTCCGCGGAGGAGTCCTAATAGCTTAGTTAGCAAACTTGACAAGTCCCATTCACACTGCCAAAAACTCACTTTGGAAAAACGACTCCAGGTCCAGCCTCGACGGAGCCACGCTCTCCCCCAACGACTCCACCAGCGACATCTGCAGTTGATAGTCCGCACTCTCACCACCACCAGGGGAAGCCGAATCCGACTCCCTCACAACAGGAAACAAAGACCCATCGACCTGGACGCCCCGCTCGCGCAAGAACCCCTCCACATCGCGACAATCGAACCACCGACCGTCGAGCCCGCAAGCCTCGAGCCGCCTCTGTGCACCGTCCACGCCCACGCCCACGCTCAAGATCCGCCGCGGGAGGCGCATCTTGGGCGGGTAGATGGGGTTACCGGCGGTGTCGCGCGCGGGGTAGTGCGTGCCGGCGCCGCCGATGCAGTAGAACGGTAGGGTGGGTACTTCGAGTGGGTTGTCGGTGTCGGCGCAGACGAGCCGTCGGAAGTAGGGGTACATTTTGGAGCGGTTGCGGAGGCACGGGACGAGGCGGAAGACGCGGTAGATTTCCACGGGGGGCGAGTGGGTGTTGGTGAAGAGGCGGAAGGCGTATTCAAGGCTGTAGCGCTGGAGCTGGCGGGAGAGGGAGCACTCGCGGAAGGCGTGTGAGTGGTTTTTTGTGCTGGGCGAGGGGGTTATTGTAGGCGATGGTTGCTGTCGGAGAGGTGTAGTGGGTGTTTCTATTGTGGTGGTGAAGGGGCTGTCGTTGTGGTAGCCGAAGGGGTGTTCGGAGGATTGGAGTCGTATGATCGCGTTGCTTCGACATTGTCTGTTGGCGCTTGGGATGTCGTCCCCGTTTGGTCGCGATCGCAACCAGCAATATCAAAGATATTATCGAAGCCGGTAACTAGTGGATGGCTGTCCTGCAGCTCAGACACCAGCGCGGCTCTATAGTCTGATAGCGAGTCGGAGATACTCTGCAGTTTCGTTTCCAAGAGTGCGACTCGCTGTTGCGTTTCCTGTAAACTGGCCGCCTTTTTCAAACGGTATGTCTTTTGCGCGCGTCGGATCTGACTTCGTCGTTCCTGGGTCTGTTAGATCCTGTCTCCATTGCGTCACAGACGATACCTACTTCCGATAAGACGGTGGCGCTATCTGGGCCAGATCGCGGACGACCACTGCTCCGGGGCATACGGCCCTGGGAGGACGGTATCATTGGCATTGTTGGCGGTATCGATGTGCAGACCGTGGTGGTTGAAGGCTCAGTGTCTGAGTCCTGGACCGAGGAATGAATACGATCGGCTGGTGGCGTCAGATCTGGATGCGCCGGGGCTGGCGCATTTTGATCGTCTGGGGCGAAATCTCGCGCAGCGAGAAGCTGCCGGAGGTGTGGAGTGGGATCCACCATGCCTCGAGGTTGAATTCTGTTGATCAATGTTGGGTGGAATCGAGATACGATGGGGTGAAAATTGGCGAGTCCTCGGCGAGGCGAGATGATTCTATCCGATAATGTAATCCCTCGGCTGTGGAGATGACCCACTTGTCAGATCATGATAACAACCTTATTGTCAGTCATTATGATAGACACAATGTAAATGTTTGAATAATCATTGTTTCATGTATCAAAATAGTGTATGTTATTAAGATGCGTGATAAACCCCTAATTATGGGTGATCTATCTAGAAGTATAAAGAACCCGACAGTATATTCATTAATCCTGTCTACAAAGATTATAGTGAATTTATTTAATGAACAGACTCTAAATCCCATACAGTGAATATAGCCGTACAAGGAAATTAGTTAAGATTCCTAGGCTTGAAACGAGCTCCTAGGCCAGACCCATCAAACGTCCGTGGGAGTGGTGTGTATGTTCTTGTGGTATAACTAGATAGAGGTCATTATCTGGAAATCAGTACCATGGAGGCAAAATGTAAATATTTGTATACTCATTGGTTCGTGGACCTAGAATCTATATGGTTTGAGGTACACTAAAGCACAGTCTCATATCTTATGTCTGAATAGCTGATGTATTTACCCCTGAAGTACCACCGTGATACGTAGAGTCTCGATTAGAATAAATCGAGCAAACGTCTTGGTATTAAAGACGTCAAGTAGGAACAAGTACTCCTGTCAACTTAAGAACTAGTCGACATTCTTTATTAGACGCTCCTTCAACGCTGAACCACCAGACCCAACCGGCTTGGTGAACCCTCTCCAGCGGACGCAACAGCCACAGTCAACAGTACAGTGACCCTTATGAGTCAAGATCTCCCTCGTAGAATCATACGCATCATCCCTCCGTTTCGCCGCTCGCCGGACCTCCTGACAACAGCCGCAATCGCGAGCGCAGCATCCCATCCGTCGCGCACACTCCTCGCGGTCGTGATCCTCCGTATCCCGCTGCAACTCGTAGTAAAATGCCCTCACCCAGGGTCCAAAATCTTTCAGTGTCGGCAAGTTTCGGTTGACTTTCGCGTCCTTCGAATTGTACTCCCTGTTGACATGGGCCGTATGCCCGAAGTAAGGATTTGCTGCCACAACGACCGTGAACTGATCGGCTTCCTGTGCCAATATCCACAGCGCAGGTAGCACGTCGTCCAAGCTCGCTTCAAGCTCTTGAATGGTCTCCTGGACCTTCTTGCTGCTCGGGCCGTGTGCGTCAATGCGGGCTTCGATGTCGGCCTTGCGCTCGAGAAGGCGCAGCCCGTACTGCTTGGTTGCCATCGTGCCTGTTATGTGTCTGTGCCACTGGGTGTTGAATTTGATTTGTTCCTCCTTGTCGCTGTTCGAAGTGAGCGCTTTGGCCAGGGACAGGATGGCGTTTCCGATTTGGCGGCAACCGATCCTGTAACAGAAGGTTTCGAGGGCGTAGGATATGTTGATTCCGCTCCAGCTGGCCAAGAAATAGACGACGTAGAGCAAGATTATCTGAAGGAAGAACAGAGGCAGGTTGTCATGTTGTAGCAAGCGATATGTGGTTTGATGGAAGATAGCCACGGGAAGTAGACACCCGATCACAACGAGCTGAGTGATAAGGGGATCCATTTCAATAAAGACGGAGCGTTGATGTTATGTGAAGAAGAATGGTCTGGTTGAGAAGATGGGAGCGTGGATTTGTCAATGGTGATAATTGAACTTCTCTATGCGGTCATTCTGATGTGTGTCTAGGAAGGTGCCAAACTATAATGGACCAAGTTGAATATAATCCTCAACATCATGGCAGTTTCCTTGTAGTCACTCAATCGTATAAACAAACTGATTATCTGGTTGAAAATCCACATAGGCTACTTAGTGACATATTACGCTATTGTCTAGAAGTGAATTGAATCTTGACTTCATTGTTCTAGAGTTGTCTATTCATTGTCCCAAAAGGACACTCGCTGATTATCATACTGTTTTGAATGTGACCACAATAGCCCAAGTGAATGAGTTTATTAGAGTCCTTAGTGCAGCCTGGGAGGCTTAGGCCCTATAGTATGAGTTCCTTATATATGCAATATCCATCGTGTCGATCGTAGCTTCCTATCTTGACAATCTCTCCTGGTCTTTCTATCTCAACCACTACACCAAATTGACTACACCAAATTGTTGGATCGGTATCTGGTCGGGCTTGATATAGCTGAGATCCCAACATTTTACAAATCAAAATCTTCTAGCCACAAAACAAAACTGGAAGGGCAATTCTAGGAATATGACAATATACTGGATCCTTGCTAATGAAGTCTGCCTTGAAAGGAACATGGCTACCTCGACCTTCGCCTTCAACCCCAACGCCAAAGCGAACGTTCCCAATTGCACGATGAGGTGAAAAGTGCCATCCAGTCCACCAGCCTCTTCAACCTGGCCCAGCTCCTCATCTTGATGTGGATCTTCAGATTGTTCTGGATCCTTCTTGACGCGCTGTCACTGCTTTTAAACCGCGCCATAAACTGGTCGTAAGTCATGTTCCTACATATCATCCTTCAATTATATAGACTGACACAAGGGTATGAATACAGCTGACCAGAGTGCCTACCAGTGCATCGGTGTGGCCACGATGATTGCCACGAAGCAATGGAGAAGGACGAGGCTTGCCCTCACAGAGAGTGCAAGCACTACAAGGAGAGTGCACCATCATCGCCTCCCAGAGCCCCCCTGGAGCTGGTAGTCCGCCTCCATCACACCCAGGTTTCACCGGCCCAGGAGCTCATTATGACTATCCCAGAGGATATAACAATCCCATCTGTCTCCTCCAAGTAGGCAGACAACATCCATACGGCGTATTCCAAGGCCGAGGCCCCCGGGACCTCCGACGAAGACGATTCGGAGTCTTCCTCGGGGGAGTCTTCGTCCGACATCGAGCCCTGTCCCCACTGCATGACTCAGGTGCGTTAGGGTCGCTGACAGCGGGGTGGCTGGTGTCGAGTGCCAGACTCTTCCGGGAAGGTTGAACTGTCACTAGTGCCAGCAGGGGCGCCATGGTTGTGTCGGGTAGGTAAAAGCTCCCTCTGCGGGGCTTGCAGTGCTTATAGAAAATACTCAATGCAGATAACTGCCTGCTCAATAATGTGAATGACTTTGACCTGACCTCTAACGAGTACCAGAGCATCCGTCAGTTTGAATCTCTGCCAATGGTGTCTTATACATTCCCGTCTATCAAGACTACTATGTGTTAGGTGGGAACGCCGCTGCCCAGGCGGAGTGCTGGGCTCTGAATGCTGCATTTTACCAGACGCATTCGGCGGAGCATGTGCCAACTACAAATGGCCTGACAGAGTCAGTCAGTGCTCCGTACGAGACGAGCTATGGCGGCGAGTGGGGAAAGAGGTCTTCCAGCAGCTACGCCTAGTTTGGGGGGTTAGAATCAGGTGGCGGGAGGCCTGATATGCCAATCAATTTGGACCCAGACGAAGGGGCGGTGGGTAATCTGATTAGTTTGGATGAGGATGAAGTGGAAGAATTTCCACTCATCTTTCTGAATAAAAGTGAGTATAACTTTCGATTTGTACATGTTTAAGCACAATCCCCAACACCAGCGCCAGCGCCAGCGCCAGCACCAGCACCAGCACCAGCACGCCTAGTCGTACAGGCCCTATGTACGAAACCTAAGCATGGCTTGCACCTCTACGTGATTACTAGGAGCTCGCGGATGTTGTTTTTGGTGCGGCGACCCGTCCCTGAGACGCCCTGCCGATCCGCCTTCCAGCGTTGACACCCAAATATAAATGCTACCAGTTTGATATTCATATATCATCCCTGAGGTGTCCAAGATCATCACTCAACCCTGTGAATGACAGCCATATGTCTAATGAATATAGTATACAAGCCAAAAAACACTATGACCCTGGTATACTCTTCTATACGCACAGTGCAAAAGCAGTAGTCCATCACCTCCACATCAAATCCGTATACCTGCCCAACGCAACATCCACCTCTTCAAACGCTCCATGCACCGCATCCCACCCTCTCTTCAGCTGCGCCGCCTCCACATCCCGCTTCCTCCTCTCTTCAATCACTTCCCACGATGCGTCCTCCCGTCCAGGCAACAGCCCACACTGCAGGAGGACCGCCTCCGGCGCCACCGTCTTTCGCCCCTGCTTAAAGACATATCTCGACACAGAAGACGCAAACACCTTCTTCTGCCCTCCCTTATCCTTCTTCCTTTCCAAACCCTCCGCCGTCACATTCTTCTTCCCCCCCTGAAGCACATACTCCCGCGGCCCACTCGCCCCCCTCTCCACAAAATGCGACACCAAATACAACCACTTCTCATCCCACGCCATCACACGCGTCCACACCTCATACCCCTGATAAGGCTTGATCTCCCTCCTAAAAATGCACTGCACACCGCTGAGGATCATCGCCGCGGTGTGGTTCGCCTCCGACGGCATGAATGACAGACACCGGCTGAAGAGGACGAGGCTGAGGCTGCCGCGCGAGATGTCCAGGTCGGTGAAGTACGTCGAGTTGGACTTGTGTAGGTTGTAGTCACATTCTGTGGCGGGGGAACGGGTGCGGTGGATTGCGGGCAGGAAGAGGTGGGTTGGGTGCAGGGGGAGGTTGGCGGTTGGGGAGAGGAAGAGTCGGGTTATGAGGGTGCGGAGGAAGCGGATCTGTTTTTTTTTAGTATTCATATATATATTCAAGAAGACAAGAAAGAAAAAGAGGAGTAGTAAAATAGACATGAGGGTTCTGGGATACTGACATGCCATACAAAGGGGAGATTTTTGTATGCGAGGACGAGCACACATAGAATAACTGGGAGCCAGCTGTCTCCGAGCATCATGTCGATTTTCGATACAGATACTGTGGTCGTGTGTAATGAGTCAAAGTGTTAAACTGTTCAATAGATCTGTTAATGCTTTATATAGACTATGGACGGTTTGTTGGGACAGTGGATCTCAACGGGTTATCATAATCTGCGATATCCACATCTATAAACTTATAGATATCCACCATTATGCCTCAAAGTTATCTACTATGTTTAATGATGTAAATACCAAGATTTTCATCTGTATATATCGGTCAATCACAATTTATACTCGAGTACGCAGACTATAGTCTAAACTCATATACTGTGGTGGTATGACTAGGGCTAGTGCTCGGTCGTTCATATCTTGTGCTACGATATAGTTAGTATACATTATCAGATAAGTTGTATCCTCGGAATGCGCTGATAGTGTACAAACTGAACCTAATGTTGATTGATGTAATCAATGCCAATGAAAACTCCATCAACAATGTTGACAATATCAGAATGTGACAATCCATCTCCGACATGACGCGGATTACATTATCTCGGCCATCCGAATTCTCAACAACAAGTATGTACTTAAAAGTACTTGAACCACCACCCCACCACTTCAGTCAATGTGATCCACCAAGATACAAATACAGAAAATTATCACAATGCCTAATATGATACCATACGCAGTATCCCTCCTCGCCCTATACCTCTACCTCGTCCGAACCCGTCGCTTCAACCGTCGCGATGCCATCCAGTCGCGCTTCAGCGAGAAACATCCCCCCTCAAGCATGACCGTCGGCGAAGCGCACCAGATCGTGCGCGAGCTGCGCGAGCTGGAGTTTCCTTACTCTATGCACAATGCGATGAAACTGTCTTTATTAAAGGTACCCCTTCCCTCCACCATTCCACCTCAACATCCTACACAATCCAATCCAACCAATCTAACATATCCAAAAAGACAGCCTCAATCCCAACAATGACCAAACTCTTCGTCGCAACCGGCCAACTCAACGCAAAAAACGCCCCCAAGCGCGCCGCCGACACCGAAATCGTCCTCAGCGAAGTGCACGACCGCCTACCCGGTTCCGACGCCCACCTAGCCGGCATCGCACGCATGAACTACCTGCACGCGCGGTACCGCAAAGCCGGCAAGGTCCTCGACGAAGACATGCTGCACACGCTAGGCAGCGCAGTCGTGGACATCGTGCGCACGGTAGACGGCACAGAGTGGCGGGCGCTGACGCACGTGGAGCGGTGCGCGGTGGGCGTCTTCCATAAGGCGCTCGGCGATGCCATGCAGATTCGCTTTGAGGGGTTCTTGCCGTCTGGTGGAGCGGAGGGGGAGGGGTGGCGCGATGGGGCGCATTTCGTGGATGAGATTTGTGAGTGGACTATGGGGTATGAGAAGAGGGTGGCGGTGCCGACTGAGTCGACGAGGACGGTGGGGGGGAGGTTGGTTGGGTTGGCGACTTGTAATGTGCCGGGGTTTATGAGGGGGGTGGTGGAGAGGGTTGTTGCGTCGAAGCTGGATGGGCATGTTAGGGTTGCGTTGGGGTATGTTTTCTTTCTTTTCCCTTCTTTTTCCTTCTTTCTTCTTTGAACCCGATACTAATGATCTACAGACTACAAGAACCCGGCCCGATCCTAACTTCAATCCTACGAAGCGTCCTCGCCCTGCGACGCCTCCTCCTCCGGCATCTAAGCCTCCCCCGGCCAGACTCCAAGCGCGTGCGGGTCCTCAACGAGACCCCCAACCCGACAACCGGGCTCTGGAACACACAGATCTGGGTCGCGCACCCGTGGTACCTGCAGCCGACATTCCTAAACCGCTGGGGCCTCAAGGCGCTGGTCATACGGTTGTTCGGGACAGGTGCGGTTCCCAGCGCGCAGAACGAGTATCGCGAGGCCGGGTACGATGTGTGGACTATTGGGCCAACGGCGCAGGAGGGGCGCGGACGAGATGAGATGGAGGTTATGGTTGCGGAGATGAAGGCTATGGATTATGCGGGGGGGTGTCCTTTTCATGCTTGATGGGGTATTAACTCCTTTATATAACACAACTATCCAGCCTATACCAGTATATAAGCATACAAAATTATAACCCCTTCCTCATAAAAGCCTCCCACAAAAACACAACCTCCCCATCAACTCCCCTCTCCTCCGTAACAGGCTCCTCCTTCCACACCACAAACCCCATCCCCTCATACCACTCCTGCACACTAAACGCCGGCGGTGCCACCCCAAACTTCGTCTCCCAGATACCCCTCCACTCGGGCTCGTACACATACCGCTTGCTCAGGGCTGTCAGTTCCAGCCACTGCGCGCCCCGCGCGGAGGCTTCTTTTTCGATGAGTTGCATTGCGCGGCGGCCGGTGCCGCTGCGGCGGTGGGTGGGGTGGATGAAGAGGGTTTTTATGGAGAGGGTTTTGGGGGTGGGGGTTGGTTCTAGGGAGATGTGGCCGCAGTAGATTTTTGTGTCTGTGTCTGTGGTTGTTGTCGTATTCGTGGATGTATCTGTGGTTGTGTTGGTAGAGGATGAGGATGAGGATGCGGAGGTAGATGACGTGACTATCCAGAAAAGCACTTTCAAGCTCTCAGTCTGCAGCTGCTTCCAAGTAGATAGGGTAGCGGGATCATAGTCCCATCCGCAGAGGCGGCGTTGGTGAGCGAGTTCTGTGAATTGGGATGGGTCGTTGAGGTCGATGGAGGTGAGATGGCAGTTGGACATTTTTCTTCTTCACTTCTCTTCTCTCCTTTATTTCTTCTTAGGTATGGTTTCTTGATTGTATCAATTTAGGAATACTTTTGGTGCGCGGTTAGAGAGGGCAAGTCGAGAGATGTAATGATTATGCTAGTGCTTACCTTACCCAAGCACTAACATAGTCCACAACAACATCTACCCAGTCTATAGTATCCCACCAACCCATCAACCCCCCTTCTCCCCAACCTCCTCTCCCTCCCCCTCAATAACCCCCCGGTGTCTTGCACTCCTCACCCTAAACACAGCCCTAACATCCCCCTCCAGCACCCCCCCTCCCTCTCCCCCCATCCAATATATCAAACCCCCACAACAACCTCGCAACCCCAATCAAAAGCGTCGACCTCGCAACATGATGCCCGGGACACAACCTCCTCCCAAACCCAAACGCCGCAACCTGCCCCTGCAACCCCTCATCCCCCACAAACCTCCCGGGTCTAAACACCCCCGGATCACCCCAGACCCCCTCATCCATATTCATAGCATACTGATTCGCAATAACAGTCGCCCCGCGCGGAATCCGATACCCCATGTACTCGTCGTCCTGGATAACAGCGTGCGGGACTGCGATCGGAGAAATGGGTTTCCAGCGGAGTGCTTCGCTCACGAACGCGCGAATGTAGGGAAGTTTGTCTGCGTCGAGGTCTGTGAAATCCGGCATGCGCTCTTCGCCAACTACGGCGTCTAGCTCCGCTTGTGCCTGCCTCACGGTATCTGCATAGCGCAGTGCAGCTAGCACCACAACCTCCAGCACCATCCGGGTGGTATGCACGCCCGCAACGTACAGCTCGCCGACGGAGTAACTCAGCGCGTCGCTGTCACTCAACAAGGCAGTCTCAGCACCCGCCTTGCGCTGGGTGCTCGTAATCTCTCGCGCCCAGTTCCAGCAATCAGTAGCCTCCAGCGCGCTGCGGCAGCACTCGCTGTATACACGCTTCGTCTTCTCGTGGATAGCGGCTGCTTGGGAGCGCCAGCGCATGATGAGATTTCGAGGAAGGACATCCAAGAAGGGGAAGAGCTCTAGTAAGACCCCCATCGTAGACGCACCCTGTAGCACGAACGTCGCCATCTCGTTGATCTGCTCGATGCGGCGGTGGTCTGCGTCGTCTTTGCCTTTTCCTTGACCTTTACCGAAGGCGAGGGTGAACATCAGGTCTGCGGTGTAGTTATGGAACGCGGAACTAAAATCACTGCTGTGGAGGAAGCTACGCAGCAGCAGTTTGCTCTGAGAGTCTTGCAACCCCCGATACATATCCACAGCGCGAACATTAAGCACACTCGCATGCAACCGCCGATTAAGTCTCCACTCAGGCCCATACGGCATAAACGCCGCGGCAAGACCCTTGTGCAGGTATCTGTCCAGGAGGACGGACGGGGCGCGCGAGCTGTAGATGCTGCCGCGCTTGTCGAGCAGGTCTTGCGCGGCGCGGCGCGTGCCGAGGATGATGTAGGTTCTTGTGCCTATGTTGGCGCTGACGATGGGTCCGTACTGGTGAGTCCATTTTGTGAAGGCTGTGTGGTTGGTGGGGCCGGCGAGGTGGGCTGTTAGGGTGTTTGGGCCTGGGGGGAGGGGGGGAGAGCGGCGGCGGTTGCGGTGGTGGCGGAGGGTGAGCCAGGTGCATGCTAGGGTGAGGAGGATGAGGGCGGAGAGGGTGAGCATGGTGTTTTACTTTGTAGTTGGCCGGGGATATTTATCTAGTAGGCTGGGATGTTAGATCTGCTTGTGGCTGTGATTCTTGACTGGTATGGATGGTATACTTGCGTTCATCTACCGCCACAGATCTCGAGTCTCGATATCAAGCGCGAGAATGCTCCAGCGACACTGTCTGGGAGAATCACGCAAGAGAAGAAGGGCAAACTAGGGATGGATGTCTGGCTGCATAGTACTGCAGTCGTGTGGGTCCGGGTTGAACCAATAATGGAGTGGATGATCAATGCAGTTGAGGTTGTTGCTTGAGGAAAGACGGTGGGACGTTTGGACTAGTGGGTTGGGTTTGCAAGTCTATTGTGAGTATGTAATTGAGAGTTTCTGGTAGGTAGGTAGGCAGTAGTAGTATTTGGAGTAGTAGATTGACTAGCTGGTAGACAAATAGAGAAGAGAGAGAGGAACAGAAAGATGGACTTCACCGATCTCAAGCAGGTAGATACCCTCAAACCAGACGCATCTTCCACACAACAAACCAGAAAAACCCACACAAATACAACCCAACTCCCCAGCTATGCTAGTCAACATTGAATAGTTGAGAAAAAAAAAGAAAAGACGATCCAACCTGACCGAGGGATATCTAATCCGGAACCCACTTTGCGATCTAATCTTATCAGATAATCAGTAATCCACAATATCTCAGCTCCTACTGGATTGTGGCAGGTTGCAATGTCTGCGAGATTACTATTAACTTCTTTTGACTGGCTTGTTGGTTCATTTTCTGAGAAGTGGGTAGTGTCATCGGTACATGTCAGCTTCGCATACAGTAGGAAAAATATAGAAATAGTCAAGGGCATAAATAATAATATTACAAACATAATAACTGCTGCACAATTTGATAAGCACGAGAACCTCCTCAGTCTTGAAATACTAGACAGAATATCACGTTGCCTCCAGACCGCATCCTGAACATAAGTACAAGAATGATAATAATAAAATAATATGATCAAACTGCCCAACATGGTATTACTAAGGGCGAACGAAAAAAAAAAACGCAACTTCCACAGGTGTCTGGAAACCAATCGTTATATTCAATGCCATCCCAACCGTCGCTTGTTCTATCACTGTCCCAATTTTCAGCTGAAAGGAATAAAATAGAATGAAATAGAAGTCAAAAAGAGAAAAGAGAAGAAGAAGAAGAAATTCAAAGAAAAGTGGAGAGAGACTGAGAGAGAGGATGTGAGAGGAAGTATGTGAGGGATTATGTGTGTGAGAGATTATGTGTGTGTGAGAGTTTGTGAAAGAGTTTGTGAGAGAGTATGTAAGAGAGTATGTAAGAGATTATGTGAGTATGTGAGAAAGGAAGAGAGAGAGAGAGAGAGAGAGAGAAACATAAAATCGCTAAGTCGTGTCATGTATCATGCATTCATCATCACCACGCCCGAGTTCATGACCTGATCGATGGCCGGTGTCTCGATCGGGGCCGTCTGGCTGACAGTAAGTGGGTTCTCAGCGAGCGTCTCCACCAGTGATTCCGGCCGACCCTCGACCGTGAATAGCACTTTGAGTATGACACGCTGCCGGTGACCGCCTGGCCCCGCCACCTTCTCATGCCGGGTGTGCGACAGGATCGTGCGTACCAGAGACCGGAGACGTTGATCCGTCGATGCGTCCTGAATCACATCCAGGCCGTCGATCACGCACACCATCAGCGGGGGGGCGTAGAAGAGCAGCACGTCGACCAGGGACAGCACCTCCTTCCAGCTCGTGAGCTTGCCATTTAGTGGCACGAAGCGCTCGCTCTCGAGATCGCACGCGGCGTGACTCTCCAGCACCGGCGGTAGGAAGTCGATCAACTGTCGGATGAGACTGTAGGCGAGGGCAATCAGGCCCTGTTCGAATAGGGTCATCCCGTCCCGTGGATCGGTGGGTAGAGAGCAGAAGTGGGAGATGACGGGGATCTGGGCCTCCCGGGCGGACACGGCAAAGCACGCGGAGATGCCGGCCACGGGGCTCGACAATCCCATCGACGGGGAGCCACACACGGCCAGCACCTGCGAGTGCACCGTGCTCGCCCAGTGATTCAGCGGCTCCACGAGGCTGGCATCGGCCGCCACGGGGATGGTGAGACCCAATCCGGCCACCTGATCGTCGCTGTCGAAGAAGTCCTGGAGGTGCGCCGAGGCAATCTGCAGCCCCACGCGCGTACACTTGTGCTTGGACCCCTTGGACCAGCTGAACCTCGAACTATCTTGGGAGGGCGAAGCTGTTAGTCCGGACTGCTCTGGCGCCAGGAGACCAGCCGGCATACCTATGTCCTGTGTGGCGGCTGTGGTCAAACACGTGATGCCGCCGTTCGACGGGCCCTCTTGTCTCAGGAGCCCGCTTGCCGAGTCCCTCATCAATTTGAGGAGCACCTTCGTGCCCGCGGTCATTGTCAGATTATCCGCCAGGTGTTGTTGGATCTCCCATATCTGCTGGCTGACGATGGCCAGCTCCGCAGCGAATTTGCGCTCCGGTTTCTGCAGTCCGATCTGGCTCAGCCGGGTTTCTTCCCAGAAAGCTAGGTCGAGATCGGCGCGGCGTTGGGCCTCGGAGCCACAGTCGTCGATGTCCATAGCGTCTCGAACGATCAGTCTGACGGAACTCTGAATATAGGTGACGAGCGTTTTGAAATATAGGTAGACGTCCTGGTTGGGGCTTTTCAACAGTCGGCATTTGGACATGCCCACGTACCACCGCATCATTTCACTGAGGGTGAAGAAGGTCAACGAATAGAAATAGACGATCGACCAAGTGACATCCTGGTTCCGCAAAGCCTCTTTGGCAGATTTGTTGATTTTGACGAGGATCTTGGTCATGCCTTCCATGACCCTGGGGTAGTCCGCCGACGCCTAGGACGAGTCAGATGTGTTGCTTTCGAAGGGAGGGTTCAGGTCTGATCGCTTTTGCCTACCTTGATGATGGACTGGAAGACCCCGTATAGGAGGGACAAGTACAACTCGTGCTTGGGCAAACGCACCAATAGGGGGGAGTGATAGTCAAGGGTCGAGATGAGGCGCTTCAAACGCGACATAGATCGGCTGAAGTGGCTCTCTCGTTCGCTGGCTATCCAGGTGGCCTGGACGGAGCCCACGAGGTTGACCACGTCGCTCGAATTTTGCAAGCGTTCATGGCAATCGACCTGGTCCGCGGGCGGAAGGTGTCTCTGGAACACCGTCCAGTACTGCGACAGCTCATTATATTCGACATCGAGGGTAGCAATGACCGAGTGTCTGTACACTTGTTAGCATGTTCAGCTATACAAGACCGGCGGCACTGGTTGGACGATTTGCGTCTGCAGAAACCCAGCAGCGAAGGCAGGGTCGATGATCCGCAGATACGGAGATCGACAGCGAGAGTCACACACAGACGGAGCGGGGTCCAGCAACAAATAAAGAGGCAAGCCGGATAAAACGGTGAAGAAAGACGGACATGGGAGGGTCATCTCGGTTATTATCATACAAAGAAAGGAGTAGACTAGGTAGACTGCACATCCACAACAGGAGAAAAATTGCCAAAAACGCCCAAAAGAAAAAGATAAATGGGAAAAACACACAAGCTAGATGAAAATGATCATACGTACGACGATAGAAACCTCTTTTCGAGTCGCTTCTTGATGGCAAAGGGATGGTCCTCAGCCGGCGAAGAGGCCGCTGGGACGGAGGTTGGTTGGGGGGACATTTAGCAGCCAGAGCGGCAACGGACTGCCGGTGAAGGGCCCGCACGACCAGCACGAAACTCGTTGACGGGATCGATACTCATACCAGGGGCCCAGGATGGGAATGAAGGAGGACGGTCAATTATAACGGGAGGGACGGAGGGCGGAATCCGAGGCAGATATCGGACGGAGAGGAAGGAAGAGGGACCCGAGAGGGTCGGTTAGGATCATACAGCGGAGAGGTTCACTGTTCAGATGGATGTCTAAAGATGGCATGGGATCGTCATGGTCTTTAGTTGCAACGGGAGATCCCGTGCGGAGACAGGAGAATCGAACCACACTTGTTTGGGAGAGGAAAGGAAGTGAAATGGAAGTGAAATGGAAAGGAAATGAGAAGGGAAATGAGAAGGGGAAAGAAACATCACCAAGAGGGAGAGATGGAGAGGGGCAAAAACTTTAGGAGTGAGAAGAGAGAGAGAGGACAGAGAAGAGGGACAAAAGATCCATAATAATAATAAAAATGAAAAGAGAAAATGAAATTAGAAAAATACAGCCAAAGTACCCTCAAGGTACGATCCTCTACCTAAAGTAATGTACTATTGTGTTCTATTGTGTCATGGATTGTTTACTTGGACATCTTGTTCTTTCAGTATTTCAGCCAGATTTACCATGGATCTAGCCTATGCGAACTTGGGTCGATGAGTTGATTCTACCATCTATCCTGAATTGACTGGATCCCCCGACCATCTTCCACAAGGAAGAATCTCCCACGTACCAGGCAGTAGAATTATCAAGAAATAACCAGAAAAAATAAATAATAATAATGATGATGATAATGATGATGATTAGGGAGTAAATAACCGTGGCTCATGACCAGGATGATTCACAGAAAGTGACAGGTGAGTTGCTCTCTTATCCATCATGAATAAGAGAATCCACAGAATAATGTCCAGTTCGATGGGAGCCTCGGCCTGGTCTGGCCGGACATGACTGCTCGAGACACCCAATCAACACCCCCCATTCCAGCCCGCCATGGCCGGTGGACGTTCGAGGCCTCGAATGGAAACGGAGATTTGCAGCTGGATAACTCTTCCACCTTGGTTGGGCCTATCGTTGCCCCTCTTTCTCTTCTCTCTTCTCTCTGCTTCCCTCTTTTTTCCCTGTTTTTCTTTTTGTAATTTTTTTATTTTTTATTTTTATTTTTTTTTTCCTCTTTTTTTCTCTCCACCTTCAATTATTTATTGTTTGTATTTTACGATTCATGTCTGATTGTATAGGATAGAGTTTCCCATTATGACTTTCTAACATATAACTCAGTCGAATTTCACAATCTCACCACTCCTCTACTCCGTACTACCAGCTGGTATGCCAGGTGGCTGTTGTTGGATGCTGACGATCCGATGGTCGGAGCTCTCCCATATCGGGCAATCATAATAGTCCTAGTATACCTCAGGCTTCATGGTTTCATCGTCGCTTCCAAGGGCCCAATTCACCAACTCTTCTAGGATTCCCCCCTCCTGTATCTCCATCATGACGGTCTGACAACAGAACATTCCACCTCTCTACTCCCTTCCCGCATGTCTGCCATCTGACAGTGTCATCTGTCAGTCGCTTGTGGTGGACAAGGTAAATAAATCAAGTAATTCGAGTGAGATGCAAAGAGGAAAGAGGAGATGGAACCAGCCCTCGCACGGATGTCCTGCTGTCCGTGTTCGTTTGAGCCTGCTAGTCCCTCGTAACTACTGCAGTCGATGTTTTCATCCTTCCTCATCCGAAAGTACTTGGGTACCTTACATCCCGTCTGTTGTATATATTCGAATTGTGCTTTTTTTAATTAATCTCTATATTGTTATAATATTGATGAGCTTTCTTCTGAGAAGAAAGTGTAGTGGGCTAAAATAGTCTCCTTCCCTCTTCTTCCCTCTTGACCTCTGCTAGCCCAAAGAGGGACACTAAGACCGAGGCCAAAGTACGTTGACAGGTGTACTATCCGTAGTTCGACAGGGGTTCGACCAGTATAACGAAGTACTAACAGGAAGGAGGATGGGTGGAAAAGTCCTCCCACCTCCAAACCCTGCACCAACCACCCAACCAGAACGACGATATCGCTTCATCCTGACCACTTTCTCTCACACAGCGGCAAGACGGTGACCATCACCGTCCGACGGCACAACGGCCACCGTGGACACAACATCATCATCTAGCACAACCACATCGACCAAAGCCAACATCAATCTCGCCACCGACCAACACTGTTGTTTCGAAGGGAGTCATCATGAACGGTCTCGACTCTTCACCCATGAGCGAATCATCGACCCTAGGGGGCCATCCAGCCTGTCCGGTGACGGCGTCGTGATGCTCCGGTTTCAATCAACACCCCTGCTTCATCCAGGCTTTACTGCCGTCGGACTACGGGATAAAGGCGGTCGACTATGCTGCATTCACCCTCTCCATCCATCGATATATAATTCTCTGTCATATACTTATCTTCCTGCCCATTCGCCCCGTTCTGTCAGGCTCCTCCTCGCATGATACACATGGTCCTCACCCTGAAGGTTGGACCTGGATCGTTTGGGCTGGGTTCTGACCGACAGGAACCCGCACCGACAAGCTTACACAGGACACATCCATATCAGCGGGAATAAGAAAACATACGATCATGGAGCACCTGCTTTGTCCCCACCCTTCTGTCTCTCCCCCCCACCTCTCTCTACCCCCCATTGATCCCCCCATACATTCTCCCCCCTTCCACTGCACACCTAACAGACACCCATCCTCGGATCCACGGCACACATGTTGCACAGGGTTCTTAGCGATGCTGCACGGCAGATTGGACCCTTCCAGCTATCTGTACCGGACTGGGGTGTTCCCCCAAAGAGTAGTTCCCCGTGGAGTCGAATCGATGATCTAGTTGGACCCAGTGACAGGTCGCCGTGGGGCGCAGTCTGCATATCTTTTTTTTTTCTTGATGTTTTACTTTTTCTCTTTTTTCCTTCTCTTCCATGCCCTCCCTTCTGGTGGTCTGACTGGTGTCCGGGTGGCTTGAGATGCAGTCAAGGCGCCGCCCTGTGCCATGGTGCATACATATGCCCAAAGAGTCTCACTCAATCCTAACATCGGTAACCGAGATCTAGACAGTCTCCGAGTGGTCTGTCGTCGGAGATAAGGTTCGGTTCAGGTGCGGCAGCCGGGTATCGACATCCCGCTGATGGATCTGGCTGTGTCACTCTACTGATGGTCAGAGTCAGTCTCATGCCACGACCACGTTGCCCTCCTCTTGAGCCCACTCTCCTTACCTTCTTCTCCCCGAGAACTACGGAGATTTTCCCCCTCTCAATCCTTATTGAAAACGGAAAAGGAGGGGATGAACCGAGGCTCATCATCCATTACACAATTGGCAACACAACACAATTCAATCAAACCAGTTTGTTTTATCCATCTCCGCCCGCATTGCATCCTCACATTGCCCCTGCATATCATGTACAGCCCTATCCTGCACCAGACACATCACAAACGACCTATCTCCCACATCAGCGACTATCGCCAACCCGACCGAAACTTGGCGGGGGAGCCTGCCATCCAGCCAGCCAGTCAGCCAGTCAGCCAGCACCCAGCCAGCCACCAATCCCATCGGGGACCCCGTGGATGGAGAGCAGCAGGTTGCCAATCTGTCTCTGGTGCAGTGGGCCTGCACGCATCGCATCTGTGTGGGGGATAAGCCCAGATGTGATCATGATGGCTGCGAGGGCGGCACAGCCAACGGTCTAGACCGGCGATTGTATTTGCTTTTTTTGTTTCGGTTGTTTCCTTTTATTTTTTTCTCTTTTGTGTTTTATTGAATTTGGATTCAAAGGGCGGTGGGATGCAATGGGGCTGCCTAGAGATACGGTCTGCAGGTGTTCTTCTATTCCCCTCCCCCTCTTGAGGTACGATGGAAAGTGTGGAATGAGGCTGGCTAGGTCTGGACCTAGTCAGCATCTTTTCGCTTTCTGTCCGACTTGGAGGGGTCGTTTGGTTGGATTGTTCTGGAGTTATCTAGTCCGCGACTATGAGGCGACTGCAGCTCGACTGCACAGATCTGGCTGATTTCGAGCTACGATGAGAGGCGGGGATGATTGATGGAGGGACATAATTGTAGTGATTCGATTGTAGTGAGCCTACTCGTACTAGGTGGTAGGTATTTAGGTAAGGACTTGACAGGCACGCCGCCTGAGGAATCCACACAACAGCTAGTTAGCTTTTCAATGCTCGTCATTTCTGATTGAGCATTTGAATGACATGAACGAGCTCAAGCTAGCAGATATGTAGTAGCTCTTTGTAGCGACCACTAAGTAGGTAAGGACCCAGCCATTGTGACTGAAGAACTGTCAATGTGATTAGGACGTGTGATTGTGACGACCTTCTGACTTATTGCCTACCTCCTCATATCTACCTCCTCCTCTTCTTCTTCCTCCTCTTCCTCCCTACCTATTACCTAGTTACTACCTCCAAGGCTAGTACCTGAGCTGAGCTGTACTAACCTAGCTAAAACATCAAACGCTTCAATCAAGTATTCAATCAATAAATCAATCAATTAATAAATTTTAATCAATCAATCAATCAAATAATCCAACTAGCCTCATAAACCCAAATAAAAATATCAAAAAGAAACAATGCACCCCTCTGACGTAAACACCAATCTACAACCCCCGTCAATCTCCGCACGGTGCTAGTCTGGTATATATCCATCTGTTCTCCCCTCACGAAGCTACCAGCTAGCTGGCTTTAGACAGTCTTGGTTCGGTCGGGTATCTAGCTAACTACCTAAAAAGCTACCTATCAAATGGGGGTTGAATTCTTGGGACGACTAATGTGGAAGGTTGGTCGATGATGGAGGGATGGATTGATAGATTGATGGGTGGGCTGGGATCTGATCCTGGTTCTCTGGACTTGGCTATTGATCACTTACCTATCTATTTATCTATCTACTACATAGTGTGTATGAGTTAGAGGTACTCCGTACATAGGTAGGTAGGTAGGTCGATACTAAATGATGTAATTGCATGGTTTATTTTTTACTTCTCAGTGTCTGGTTCTGTAGTCTGCTGTGGAAGGGTGCTTATCTTCTAGATGTATCATATTTCCCTACTTACTATAAGCAGATATGTAGGATATATTACACGATCGGATATCAGAACCTATATTCCGGTCAGTTACCTCAGATATTCTACGTTCACGATAATATCTTGACGAGCAATATCAACTCTACTCATCATGGCACGGTACATCTACAATACAACAACGATAGCAGGAGTTATGTCCCACCCCCAGTCAATTATCCGACCAGGCCGATTTCAGAAGGTATGCCAGCTCAGGGAATATCTTCCTCATTGGGCGGCCGGGAGGTGTCCGTGTCGGGGGGGGGCTTGATGATCGTCGTGCTGATCGTCGGTGGTGGTGGGTTTTCTTTTGTTGTGAGTGGTCATGGTACTCACGCGAGATGTGACTGCCAATATGGGGGGTCTTATCTGTCGTCTGTTGTGTGTCTGTGTGTCTGTGTGTCTGTTGCCTCATGATGGTTTGGGGGTGGGGAGGCGTTGGGTTGGTGTTTTTTGTCTTGTCTTGCGTTTTGCTCTGTATGGGATGGCTTGATGTCAAAAATAGAATATTCAGTGTCAATCGTAAAGACAAAAGAGAGAAGTGTCACGTGCATAACACGATCGAGGCTCAAATTCCTCGGTCCAACGCGTCTGCGATCGAGGATGATTACCTCCCCACAGAACTAAACCGAGCTAGCTGAGCTGAACGGGCTCAGCTACATGGGCTGAGCCAACCTCATGAGCACAGAGCACCGTGTGGCTCCTTGAGCCAGAACAGATGAACTCCGATAGTTCGATGCGCTGCTCTGTTGTATGATGCAATGACGCTGCAAGTTCAGCAGATCCATGATGTCCTGTCTCTGATCGGTCGAGTCTACTCTCTGGTGGCTGAGCCATGATTGGTAGGTTCCAGGGGTTGATCATCGCCGGATTGAGTTGATCGAGGAAAGACCTTCCTGTGTTGTACACAGCCGAGGATGCCATGCCAGGATAAGGATCCCGATCCATTCTTGCTGGTTTTGCCCCGCACATTGTTTCGTCGGGGTTGTTACATTTCTGACCAAGTGAAATGTGAAGGTTGGCTCTGATTGATTGAGAGTTGATTGGGGGACAATCGATTTATTTGAGGGAGGCGTGATGTTTCAAGGTAAGAAGGAGTGTCGAACACCTATCAGACCTTATCTTATCCCTGCTCATCCTTCTTTCATCCGGTCAATTTCAACTTTCTAACTTCCCATTCAGCTCCAATTTTAGTTTGAGTTTTCCATACCATGGATCCAGATTACTTGCAGCAGTGGTTCTTGATCGTCTGATTGATGCTGGTCTTTGTTCCTGTTCGTGTTCTGGGAACCATGTTATCTCATGATCCAGACTATCAGTTAGTGAATATAGTATCAGCATCATCCCCGCTTTCGCTCCGTGGAAATCTCCTCTCGTTCCCCCTCTTCTCCCCTCATCTGACAACTGGGATGATTGTTTCCCATCTTGATCCAGACATAACCTGATCTCGCGGGTTGGCCAACTAGCTGGGGGTCATTCTGAGCGATACCTCTGCACTATCGGGACGGAGAAACTGAGCAAGACACCCATTCAAATACAGAATCCATCACTCCACCTGTCAGCAATTCGGCGGTTATCAACCTCTCTCTCTCCAGTCTCCACTGCATTCACGCATCCACTGCTGCAGACTAGTGACCTGGTTCCTCCACGAGACGCTTGGCTTGGCTGGCCTGAATATTATTCTTGGTTGATTGGACCCAATTATTCCTCCTCACTCTCTCCACCGCGCCCTCTCCACCGGACAAGTCCCGGTCATGTAACCTGTTCCTTCCTCTCTCTCTCTCTCGCTCTCTTCACCGCAGCCGCTGAGTGATCGCCCGGTGGCTTGGGGGTCGTGCCCGTCTCACTTTTCCCTCCACCTGTTTTTCCCCTTCTGTTTTCTTGTTTTGGTTTTTTTCTTTGCTTTCCTTTTTCGGTTATCCTTTTTCATGTTTCGGCATTTCCTGCATTTCCTTTCCATACAGGGAAAAAAAAGGAAAACAGAAAAGATTGACTATCCTCGGTGTGGCTGTCCAAGAGCGGTGACTAATGATCGACCTTGCACGCCCCGTACCTCGACTACTCCGCTGTATCCGGACTCGTCATCGTGGGGAAATCCATCCCATCCACACTTGGTTCGCTCAATGGGGCTCTGGCAGGGACCCTCTTCTTTCCCTCCCCTCTCTCTCCTCCATCTCTTCCTCCTCACTTGCCTTCTTCCCGCCTCCCTCGCTCAAACTATAGGCTCCTCGGGCTGGACCGTGGTGCCCTCCAACAAATCGGCGGATCTGTCGTGGACCGGTAGAGTGAGATACCACCTCGACAGCACTCAAGTTCGCATCCCTCCGGGCACCAGCCTTGCTCCTTTGACCAATTCGCTAGCCCGCTCGGACAACCGTACCCTCGAGGTGAGTCGTGATTTACCCGGTGCTCAACACACGCGGGACCCCGTGGAGGGGCTGACGGTTCTCTAGTCGTTTCACATCTCGGGCCCTCTAGTGCCAGTCGACGCCTCGACGTCCCGCTCGTTGGACGGGGACTCAATCGCCTTTATTACCTGCGATAAGTCCGCCTACAAGGGGAATCTCGGCGCCAGTGAGACGGTCGCCAACGCTATCACCTCCCCGCATCGGTTGACGGCGGTTATCCTGTACAGCACCGAGGCCCAGCATTGCAACTACACGGTCGACCACGGAGCGGACCACGAGTACGCCAACGTCTTCACCCTCGTCAACCCGCTCGCGGCGGAGATCATCCGACGGCAATTGCGTTCGCCCGCCGACGGGATCACGAGCATCGCCGGCGACATGTCGTACGCCATGACGGGGTCCAGCACCCAATCCGAGGATTCGGGTCCAAGCGGGGGGGACAATCCGAACACCGGTAAGCGTCATCTTCACTCCACCCCCCTTCCCCTCCACGTAGCTGACGTTTGAGACCCGGGATCAGCGATGATCATCTTGTACAGTATCACCGGCATCATCACGGCGCTGTTCCTAGCGATCATCATCACGGGGGCCGTCCGCGCTCACCGGCACCCCGAACGCTACGGGCCCCGATATACCGCCGGGCGCCCGCGGCAAAGTCGAGCGCGCGGGATAGCGCGCGCCATGGTGGAGACGATACCGATCGTGAAGTTCGGCGACGCCTACGATCCCAAGGTAGAGGCCGTCAAGGGCGACGTGGAGATGGCGCCGGAGGGGGGGACACATACCCCGACGGGTGAAACCGAAATGGCGACGGGCGGCGCTGGCGCCCCTACTCCGCCACCACCGTCGCAGCAACCCAACAAGACGGCCGGAGCCACGAGCAGGGAGCCAACAGAAGGGCCAACGGAAGGGCCAACGGAAGAGCCAACGGAGAAGACCACGCCCAATGCCGACGACAATACGTCGCCACCGCCGCAGCAGACGGCCGCCGCGACCACGGAGCAGAACAACTTCTCCTGTCCCATCTGCACGGATGATTTTGTCAAGGGCCAGGATCTGCGTGTCCTGCCGTGCAACCACCAGTTCCACCCCGACTGCGTCGACCCATGGCTGCTCAATGTGTCTGGGACATGTCCTCTTTGGTGAGTCACCCTGACCCTTCTGACCCACCCCGCAGTGCATACTGACGAGCCGACAGCCGGATCGATCTGAACCCTAACCGCGCCGAGGACGCGACCGAGCCGGCCGCGACCGAGGGCACCGATCCCCCGCCGGAGGGCTCCGCAGCGGGCGGCGGGGCGGAGGCGGCGCACTTGCGCTCGCACCGGCGACTGACGAGTTACCTCCACGGGACGCTCAACGCACGACGGATGCGCGACGCAACGGTGGAGGAGCGACTCGCGGCGCTGCGCAGCGTGCGAGAGAACAACCGGCAGACGCAGACGCAGACGCAGGACGCGACCCCCGACGAGCCAGAGGAGCGCAGTCGGCGCCGAAGCGGACTGACGACGCGGTTGCGCGATCGATTCCGCATCCGCACGCAGGCGCATGGGGATGGGGAAGCATAAGGGGGGGATGATTTTACGAGTACAAAGCATTTTTCCACCTACGACTGGGGGATGAACATACGGCATATGTACATGATGGGTGTTTTTTTTATCTTCTTGCACATGATATCGGTATGAATGTTGGACTGACGACCGATGACGAGTTACTTTTTTACAGCGGACCGGGCGTTTGGCGCGTGATCAAGAGGATTACGATATGGGACTCATTTTTTTTTACGTTCAGCCTTATAAAATCATCAATAAATATATGATTCCATAAACCTATAAAATTATATAAATAAATACATAGATAAATAAATAAATAAACCAGACGGAGTCCCCCGACCAAAGCAAGAGCAAAAAAAAAGGTGGAGGATCGGACCCGAAATCCGGCGAGCATCGCATGGATTGCCCGAAGTGGACACCTATTGCCCCACGGGGGATCCTCCCATGCCTATGACCGTTTAATATGGTCGTATTCTGACTGTCGCAGTTAGTCCTTAGTTCGTGTTATCCGTTGTCCGATCGAGTGTGCTAATACTGTACCTGCCGAGTCGATCGGAGGGATTCTAGAACGTGGATTATAAATACTTTTCCTTTAGGTGGATTTGATGTTGGACTTGTGCCTGATTTTGGTCGATCGGGGGTGTCTCCGTACCTCGGTCGGCATTACGAGGAGTCTGCGGAGTAACTATAAGAGATGACTAGGTAGATAGATAGGTTAATTTCTGGCATCGGTAGATATCTACCTAATTTATTACTTAAGTACATGCCTAGGTCGTAGGTCGTAGGTAAGGTGGTAAGGGAGGAAGAGGATTAATTAGAATGCACGGAAGGACAAGCCTGATGGGGTAATGGGATGAAGAAAATGGCGCAACACGAGACAGGGAGGTATTTTCAGGGGGTTTTAATATTTTATTATTATTTTTGATAGTATGTTGTTATGTGTCATTTTTACCTTGGCGATTGTTTGTATTATTCATTATGGGTATGATTATATTATGATATGAGAATGTATAGTAGGTTTATCCGGTTATTATTATCAGTTATTATAAGTATGGGCTGATCTTATTATCCTGTTGGTATACCTTCAGTCAGGATATTCTTTCTAGATATGTACTCATACTCTCATTACTGAGTGTGTAATAGAAGGTATAGAAATAGTTGTCTAATAGAAAAGATACTCGTACGGGTTAATAGAGGACATGTGAATAGTCTCCGTATGTCGTCATAATCCAAAGAGCAGAACATCCTCGGCTCAACGGTCGGCCTTTCAGGATTTATATTTATGCTGGATTCATCGCCATTTTCTGGCTGCTTTTCTCTCCATTTCCTGTTGTGTTATTATACTTCTTATAATACTGTATTTCTATCCTTCATTCTTCCTGATTTCAAAACAGGTCTCTCCGTCCATTCCTTTCTTCCCCCCGGTGAACGCAAACAGCAACCTCCTCTCCAATCCAACTGCAATCATTCAATCGTTCACGGTCGTCACATCCAATCAGGCTAATCTGCGCTGTTTTGCTTCCAACCGTGGATTACGTACCTGATTGATCACTGTCTTGGCTGTTACCACCCTTACTACCTGCTTTATTATACTATAATACCCCTCGTCGCCACCATGTCTCCTCCCTCCTCTTCCCCATCCGTCTCCTCCGCTCGCGCCCGTCTCGAAAACCTCAAATCGCACATCATGGGTTCCTCTGCGCCTGCCTCCGTCTTCTCCGCCGCCGTCGTCCCCTCGGCTCCCGAGGATCCTCTCTTCGGTCTCGCGCAGGCTTTCCGCCAAGATCCCTCCGATAAGAAGGTCGATCTCGTCATCGGTGCCTATCGCGATGATCACTCCAAGCCCTGGGTGTTGCCGGTGGTCAAGAAGGTACATTCCATTCTAGCCATCATGATTGCGATATACTAACTGATTAAAGGCCGACAACCTCGTCCGCAATGATCCCACTCTCAACCACGAATACCTCCCCATCAAGGGTCTCGCCGATTACGACTCCGCCGCCCAGAAGCTCATGATCGGCGCGGATAGCCCTGCCATTCGCGAAAACCGAGTATGCCTCTTTCACCCCAGATAAACAGCGCACATACTAACAGAAATCAAGGTATGCACCTTCCAAACCATCTCCGGCACCGGCGCCGTCCACCTCGGCGCCCTCTTCCTCGCCAAATTCCACCCCCAATCCCCCGCCCCAAGCTCTACCTCTCCAACCCAACCTGGGCCAACCACCACCAAATCTTCACCAACGTCGGCCTCACCCTCGCCAACTACCCCTACTTCGACCCTAAGACCAAAGGCCTCGACTTCACCGGCATGCTCGGCGCCCTCGACACCGCCCCCGCCGGCTCCATCATCCTCCTCCACGCCTGCGCCCACAACCCCACAGGCGTAGACCTCACCCAAGACCAATGGAAGCAAGTCGCAGCCGTCATGCGCTCCCGCCGCCTCTTCCCCTTCTTCGACTGCGCCTACCAGGGCTTCGCCTCCGGCGACGTCGTCCGCGACGCCTGGGCCGTCCGCTACTTCATCGACCAGGGCTTCGAGCTGTGCGTCGCCCAGTCCTTCGCCAAGAACTTCGGCCTCTACGGCCAGCGCACTGGCGCCTTCCACTTCGTCTCCGCCCCCGGCGCAGACGCCCCCGCCGCAACCTCCCACGTCGCCTCCCAGCTCGCCATCCTCCAGCGCTCCGAGATCTCCAACCCCCCGGCCTACGGCGCGCGCATCGTCTCCCGCGTCCTGAACGACCCGGCCCTATTCGCCGAGTGGGAGGGCGACCTCCGCACGATGAGCGGCCGCATCGCCGACATGCGCCGCGGTCTGCGCCAACGCCTCGAAGCCAAGGGCACCCCGGGGTCCTGGACCCACATCACCGATCAGATCGGCATGTTCAGCTTCACGGGGTTGACAGAGCCGCAGGTGAAGCTGTTGCGGGAGAAGTGGCATGTTTATATGGTGAGTCATATATATATATATATATTATTCCCCCCCCCCGAAGAAGAGAATGGAAACTAACGAATGGATAGACCAAAAACGGCCGCATCTCCATGGCAGGCCTTAACACGCATAATCTGGATTATTTTGCGGAGGCGGTGGATAGTGTTGTGAGGGAGGCTTGATCTTTTCTTCGGTTTATGTGGTTGCTTTACTTGATTTGGTTCGTCCAGCGGCATTAGTTTATCAAAATATCCTATCCAATACCATATTCGTTCTATCAATATTCTGGGATCTCTTTGGGAGGGATAGTAGCTAGGGATTAGGTATGTACGTGGAGTTGGCTCCTTGTATGATTGCTACAAGAGAGAAGTAAAGGGTATGCATACATTCGTGGTCGTCCCGAGCTGGGTACATACATATACACCTAGATTGATAGATAGACCCGAATCCCACCCTCAATAGATATCTTCCTTCATTCCTTCAAACGTAGTATCCACTTCCTATTTACAGTGTATCCCCCCCCCCCCCCCCCCCAAATGTACCCATCTAATATTCATATACCCAATAAACAATAATATTAAATAAAAAGATAAGGTCAAAAAATCAAATCCCAAACAACCAACCCAGAACACAACCCCACCGTCCCCCAAAACACCGCCTGCGCCGCGCTCCGCGACTCCGCCGCCCGCTTCAGCTCGCGGTTGCCCTGCCCGATGTTCGTCTGCGTGTTGGAGGCGTCTGCGACCAGCTGGTCGATGTGTTCTTCCTGCGTGGCGAGGTGTGCGACGAGGGTTTGTTGCAGGGAGGAGATTTCCAATAGGGATTTTTCGGCTGTTCTATTATCCCATCTTATTAGCTTTTTCTTTGTGTTGAAGACTAATGTCTAATGTGTAATTGAGGGGGAATGGAAAAAAGAGGGGGGGAACCCACTGGACCTTCCCCAATGTATCCTCATAATACCGCACCATGGAATCATTCTCCTGCTCGAACAGCTGCAGCTGCTGCGGTGTCAGCTGCGCCTCGATGGCTGCTGCTTCGGCGTCGTCGATGCTGGTCGCTTTGATGTGGATGTCGGCGTCGACGTCCCCAAACGCTTTGCCTCTATCACCTCCTGCCCCTGCGCCTGCGCCTACCCCAGTAGAACCAGATGCAGATTTATAAAGCACACTCTTCTCCCTCTCCACAACCCTCTCAATCCTCCTCTCCACCATCCCCCGCTGCACCCCCACAGCGATTTCCAGCCTGCGCCTCAAGAACCATAATACCGCCTCGCGCACGGTGCTCAGCCCGCGCTCCACACCCTCATCCGATATCTGCGCTGCCGTTTTGCCTGAATCTTCATTGTTATTATCGTGGCCGCTAGCCCACCGCGCGAGGAGCGTCCGGGGCCCGCCGTAGCGTTTGCGGAGCAGGCGCGTGGCGGTCTCCTGGCGGAGGGATTCAGCGGAGGAGAGGTTTGTTATTGAGGTGGAGAGGTCGCGGAGGAGGAGGGAGGTGGAGGTGTCGATCTCTGTGCGGGCTGTGTCGGTGAGGTTGGGGGAGGAGGGGTCGTGGGGTCGTGGTGGTTTGTTTTTGTTTTTGGTGCTGTTGATGTTGGTGTTGGGGGTGAGGGAGAGGTAGGGGGTGCGGATTTTGTGGAGGTAGGCGAGGAGGGAGGTGATGTGTGTGTTCTTTGGTTGGTTAGTTAGTTATATTGAGTGGTTAGGTATATTGGTGGTGGTGGTGTTGGTGTTATTGTCGGGATGGGTTGGATAGAGGGAGCTCACGATTCGGTTCGCTTCTTTGAGGAATTCGTCTGGAGTGGGAATTGCTGTCTTTTTAGATATTTCATCGTGACCTCCTCTCCGCAGGAGGTCGTTGAATGTTGGGGTTAGGTCTGTCATTGTTCCTCGGGGTGGGTGGTGGTGATGGTGGTGAATGGTGTTGAGCGGCGGTCTGCTTGTCTAGCTGGCAACAACGTCACGTCCCGTGATTTGCTTGCCCTATCATCTCCGTCTTTCTCCCCGACGGAGTACTAAATTTACTACGGAGTACCTATATCGACTATTACTTCTACTACACTTCTACTACACTTCTACTGCTCTTGTTTGATACACACATCAATCCATCTATCAGGGAATATTCAATCCTATCATAACACGTCAGGGTATAAATGCATTACAAGCCATATCTCCATATCTCAAATCATCGTCCGTTCCTCCACCCAGATCTATTCCGTTAGCATGGTCGCACCTCAAGAATATTAGTAAAATAAGGAAGCATACCTCCATCTTCCCCATCTCACTCCCCTCCCGGCGCGCCATCTCCCTCGACGCCCCAATCAACAGATCCAAATCTTCCTGATCGACCATAGTGATCATATCCCCCTCATCCTGCATCTTGATCTTCAAGATTGACACAAAACCAAACTTCTCCCGGATCCGCATCTCAAACTCCCGGAACCCGACTGTCGGCCCGATGATGATGTACCGCGTGTCTTCCTGCGAATGCACCTTCACCCGGTACTTGTGGACCTCTGGTCGTCGCGATACCCCTCGTCGCGGCCCCTTGACGGGTGACGACGAGGATGTCGACGGTCGACGCGATCCCATCATCTCGAAGTCCCCGTCTGGGACAGGGCCGTCTTCTTCGTACGCGTCGCTCGCGTACTCTTCCTCTTCGTCGATGTATCGCTCTTGCGGCCTCCCCGTGCCGCGTCGCGAGCCAGGCGCAGGCACCACTACCGATCGCGGCTGTGCATAGCCCCCGTATCCCTCACCCCCACTGTAATCATATGCGGCCACGGGGTGAACTCCCGTGGTGTCACTTGCCCCCCGTCGATGTCCCATCTCCCGATTGACGGCCGTCGGGTCGTTCCCGGAACTACAGCCACTGACACCGCGGCGTCCGGAATCGCGCCCGGACGAGCCTCGCGGCTCCGACGCTGTCCGCGTCGTCCCGATGCGCGGTTTTTCGTTCGCGGTCACGTCGGCGCCCGGTCGTCCCAGGGACTGTGCGCCTGGTCGCTCGAGATCCAACCGGGGCGGGCGCGCGGCGCGAAGGGACCCCGGTCGCCCGATACTCCCGGCGCTGCTGGTGCTGCTGGCCTTGTCGGCGTCTGGTGGCGGTGTGGGCGGGAACAGGTTGCGGTTCAGAGGCGGTTCGGAATGCTGGCGGCTGCGACTGGTCAGGTTCTTCTGCACGAGGTGGCTGACGGCGAAGGGCGGGTTGTCTGGATGTCGTGTGTCCAGCACGGACTGTGCGCGCTGGAGTTCGCTAGGGTGGGGACCGCCGTATCGGTCGGATGCTGCGATCAGTCGAGCCTTGCCTAGGTAATCTTTGGTCTTGAGGTTCTTGACTTTGGCTTCGTTGGGGCGGTAGAGGACCCCGACGGGGATTGAGAAGACGGTGTAGCCCTACTCAATTAATATTCGTATTTCAAAAAGAAAAGAAAAGAAAAGAAAAGAAAAGAAAAGAAAAGAAAAGAAAAGAAAAGAAAAGAAAAGAAAAGAAAAGAAGCATACTTCAGCGTGTTCGCGGAGAGCATCGTTGATGACAGCATGGTCTGAAGTGACCTGTTCCTTGGACGCATACTCCAGATCTTGCAGTCCGGGCCCCATCTGCCGCAGATAGATGTAACAAAGGCCCCGATTGAACAGGACCTCACACGAGAAGAGCCGGAATTTCAAGCCCAGCTGGTCATAGTCAATGGAGGTGTTGCCGCGGAGGTACAGCAGGGTATCGTTGAAATTGGCCAATGCCTCTTCAAAGTCGCCGAGGAGGAAATTGGAGACGCCCTCTTGGAAATAGGCGATGGCGAGGTACTGGTCCAGCCCGATGGCCCGCTGATAGCACTCGACCTACACGGGTCAGCTTCGTGATATCATCCAGCACCACGCGTCCACACCTACCGCTTTGTCGTGCTCGCCCACCGTCGCATAAATCACACCACAATTGAAGAAGATCTTCGAAGTATCGGCGATGGCATCAAACACGCGGAGGGCTTCGTCGAATTGCTGATTGTCGTAGTGCTCGAGGGCGAGCACCCAAGTCTCAATTTCCTGGATGGGTCAGCATCGCCTGTGAGAGAAACATCACTTGACTGGCAGGATACCTGTTTCAATGACATGATGAGCCCACCCGCAGAGATGGGAAAATCGCGATGCGTCCCACTCCGGGGAGGGAAACCAGAGGGAGAAGTCGACTAGTGATATACCCTGGTATAAGTACCAACGGTCCAGGAGAGCCAGGACGGTCAATGCGGTGGGTGGAACGAGCCAAGCACCCATGCGACGAAAGCAGAGACAAATGAGCCGGTCGACAGATCGAGACAGAGTCGTGTTCAGGGTCAAGGAGAGATTGAAAAGGGAAGAATAAAGCTCGATCAGGGATGGCGGGCAAAAGAGGCGGGGGCATGCAAGGATGAGTGAGGGTGGGCTGATAGTAGAACCCAGGAGGTCGGAAGTACGGAATATCGTGGTGAGTGGTGAGTGGTAGTGGTAGTGGTAAGTGGATTGAGGGGGAAGTTAGGAGTCGGGGTAGTGGAGAAAAAAAAAGAAATTGAAAGATAGTGCAACGATAGAAAAGAAAGAAGAAAGGGATGTATGCAGGCGCAAGGGACATCTGGGTCCATGTGGGTGAAGGTGATGAAGATAGTCCGTTGTACATTAGTCGACCGACGATGGTGGGTTGGCGGGTGTGATTGGGTGGCTGCAGGGGAGTCGCGTTGAATCACTCTGCAGGATGACCGCTATGGGCGCCTAATTGGTTGGCTTGGATCACTTTGACTTCTCTCTTTCTCTTTAAATTAGGTCTCTGTTGACAGGGAGTGATTGGAGAGGGAAAATACCCGATTTTCGACATATCAAGTACTATATTCTGTGCCGTTGGGGAACTATATATAGCCTCATTCGATGTCCATTGGTCACGAATCGTGTCCAACGTCGACTTTTCGTAACCGAATTGATCACCTGAGCCTAGACTAGACATTTTCTCTCTCAATGATCAACTTGATCGTCTTGGGTCATTATAGTCGAGTCTCCCTCGCCCGCCTTGTCTATCCGCCATAGTCGATGTCGTAGATTGCACCGTGCACGCCAGGCCGTGTTCCAATAAGAGGAACCCAACGATGCGCCAGTGTGATTGACCGTAGATGGTTCCATATATGAGGTCCGTAGGCGTCCTCGATGTATTGGCAGATCCATTTGCAAATGCTCGCTTGGATATCATGTCTCTTTTGGCCTTTTCAAGTAACCCTATATTCAGTGCGATATCCCCTTTGGTCGTGATGAGGTGTCTAGGGAACATCACATTCTACAATGATGAGGCTCTTGCTTGAGACTTTGGATAGCAAGTTATCCTGTTCAAGCATAAGTAGTCCTATCTCTGGTGGTCATATACCCCACGTCGGATATGATATACCATTCATATCTACGCTGTTTGCCACGGTTCTCTTCCACTCAATGGGAGGATACGGCCCTAGCTTCATCCACGGCACAAATGTAGTTGCGGTATGTCTAAGACATATAGACCTGGAGTGCAAATTACGTATCTCCTCGGGAGTCAAGGTCATGTTAGGTCCCGTGTGCAAGGCATCAATCTTGTCGCAAACCAATCCATCCAACGCAGGTACATTTCTAGAGGTCGAGGATTGACAGTATCTACAGATGTCGACTGTATACAGAGTACAGAGGAGGTATGTATCCTTCATGCAAATTTGTCATCGTGCAGACACCTTATTGAAATTGAAGAAGACGTCCTGCATCATGACAATCGATAGAAGCCATTTATTACCACATAACTCCGTCTAATGAAAAGGGATCACAGTAGCCCTATCCAAACCACAATTAATACTCTAATAAGATATATTTAGACACTGCTATACTAAACTACCCCTCAACGCCAAGCCACCGACCACTACGATCTATATTTATCCCACTGAATACACTCGTGGCTGGGACCGACTTCTCCCCCATCCTGGTCCAAGCAAGGTTATCGCAACCTAATGATGCAGCAATCCAGGTACGTAATCGACCCTTGCAGTCCGCCTCATTTGGAAACTCTAGCGGAGGTAAAAGACGGTCGACTGTATGCACATCGTCCTCATTACTCGAACTCTCTTGATAATTGACGAATAAAGCCATCATAACTACGTAGCAACCGTGTGCTCATCCTTCCCACAGGCCTCTATATAGAGTTCCACCCTTCTGTCCCGCCCCGCCACGGCGCTTCGCTTCTGGACTGCAATCGGCCCATGGGTGAAAACCCCAGCCAATCCGTTGTCTGTAGCTATCTTTAGATCCCAGTCTCCACGCGAGACCTCGTGATGTGACGTGATGGGAGGAATCACCAGATAGATCATTTGCGACAACAGTAACAACGGAAGCAGAGTATCAACCACCGACAGCTCCTTGCTGCCAAGTCTCTCCCCAAACCCGTCCCCCAGCCAAGCATCCACCAGCGGACGTAAGACAAAGACCAGACGTAAGACAAAGATCAGGCCATTCCTTGCGCCACCTGCTCCTGCCGCTCCTGCCACACATTTTTCCCCGAGCACGAGCACACCATCTTATCGTTATCCCACACGCCAGCACTGCGCGCGATCACCCCCACCAGGGTATCGGGGTCCTCACGACGGAAGGGCCCCTCCGTCGTCCGCGACAGCACCATACTGCGTCCGATCATCTCCCACACCGCCACCGGCCGGTCGAGGAACACGTTGCCCCGCCCCTTGTCGTCCACCTCCACGGAACCGAACACCCCACGCGGCGTCGTCGTCTCCTTGACCGACTCCTTCCCCAGCATCGTCGTCTTCACGGCCTCCCAGATGCCCCCCGTCGACTCCGCGCCCCGCGAAATATCGCCCGCCTGTCGCACCGTCGCCCAGTATTTGCCCGGTGCCAGCCCGTTGACGGTTAGGTCGACTAGCGTCAGGTTGGACGAGACCTGCACCATGCGCGCCAGTCCGCGGACCTTATTCGTGACGGCGGTCGAGTGCGTTTCCAGGATGCAGACGGCCGAGCCTATGTACCGGGGGTGTGCTCAGTATTCGGTTCAACAGGAGAAAGATAGGGAAAACGTACTGTTGGCGCTGCCGCTACCCCGCAGAATCGCGTCCCGTCCCGTTGCTTGGATGGCGGAGACGATCGAGCTAGGTGGCGCGGTGCCTTCGATGAAGACCAGCTGGTCCTTGAGGTTGGCGTCGACCTTGTTGATGCCTGCGACGGTGAGTCGGTCGGAAAGCTATAGACAGGCGTGTGACATACCGTCCAGCTTGCGAAGAGAGCTTGAGATGTCCTTGACGCAGCCCTCGCAGGTCATGGAGACCGCGAATGTAGTCTGGCGGTTCGCGTCAGTGAGCTCCGATGCCGGTGGCGGGGTTGGTGATGACATACCTGGAAGGGTTCAATCATCATGGACAGTATACAGTAAGAGGTACAGTAAATCTAGTCAAATATATGGTAGACCGACCGGGAGAGACGTAAGAAAGAAGCATGTAATATGGTGGGGAGAAGGAGCGAGCAGATACCGTTGGCGGGATGAAGGCGGGGAGCGATTTGAAATCAATCAGTCGATCGATCCGATCGCCGCACGAAGATAGCGTCACTTCCGAACGGCTTTCTGTTACTGCGCGTTCTCACTCCACCACCCACCACCCACTGACACATCTTATCCACAAACCCAGCATCAATAAAACCACCAAATCAAGAGAAGCAATTTCAAAAGAAAGAAGAGAGAGAGAAATGTCCTCCAAATCCCGCTGGGCGGAAGAAGACCCCGAAACAGAGGCCATCCTCGCCGACCGCAAACGCGAAAAGGAAGAAAAACGACGCGCCAAAGCTGAAAAACAGCGTCAACTCGACGACGCCAAAGCCAAAGCCCAAGCCCAGCTTCAATCCCAACAGAAACACCACCAGCAACAATCCGAACCCGGAGCGCCCCCAACCAAACGGCGACGACTGTCCACCGACGCGACCCCCGACGACACCTCCGTCAAATCCGCCAATGCCTCCGTGGCTGCCACCCGACTGCTTTCCTTCCCCACGGCGGAATGGGGCCCCTGTCGCCATGTGGACAATTTCGAGCGGCTGAACCACATCGAGGAGGGCTCGTACGGCTGGGTCAGTCGGGCCAGGGAGTTCACAACGGGCGAGGTCGTCGCGCTGAAGAAGCTCAAGATGGACAACTCTCCTGACGGATTCCCTGTGACTGGGCTGCGCGAGATCCAGACCTTGCTGGAAGCGCGTCACACCAACGTGGTCTATCTCCGAGAGATCGTAATGGGAAACAAGATGGACGAGTACGGCCCTCAAAGCACCCTTCTCCAAAAGTACAGATAAAACTAACAAGAATCAATAACCAGGGTCTACATCGTAATGGACTTCCACGAACACGACCTCAAAACCCTCCTCGACGACATGCGCGAACCCTTCCTCCCCTCCGAGATCAAGACCCTCCTCCTCCAGCTCCTATCCGGCCTCTCCTTCCTCCACTCCCAATGGATCATGCACCGCGACCTCAAATCCTCCAATCTCCTCCTCAACAACCGCGGCGAGATCAAGATCGCCGACTTCGGCATGGCCCGCTACTACGGCGACCCGCCGCCGAAACTCACCCAGCTCGTCGTCACCCTCTGGTATCGCGCTCCGGAGCTCCTCCTCGGCGCGGACCGCTACGGCGCGGAAATCGACCTCTGGAGTGTGGGCTGTATCTTTGGAGAGTTACTCTCCAAGGAACCGTTACTCCAGGGGAAGAATGAGGTGGATCAGGTTTCAAAGGTATCCCTTTCCCCCTTATATACAGTTCGAAACAACAATAATAACAATAAAACCAGATCTTCGCCCTAACAGGACCCCCCACCCCCCAAACCTGGCCCGGTTTCCGCTCCCTCCCAAACGCAAAATCCCTCCGCCTCCCCCCCTCCACATCCTCCTCAACAGTCCCCCCGGGAAGCACCCCCCTCCTCCCCCGCAGCAAATTCCCCTTCCTCACAAACGCGGGTCTCCGTCTCCTATCCTCGCTGCTGGCACTCAACCCCGCCTCTCGCCCCACCGCGCAGGAATGTCTTGCGCATCCGTACTTCAAGGAAGATCCGCGGCCGAAGCCGAAGGAGATGTTTCCGACGTTTCCGAGTAAGGCGGGGTTGGAGAAGAGGCGGAGGAGGGAGACGCCTGAGGCGCCGAAGAGAGGGCAGGAGGCGCCCAAGTTGGATTTCGCGAGTGTTTTTGGGGGTGGTGCGTCTGCGTCTGGTGGTGATACTGGGGAGACTGGCGCGGGGTTTACTTTGCGGGTGGGATGATTTATCAACAATCTTGTTTGGTGTCAAGAGAAGAAGATATAGTATATACGACATCAGGGATAGGATGTTGGTTCGCGAAGTTGTCGCGGATTTGGTCGCGGGATCACTCCCACGATATCCAATATCCAATTGATCTCCCATGGCGGGGTCAGTTCAATACATGTAAAGCAAAGGAACGGCCACAGGACAAACGCCCGTTAGAAACATGCTCAGCAAAACAAGCGACAGGAAGAGACATAGTGTCCGTAAAATATATGGTTCAGGTCAATCATGACGTGTCGACTTTTATACAACATCAAACATGCAAGTGGAGAGAGAATGAGTCAAGAAAAATAGTGTCGTTGCCAAATGGGGTACGTCGCCGCGATGTATTCATCGCTCGAATCGCTCCCGTCGCGATCGCCGTGATACAGCGGCAGATCAATAGTTGGAGGCCGTCCAGGGCCAATGATTTCAGGAACGTCCTGTGTCCGCGCCGACAGGCTACGGTCCAAACCGGGCCCGCTGTATAGACTGCCATCGCTTCGAAGCCGTCGCTCAGCCTTTGTAGGGCTCTGGCCCCGATCTGGATGGAGACCGCCTGACTTGCCGTCGACATAGAAGTACTCGTCTCGAAGGGATCGAATAGATCGAGCCGACAGCTTGTCCTCGTTTTCATTGGAGGCAATTACAGGTGGGTGTAAGGAACTGTTGCGCCTAGAATCCATTTCCGCAGGCACATCCTGCCCGAGATACTCCTGGGCTTGTTCCCCAAAAAAGTGACTATATTCGCTGAAGTCAGCTTGGTCCACAGGCGAGTCGTTGTCCTCATTCAACTCGTTCGGTTCGGCGTGGCTCTAGTCAGAATTAGCACTGTCTTCCCTGACTGAAGACATCAACTTACGCTACTCGATTGCACTTGCACATTCAATGGCTGGTTCTCTCCGAGATTCTCGGGGCTAGTGTCTAAGGGCTCTGCCCGTCCGCTTTCATACTCGGGTTTGGCAGCCTCGGGACTCTCATTGCGTGGCTGGTCCAAGAATATGACCGCGTCTGTTGGCATTCCGGCTTCGTCACCGTGGGAATCACTCGGTCTGGGAACACAGGCTCTTTCTGAAATGGGTTCTGACTGCTCTGGTTCGTCGCCGACCTCCTGGGTTGTTTCAGGGCTGGCCATGTCATGATGCAGCGGCGACCCTGACTCCGGGATAGGGCTATCGGCATGGGCCGTCAGACTGGGCGGCGATGAACCGTTGGGACTGCCCGAGGGTGAGATCAGGCTGACGGAATTGGAACCCGCCGGGCGACTAGCAGCTCCATTTGCATAGAAGCGACTCGAACCAGTACGACTCTCTACAAACGACGCTCCTGGTCCTCCGGTTGCCACACTTCGCACTTCATCAGTGTTTGCCGATGGACCGTCCCCCCCACATCCGTCCAGACAAAGATCGGACGGGTCCATCCGATCCATCGTCGATCTAGGGGAAACAAATATTTCCGGAGGCGAGATTGAAGCCCTTATGCTCATCATGTACTTTTCTATATCCCCGCGAGACGAAGAAGAGGAATAGTTGCAGCTGGTGCGATGCAGTCTGCTACCGAACTCATAGTCTTCCTCGGTGCTAGCATCCGAGACCGACGAAGGGAACGAGCCCTCCCGCTGGTCTAAAGACCCCGAAATCGGTTCAGCTCGCCATGTTGGGGGTACCTGAGAGTCGCTCCGTTCACCCAAGCGAGAGGTTCGTCTCTGCATGCCAGAGCGGAGAGCTCCCAGACCTAGTCGCGCCTTTTGGATGGATCTTCTAGGCAGGCTTTGCATCCAGCGGACGGAATCCTGGGGGCTCGGAGTCTGGAACAAATAGTAATTATCATTCATCCAGGATGACCGAGGCCCGGCCGGATTGTGTCGAGGATCCTGGGGGTCGAAGACCGGGTAGTGGGCGCTTTCCTCCCAGACGGGGGCCGGAGAGGGAGCCCTCGCGATTCTTGTCAGACTAGAATCAGTATAAGCAATGCCGAAGAGACACACACGGCAGGGTCCGATCCCACCTGAGTCTTTTGCTCGACCAAGAGCGCGACGACAGGGTCCGCCATCTGGTAACCCCGCCACACTCTTGTTCATCCACGACCATGCCGACCAGATCTCAGGGGTGTGCCACCAAGGAATTGACAGAAACCAAACGAATCAAATCAGGAGCGCTATGCGGGATGGGAAATGAAATACAAAAAAATCCTTTAATCTAGTTCAAACAATCGATCGGTGGACTGATACCGATGGAGCTAGCGAAGACCAGGGGCGGGCAATCGGGGGGGGAAGCTTCACCCTAACTTCACTTTAGAGCGGGTACATTCGCAATGTTGGACAGTGGACAGCATCGTTTATGGAAGGGGCTGGGTTGATCCATTTACTTCATCGGACCTACCCCTGCCCATGGCAATGTTTGTGTCTGTGTCTGCCCGTCCATGCTTTGTTCCAGCGCACCCCATGCATGGCTCCTGCCGCGGCAAGCGGGCGGAACGAGAACAAGTCTGGCTATTCGTGACCGGCTGGAAGGCTTCAAATCCTGACTGATAGACCAATTGATAAGTACTTTCAAGATGCGGTGAGAAGGTGAAGTGTCCTCGTGTCAAGAGACAGAAGTAAGGTGGCAAGTTGTTCCCGGTGATCCATCTCCGAGCTGTTTCACATCCACCAGTTGTCCTTTGACAAATGTCTCTCCGGGGAGATTCTGTATATCCAGTTGCAGGACCCCTTACATGGATGTGCTAACTAATTAATACTGTATAACTCGCCATTTGATAGAGGCCCAGTGCGATCTGTGGGCATATCTATAGATCATCATTATGTAGTGGAACCACAGCTTTCTTCGCCTAGGTGCTACCACTTTGATAGTTAGGGTATAGTACGGAGTACTATAGCAAGTATATGCTGGTTAGTATACACCATGGATGAACTGTAGTCACTTATGAATAATTGATATACACAAAGCTCACCTCTCTCTATCTCTATCTGTTTTTCTCCCACGAAATGGCTGTTGATCCTCAGATCGCAATCTGGTAGCCTGTACCACAATCTACTAATCTATGTTCAAACACCATGTGTTCTCAATAACCCCGACCTTAACAGTTTAACATCTCATAGACTTGTCACGGCTTTGTGATCATAGGAGCTCCATAGGAAGTCTGAAATCAAGCTTCTTCACTAAAATCCGCAGGATCGACCCGCGGATTAGGGTTTAGTCTAACTTTGTTATTCCCGCCTCTGGAAGCAACACCTCTATATCTATACATAGCACTGATCCCCACTATTGTGTAGGTATCGATTATGGCACTTGCATCTCTGAGGAGCGTATCCTGTTCTCTTATCATGCATCAACCATCAGTGGAAGAATCTACCTTAACCTAATGTCCGTCTGCAATCTCTACTGGACACCATTGGAGAAGGAGATTTCTCTGTACACTGGAACGCAAGCTCCAGGTCGTTGTATGCCGTGACGTCGAGCATTGTGTGCAGCCTAGTCACGAAGTATACGTCATTTCTCTGTTCGATTGAATGCTGCAACCATCTCTATACTAGCTCTGCTCGCAGAGCTGGACAGGTGACGGAAGAGCGTTCTTAGCTTACTCCCCTCCTGCTTTTGTAAGAACTTGACATGCCGTTCGCCAATGCGGCTTTCGTCTATCCCCATGGGCGTGATCCAAATACGGGATCGGCTGTCGGGTGATCCCCACGGTGACATTTGGTTCCTCTTCATGCTTATCAGCCATGCGGTGACCCTGCCGCTGAGGCGATGGCAGAAGTTGATGTTGGAGTTTTGTTGAGAGGTGGATTTTCCATTTCCTGTGCTTTGTACTGAGTCGTGGGTGCAATGGGGAGGTGGTGGGCAGTTTGGTTGACATGAAAGACAACCTGCGATGTTGGCAGAATATAGAAGGGTCGAAGCTAGTAGAATCTAGCGATCGCATGGACGGACATGGGGTTTGTAATAGAATTAAACTCGAGCCATTATAGACAACAGAACGGACATCGCATTGGCGGGTAGCATGTAAGATTGTCTGATGGTATAGATATTGTAGAGGGCTCAGACCGCCGCGAATATATAAGATACGCTATATTTGACAATAGTATACAGATAGACTCGTTTGTACTGTCAAGATCTGTCATTCAAGACGTTCATTTGGCCTCGGCTTTCCGAGGTGTTGGTGACTTGGAATGTTATGGAGACATGACAGAAGCTGTATTAATATATACGTCGAAGGAGATTAATATAAAACAAAACAATCAACGAACCAAAGAAGAAATGAGGGAAATAGAAACAAAATACAAAGTCGATATAAGCAATATGGAAGCGTCAGAATCAGGGACTAACCAATTGCAGATCCGGCTGGTCCACTTTCGCCCCCCCCCCCCATTGATCGATCCGATCCGCTTTTCCCTTCCAAGCTGCTTCTTTTCTTCATCCAACCCTCCGCCTCTTCGCCTGGCTCGTCGTCAACCCTTCGCATATCGCCTGTCTTTTTTTGTTGTGATTGATCTCTCTTGAGTGTTTTATTTTTATCGATCTTCGGTCTTCAACGCGCCTCCTAGACTTAGCCCCTCCCGTCATCTCTGCTATCATGGCCGCCGGCCAACAAGCCGTTTCTTTCAACGAAATCATCCAAGCTGGTATGCCGCTGCAGTCTGGCCGACACATACCAAATCCCTTTCTGATCAGTTTATTGTCTGTCAGGTCGCCAGAAGAAACGGAACGAAGAACTCGCCAGTCGACTCCTAGGAAAGAACCGACGCGCCAGCGCCCCGGGCTCGGGGGCGGCGGGCAAGAAAGCGCAAAATGCGACACCCGGCAGTTTGGCCAGTCGGATTGGTGTAGCCAAGGTAACGCTGGACCACCCAATTCACATGACCGCAATTTGAAAGGGGAAGAGTTGAAAACAGTCAGATCGCTGACTTCCCCTATCGTACGACCTCTAGCGCCCTGCCTCCGCAGTTTCCAAACCCAAGAAGCACACCCCGACCGCGTCGGCCCCCGTACCCAGCGCATCGTCGAATCGCAGACCCAACAATAAGCGCCGTCCGGACGAAAACCGTCTCTTCTCCGCCCTGAACCCCGCGAATGGACAGGCTTCCGTTCGTGGTCAATCGACCGGACTCTCCATCAAGGGTGCCGGTTCTGGGCCTTTCGTCGTTGTCGGGAGCAATTTCGCGCCGGGCACCACAGCTGCGGATATCCAGGCGGCCGTTGAGCCCATATCCGGACAGATTCTCAACTGCTGGGTGACGTCGCAGCACCCGACGGTCACCGCCGAACTTGCATTTGAGGAGAAATCGGCGGCGGAGAATGCCATCGCCAACTTCCACAACAAGAAGGTAAATCATCTGTCGACGCTTTGTCCAACCGGGGATTAACGACTTGCTAGGCGGATGGAAGGGTCATTTCGTTGCGTTTTCGATCAGCCGCCGCAGGCGGTGCACCCAGCCAACCCCGGGAACATCGATCTTCGGCCCAAAACTCGTTCAACGACCTCCGTGAACAGGCCGACCGAGACCGCCGCTTGCACCGGGCGGCAGATCCCGCCGTTCAGAATGGCAGCTACGGGTTCAACGATCAAAACGGCCTCGTCGGCGCCAACCGCGGCGGACGGAATTCCAGAGGCAATCGCTCCGCCGGGCGGGGTGGCCAAAATGCCGTCCAGACCAACAACGACCGTGGGCTCTACAGTGACGAGATGATGGTCGATACGCCATCGTATCCGTCGAGAGGTCGGGGCAGGCAGCGATAGGAGAAGCGCATTGGGCTTCGGTCTTATGTATCGAAAACCATGCACTGTCTGGCTATGAGGTCTTATGTTGGGTTGAATTCGCGGTGGACACGTTTCTGGCTTGGAGTAATCGTGCCTTGAGTATCACGACATGTATGTACCGGTATGGGGCGATCTGCGGCGTTTACCACCACACGTGGACCTCCCACAGCACCACCCACTTGGGTTTCATGTATCCTGCAGGTTGGTGGGTGCCTCATTCTGTCCCATTCTGTCTTTAGAATCTTGGCTAGACCTCATGCTCTAAGGTCAAACTTGGGTATTATGGCCATGGTTTCAGTGTGGGAACGAACTACAAGGCTACAGGGCGGGCGTGCTGTGGGAGACAATATGGCTGAGATGAGGTTGAGCGCTGGAACAGGTCCCGGAACGGGTGTCTTTATCTCTTCAATCTAACGAATTGTTTTGTATCATTAGCATAATGGCATTGATCGTATACCCTGCATCTTTAGTAACTAGCCCGACCAGCATACTACGCCGTATCACCGAGAAAACTCCTTGTATTGATTTCCTAGTGGAATATAGGCTCGTCTCTTGATGGCCAGCACGCAGCTCAACGCTGTATATCCAGTTGATATCACGTGGTATCACGTGTTACGGAACCGCGCTAGTGAAACCTCGCAACGGTCAAAAGTTCAAATCCCCACCAAAAACACGCCGATCAGCTCCCAAATGGGCGATCTCGAAAGTGATCATTTTTTGGCCGTTGCACAAAGTATCTCAGAATTCGAATCTAATAGCATGTCTCGAACCCTCTATACTAGCTAATTACAACGGTTCTATCATTTTCCACTAAATCACATTTTTCGTAGAGATATCTAGGAATAAAATCTACCGATCCGGCGGACACAACCCCTAGTAAATTGTATGGCAGCCCGTCCAGGTCACGTGGTCCATTAACAGATCGGGGAAAGTCACGTGTGCGGTCGTCCGCCCGAAGATTGTCCATTTTTGCTACTACTACAGCTTCACTTTGGCACACCCACTCTCCCTCCACCACCATCCAATCCCATTGATTGCAGGCACAATGGAGATGCACAGCCTTGCCCGATGCCTCCGCATGAGGCCGACGCCGTCGCTGTACAGCAACACGGTCCTCCGCAGCCAATTCGCCCTGCACAGCGGACCTCGCTCGTCCCTCCGGTTCGCTTCCTCCAACAGCCACAATAACAACTACAACAACAAGAGGAAGACGGCCCCATTCAACAACGCCACCGCACAACAGACCACCCCCGAACAGTCCGCCCCTCCCACGGACCCCACCAACCCCAGCTCCGCATCCTCCTCCAACGACTTCGACCAAATCCTCAACAAGCTCAACATCGGCGGCAACACCCTCGACACCGCCGCCGCCGCCGACCAGCCCCAAGCCGCCGCCGCAAACCCCGGCAGCAACCGCGGCGCCTTCCCCGACCACCTCTCCCTCTCCCGCGCGGTGGGCGCGTCCGCCAAAACAGACAACTACCGCAACCCGTCGTCGTCGTCCGGCGGCAGCGGCAACCGCCGTGTGGAGCTGAAGCTGGGCCCCACGCTCGGCCGCCAGGTGTTCGTTGAGCCCGAGCGCGGCGTGCATCTGCCGACTGCGCTGCGCTTGCTGGGCCACACGCTCCATCAGAATCGGGTGCGTCAGCAGTCGAATCGCCAGCGGTTCCATGTGCGGCGCGGGCAGCTGCGGAAGAATCAGCGCATGGAGCGCTGGAGGAGGCTGTTCCGGTTTTCGTTTAAGCAGACTGTTGGTAAGATCCAGAGGATGAGGGATCAGGGGTGGTAGATACTTTTTTTTCTTCTTGTTTCATTTGAGTCTTGAGTGTTTGTTGGTTGGTTGATGTTTTTGTGTCTATGTCTGGGTGTATCTATCTGTATTATTAGTATACTGTCTATGTATGGCCTGTTAGATTCGCTCTATTATCAAGGTGCCGTGCTCTATATTCTTTCCTTTGTTGTGGCTGATCATGTAAATGCGAATGATTCTAGCTCTATAAAACCTAGCTATCTGTACCAAACCTCCAACATCAACTGTCCAAAATATACTAAATAGGTACAGAGTATCCGTACACATGTGCAAATCTACCAATCACCCCGTTAATCCCTCTTCCCACTCATCACCCCCCCATATCCATTCCCAACAACACCCGACGTGCTCCCAGCAGCACCACCAACACCACCAACACCCACCCCAGCAGAAGAATACCCCCCATACCCATTCATCCGCCCAGCATTCCCATACGTAATCCCCACAGAGCCAGACTTCGCCCGGCCAGGAATAGCCCCCAAAATGCCATCCCCGCGCCACCCACCTCTCCGGCGGGCAACATTCCGCTCATAGTACAGCGCCGCCAGCGCACCCACGGACGCCGCCAGCGCAAAAAAGAACACCCTCGAAAAGAACCCAGACGATTGCTCCTCCCCGCCGCCCTCGATCGCCGACGCAGACGGCCACCCGATCCCGCGCCCGCCTTCAACCCAGCTCACATGGAACGTGAACGTCAGCGGCTCGCCGCGCACGACCTTCGTCCCGTGGCCTGCTGTCCACGGATCGCGCGCGTTCTCGGCGACAGCGGCGGCTTCCTTCTCGGTACCGCCGTCGGTGTCTTTCTTCTGCTTTTGAGCGGGCGCGGCGGGAATCTCCGCGTGGAGGAGTGTCTCCTCGAACTCCGGGATGGAGTACGCTGTGCCGGCGACGACGAAGCCCGGTCTGTTCTTGTTCTTGTTTTTCTTCTTCTTGTGCTCCTTCTTCTTCTTCTTTTTGTCGCTGCTGCCGTCGTGCACGCTGTCGATGTTATGCAGGAGCACGTTCATGTCTGTCCACAGGTGCAGGTGGCTGCGCTGCAGCGTGCCCTGCACACCGAAGGTAATGGGCGTGTAGCTCGGTCCGGAGCCGCCTTCACCGGCGTTCAACTGGCCTAGGGCGCTCATCGCGTCGGGTTCGTCGTCGTCGCCGGTGCGGCCGGGGGAGGGCCCGCGGTGGGGTGTGATGAGCGGCGCGGTGGGCACGCGACAGGCCATTGGGACGTCGGAGTGCACGTAGTACTCGAGGAGGTGGTAGAGTTCGTCGGGGACGGGGTCGATGGTGCAGCTGATGGTTTCGGTGACGCCGTAGCGGAGGGCAAGCGGGAGGAAGGTCTCGCTGCAGGTGGGGAAGGGGATGTATTGGAGTTTGCCGAGGTCGTCTGTAATCTGAATGTTTATTAGTTAGGTATTTCTTTGTTTCTTTCTTGCTATCCATGTTTTTGTGTGTGCGCATTGGTTGTTGATATGGCATGTTTATACCACCGGATAGGAGAAAACAAGGGGACGTACATGTTCGCCGGAGTCACTGCGACAGCCGATTAGCCTCTCTCCCATACAATCCTACAAAAATAGAAAGGAAAAACTCACATCGTCCGATTCAAGCACGTCACCGGCATCGGCTGCCCATAAGTATACCCAGTCCGACTATTCGCCAGGTCGCCGCTGCCGCCGCCCGCCATAGCCCCAGGCACCACCAACAGCGACGCAATCAACCCATAGCCAAACGCGATCGGGGAGTCAGCGATCGAACCGCCTGAAGAAAGCCCGCGCATGATTTCAATCTGTATCTGTGTGGCACAGCAGCCAGGGTGCCCCCGTTTCCCAAGAAAAGAACGTTCGTCCCCTGGTTGTTGGGATGGATAGTGAGGTGAAACAACACGGTGTTTTGCGCTTGGGTTGCGGCAAGGATTCTGGCACTTCCGACCCTTTTGGGTTTGGTGTCGGGTGTGCTCTCCGCGGGCTAGACTGGGCCTTGTTTTGGGGGGGGTACATATTTTCTACATCTTTGTTGGATGGCTGTGGTATTGTCTGAATTGATTATTGTCTGGATACTATAAAACTACGGAGTAGTTATTAGGATACGATCAATTGATCTACACGTCCGACACGTCACAGGCATTACATCGTCAAGTCATTTTGATTGGACGTATGCTCCATAACAGGTTATTAAACAGAAATATGGTCACTCATGTCCTCATCAGATATTCACGCTAGGGTTTTGAATTATTGTGTTTCTTTTTCCCACTACCGAATCGACCGTCGACGCTTATGACAGGTTGGACCTCTTCTTGAAGGCATACAGCAGGCCCCGGGTCGAGGCGTCGTGGTCCTCGCCCGCCCCCGGCGTCTCCAGCTCCTTCTGGATCTTCTTGGCCAGCACCTTGCCCAGCTCCACGCCCCACTGGTCGAAGGAGTTGATGTTCCAGATGGCGCCCTCGGTGAAGGTGAGGTGCTCGTAGTACGCGATCAGGGCACCCAGCGTCGACGGGGTGATCTTCTGGGCCAGAATCGAGGTGGTGGGGCGGTTGCCCAGGAACGTCTTGTGCGGGACCAGGTTGTCCGGCGCGCCCTCGGTCTTGACCTGCTCGGGCGTCTTCCCGACCATCAGGGCCTCGGACTGGGCCAGGAAGTTGGACGCCAGCATGCGCTGGTGCTTGCCGCCCTCGACGGGGTTGTGCGACTCGGCGGCCATGAGGAAGTCGGACGGGATGAGCTTGGTGCCCTGGTGCAGCAGCTGGAAGAAGCTGTGCTGGGCGTTGGTGGCGGGCTCGCCGAACAGGATGGGGCCCGTGGTGTACTTGACGTACTCGCCGGTGCGGGTGATGGCCTTGCCGTTGCTCTCCATGGAGAGCTGCTGTAGGTAGGCGGGGAACCGGTGCAGGTACTGGTCGAACGGAGACACGAGGTGCGTCTGGGCGCCGAAGAAGTCGCTGTACCAGACGCTCAACAGGCCACCCAGGATGGGGATGTTCTGCTCCAGGGGAGTCTCTTGGAAGTGCTTGTCCATGGCGTGGGCACCGGCTAGGAACTCGTGGAAGTTGTCGAAGCCGATGTAGAGGGCGACCGACAGACCGATGGCGCTCCACACGGAGTAGCGGCCACCTACCCAGGACTCGAAGCCGAACATGTTCTTCTTGTCAATGCCGAACTTGGTGACCTCCTCCTCGTTGGTGGACAGGGCCACGAAGTGCTTGGCGATGTGAGAGTCATCCTTGGCCGTCTCCAGGAACCACGTCTTCGCGCTGTTGGCGTTGGTGGTGGTTTCAGCCGTGGTGAAGGTCTTGGAGGCGATCAGGAAGAGGGTCGTCTCGGGGTCGGAGTGCTTGAGAGCCTCGGCGATGTGGGTGCCGTCAATGTTGGACACGAAGTGCAGCTTCATCCCCTCCTGGCCGTACGGCTTCAGGGCCTCGGTCACCATCACGGGACCCCTGGGTTGTCTTGGTGAGTAGTCTTCATGGTAAGTAGCCTGCGGAGGACTTACAGATCGGAGCCACCAATGCCGATGTTGATGATGGTGTCGATCTTCTTGCCACTGTAACCCTTCCACTCGCCGCTGCGAACCTGCTCGGAGAACTCCTTCATATGCTCGAGCACGGAGTTGACGTCTTCGACAACACTCTTGCCATTGACGTGCATGGGCTGGTTGCTGACGTTGCGCAGAGCGACATGGTAGACGGCGCGGTCCTCGGTGAAGTTGATGTGCTCGCCCTTGAACATGGCATCCCGGAGCTCCTCTACCTGGGCTTCCTTGGCCAATTTGACCAGCAGGGCCAGGGTGTCCTCCGTGAGGAAGTTCTTGGAGTAGTCGAAGAGAATATCCGAGTTATCCACCGTGTTGGAGAACGTGCGGCTGAACTTGTCGAAGCGCTGGGGGTCCTTTTCGAACTGCTCCTTCAGGACGATGTTCCGGCCCACAGCATTGTGGTGGTCCTGGAGCTCCTTCCAGGCCTGGAGATCGGTAGCCTGCGAGAAACCTGGCATGATCACTATTGTTTCTTTAACCTTTGCGGGAAGAGAAAACAGGTGGGGTCAGCTATCAGAGCTCTACTCGCGACGATGGAGCTTCCACGAGGGTAGAAACGGGAATCTCTACTCACCTAGTTATCTGTAGAATAAGAGAAAGAGGGGTGAGGATTCAGGAGATAGTAATGTAAGAAGAAGAAAGAAATAACCAAGAGACTTGCAGAAGAAAGATGAGGGCCGGATGACGGTTGCGGGTAGAAAAAGGTATGGCGTCAACGTCCGGTGTGTTGCGGTCCGGATCCATGGAGGGGCTGCGTGGGGCCCAATTAATTCATCTTCCTCCCACGCCATGATCCATGATCCATGACTACATGCTCTTTTCATGGTACCTGGAATACCTGATTTCCTGCTGGAATTTGTCAACCTGGTTGTCATGGTCCCTTCTCTGTCCCTCTCTACTCGCCCTGGTCGGTCTGTTTTTTCCAACCCCTGTCCATCTTCATGTCGGTCAAAGGTCATCTGAACGACGGATTTTATCTTGATCTTGTCAATTGACTTTCCAACCGGTTTGTCATCCACTCGACTCCCCACCGGATAAATTCCTCAAGCAACAGACGTTACTTGGTCTTTGTCTACGGACTGGGCGGATATTGGGCACCGTCACGGCCCGCATCCACCAAGCCCTGAGCCACCAACTTGCTATCTGTCGACTGACTGGCGAACAATCAATATCTCGGATTGGTCAACCAGTCTTCTCATCGCCGACCCCAGACAAAGTGCATCCTACCTGGTAGGATTTTCAACGGGTTGCGGTGTCTGTTTCTGATCTAGAGCCAGCGATATTACCCCTGTGGGACGGATTTAAACTCTTGGCTAGAGTCAGGTTTCTTCTCGCCTTTAGTCACCATTGTTCGACAATGGTGTAGTCCAAGCTGGGGGCTCAGGATCTTGTTCTTTTTGGTCTTGGTGTTATATCTCCCGGTATCTTCGCACCGACAGATACCATCCCAGAGCACGAACAGGTCCTCGACTTCGAAAGCATCCTCTCGAGCTTGTGGTCGTTCTTAAAGTAAGCCCGTAGACTTGTACGATCTCACAGGTATCAGCTGCAGGCAATTCTGGCCTATTAGCTTTCCTTCTGTCCCTTGATACCGATTAGTTATGGTCTGTATTGGGTTGACATATCGATTGAATGAACAATGCAACTATCAAGTAGTCAATACTGTGATCCTGAAGCCATGTAGATCTCCAGAAACAGTCATCCATTGATATCCGTATTGATCTGGACAGCGCCAAGACCCAGCACGGACCACCGGGATTTTCCAGCTTCAAATCCGCCCGAAACTGCTCTGCGTCTCTTCCCCAGACACCCATCCCCTCTTTCCACCCCGACACGCCTTGTCTTCTTTTCGTGGGTGTCATTTTCCTGGATTAATAGCAGTGACTTAGAGTCAACAAGTGCTGCGTACTTCTCCCTCCCATCAGGGGTCTATCGCGGTCTTTTTTCCAATCTCATCTGCCCCGATCGCGTGCGAAATCTGTCGCAATGTACAATCCTTACCAACGTGAGTCTGATCCGCCTGGTCTTAGATTTGTATGAACGTCTTCCATCATATACTGACATGACTCGAAAGCTCCCGGCATGTATGGCCGTCCACCAGACTTCGGAGCCTATCCAGGTGCACCTCCAGGAATGGGTGAGTCCCATCGATCGCTGACCTCTCCCCAGTACCAAGCCTTGGAAACTGACCAGCCAGCTCCTCCCCCCGGTATGGCTGCCCCCGGAATGGCCGCTCCTGGTACCGCGCCGGTGCCGGGGATGCAGCAGGCGAACGCCCAGCAGCCCGGCCGACCCGCGGGTTTTCCCGCCAATTTTCAACCGCCCCCAAACATGCCCAACATCAACTTCTCGGCCCCCGTCATCCGCCTAGGTACATCGGGACCGGCCAAACCAGCGACTCCGGAAACCAGCAACCAGCGCGGCGGCGATGGCCCGGGACGACGCGCCGGTCTGGGTTCGACCAACGCGGATTCACAGCGCCAGAATGTGCGAGACGCCATGATGCAGCTCCAGCCACCGACCCGTGACGAGATCGTGCGAACAATATTCGTCGGAGGGATCACCGACGGCGTCGGCGGCGACGAGGGGGTCGAGAAAATCCTGCGGTCGGCGGGAAATCTTCGCCGCTGGATCCGTGCGACGGACGCGGACGAAAAACCGTGCAAGTTCGGTTTCGCAGAGTACGAGGACCCTGAAAGTCTAGGTACTGCTGTGGAAGTACTAAAGGACATTGAAGTGCCTGTGAAGAGACAGTCTCCGTCAAAGGAGGCTGACAAGGAGGACAGCGACATCGAGAAAAGCACGTTGCTGGTATGCACTATCTATTACACCTCTCCTAAAAAGATGCTAATCTTGGTGTCAACAGGTCGTTGTGGACGAAAACTCTACGAAATACCTCGAGCAATACGAGAACAGCAGAGGCGAACAGGATCCTGCTGAACGCCAATCCCGGATCGATGCGGCTCGCGAAACCCTTTCCGGCGTACTGTCGCACATGTTTCATCCTCCCTCTCCCGCCCAGAAAGAAGATGGCTCGGGTATCGATCGCGAAGGTGACACGGCGATGCAGGATGCGGAAGGACAAAACGACGGGACCTCGGCTGAAGTCGTCACGATCCCCATCACCGTGGAGGACGAATTATCCGATATTCCTGCGGGCATGAGAGAAACGGTCGCCAAGGAAATCGCTGCCTTCCGTGATCGTAGCAATCGCAGGGATATTGAGCGCCTCCGGCGCGAGGAGGAAATTGAGTCCATGGAACGAGCTCGCAATGCAGGCTCGCGACCGAGCCGAATGTCCTCTCCCCCCGCCGCCGCGCCGAGTGGGCCCGCCGCCGGTCCGAATGGTATCCCTCTCGGTCCCCGGGACCGCGGGACGCCTAGCGCACCGACTGGACCCAAGGGTTTCGGAGTGCAGATCCCCAAGGACTACCAAAAGGGAGTATCTTTCGTGAACGGAGGATCCATGAACGGTGGACCGTCGGTGCACATTGACCGGGAAGACGAGGAGTCTGACGCGAGCGACGAAGAGCTCGAGCGGCGCCGCCAGGAACGGAAGGAAGCCGAGCAAGAAAAGCAATTCCTCGACCAAGAGCGACGGTGGTTGAATCGCGAGCGGAGCAGAACGGCGGCTCTCGAACGGGAGAAGAAGCGGGACAAGGAAGAAGACGGCCGGTTGCAGGAAGCGAAGGAAGACATGGACCGGCGACTCCGGGACTGGAACGACGACATGGAAGCGAGCCGCAAGGTCCACGACTACTATGCCGACCGTGGGGCTTGGCTGCGCAACCGCGCTGCCTTCCGATCCCGCGAAGTCAGCATGGACGAGGCGGACCGCGCGGCCGAGGACCGCGAGCGCGCTCGATCCGTCCAGCAACGCGAGCAGGCCCGTGGCATGGCGGACGACTTCCTGGCGCGCCAGGCGGAGGAGATGGAGACCCGGCCCCAGGCCCAGGCCCCGAGAGAACCCCAGCGCTTCAAGCTGTCGCTCGGTGCAGCGGCCCAAAAGGCCCACGCCGCCACCCACCGTCGCACCGTGGCCGAAGTCGAAGGGCTGTTGGAAGACGAGGAGGAACCCGAGGCCACGGCCCGACGACCGCTCATCCCGATCAAGTTCGACAGTGCCGCCGAAGCCGCGGGGCTCACCGAGGAAGAGCGCGCCCAAGCGGTGCGACAGCTCGCAGCGGAGATTCCCGCCGACAAGGAGGGATTGTGGAACTGGGAGGTCAAGTGGGAGTTTGTGGACGACAGCATTGTCAGCGAACAGCTCAAACCCTTTGTGGAGAAGAAGATCATGGAGTATTTGGGAGTGCAGGAGCAGATGTTGGTGGATGTGGTGGAGGAGCATGTGCGACAGCATGGCAAGCCGCAGGAATTGGTCGAACAACTCGAGATGGTGAGTTCCTTTAATCTCTTTGTTTGGTTTATTTCTTTCTTGGGGCTTCGAATTGCTAACTTGACAACTTTAGGCACTGGACGAAGAGGCCGAGGTACTGGTGCGGAAGCTGTGGCGGATGATCATCTTCTTCTCGGAGAGCGAGAAACGAGGGCTCTCTGGATAAACATGGATTGCTTCTCACGGGGATCAGTTCGAACAGTTAAAGACCATTCCTCACGGTTTCTCGCTGGTTTTCCCTGGAGCATGGCGAGGCAGGTCACCGGATCTAATTACGTTAGTCTATCTCATACGCATATTGTACGTTTAAGGGAAGCTCCAGTATCATGAATAGCATAGGGGGGTCATTTCTTTCTCGATTCGTCAACATCCACCATTAGAACTAGGTACTTTTATGCTTTCGCGAGGCTTGAGTATGGTGATTATCGAATGAACCCGTTGATGAACCCTGACTGCGGGGGTCAGTGTCGATCATACTACTTCCTGACCGATGCCTTCCTGCTGTCACTCATCTACAAACTCTTCAACCGTAATGTATATACATACCACCGTAGACCTATACACTATCAAAGGCAGAAGGAATCTAGACAGGTCATCCAGGACCCAACCAGTGTGCTCAAGTCGGAGATAATCCGACAGTCCCCAAACTAGACATCAATGGTGGAGAAACCCACGCCATGCCCGGAGCCAATTATCCCATCAATCAGCAGGTCCCTTCCCCACAGAACCCTAGAGGAATCGTGGAGAAACAGTGAGCGTCTCCCGCGCATTAACCCCGATTTAGCCTGCTTGATGAGGGGTGTCTCTGCCATATAATTGCTACTGTCCCACTCGGCTGCTGCTACGTTTCATTCTTTTGCGGTTTGAGACGAGGTTTATGCGGATTGGAAGTTCACAGTGTGTGTTACTGAAGAATTCATATTGGATGTTAATGAAGTAGTGTGCAGTTGTGTGGTATACTTCTTGCGTCGTCAACACCCCGCGTCAATCGAATTCAGTCTCCTATCCAGACAATATGGTGAAGATTACAGGCTTCAGTACCCGGGATGTCCGGTTCCCGGTGAGTTTGCTCTGATTGCGCAGTGCTGTTACTGTGTCACTAACGCGCGAACAAGACATCTCTCGACAAGACGGGCTCCGACGCCATGAACGCAGCGGGCGACTACTCCGCCGGCTACTGCATCTTCCACACAGACTCCGACCACGAAGGACACGGCATGGTGAGATACTTCCGACCCTACCTCAAGTCCCAATCTAGCTAATACCTCAACAGACATTCACCATCGGTCGAGGCAACGAAATCGTCTGTGCAGCCATCACCCTCCTGGCCCCCCTCGTCGTAGGCAAAGACCTAGACGACCTCACCTCCGACTGGGGCCAAACATGGCGGTACCTCGTCTCAGACAGCCAACTGCGCTGGATCGGGCCCGAAAAAGGCGTCATCCACCTCGCCCTGGGCGCCGTCGTCAACGCCCTCTGGGACCTGTGGGCCAAGACCCTCGGCAAGCCCGTCTGGCGCATCGTCGCGGACATGACCCCCGAGGAGTTCGTCCGCTGCATCGATTTCCGCTATATCACTGACGCTTTGACGCCTGAGGAGGCTATCGCTCTTCTTAAGGAGGTCGAGCCTGGTAAGCAGGAGCGTATCCGTGAGGCGGAGCAAAGCCAGGCTGTGCCGGCTTATACGACCAGTGCGGGATGGTTGGGGTACAGTGAGGAGAAGATGAAGGCGTTGCTGAGTGAGACGCTTGCGCAGGGGTACCGCCACTTTAAGATCAAGGTGGGAGGAAACCTCGAGGATGATAAGCGGCGGTTGCGGATCGCGCGCGAGGCGATCGGTTATGACCAGGGAAATATCCTTATGGTGGATGCCAACCAGGTATTACACCCCCCATATACACCCTACCGCTACCGTATAGACCGAGCTAAACCAACAAACAATACAGATCTGGTCCGTCCCCGAAGCCATAACCTGGATGCAAGAGCTTTCGGAATTCCAGCCCTGGTTCATCGAAGAGCCCACCTCCCCAGACGATATCCTCGGCCACGCAGCGATCAAAAAGGCCCTATCACACACCCCACACGGACCCATCGGCGTCGCCACAGGCGAGATGTGCCAGAACCGGGTGATCTTCAAGCAGCTTCTGCAGGCTGGCGCTTTGACAGTGCTGCAAGCAGACGCGTGTCGGGTCGGCGGCGTCAACGAGGTTCTCGCCATTTTGCTGCTAGCGCGCAAGTTCGGCGTGCCGATCGTGCCGCACTCGGGCGGCGTGGGGCTGCCGGAGTATACACAGCATTTGAGCACGATTGACTATGTGGTTGTGAGTGGGGTGAAGAGCGTGCTGGAGTATGTGGATCATTTGCATGAGCATTTTGTGCATCCGAGTAGTGTGCGCGAGGGGTACTATGTTACCCCTATGGAGCCCGGGTATAGTGTGCAGATGAAGGGGGAGAGTATGGATCGGTTTGCGTTCCCTGGGGAGGAGGGGAAGAGTTGGTGGAGGGGGGAGGAGGCGAGGGCTATTTTGGAGGGGCCGCGGGTTTGATTGGAAGATTTTTAGACGGGGGAAATATGTTAGAATTGATTTGATTTGGAGTAAATGTGTGGTATTCGTAAATGTTCATTCTATGGTACAAGCGAATAGTGGCCAGGGATAGTAGCACTGGCTTGGAGAACACTGGATCGAGTCCGGTTTGCTCTTGGGAATCCCTCGGCTAGTCTCCCGCCGGGGTATGTATACAAAGATGAGGCACGCTTCCATGACATCTTACTATCCGACCGCAGTCTCCTGGGTCTAGATAGCCGTGGAAGTCGAGTCAGTACCTGTGCCGATATACTGACAACTGCTCATCCGACATCAATGCTTATCGCCATTGAATGCCGAAAATCTTCAGCGCCTTGCCCACGCCAGGCTTGTCATGGGCTTGCTCGAGAATCAAACGCGAGTGGCCTTTCAAATATTAGTATAGAATACACATAATGTACAAAGAAGAGCATACCTTTGGCATCCAGCGCAAGAAGCTGATACTCCCACTCGGACTTGTCGAGCGGCTTCATCATGTGCACGACAACGACGCCGGAGTTCCGCGGTCCCGCAACCTGACGACAGTTAGATCCCTCCGTTCATTTCTCCGCAATCAACGGTGAATCTTACATGGAAGTTCATCCGCAAGTGTTCACGGCCCAGGCGATCCTTCTCGACGGTTGTCCTTTACACCAGGCAGGTTAGCCACGTCCACCACACATAACCCAAGGAAAACGATAAACATACGCAATAGGCCGGTTCCGCGCCCATCGGCTCCAAGTATTCTCGCCAAAAGCCGTAATCTCGCGCCGGTCTCCCAGCAAATCCGTACAACGGGGATCGTCCTTGATGCGCTCGACGGCCTTTTCAAACTGCCAAGTGCGACTATTGGGCGAGAAGACCTCTGTGTAGAGAAGGTAAAACACGCCGCCCTATTATTTCACCACCGTCAGCTTATTATCCTAACTGGCGTGAGGTCCAGGAACAGTTGAGTCGTACAGTAAGCGCGGCGCCGACCAAAATAACGGCGAAATTGACCGACTGCTGCGTTGCCCGCGCGACCTTCTCCCGTCCGCTCAGCTCCCCCCATTCATACCGGCCGTCGTCGGACAGCACGGTGACATTTCTCCTCCGCGGGGAGGGCGTCGCTCCGGGCTGTTGGCCCATGTCGCGGTAGGTGGCATAGCTGCGCGCGAGGTCGGCGGTGCGGGGAAACCGAGTAGAAGCAGCAGCAGGGCGCAGTAGAAGGACACGCGAGGCCTGTGCGGAAAAGGGGCGAAGAGAGAGACTCATAGCGACATTGCAGGAAGGGAAATGGGTCGCTTAAATGACATGGATGGGAGAATAGTAGAACTCAGGACGATGGGAGGTATCTCAAACAGTCCAGATGAATCCCGAGAGGTTCTTCTCCATTTCCCGAAATGGAACGTTTTGGTCATTTTTCACAGAATGGAAATAAATTACGGGCAGATTGGCCTCACCGCCCACCTCCCGCCGGATACGGTCACGTGGATGACTGCTTGCGGTGGAATCATTCCGGGTAATGAGTAATTTGCAATACATGTTTAGGACAGCCCCCGCAAAAGGGGTCTGGATCGCAGCCAAGCCGTGCGTCATGTCGTGTAATTTGCAAGACGGAGACTGCCAATCCATGGGTGGATTTCCGACCACGTTCGACCCTCCTTCTCGACCCGATTTGATCTCCATATTATCTTGTTCGCTCTCTGGTTGTTCCCAGCGTTCCTTATTCTGACTTCTGTCATCTTCTCCTTTTCCCTCCTCACTTCGACTCCCCCACAACACCACCCTTTCTCGGTCTGTTCGTTATCTTTCCGGTCTCTCTTGTTCTCTCCTCTTCGTTATGGCTGCCTCTAAGGCCGAGTCTCAAAAAATCTTCGAGAAATTGAAACTGAAGCCGGCAAACAAGGTACCCCTCTTCGCGCCCCTAACAATACCACTTCGCCATCTGGGACGGTCACGCTGATTTTTCTACTCCCAGGTCTGCTTCGATTGTGGCTCCAAGAATCCAACATGGTCGTCCGTTCCGTTTGGCATCTATCTGTGCCTGGACTGTTCCTCTAACCACCGCAACCTGGGTGTCCACATCTCCTTTGTTCGCTCCACGAACCTCGATCGTATGCTCTCCGCGTTCATGGCCATTTTATATCTCCCGTGAAAAATAGACTAACACGTACAGAATGGCAATGGGATCAGCTGCGGACGATGAAGGTCGGTGGTAATGAGTCCGCTACCAAATACTTCCAGTCGCATGGGGGCTCCGCTGCTCTGGCCAGCAAGGACGCTAAGGTCAAGTACACGTGCAATGCCGCGAACAAGTATAAGGATGAATTGAAGAGACGCGCCGCGGAGGATGCCCGGCAGTGAGTGCTCCTAGCAATCAATTAAAGGTCTAGGAACTAACCGCATGCTCACCGCCAGGTTCCCTGACGAGGTCGTGGTTGACGTTCCGGCTGGTACCCCGTCCAACGGCTCCAACACCCCCGCGGAGGCCGACGACGATTTCTTCTCCTCGTGGGACAAGCCCTCGATCAAGCGCCCGAGCAACCCTCCCTCCCGCACGGGCACCCCGCCCGTCGTCGGCCGCACGTCGTCGCCCTTCCTGAACGCGGGCGCAAACGGAAACGGCACCACCCGCTCCAAGTCCCCCCTCTCGGCCTCCGACAAGGAATCTTCGCCCGCCCCGGCAGCCATCAGGTCGAGCGCGAGCGTGCGGAAGACCGCGGCCACAGGCACCGCGAAGAAGGCCAGCGTCCTGGGCGCTAAGAAGGCCCCCAAGCTTGGCGCGAAGAAGGTCGTCGCTGCCGACACAATCGATTTCGACGAGGCCGAGCGCAAGGCGAAGGAGGAAGCGGAGCGCATTGAGAAGCTGGGCTACGACCCCGAAGCTGAACAGGCTGCGGCGGACGCCAAAGCGGCCGCGGCCACCGCCGCCAAGCCCATCGCCGCCCCCTCGCCCATCAGTCCCCCCAAGCCCAGCTTCGGCGCGTCTCGGTCGTCGCAGGACCGGAACTCGAGTGACGTGGAGCGTCTCGGAATGGGCGTTGGCCGGCTGGGATTCGGCCAGACATTCAGCAAGAAACCGGTTGCCCCGAAGCTGGGCTTTGGCTCGGTCGGTCCCGTCGGGGCGGTCAGGACCGCAGAAGATGGTGAGCCACTTTCACTTCCCATTTGGTCGAAAATACCCAAGATCCACTAACCAGGTGTGCCTTGTAGATGCGGAAATCCAGCAGAACACGACACGATTTGGCCAGCAGAAGGGCATCTCGTCCGACGAATTCTTTGGCCGCGACCGTTTCGACTCCAATGCCCAGTCCGAGGCCAAGGAGCGGCTTCGTAACTTCGATGGTGCGACTGCCATCTCCAGCAACACTTACTTCGGGCGACCAGAGGACGAATTGCCTATGGGCGACGACACCTACGGCGATCTGGAAACGGCAGCCAAGGACTTTGTGCGCCGCTTCGGCATCACGGCCGGTGACGATCTGGAGAATCTGTCGAATCTGGTGGGCGACGGTGCGGTGAAATTGCAAGGTATGTCTGCCTCGCTGGTTGTCACAACCCTCTACTAACCCATGACACAGGCGCCATACGGAGTTATCTGAACAGCTAGATGATTGAGAGTTCGCGCCTTGCATACCGTACCGTACCATACCATACCATATTCCATTGGCCAATTGATTCTATATGGCGTTTGTTTTATCCTTTGCTCTTCTCCTCTTTTCTTTCCCTATATCCCTCAATGAGTTAAATCCGCCATGTCGACCGCGCCCATTTCCTTGATAGGTAGATTCCTCGCCCAACAAAGAGGAATCACACACCTCCGCCGGCCATCATCCTGATTAAATGTCCCTGCGCCTCCCCACTTGCTAATTTTCTCTCCGTTCTACTTATCGGTTGCGATTGTTCCCTAGCGTCAATACAAAAATCTTCGTCCCGTTACGTTCAGCAGTCAGTCCGTCTATCTTTGTGGGTGACGTTGAGTTGAGTTGAGCTCTGATCTGAGTTGGGTTCGCTTCTTGTATATCTTTTTCTTTTTATCTTGTTTCTTTCGCTCTGTTTTTGCTTGGTTTGTGTTGTTTTGTTTTGCTTGCTCTGCTTGTTGTGAGTAAAGCCAGTTAGGTAGTAGGTAGGGAGGTAGATGGTAGGTAGTGCTGGAGTTTTCGTTCCTTATTATCTGTTTTGGACGAGGTTGCAATATCTAGACTTATTACTTGCTTCTTCTTTTCCTGTTTATTCGTAGAGCCCATTTCGAAAGTAATAGATTATAGTATGCAGTAGTGTTATATTCATTAGTATGGTAATGATACATTCTCTATACGACATTGTTGAAATATCTACACCCTCCCAAACCCTCCCTATCAAACAAAACCCAGATGAAGACACACATCACCCCCTATAGATCGCATCCGCCACCTTCGCAACCTGCCACATCTCACGCACATCATGCACACGCACGATATCCGCCCCGCCAGCAACACTAGCCGTGACAGTAGCAGCCGTGCCCCAAGAGCGCTCCTTCGCCGTCCGCACACCCGTCAAGCTACCGATGAAGCGCTTGCGACTCGGCCCCATCAGCCACGGCAAGCCTTGCAGACCATGCGTGCTCGTGCGCAGCGCGTGCAGATCGCGCAGCAGAGCCAGGTCCTGAGGCTGGTTCTTGGCGAATCCGAGACCCGGGTCCAGGATGATGCGCCAGCGGCGGATGCCGGCTTCTTCGGCGTCGGCGATGCGGGCGCGCAGCTCGGCGCCGACGTCGGTGATGACCCCGTTGGGGTAGTCTGTTAGCTTGGTCATTGTTGAGGGCGTGCCGCGCATGTGCATCAGGATGATGGATTTGCCGGTCTTGGCGGCTGTGGGGAGCATGGCTGGGTCGAGTTGGCCCGCGGAGACGTCGTTGATTATGTCCGCGCCGGCGGCGCAGGCTTCGGCTGCGACGCGCGCGCGGTATGTGTCGATGCTGATGGCGATGGGGGATGCTTCGGGGATGGTGGTCCGGATGTGCCGGATTGCGGGGATCACGCGGGCGAGTTCTTCTTCTTCGCTGATGGGGGTCGAGCCGGGGCGGGTGCTTTCACCGCCGATGTCGATTATGGTGGCGCCTGCGGCGATGAAGTCGCGGACTGTGGTTGTGAGGGATGCGAGGTCGGTTGGGGAATGGGTGCCGCCGTCGGAGAAGGAGTCGGGGGTGAGGTTGAGGATTGCCATGATGTGGGTTGGGCGCGCTGTGTCGGTGGCGTGGAGGGAGCCGAAGGTGGGAGAGATGGGCGTCGTTGCTGTTGGGGGTGGGTGCGGCGGGGCGAGGGATGCCAGGTGCGATTCGTAGGTGGTTGTGTGGTCTGGGAAGGGGGGTACTTCGTGCCCGATGAGCCTGGTTGAGTTGTGGTTAGCTGGACTGTGGTTGAGGCTGGATGGTATGTAGAAACGTACTGGCACAGAGGTCGGAGGACGAAATCTCGCTCGAGCATCAACTGGTGTGGGATGGTGAGGCGCTCGTTGGAGAAGGTTTGCTGGTCGTAGAGGAGGATGTCTAAATCAATAGATCGCGGCCCTTTGTCGATCAACTTCTTCCTCCCAAGTGCGATCTCAATACCCTGGAGTGTATCCAAAAGCTCCATCGGGCCCAAGCTGGTTTCGACCTAGGCGAGGTCAGTTGGGGTGATCGGTACACTACCGGTGGAGAAATTTTTTTACCTCACAGACGCCATTGAGGAACGGATCCTGGTCGAGGACATACATGGGCGCCGTCTCGTAGAGGGAGCTTGTGCGTTGGACCTTGACGCCCACCCGGTCCATTTCAAGACACGCTGCCTCGATCATGTCGACACGGTCCCCGACATTGCTCCCGAGAGCAATGAATGCTCGGTGGGACGGTGGCTGCACAGGGCCCATGCTGGAATTGGATCTGGCTATCGGGCTGTGGGAGAAATTTCGAATGTGGGATATTGTTGGAGGAAATTTGCTAGCGCCATCTGCCCGGGAAGACGGAATCTGATTGCTATCCTTCTGAACCGCTCGTCGCAGCCCTGGATGTGTGGATTAGCCGGGAGTGTCGAATGGCATTGCGTTATTCTGTGCCATACATGAGACAACAAAAGCCATTTGCCGGATGTACAGTATATTACGGACGTCTCAGAGGAAGTGTATGCGTACCATATACAGACAGATTTCTACCAGATGGAGACGGTTAGATTATGATATTTGAGCGCAGATCAGATTGAGGGGACCTGCCTCTTGCCCAGATCTCGACTGCTATTCATGACAATTGGGGAACGAAGACTAATTCGCGGAGAATACCACGAGCGATAGCCACCAACGGCGTGGTTCACAGGGGCAGCGGTACCATGCCAATTGGAAGCTGACCCAAATCGCATACTTGCAGAGGTGAGAATGGAGTGAAGCGCTGCGGGGTGTTGCACGCCGGACGGGAAAATATATTCGATACGTCATGTGCTTCTTATGTCATCCGTTCTGCTTATGTCAACGGATTATGATTTTGTGCATGTGCAATGTATGTCAAGATGGCATTCGCCTGAATTTTGCTGAAGAATCTATACTTGCAAAAGCAGCCATGTTCAACACCAACAAACCACGGCAGGTCCATTGGGCATCTTGATGCTCGACACCTTCGTCTTCTTGCAGGTCGTCAACCAGGGGAAGTACGCAGAGCTAGCCTATCTTAATCTCGATCCTTCGTTTCGTTGTCGCATTGACAATGATCCCAGCCTATATAAGAGGATATCAGACAATATGTTTATCCTCACAATCCAGAATTCCCCACTGAGAGACAACTCCTAATCAATAATCATCTTTCCTACAGAAAGATTATTCGATTACTCATCTAAATGCTCTACCAAGGGGTATCTCCCTAATTTTTGGGGCCATTCCTATTCCGGTGGGAATCAGTATCCGACTCGTTTCCCGAGTCGTGAGTTCGGAGCTCTCCGCAACAATACGATGCTGGTGGGGAAAAGCTAAGAGCATTCTTTCCTGGCCAGAATCGGTTCGTTTGCTAGGAGCAGCTGTCAACGTATAGAGCGCGTTGGCGGGTCTTTCATCGGGATGTGGTATGGTGTCCGATTTCGGCTATTCTCGGCATTAGTGATGATGTATATACACCATGAGAATGATGGAAACACTCTCAATTACCCTTGAATAAGCCACTTGATTATAGTAGTAATACTTCGAGTACACCGTTTGCCTTTACAATGTTTACTCGGCTAGCCTTGGAAGGTGGTCCCCAGTCCCAATCTTGGATCGATCCCTATTTATAACCGTTAGTCAGTGGAACCAAGCTGGTCAGTGCGGTCTCCATGGACAGGTACACTGATTGATAAAACTCTCAACATGATAACAGGATATGTCCTACACTGTATGTTTATGTAGTACTGGATTGACAGGGTAGCCCTCTGGCAGCCTTTGTGCCTAGAATGGAACCCCCTGTCCTGCTGCCTCAGGCACCAGAAACCCCGCTCCGTGATCACTGATCAGGCGATTCGGCAAAGCCGATCAGGTGGAATTGGAAAGCCTCGGTTCTTTTCCCTCTGTTGATGCTTCGCCCTCGGTCCCGCCCGTCTCCCCCTTCTTCTTCTTATTAACCTCGCTCCATCGTTTTCCTTCCTCCTACCCCGGATTTTCCTTCATCTCTCCATCTCTTCTCCTGTTATCTCTCCCTTCTCTACCATTTCAGGTTTCCACTCATCACACATCCATCATGTCTTCTCCTCGTAAGTTCCTCCCCATGGATTTCTCCGCACGTGCCACAGCGCCCGTGGAAATGAACCCCGACACATGGCAGTGGCAAGAGACCCCATATTGACGAGTCACCTTCGCTAGAACAAATCCGCACTCCTCTCACGGATCTGCTCAAGATCCAGCATCCCGTCCTCCTGGCCGGTATGAACGTGGCTGCCGGCCCCAAGCTGGCTGCTGCGGTCACCAATGCCGGTGGTCTCGGTGTCATCGGTGGTGTCGGTTACACCCCCGAGATGCTCCAGGAGCAGGTCGATGAGCTCAAGAGCTACCTCAACGACAAGAACGCCCCCTTCGGTGTGGACCTGCTGCTTCCCCAGGTTGGCGGTAGTGCCCGTAAGACCAAGTGAGTCCCCATATTCTACACACCACCAGTCATGCCAGAAGAGAGAGACAGCTAACCCATTCTTCCCCGTATTTAGCTACGATTACACCAAGGGCAAGCTGAACGAGCTGGTCGACATCGTCATCAAGAGCGGTGCTCGCCTGTTCGTCTCCGCCGTCGGTGTGGCCCCCAAGCCCGTCGTCGAGCGTCTCCACAAGGCCGGTATCCTGTACATGAACATGATCGGTCACCCCAAGCACGTCCAGAAGGCCCTCGACGCCGGTGCCGACATCATCTGCGCCCAGGGTGGTGAGGGTGGTGGCCACACCGGTGACGTCCCCACCACCGTCCTCATCCCCACCGTTGCCCAGCTGTGCAAGGACAAGAAGAGCCCCCTGACCGGTGGTCCGGTGCAGGTCGTCGCCGCCGGTGGTCTGTACAACGGCAACTCGCTCGCTGCTGCCCTCATGATGGGCGCCTCGGGTGTCTGGATCGGCACGCGCTTCATCCTGTCCGAGGAGGCCGGCGCCCCCAAGGCTCACCAGGAGGCCGTCCGCACCGCGGGCTTCGAGGATAACGTGCGCACCATCATCTTCACCGGTCGCCCCATGCGCGTGCGCATGAACCCCTACATCCAGAACTGGGAGGAGAACCGCCAGGACGAGATCAAGAAGCTCACCGCCCAGGGTGTCATCCCCGTTGAGCACGACTTCGAGAACCTGCCCGACGACGTCGATGACGACACCCTGGACAACGCCCGTCCCTACCTGATGGGCAAGGTGTCCGCCGTCGTCAACGAGAAGAAGTCCGCCAAGGCCATCGTCGACGAGCTGGTCAACGACGCCGCCGTCCTGATCAAGCAGGGCAACAAGATGCTGTCCAAGCTCTAAGCGTGTTCGTTCGTTTGGCAATTTTTATGTTTCCTTCCCCATTAGAAGTCGATGTTGCATGTGACGCGAGCACGGTGGATGGATACAGATCTGCATTCTACAATTACTATACCTCTTGAGCCCGGTCCCATGCGTTTTGTGTACATACATGGGTGTAACATTCTATTTATCTATTTCCTTTGTTTTTAGCAAATTGGTAGCAAAATTGATGACTCGGAAGATTGATTCTGGAAAAATCCAACCATTTACCATATATTTGAAGATCCTGGCGGTCTAGGCTGGGCTAATTGCCGCCTGCGATAGCCGACAATCTGCCGAGCAAACGACCGTTGTGTAGATGCACTAAGCTCGATGTATAACTTGCAACCTTGGCTATTTGAGTTAGTACTATGAGAACACAGCAAAGACAAGCACTCTGAAGAGACTGAAATACCCTGGGGACAAACTTAATTGCCACCCCGGGGCCAGAAGATAGATATCTGCGATCCACTCTGCGGCGCCGTGCCTGATAAGGGTTTTGGTCATCGGGAGAGTGTTTAATTAACCACGTACCTAGTACTTCAGTTATCCGTGCTTGACAACTTGATTTCTCCGATAGCCAAATAGTATCAGGTACCAAAGTTGATAAGATCTCCTTCCAGAAAACAGCCCAAAAGCCCTTATCAGCCGAGTACGTACTGAAAAAGCATGAGGAACAAAATGGCGGGATCCTCCTATCACGACGTATCACCGCACGGCTTATCACCGACCAATCATCAAAGTAAATTTCCACGTGGATTGGAGTTAGCTAGGTGGGGAAATCGGCTCCAGACCTGCTGTCTTCCTACTTTGGCTCTTCCTGATTTGAGGAGAGGGGGGAAAGGAAGATGGGATACTTATTGGAAGGATTCTGCTGGCTTTTGTGAGGGGAAGGATGGAAGGGAAGATTGGGGTTAAAGGAGCATGGATTCTTCTGGTTCTTCTTCCTGTTGTTTTTTCTATTCGAGCTGTGTTGGAACTTGCGTCGTCTGTGATTGAGAGCCCCTTGCTTTCTTGTTCTGCATAGTGTTATTTTTTTTTTCTCGAGCGGTAGGATCTTGCGATATCTTCCTGCTGGTTGATTTTCGAGACGACACCGCTGGAAATTGGGGGGTGCTGTCCTGTCAAAATCCCGTTGCTGGCACTACCGTCACGATGTTGAACAAAAAAGACATAGATATTGAAAAGGGTCCTCAGGCATCCGATACAACCATCGATGACAGCACCGATGGAGCCGTTCCAGGCCAGAGCTTCGAGTACGGCGGCTCGATGTATGCGAGGATCCAGCGACTGGCGGGAAAGCTGAACATCGAGCAGCGAGGGATCGAGCGCGTCCCGGCGGAGGAGCAGACGGATACCTCGTATTTCAATATTGGGAGCATGGTTCGTTTTCGGTATTCTGGGTCAAGCTGAATGCGCTTTGCTGACCGTCACAGTGGCTGGCAGCCAACATGGTGGTTAGTTCATTCGCAATCGGTGTCCTGGGAAAGTCACTCTTTGGACTCCAGTTTGTCGATGCAATTCTCGTGGACATATTCTTCAACCTTCTGGGCATCATGACCGTCTGCTTCTTTTCATGCTTTGGACCTGCGTTCGGGCTGCGACAGATGGTGCTGTCGAGGTTCTGGTTTGGGTGGTGGCCAACGAAATTCAGTACGCTGCTCCACTCATCATAAACCCTGCGTCCGTTGTGGAGAAATCGTCCGCTGATACTTCTCTCTACAGTTGCCATCCTAAACGTTCTCGCCTGCATCGGCTGGTCCGCAGCCAACGCCATCGTCGGAGCCCAGCTCCTTCACGCAGTCAACAACGACGTCCCCGGATTCGCAGGAATCCTCATAATCGGCCTATGCACACTGTGTATCACATTTGCCGGTTACAAAGTGGTCCACATGTACGAGTACTGGAGCTGGATCCCGACGTGCATCGTCTTCATCATCATTCTCGGCACTTTCGCCCACTCAGGCGACTTCAGGAACGTCCCCATGGGCGTGGGTATGTCCGAGCTGGGCGGTGTCCTATCCTTCGGGTCAACCGTGTACGGCTTCGCTACTGGCTGGACCAGCTACGCAGCCGACTACACAGTATATCAGCCGGCTGACCGGAGCCGGCGCAAGATCTTCCTCTCGGCCTGGCTAGGCCTGATCATCCCGCTGCTCTTCACGCAGATGCTCGGCATCGCCATCATGTCAGCCACCACCATCGACGCCGGTCACAACAAGTACCAGGCCGGATACGATGCCTCCGGCAGTGGCGGCCTACTTGCCGCCGTGCTCGAACCCCTAGGCGGCTTCGGCAAATTCTGCCTCGTGATCCTAGCGCTCTCCATCATCGCCAACAACTGCCCCAACATCTACTCCGTCGGGCTGACCCTGCAAGTAATGAGCCGCTACTCGCAGCGTGTACCGCGTTTCGTCTGGGTCTTCCTAGGTTCATGCGCCTCCATCGCCATCGGCATTCCCGGCTACGACCACTTCGAAGCCATCCTCGAAAACTTCATGAACATCATCGCCTACTGGCTGTCCATATATTCTGCGATCTCCCTATGCGACCACTTCTTCTTCAAGCGCGGCTTCGCCGGCTATCGCCCTGAACATTATGACCAACCCGATAAGCTCACCGTCGGCATTGCCGCTGCCGCTGCATTTGCTTGCGGTGTCGTGGGCGTGGTCCTCGGTATGAGTCAGTCGTGGTGGGTCGGGCCGATTGCCTTGCACGCGGGTATGGCTCCCATAGGAGGTGACGTGGGCTTTGAGCTGGGATTTTCTTTTGCGTTTGTCTCGTATCTAGTGCTGCGGCGGATTGAGTTTAGGGTTATTGGTCGGTAGGGGGTATTCGTGTTATCTCAGTCGTTTCTTTGTTTTGGTTTCGCTGGTCAGCCTGGGAGGTATATGTCATTCTGTTCTATCTAGAAAGCTTTGTAAATAGATTAATGTTTTAAATTTTGCATCGATGAATTGGCCTGTACAAACTCACATGAACGTGCTGTAGATGGTTGACAAATGCTACTCGTGCTTCACCCAGCCAGAACCGCCGCCTCATATCTGAAAAGTTTCAACTCAACCATGTAGTCTTTTACCGCCATCTTATTCTCCTCTTATTCTCCCTCATTGACAGACCTAGAGAGCCAGAAAGTACCACTACTGTGAAATTATTGAGGTTGAAACTGCATGTAGACAAGTGGCGACTGAATACGTTTGTGAAGCGTAACGGGACTCGACTTGTCGACTGTAAGGTAATGGGATGTGAGAGGAGAAAGATCATTTTCTGTGAGATCCTCTGGTGTTTGTGTACTATTGGGTTCAGTGTGTGGCTGCTACTTTGCAGGGTGGCGTAAATGAATCATGTTTGGAAAGGTTGTTGTCAGAATCATGGATGGAAGGCTGGGGTGTAGCGGGTGCTTTTCTGCCGTATGTGATTTCCTTCAACAATCGCCAAGCGTTATATCTGACAGTTTATTGGAACTTGTGGCAAAGCATGATCATTCAGTCATTTGGGTCAATTTTCTTAGGTGTTCAGTCAACTAATTTTGGGTCTACTTTACATAGAATTTCTGGAGAAACTATAAACAGACTGTTGTAGATAGGAAATCCTGTCGAATACTAATAACGGTTAGCCACTTCTATCATTTCCCATATTTTTGTTGTCAAGTTGAGGGATTGCAAGAAGGAGTCATGGGTCCTGATGCTGAAGAAACTATCTGCCCATGTTTCTAGAAGCTAACCCTATACTTTACGTTTATGCACATATCTTGGTCATGAGGAAGACATCCTTATTGAGATCGTTTAGAAAAGTGAGTATGCATCTTTTGCCCTGTACCTGTCTCAGGTTGTACACTTCCATTAACTCCTCGGGTAAGAATAATGAGGCGATGGAGAAGAAAATGAAAAGGTAAAGAAAAAGAAAAAGCCAAAGAAAGGAAACCAAATTTCAGCGCCGGTAGTAGCAGGACATGTGAACCCCGTCCTATCTGCGTGAGACAAATAGATAACATCACCATCAAAGCTAGATAAAAGTCAACTTGGAAGAATTAGTCACCATCCAGCTATATCATTGTCCGCGGCTTGGTTACATTAGGCCCAGTGTTGATCATCGTTTTCTCGCAGGCGCTCGGAGACGTTTTATCTCTTCAAAGTTGCAATAAGAATAACAGGCTTTTCGATCCAAACTTGATTGTGCTGTTCTTCTCCATGCCGAGTGAGTCCAGGGAAAATCAACGCAAGAAACACACCAATTACATCGCTATCATCTAGACCCTCAAGACCAGGAAGTCGGATCTTGTGATGTGTTTCAGCGTCAACAATAGTGAACCATTCCAAATAACCCTTGTGTATCATTTGATCAGGGAACCATTTGTGAGCTGGAAAATACGAGTGCCATTTGTATTGACTTGGTGAGGACTCCATCCTAGCTGCGAGTTCAGCCGCTGGGTTTGCTATTTGCATCATGAACCTCTCTGATTTGTGCCTCCAATTGGATACACTGAGCTGGTGAAATTTGCTAAGGAGTCTGTGAATGGAGTCTGTCAAGTTGCAGCAACGTGTTTCGGTTATCTCTCGATATTTTGGATGGGCCATATAGGCACGAAGGGTATTCGATTTCCACGCGTTGATGCTTTCAAGATCTGTCCCGCTTTAGTCCATCTTTGTTCATTTCGTAAAAAGGGTGAATTACACAAACCTATGCGGGAGTTCAAGTAGGACATTCCTTCCTGGATATGGCACACTAGTTCTTGGTGCGTCTTTTCTCCAATTATCGAACCTTTAAATAGACAATTCCAGATGACTTTGAAGATTCTGCTAGTCATAAGTTCCATCTGTACATCCTCAGGTCCATTGGGGAATGAGTGGGCCCATCCAGGCATCAGTTTGTGCAGTACTTCTTCCGAGATATGTCTCTCGAAAAATTCTTCAAAATTGGCAATATCCGGGAAATTCTCAACCCAGTTGGAGATGTTATCCCGAAGTATCCTGAGGTCCTCTTGAACCTTTGCGTCACTGATCTGATAATCTGAAACGTAGTTTTGCAGCTTGGTACGACAGCCAGAAAGCTCTTTCTCCAAGTATCTTATGCGATCCTCCGCTTCTTGTAGACCTCTGTCTTTCCGCGTCAACTGGGTCTCATAACAGTCCACTAGAGAATTGTAATTCTGTTCAAGTTCATTGCGCAAGCTTCTTGGATCTCCTGGTAGGGTTCCTTGGGGGTGGTCAAGCTGTTGATCAATTCCTGAGTGATCCATCTCCGGTTGTGGCTCCAGGAACTTGGTGATACTTGAACAGACTCGAAATAAAGTGGAGAAACGGGGAGAAAGAACACTTCTCAAACCTGACTTGATGTTGCTCTTGAATATGGCAGAAAATAGTACGCAGTAGTCTGTAAATTAAGTGGTAGGACTAGAAGATCTCAAGGAATGGAGGGGAGTCAAAAGAAGAGTAATTGCGTTCAGAACAGCAGGCCTCTCATGTGAAGTAGGTGAAGGAGTTATATGGCTGCATATTACAAATGCAATTGTCAGTGAATGCATTGAGAAAATCAAGTTACTGTTTCTTTGTTTCTGACACAAACATTACATTCACTCATTATAAAATGATTCTCAACTTTGTCTTTGGAAACACTCATCACTGCAACTATCTATCCACCATCATCTATCCACCATCATCTATCCACCATCATCTATCCACCATCATCTATCCACCATCATCTATCCACCATCATCTATCCACCATCATCTATCCACCATCATCTATCCACCATCATCTATCCACCATCTCTCCACCATCTCTCCACCATCATCTTCCTCCCCTTGTTCACACTTCTCTTACATCAAAACACCGCCAAAGGACACCTCAACAACAAAAGCACAGCCCTGGCAGCCTCGGCTTACCGTGAATTCAAAACACCCTATCATATCAGTTACCAAGCTCCAGATTTCTCGCATATCTTTCTCTCAGTGCCGATATTGGCGGACCCCACCAGATTGCAGAATGGCGACTGACCCCGATAATAAGGTCATCATTGCTGTGGATTTTGGGACCACTTTCTCTGGCGCTGCCTGGGCTCAAGTAAGCAATGTAAGGCTGCAACTTATGATCCCCAGTCCTGAATCATATTTATACTAATTTTTCTTAGCCTGAGAAACACTTTATCATCAACCAATGGCCATACAATGCTACCGACTCTCTCGATGGTATGACAAGTGAGAAAGTTCCGAGCGAGATAGCATATCAATATGGCGATTCCGGTCCAAAGTATCTCTGGGGGTTTCAGATCCCACAAAGTATGCCACGTCACCAGTGGCTCAAACTCGGACTTTCCAAAGAACGGAAATTAGGATTAGGCTCCCGCTTATCCTGTTCCCATCAAGATATTCGGCGTATCCCAGGGCCCTACCATTCGTCTTCTGAAGCTCTTGTCGTTGACTACCTTAGTGGTCTTCGGGATCACATCTTCAGTAACTTCAAGCGCCAGATAGGTAGCTCATTCGACGACAAAAATGCTAAATTCATCATTACTGTTCCAGCAATATGGTCAGACCATGAAAAAATGAAAACGCTTTCATGTGCGGAGAAGGCTGGATTCGGAGGAGTATCACAGGTTCGTGTGATCTCCGAGCCTGAAGCAGCTGCAATGCACAGTCTTCATACGCCTGGTCTCCATGGCCTAAAATCAGGCGATACCGTTGTTTTGTGCGATGCAGGCGGTGGGACTGTCGATCTTATCACCTTCTCGATCGTTGAGATGGAGCCTATAATACGTCTAAAGGAAGAAGCACCTGGAGATGGAGGCCTCTGTGGAAGCACCTTTCTTGATCGAAGGTTTGAGGAATTTCTTACGGAGAAGCTATCCTCTCTTTCTGGCTGGGGTTTTGATACCTTGGAAGAAGCAATGGCTCGATTCGAAACCGTGGCGAAAAGAACTTTCAGCGGCAGTCCAAATGATCCATTCATGTTTCCTGTTCCAGGACTTTCGGACAATGAGGAAATAGGAATCAGAAGAGGTCGACTGCAGTTAATGGGGGATCAGATGTTTGGCTTGTTCACGCCTGTTCTTGAAGAGGTTTACAATCTCGTGAAGGGTCAAGTCCGGATCTCAAGTAAGAAAGTTAAGGCAATCTTTCTGGTTGGAGGGTTTGGACAGAGCCCATTTCTTCTCAAATTTTTGCGTGAAAAATTCTCACCTGATATCGAGGTCTTAGTGCCTCCTGACGGATGGACTGCCGTGGTTCGCGGCGCTTTGCTGAAAGCTCTGGGCGAGATGGTACCCAGTGCCATATCGACCTCCGTTGTATCTCGTGTGGCCAGGAAACATTATGGGACAACAAAAGCGATAAAGTTCATGGAAGGTGTACACAACTCCCAGAAAAAGTAAGTCCGGATGCGTGCTAGGTATATGGCTTGCGGGCTCAATAGGTCACAGGTACTGGAATTACTTTCATGGCGAGTATCACATCCAGGTGATGGAATGGTTTATCAAAAAAGTATGCACAATTCTTGTGCGACAGTGCTTGTTCTAATGCAAATCAAGGGCGACTCAATAAGAGAAACAGTCCCGGTCATAACTACTTGGCATGAACGTCAGCTCAAGAGTAATGGCGCTTGGGATTCCATACAAGTCACTCTCTACGAGTTGGACAGCCATATGGGCAAAGACCCACCGCTTTATTTCAACCGCTGTCAGTAGCAACAATCTCTACATTGTCGGGCTTCCTTACTCACAACTTATCTAGCGATGAAAAAGCATGCAGATTTGAATCCTCCCCTAAGTAAGATCCAAAAGGGGCGACTTCCAATTGTCAAAGGAACGGATGGAGAGGATTACTACCATATCCAATACGAAATCCATGCAGCTTACTTTTCAGCACATTGTCAGTACTCCCTATGGTATGAGGGTGTCAATCATGGGGATGTCAAAGTCGACTACGTTTGAAGCCCTCAGTCAAGTTCAGCGAACGGCATTGATTGTTGTCTTCTCCATCCACTTCTCAGCGATTTCTGGATACGATGAGAAAGTCACGAACGACGGTAATGCAGATACCTTCATATCAAAAGACGAATTTCACTCACAACATGAGTTGTCCATGCCTACATCCAATTTGTTTCAGTTTCGATCAGCAGTACTTCATTATCACTGTCCAGAAAAGAAAAGAAAAAAAGGAAAAAGAAAAGAGAAAAGAGAGACAGATGAGAAGCTTCGCTCAAGCTCACCCCATCAGACCTTTTTATCATGTCAGCACTTGGAATCTTTCCATTACATTGTATTTCGTGCTATTCAGATCAGAAAGTTGTTGACATGGGCAGCCATTGCACGAAACTTAAGAATTCAGGACAAGGGAGTCCACGTGGAAAGGATCATATTAAACTGATAGCAATAGGGTTTTTCCGGGCTTCTGCTTTTCCATATTTCAATCTCTTCCATAGGACAAGGACATTACCATCACTACTCCCCTACTCCGTAGTTAATTCCAGTCCTCCGTCGATGGACCGTATCCACAGTTGTGTCGAGGACCCAAAGCGGAGGAGACCCACTGAAGCAGCCGTGCGAGTCCAAAAAGCAAGCCCTCGCACGTGACTCAATAACACCAGCCACACCGCATGCGCCACGACGATTTTGCCGCGTCGAACAAATCCACAACGGATTTACCTTTGTTGAAATCCGCAAATTCAACATCATCATCAAAACAGCACAACCCGCACAATGTCTAAGCTAGGAAAGTGAGTGAAAGCCGCCGAAAGTTCACAGCGAGAAGAATCTCCTGACCGGAATTTTTCATTTTTAGCCGCGCCGACTGGGCCGACGACGAGGAGTTCGATGACCCCTCCGCGCTCCCCGCACAGCAAGTGACGACCAACAAGGATGGCACCAAGACGGTGGTCTCGTACCGGCTCAACGATGATGGCAAGAAGGTCAAGGTGACCCGCCGCATCAAAACGACCGTCGTTCGCGAACACGTCAACCCGCAGATGGCCGAGCGCCGCAGCTGGCCCAAGTTTGGGCTGGAGAAGGGCCACGCCGCCGGACCATCGTTCGAGACGACCTCCGTCGGTGAGAACATCGCTTTCCGACCCAGCGTGAACTGGAAGGCGCAGGCGGCGGAGACCGAGAAGGAGGGCGAAAAGGGCGGTATCAAGGATCAGCTCAAGGACAAGAAGGTCAAGTGCCGTATTTGCAGCGGAGAACATTTCACGGCTCGCTGTCCCTTCAAGGACACCATGGCGCCCGTCGAGGAGTCTACCGGTGCCGAAGAAGGCGGCGAGGATGCCGGTGGCGTGGGCGCCGGCTCGGGCAGCTACGTGCCTCCCCACATGCGGAAGGGCGCTGCTGCTGGTGGCGAGCGGATGGCTGGCAAGTACGAGAAGGACGATCTGGCTACGCTGAGAGTTACAAACGTGAGTTGGCACAGTCTTTGCTTTGTTACCCCCTTTCTTTCGTTTCTTTTTCATTTGTGTACTATCTTTGATGTGGATTGATCTGACACGTTGGCAACAGGTGAGCGAGTTGGCAGAGGAAGGAGAGGTGCGGGATCTGTTCGAGCGGTTCGGTCGTGTCACTCGTGTCTTCTTGGCCAGGGACCGGGAAACCCAGCGGGCCAAGGGCTTCGCTTTCATCAGCTTCGCAGATCGTACCGATGCTGCACGTGCCTGCGAAAAGATGGACGGATGTGAGTGCTACCCCTACTTACCCCCTTCTCCTATAGTCGAGGATAGCAAGCAGCAAATTGAGGACAGGGTGCTAACTCCATTTTCTTCTCCTATCAGTCGGTTACCGCCACCTCATTCTGCGTGTCGAATTCGCCAAGCGCGCTACCTAGATTCCTTAACGTTTTGCTCTCCTTTTTCTCCGCACCCCCCTTCGCCTACTTATGACACCTTGGGTCTTTTCTATCTATCCCTTATCTCTCTTATTTCTCGTCAGGCGGGCTCTTTATTCCTCCCAAACTGGCCTAAGATCTTTTCTTTGTACTGTATGACCTGATCGACGATGATGATTGCTGAAAGACATCCCGGACATGTCATTTACTTCTACTTGGATCGATTCTGCACAAAGAAAAGTTTCTCCTTTCTAGTGGTCTGGCTTCTAATTGCATTGCACTTCTACTTCCATACGTTTCATTTCATATCCGTAGGGTCCGAAGTCCTTGTCATGTCTGTTCCCAGCCGGGGGTGCAGGCGCCGGAAGATGCTTGATAGGATACAGGAAAGGCAGCGCCCTTCAAGTTTTCGTATACCAGGACATGGGGGCAAACAAGCAGACATTCCAGACACGGACACGTACGCACTTCACTGTAGTCAACTCTTTTCCTCTTTTCACATGTGGCATTTCAACCACCCACCTACCATCTTCACCCACTCACACTCCCCCATAGCCCATCCCTTACAGCATCGACACGAGTCAAATCAATGCCGTTCATGATCATTCTGTGAATGAATAGGGAGCCCCGTTGACTAACCATCTGCAGCCAGTCTGTCAGAGCGTTGTCATGCTGCATTCTCCCGGCTTCGTAAACAATCAATCGTCAGCGCATGACAACAATGCCATTCAACATCTCGTTTTTCTTTTCATTTCTTTTCTTTTCTCCATTGAGCAATACATCCGACTGGGGGGTGTGGGGGGGGGGTAAGGGTGGGCGTGTTGATCCATGGCTCCTCTTCCTTTTACATGTGCCGAAGCATCATTGCTTACCTGCTTTGCTTTGCCTGTCTGCCTGTCTGTCTGCCTGTCTGTCTGCCTGTCTGTCTGCCTGGCTGCTTGCTGGCTTGCTTGCCGGGTCCATACATCAAAACAGCAATACGAGAGAAGACCATGAAAATGACAAAAGTAAAAATATAAATAATTATTAAGGATAAAATCACGCACCGAGCAGCCATATCCATTGCGTATGGTAACAACAACAGGCCCGCCTGATACGTCCTCCCTCCCTCCCTCTCCTCTCTTTCCCACCTCCTCCTCATCTCCTCTCCCCCAACCTACCCAGGTAGGGTCACACCGGTCAGCCAGCGTACCATAGGTCGTGGAAGAGCATTGTGTCCTCTCATCCAATGAGTCCAGACAGAGACTCTCACAGCCCTCTCACACACGTAGCAGACGGGGGGGTGGGGGGGGGACCAGAGACGGGCGTCTTTTTCTGACATTTTTGCCAGGGATTATTCAACTTTCGTCCCTTTTGGCCGGAAATCTCAATGCTACACAACCATCTGAGGATAGCCACGGCGAAACTTGGATTCTTTTTATATATGGAGACAAAAGGTAAAGGATGCAAGGATAAAAAATGAAATAACTAAAAGTCAGTCAGCAATAAGGCCCCGCGTTACATTGCAGACAATGTTAAACGGGGCCTTCATTTGTCTGATGCTCTATCTCTTTCGTATAGTGATACTATATTCTCCTTTTCCTCAGCGTAGGACTCAAACCTACTAGGGTATTTTTTAGTATTTTTTTTTCTATTTCTGTCTGTTTTCTCCTGAGTCCACTGCTACCTACCTGCAGGCCTCGGTCTCTTCCTTAAATTTCCTACCTTATTTCTGTATGTATGCAGTATGTCCAGTATCTGACTGACGGCCTTTTCCCGTCCCTCGTGTGACTCAAATATCGTCCTTGGGAATGAGAAAAGGTGGACGGATGATGAATAGACAGGCATCATCCACGATGGGCGAGAAACTTTGGGAGCCCGCCTCCCCCAACCGCGGAAGTCAGCCAGGCTTTCCGTTCCGGGTTGTTGCCACCTCGTTGGTGGATTGGTAGCTGTTGGTGATTTGGACGGTCTGGATATTCACATCACATTCTCTTCTGCTTGAAATTGTGTTTTTCTTACCCTGGGTTGGTTGTCAGGATGGCTGGTCATTGTAGAGTCTGGTTTGGCAAGTCAGTCGTCCGGTTGTTACTCAATACGTGTTTTGGGGAAAGAGATCCATAAGAACATAGAAGAAGCGATACTAAATTATGATAAAAAAATATCATATGAGATCTTCTGGTCTACCTTGCTCTACCTCCCGTTCCTCCCCTGTCGCTTTCTTCTTTTCCCTTAGTCGTCGGGCCTCTAGACTTCTAGGCCTTTCAGCCGTATCTTGAGAAACCGGTCACACCTCGTTCAACCGATGAGAGATACTGTGCCCCCCGTAGAGTAGCACGGCGGGCCCAAAGCCATATAGATCCTGGTCCAAACAAGGAACAGGAAGGAATGGTCTGCGGAGGGTTACAGTGACTCTAGGATTAGATTATACGAACAGGTTCCGCGGGGCAGAACAAAAGGTTGATAGAAAGAACCTGGGCGAGAGGCTGAATTACCTTGTCTTGTTTTGGAAAGGAGAACAGATGGGAAAGTAAGGGGAGACGAGCAACGTATCAGAGATGAGTTCCAAGCTGGATTAACTTCGGGAGCTGATCCCACGGCTGTAGTTACCTAGTTGTGGAGTGTAATCAGGCCAACGCTAAAGGCTGAACTTCGGTTCCTTGGCCACGGAGACGGGCAGTCGATAGGTTGTTCTGCCCGGCCGACTCAACGCCGCTAGGCGCTTCCCATCCGCAGTCGACAAGATGGTGGCAGACTCCTCATCCCGTGGGAAGAGAAAAAAAGTATATACAACGCCCTACCATGCACACGTGCTTGATTGGAAGGCGACTGGAACCCACATGCAGGGCAAGCCGTTGAATCACACTCCCGTCGACCGAACTGGGTTAGAAGAAAGGATCCTCTCGTAGCTCGGAGGTAGAGACATGTTCCGAAGATTGCTCCTCCGGGAGGTATCCCGGTACCGTGGGTGGCATACGCTATTTTATTTTATTCTTGTTTATTTATTATAAATATTATTCGTATATATTTGTTTGTTTTCTTTTTGTTACCAAGTCTGTCAAGGCATCTGGCCCCAAGTCGGAGAGCATCACCTCGCCGTTTCGAGATCCAGGGCAAGTGTCCTGAACAAAGGACCGCATCTAGCACGGGCTGGGCGATATGGAAGAAGAAAAGGTGATATACCCCGGAAAAGGTAACCGACCGTTCTGGACTCCCGAGTGAATCTGAGGGCGACAAGCTTTGCCGCCCTTCTTGGATACTTTTCCGCAGTAATACCGGTCAGCTGCAGCTACTAGGCTGGGCTGGGATGAGAAGGATCGAGAGCATTCAATGAGGAGAAGTCCGATGGTCCCAATTGACTGTCGAGGGCCCCACTCATACAACTGATGTTGGAAGAGGCGGACAGACCGATCCCCACTTATTGATAGGCTGGTATGGGAAAGAAACAGTGATAGTCACATTGAATGATAGAAAAGGATTGAAAAAAAGGAAAAGAAAAGAAAAGAAAAGAAAAACAGTCTTCAAAACAGACCCAATGAGAATGCTACATCGGCCAAATACTCCAAGCACCAACAACGCCGTCCTCAGCCATTTGCTCAACCCCCCTCCTCCTCCGAGGAAAGGAGAACTGGGTGGCGGCTGTCGGGGGACGGAGTGTTAGGCCTTCTTCCCACGGGAACTGTCTGAAACATGCAACTAATGAGGGAAGTTTAAATCTCACCTACTATGTGATCTTGCTGTGCTTATGGGACGAGATTTCTGCCCGTCGAGCTTGATGAATACGCCAGAATCCCATTTGACAAAAATACCAGGTCAAAAGGACCTGGTGACATTGGAACCTAGAGGTCAAGGTCCCAGTCAGGTACCTGCCTTAGTCAGTTCCCCCCCCCCCCCCCCTCCTCCTTCTTCAGGGCCCCCGGGACTTGTGGTAATAAAAGTAGATCATATGGACCAGATTCGGTATTAACATGACGAAGATCGTGCGGCGTACGCTGTACGGTGATCCAATACATTATACCCTTTCGAGCCACCCGCAACGCATGTACGGCGATCCCTGATCGGCGTCTTTGACCATTACAAGATTAGGGCGGTTGGGTTTTTTCTTTGTGTCGTGATGGATCTACTACAGTAGTGTTGAGTTGATTCCTGAATAAGTTAGGGTTAAGTGGATATGCCTAGATAACGAGGAGATTAAACAGAACTAACTCAAATCACCAGGCAACGATCAAAAACATCAATGCTAATCCCTTGTCTTTCCGGTCAATCGCCCGAGGCCAAGCGAGTAACGCGCTATGATGACGGTGGAAAGTAAATCAAGGATCACCGTAGTTACCTAGTAGACGTAGACGTAGACGTCCAAGTTGTGCCCTCCTCGCCCCAGGTCATCCATCCATCCACTCTCTGGTTTCGCCTCCCCCCATCCTCCTCTCCAGACGCATCTGTTTCTGAAACTCTTCGCCCATCGACCATTTCGTTGGCTCCCTGAAGGCTAGTGATGTAACCTTCCCGTCTCCCACTCCTGGTTGGCAGTGACAGTACGTGTCGGTCTGTATTCCGATGGGGGTATCGCGCCCCGTCTTGCGAGCAACAATCCTGCATGACATGCCCCTCCCTCCTCCTTGGAATGCCCCCACCTCTTCGTCCCTTCAGCGTTCTTTCCTGTAAAAAATGAGCCTGTTTTTGTTACCGGACCTTTGAATGGATCTAGTCACCATTTTCAGCCAATTATGGGGAGGCATAAGCTGCTTCCTGGGAACCGTGCACATCACTAAGGTATTGGACCAACTAACTTGCTGCATGCCAGGATAATCATTCAGCCACTGGGAGCGGGTCCTGTTCCCGAGGAGTTATCTTATTAGGGCTTCGTTCGATTTGGTTCTTGCTTCACTTTATATGTTTTTTTAACTAAGAGTTGGCTTGGGTTTTGTTTTCTTCTCCTTTGAATATGATTGACCCATAAAATTAGACTGGAATTAAATTGACACGTTTGAAGGGAAGAGAAGGTAAAAATATATAACCTATAAAGATAGGAAGGGAAAATGAAAAAGACCAAGAAAAAAACAAAAGAAAAAAAGATAGCCATGTCAATTGCATCGATTTCTTTGTATTGGATGTCTCACTCCTCGACCAGTGGGCCTTCCGAGAGCTCCATTCTAATTTCTGGAAGCTTTACCCTTCCGATACGGACGGAGGCAACACGTCAACTCCACACCTCATCGTCCGGGTGCAACAGTGGGGAGGGGAAAAAGGGAAGTTCTCATTGTTCTCCGGGGAGGAAGGCGATTAGTTCGACAAGATTCCCAACGCTGCCAAGGATGGTGACTACAAACTTGACAGGATTTGGTTGATTGATTGCTCCTGTTTTTTGTTTTATTTTTATTTTTTCCTTATTTTTATTATTCGTGTTTTTTTCCCTCGTCTCTTTCGGTGAGGCAATGGTCCTGTTTTTTTATAGTATTTAGGTCAGCTAGTTTGGTTGCTGGGTTAAGCCCATCGATCGGCTGATCGCGGATTGATGCAAGAACCAGCGCTCGTGCCTCGAGCACACGAAAGAGAAAATAAAATAAAAGTAAATAAATTAAATTTTAGGAGTAATGTGTAGTATTGGTATTGGTATAAACATCTGATTGGGGCAATGGGGCGTTACGTCTAGAACGTAGAAGTGCTAGTATAGATGAAGGGGGGCGCGGAGGCCGTCGTGAGTCGTCTCGATAACCCCCCCTGTCTACGGGTACTCCGCCCTTAGCGGTAAACCGTTTCTCTTGGGGGGAGGATCAGGATCGAAGGCAAGTCAATTGGTTCAGTGAGTTCGCCCAAGCTCAGTTTAGCGTCGACAAGCCCCCCGTCATGCGACTAGGGTCTGCACGGGAGTCCCGGGGGACGATGATCGTCCATCACTAATTCTTTCTAGCGCCATCTTTTGCTGCACTTTCCCGCTTACCGGGTGTCGCGCTGGGGACAGCTGACTGACTTTTTCTAGTTTCTACCTAACTAATACTACAAATCTTTTTTTTTTCTGGCTATACAGCATTCAGTCCTTTCGACCTGCCAAGGATCCAACTCAGCTTTTTCTCTCTCTTTTGAATCCCTCTCCTGGGTCGTCATCCCAGGTTTGTATGGCTTGGGATTGGTGCAATATGTAACACCCAACCATCCCATAAACCCAATCTGGGAGGACTTTTTGCCTCTCGTTGTCAACGTTTGAACAGGGTCCAAGTAATTGATTTATTTTTTATCTGTCGAGTTTTTTTTCCTCATGATGCAACAACTCTCGCCATGAGACCTCATGCCTCATTTTCATTCGGAGGGAGCCAATTCAGAGGCAAAAGCAAGTTATTGTAAAACTAAATTAAGATGAAATGACACTAAATTAAATTGAAAATCAAAATAATCAGAGAAAAAATGTATGAATAATCTATCTAAAAAAATAGAATACAACAGATTAAAAAATAAAATAAAAGGAAAGAAAGAAAGAAAAGAAAAAAGATGGTCAGATCAAACTACAAACTACACCCCCTAAAAGGGAAAAGAGAGGGTCGTCCACGAAAATGGGAAGCCAGACAAGCCTCCTCCTGGGGCCCCTAATGGTGTTTCCACTCAGACTGTTTATTATTATGATGGATGTTATTATTCTGTATATACTTTTTATCATAATTTCGGTCATCATTACCAATGCCAACTATTAGTCGCAGGATGATTATCATGATTATTATTTCTTCGATGATCCTCGTTATTATATTATATTATTAGAATTCGAATTATAATATAATCGGTATCAGCATAGCCATGGTGATGATGACAATGGGGTCATTTCCTTGAAATCTTCCGTCCAGATTCCCAGGGGGGAAGGGTTCTCTTTTCGGTCTGGTACGATTGGTTTTCATTTGAACAGCCTTACTCGTGGCCAATGTGGTAGGTCTCCTCCCAGCAACAGCTCTCAGGGCTTGTGCGCAACGAGGTTCTGCAGATATTCCGCCGTCTTGCCAGGGTCTGTCAAGTCGATGTAAAGGGGCCAGTCTAGAAAGCGGGCGTCGGTGCGTGTGGGTAGGAAGGAAACATAATGACAGGAGCATTTGGGCTTGTTCCCTTCTAGTATCTGGAAACAAATATCAATCAGACAATTCCCTCGCTTGGTCTGCTGGCGTTTTTGAGTCTTTCCATTCCGACAGTGTCTCCCTTTCATCTACCCTCTTTCTGATATCATCCTCCATTGTTTCTTTTGGGTCGAGCGGGATATTATAGGCGGCAAGTTAACGCTGTTGGACTTGACACACGACCATCGCCCTTTAGTGTACACATCTCAGAGATCTGAGACGCCAGAGGATTCGGATTTTGAGCATTTCCATACTCGCATCGATTCTCTGAACGTGGACACTAGTCGAACCTTGTTCCAACGCCCAATCCTCTACATATAGGGTTGCAGCTGGAGATCAGAACCTGCAACGATCAATGCAAGATACGACTCGTACTCATTGATTGAATTTGATTATCAACTCTGGCGCCCAATTGCGCAACAGGTCCTTGTAAGTCGGCTCTTTTGTGTCTCTGTCTCCTCTTTCTCTTTGTACTCTTTATCTCCGCGCGCCTTTTTCTTGTCTTCCGCTTTCTCTTCAGGTGTTGGATTTCTGTCTCGCTTTTATTCGTCGACTCCCTATACAACAACGCATCTCATCCTCAGCCGATATGCACGTTTTCACTTGTTCAATCTAAACCCCTGTCATGTGGTTTCTCTGTGTCTCATGGTGGTCCTGATGCTTTTCCTGCACCAAAATTGGTTCCCATCTCGCTCACCACATCAACCACCTCTCTAACCCGTCCGCAAGTGTCATGCTGCATGACGGTTAGTCGTCGCCGAGAGCGACGACTAAGTGAAATGCCGAGAACACTAATACACCTGCGCATTGTTGTCGTTTACCTTTTTAATTTGTTTCTTACGTGCGCCTCTAGTGTTTTCTTTCTTTCATTCCCACCTCCCTCTAATTACTCTTTTCTCTCCCAACCCCATGCCCAGACTTTCCTGTATAGGCTCTGATCTTGAGGCGCTAGCTACACTTCTATCTGTTTCAGATGACCGAGACCTTACCAAGCACATTTGTTCGTTGGATTCCTTTCTTTTCCTGCCTATTTTGCGCCGCGACGAGACTCGATCGTGGGCCACGGGAACTGACAGGGCTTTAGAACCACGTCGTCTGCGCCAGCCCGGGTCTTTGAGGCGCGACACCTCCGCATCAGAGACAACTGTCGTGCTTTCTTTTTCCTTATCTTTTTTTTTTTTCTTTTTACTTTTGCTTTGACTTTTTACAAGCCTCCAGCCTTGGAGCTCAATGAAAGAGCCGCCCTAACTTTTCTTCCGGCGTCGCCCTTAACTACCTAAGACACCCCTGTTCAGCACCATCGAAAGCCTAGTGTTCCTCTGGGCGTCTCTATAGCGCTCGCTCGAATCAGGCTGGTCGACAGAGTATCCTTGGCGGATTTGGACTGACAGCTCGCCTCTTGTGTCATCCGACTCACGGCCTTACCCTTTTTTTTTTTCTTTTTTTCCTCTCTCTTTCATTCCTAATGAATCACTGTAAGTCATTTCCTTTTTTGTTTCTTTTTCCTTCTTTTCCATTCCCTTTTGCGAGTTGTTCCATATTCGTTCGTCGGGTGTTCTACCGAATCCCTTCGGCCTGCAATTCGATAGTCGCAAAGCCCGACGGCAAGCCATCTCCATATAGAGTTACGGTCTGTCATCCCAGGAGCTTGGTACCTCAAGCTTATTGCTTTGGTTGCACGATATAGAAGGAAAAAGGGGTGGGGCAGAGACAGAGCAATTAAAAGCAGGGGGAAAGAGAAGGAAAGAAAAATTACGTCTCCTCGCATGGCCTGAGATAGCGTCAAGGAGCACTGTATCCTTCAAGGACGACAAGGATGTCAAACCTATTCTACTTCGGACTGACGATGCCCCGATATCATTTGTGTGACTCTTTTCTTGTTGATTTTTTTTTTCCCCTGTTCTCCTTTTCTTCTTTTTTGGCTTTTACTTTTCATTTCTTTTTTTCTTGTTTATGCATTTATTTTATCTCATTTCTTTGTTTTCTTTTCCGGTTTTTTTCCGTCGTCAAGTTTGACCTGATGGTATATCTTTGTCAAAGTACCCTCTGTTCTAACAATCGTTCACTTTCCCAGCAACTCTCTTGCAGAATTCATTCCAGCTGGACGGTCCCCTCCACAGCGACAACGACTATTCGGGCTCCCAGCGACAATTCCCTGGTCCGATGGGCTTTTCCATGGATGAGGAGGAAAATCATCGCAGAGGAAATGCTGCGGGCCATCCTCTAGCACAGCCAGTTTCAGTGCCTGCGACCAACGGCCTGCGCTACAACACACAGCAGCCTGCCATGCAGGATCTCCCGTAAGTTGTCTTTCAATTTGGACGGTTTCCTGGTGCTCCACTTGGCCCGCTTGCAGCCACTAGTACACAGTATTCCCTTCTAGTTCGGACAACAACAACACCTCGATCATTTGGGCAATTCTCTTTTATTCCTTTTTTTTTTATTGCATTTTTGATGTTTTTGAGTTTCTCAAGAGGGTCTAGTTTATTCTCGACGTTCTTTGTCTTTCCCTTTGATCTTATTCTATGCCATATTGAACTACTACTTCCCCCTCCCCCTTCCAAATCCACTTGCATGCACGCTCCTCTACACTTTAGTCATGTTATTCTGTTATTCAATATGCGCCTGCAAATACTAGTCACCCAGGACACCACGGTCCATTTCATATGTTGTGTACTCGTTATGCATTGGGGAATATTTGATTTATCTTGTCCTTGCTTTACCCTCCCTCCGTGGCCAGTTAAGATGTCTATTTTTGGTCGAGACCGCTTGCTGATCTAGAACGGCCCCAGGTTCGCAACATCTCCTACGATCCTCATGAGTCCAGCGGACTCTGGATGTTCCGGTTGGTTGCCCAATTCAGGCCCTTCCATGCGGACTGCAAGGCTGACATGTCCATAAAACGGGATTGGCGTTCGTTAACAGACACCTTCTCTCCCCCATCTAGCTCTCTGTACTCGCATTCGTCGGCACTATCGTACGATAGAATGCCTGACTTTAGATCCCACAGGGTTCCTCCGCTGTGAGTCAAGTCAAGATTCAATCCCCCTGGTTCTGTTGGTGATGCAGCGATTGACCATGACATTACTTAAACCCTATAGCCAACCACCTACGGGCATGTCTCCTTCCCTCCAATCTGGGAACTCGGCGGTCTCCGGAAACTCGGCGTTTGGAAGAACAGATAACTACCCAGGGACCTACACCCTCCACCGGGGAGGTACATTCCCATCGCTATCGAGTCTCAGCGATATGTCGCGGATCTCCCAGTTCACCACTACCCCACGCGGGCTCGAGGGACACCTGGACCGTGCTCCCAGTATGATCTTCGGTCAGACGGGCCCGATGCTGATGGACCCCATCCAGCGTATCTCGCAGCCGATCACGGACGCTCCGCCTTTCAGCGAAACCACGGTTATCCACTCGATCATGGCGGGTGGCCAGACCATCAAACCGGAGATCACAGCCAAGATCCACAAAGGATTCTTTCAGGTCGAAGAAAAGTGGACTTGCTACCGACGCAATTACTTTTCAGTTTCTTGTTCGTTCACGCTACAGCCGTGGACACATGCACCTCTCTTCGTCAAACTACCGGACCATCAAGGAACCGAACGCATTCTGTCGTTCTCCATGTGCATCTCGGCCATTGTGAACGGACAGCACGGGGAGATCCGGGAACTCGTCCAGCACACCCCGAAGCGCGATAAGCAATCCGAGCGCAAGCCAGCCAAGGTGGTCCTGCAGCCATTCCAGCCGCCTCCGTTGGTTCTCGGCCACAGCTCCGCACCCAATAGCGCCCAACATGGATACGGGCTAGGCTCCCAGGCCCCCGGGATGCCAATGGACTATAGCACCTCCTACGTCAGCGCACCGCAGCCCTCCCAGCCACCGACCCAGCATACATTCGAGCGCATCCAGTTCCAAAAGGCGACGGCAAACAACGGCAAACGTCGCGCACAGCAGCAGTATTACAATCTGGTCGTCGAGCTTTACGCACAGATTCCCAGTCCGATGGGCGGGAGCGCGGACGCGCAGTGGGTCAAGATAGCCAGGAAACTCTCGCACCCAATGGTGGTCCGCGGACGATCCCCAGGCCATTACAAAGACGGCCGGCGAGACAGCTCGACCAGCATGGGCCCAGACGGCGGGAGTGGTGGCTCTGGCGATGGCAGCGGGGGCGCTGTCCTACCCCCAGGCATCGGACAGGCGGCACGGTCTCACTTGACCCTGATGTCGTACGACTCATCGCAGCGCGGTGGGCCCCAGTATGGCCGCGCTGACTACCACCACCAGATGAGGGCGCCAGACCAATCGTCCCTGAGCGGCAGCAGTCCCCATATCTCGTCCTCGTCATCATCTACTTTCGACATCGGGGGCATTCACGACACCATGGACCCGATTGAGTCCATCAAAAGTACCCCTAGCATGGATGATTCATTCCACGACCCGGCTTTTGCCATGATGGACGGCAGGAAGCCCGACGTCCACTTCCGCAGTCACCTCCCGCCCCTTGCTTTCGAATATGATACCGTATCCAAGCATAGTGAAGAGTCCAGCAACGGCTTTTCCGAGAATTTCGACATCATGGTTACGATGCCGCCCGAACAAAGTGATTCTCCGGCCTTTTTGAAACAGCCTCCAAAACTGGCTTCTCATGGACTCCACCATTATTCCGGTGCCGGAGGTTACGATCCAGTTTACTCGACCCGACCTACTGAAGGCAGTACACAGTGCCGGCTTCAAAACTCTCAGAGTCTGTGCGCATAGCTATTTCTTTCTTTATTTCTTCCCTTTTTTTTTTTCTACCCTCTCATCTTCAAAATTCCCATTCTCTCTTCTCTCTCCCTCGTCGAACTCAAGTCCGCCGATTGTTCAGCTGAAACGGCACACTCTCATCTTCTGGTCTCCTTGCTTTTTCCTTCATGTCGTCCGTGGTTTACGTGTCCTTGGCCAGATGAAAAATGAGACGGCATCTTTTCATTTCGCTTTATTCGTTTTAATCGTTTCAAAACATAGATTTTTCGAGCGCATCACCAGACTGAAAGATGCATGAGAAAAGTGATCCTCCTTTCTTTCTCTCTTTTTTTTTCCCTTTCCCTTTTTCTTCTTTTTTTGAGGATAATTATGCTCCCACTTTCCCCCATGTTCGTCCCTGGTATCATTTCCTTTCTGTCCATTTTCCGCTCTCCTCACTCTCATACCATTCTCACCTCTCGCCTCTGGAAGGATGGGGTGATGACACGGTTTTGCTCTCCTTGATCCTTGTTTACTCTGCTTTTCGTTCTTTTTACAATTTCTTTTTTTGTCTTTTCTTTCCTTTCCTTTTCTTTTCTTTTCCTCTCCTTGTTACTCTAGCTATTCAGCCCCAGATGACGTGTAAACGATTTTTCTTATTGTGCCATGATTGACGGAGGACCACTCAATGCCCGGGCAGCCTACCGCCGTCCTGGGCAAGGAGGGTTAACGGCACGGCGAAAACACGGTTCTTTCTTTACCCTTTCCTTTTTTTTGCTTCTTGATTCTTTATTATTTGTCAAGTTAGAGACACATGTAATGTGCGAGAGAGAGACCCAAAAAAATGAATAAAAAAGAAGAGAAAAAAACCAGGAGAAAGAAGAACAAAAAAAGAAAAAACCATTGGGGTGTCATTGGCCCCGTACTAGGATTATTTTCTCCGACGCCCTTCCTCCTTCTCCTCCCCTCGAGGGGAACAAAGACAAGGAAGAGCGACAGGGGAAAGGACTGAACGGAGGAGGCGTCTCTTTCCGCTGTCAGTTGGGGCAAATGTGAGTGTAAGTGTTATGTTAGTCTGGAGTCAGTCAGGTTTTACGGATTACTGTTGTGGGAATCTGCAAGTAGACGCAGACCTAGGGCTACCTGCAGGACGAGTGGGCCTATAATTTGACTCGGACAGTCTACCAGTGGATTTTATCAGGCTGCAGTGCAGTGCAGTGCACCTCGGGGAGGTCATCCATGGATTTGGATTAGTGTGGAGTCAAAGCGAAGCACAGCAACTGCTCCTCTCCACAGTCGGGTGAGGCATTGGCTGCAGGGAAGGAAAGGAAGGTATTCTGTAAAGATTAACTGAGGATGAAAATAAAAAGTGAAGATAAAAACAATAAAACAAGAATCAAGGATTAAATAACAAATAAAAGATGGATATAATAATGATAATAATAATAATACAAGATCAACAGCCTGAAAGAAATCAAGAAATTAAGGGGAACAGAAAGAAAACAGGGAACAAAAGCAGGCAGGCGTTCATTGAAGCTGAAGTGGTGTGGGTCACGGTTGGATCCAGTATGGCGGTCGGCCAGCAGCCGTCTTCTTCGGGGTCGGTGCGCTGCTCACCTCCTTTTCTCTCTCTTTCTGTCTATACTGGATAGGAAGTAGTGGACAGGAAGTGGGGACCTGTCTCTGTCGTTGAGCTTGGGGACATGACTTGTCTGCCTTCTTTTTTTTTTTTCTTTTTTTCTTCTTTTATCTTGTCTGTTTTGTTTCGTTTTGGTCTTTCCATTTTTGAGTGCTTCTATTATACCTTCAGCTCCACTTAACCCTATCCACCAGTGCTGCATCTCTCACCGAGATTGTCTGGATCCAATTACAGTGACGGAACCATATAGATCTCCCGTGCGTGGACTTCGCTCTCCAATTCAATCGTTCTGTTTCCCAAGGCAATCCGACGTCAAAAGGAAGATACACTAAGATGATCGCCGTGGGACCGGTCCATCACGATCGACCAAACATGCATTAGGGCCGATTCTCCTGGGTAGCTGACTCAGCTGTGTTCTAGTGGTCACTGGTTGACCGACGCGGCGGATGCAGAACCCACTAGCGCCTCGGCACGTTCCGGCCATCCCAGACGGTTCCCCCGGTTCATCCTCGACTTCAACCTTGCCGGTGCTGCGTGACTGCAATCATTCGTGCCCCCTCCAAGGTTGTCCTTCGGTGTATTTCGATTCTTCTGGGGATAAAGGGTGACATCGCTGTCAATCTTCAGCTGCAGCTGCATTGCTGATATGTTAGGAGAAGTTTTCCATGCTCCACCCGTTTTCCAGGGTTGACGACTCGACAGACAGCTAGCTCATACATCCCCAGCAGATAGATCCCATCACTGGACCAGTCAAACATGCATGGTGGACTAAAGGGGTCGGACCAGGTACACCTCTCTCTCAGCTGATCGATATTGCATCTGCCTCCGAAGGTTTCCCAAAATTACTGATACAAGCCGGCTGTCGCGGGCTGGGGGGGAGGGAGGAAAGTGTGCGTGGGCGGGTCCACGCAGGCAATGTCAATGCAATAATAACCCCCTAGAATGGTCCGCCATGCACGTCGTACAAGGGGGAAGGACCCAAAGATGTCAGTGGGGTGAGAGACCTTCTTTCTGCTCGGTTTGGGGTTTGGGGGGGGTACATCATTCGACTGGGGAAGGCGGCCAACAGGAAACAGGGAAAACGTCGTGGTGCAGGTATTCCAGGGAGATTGTGCAACAGTTGCAGTTCCACCGTGCCGACGGGGCACCTGGCAAAGCAATATGGGTGACACCCTAGTCGGTTCTCGAATCAACGTGCAGGCCAAGGCCCACCCTTTGATTGATCCTCTGCGATATCCACTGATACGCCTGCCCTTGAGAAGTCATTTCCGATCCTGAGGTCTGTCTTCACCCCACCTTCGTCCAGCGCCCACTGAAAACGACCCACGTCCTGCTCCGTGTCGGTGGACTCGCCGGACGATCGGCATCTCATGGAGGACCGTGGCTGTCTGAACCAAGACAGAAGAAGCCGGGAGCTTGATAGCCCCGTGCGTCGGGTCTACGAAACCAGATTCGCCGCTATCATGCCATTCATCTTTCATGTCGTCACCGGATTTCATTCCAAGGCTAACAGAGCGGATTCACCCAATAGATGCCTTCTTTCAAACCCTTGCTCAGTCGGCTATGCCGAGCCGTCTCCCCCGCCCCTCGAGTGTGTTTTTTTTTTTTTTTTTTTTTTTTTTACTTTTCTTTCTTCTGTTGCAGGAAATTTCCTACACGTCCAGCATGGGTGCTTTCGCCCTTCGGCCATCGCCACCTCACGCATCCCGGTCTTGCGTGCATTGACCTACGTCTCGTTTCACGAAACGGTCCTCGGATGTTGTGCTGCGCCAACAAACTTCTGACAAGCCCACCGCACGCGATGACCGACACGACGAGGGATTGTTGGAAGGGTACCTGCTCACGTCCAAGGCCTGTCTCTGTATCAGGCCTGTCTGTACCAATTGGCCTCGGTGGCTTGGCGCGCGCATACCAACTCCTCCTTGGTCCTCTTTCGCCCCTGGTCCTCTCTCGCCCGCCTGGTCCTCTCTCGCCCGCGCCTTGACACTCACCCACCAGCCAGCTCGGCCGGACCTTTCGGGTAGCACAACAAAGCATGTAGTCACCGCCACCAGCCAAACCATCCAACCAAACACAACAAACCCACAAAATCCCCTCAAAACACACAGATTTGTCCACAATTCAAATAGAATACCATAACTCAAATCCTTAGAATAAAGTTGTAAATAACCAGCCCATTCATCACCATCACCAGTCAAATCCCCCAGTCACTTCCCCTCCTTCTCAACCCTAGACACCCGGAGCGCCAATTTCCGATCCAGCTCCTCTTGCTCCGCCGCCGTGGCCTTCATCCCCATTACGTCCTCCACCTGCGGCGACATCCAGAGTCCAATCGACGCCCAGGCCATGAGGCCCACTCCGAACAGGGCGCGCGTTTTGGGCGTTAGGGATCGGTAGGAACTAGACGGCGCGTGTGTCAGATTGGTTCTTTCTTTCTGTCTTTCTTTGTGTGGATTTTCTCCGGTTTGAGGAGGTATAGACAAGGGGTTAGTATGGACAGACCTCCAGAATGACATTTTGATTTATTTAGTGATTTTCCTTTTCTTGAGTGGTGTGAGATAAATGGGCGCCGTGCGACAGACGGTCACTGCGCAAGTCAGGGCGCCGTGGAAATCCGGATGGAATGGATCTGAGCTAGGCTTGAGATGGTTTAGTTGGGTTCGGTGCTCGGATGGGTAGGTGGGAGTTACCGCCTGGGTTCTGCCGGTGCTATTTATTGTCTTCCGCTTTGCTTTCCTATCGTAGATCGTCAAAAGTAGGATGTAGGAGGTAGTCTTGAGTCGCTCATCGTTAGGATAGATGGGTTTGGTTTACGGGGATTGGACTATTCGTGTGTTGATTTGAGATGGATGGGTTTGTTTTGTGTGCTAACTTGCCTGGTGATGATATACTAACAGGACAAGACACTCTGTGAACAACAGCAGCATACTAATATACACCGAGGATATATGTCCGGTTTAAGGTTATAAGAATATAGATACTAGAAAACAAATCCCGACCTTCATCCATCTACTCCAATCCCAGACCATATATATCCAATCTAGGCAAGTCTTCTCCCGTCTGTGTGTTTGGATCCAGATGTTTCCAGTTTCCACACACATACAGCTCAAGCTCCTCAACCTAGATAGAACCAACTCACTCTGCGCAGTAAACAGAAATACTCCATTCTAACACCCTCGAAAAAAAAAAAAGTCTATCTAATAAAGTCCCATGGACAAAAACAACACCCCTAACGACCCGCCGTTAGAAAGACAGACAAACAGACAGAGAAAATCTATTCAGGGAGTACAAGCCCGGCGTACACAACCAAAAGTCAAGCCCAATTAAGCTTTCGACAGATACACCAGCCTTCCGCCCCTGTCTTAGATATTATTCTGGGTCTATTCTCTGCTGAAGGTTGTACCACGCAGAGACTGCACGAGAGCTACCCCGGGGGTCTTGAATTGATAGACTCGTGGATTACAATGTGTTTTGCTGTCCGGAGTATGTCTATTCACGAATCCACGGACAGGGAGCAAGGCACGATATGACTTGCTAGATCGTTCTGACTCTGTTCTGGTGGGAGGGACCCAAAGATCAGGATCCCTCTTTAAACACTTGCCAACATTATAGAATTGAGGAATCTGTTGATGCTCCGATGGTAAGCTACTCATTCAGCATAGTCTGGTCACTATCCGTCCATTCAGGCTACATATGTATTTGGAGGGCATCGCGAGCGAGCTCATGAAGAACAGAAGTGGAAGATCGCAGACTAGATATACTACAGAATATGAATTGACCAAGCCTATCTCATGAGTTCTATTGTATCCAACAATATAGAGTACTCCGTACTACATACGTTGTAAGTAAGTAAACCACTCCCCAACTCACCCAACACGGTAAAAACAAACAACAAACCAAAGACTAGATAAAGCCAAACAATAACCCAATCAAAACAAAGTACGTATAATCGAACCAAATCTCCAAAGCAAAAATAACGACGAAAGAAAAATAAAAAAGAAATACCGACAGCTGCAGGATTCGAACCTGCGCTCACGAATGAACGGGATCGCAGACGGGTAACCGTATTTCTACGGTCGGTGTATAGCAGTCCCGCGCCTTAACCACTCGGCCAAACTGTCTGAATGATGGAGGAGTAGTATCTTTGGGGAATCATATTCGAGTTGTTGGTTTTGTACCGGCTTGCTGAGGTTTATTCTTCCTCACCTTATTTTATTTATCTATGGGTATCCTCTACATGGATTTTAAGATAGATCTATATATATGTATATGTACGTAGTACTCCGTACTACTGGTCGCAATGCTCTCTGGAGGGTTACTCATTCGTACGTTGTCACTCTATAGGTGGTAGTTGGGTGGACAAGTGTTACTGGATTCGACACGATATATAGAAATATATAGTCTGTATATTATTCGCTAGTGCCAGTCGTACAGCACACCATTACTCTAGTCAATGAGATTTATCAGAATTCTGACTGCATTGTCTGATAAGGTATAAGATATGAAGCGCGAATAGCTGTTTATCACTCCAACTCCAACTAGTAAACGGTACCTAGTTATATAGATAGAATTACGACCTGTATCACACCTACTAGGTAGTTAACATGTAGTCTACCCTTTATATAACCAACCACTCACGTATCAAATATACAAGCCCCTACAATGGACACATCAATACTCATCGTTATATTCTCTACTGAGACAAATAAATAGTACATTCCAGATCCACGGGCAGAACAGCACACAGCACAGCACACCCAAAGGAACAATTTCAATGCAAAAGGTATAACGTAACTAAAGGTAGGTTCGAGGCTGCAAAATCAAATCAAAAGAAAAGAATGGGAATCAAGATCAACCAAAGAAAAACGAAGCAAGACAGTGCGTGAAAAGCATAATTGGAACAGTACGTTAGGTTGGGGCTGAGAAAGACGGTCGTTTATTTCTTGCCATATGCGCGGTCGATATCCTTCTGGAAATGGCTGACGATCTTCTTGCGCTGGAGTTTCTGGGCTGCGGTCATGTAACCCTGTTTGGATAGTTAGCGAGTGACCTCAAATCAAAGTTTGAATTGAACAAGAGATAAAGAGGGGAGGGGGAAAAACGTACAGTCTGTGGCGTCCACTCCTCGTCGGACATGACAACACCGCTAACGATCTCAATCCCCCGGAGACCGCCCGCACGGCCGGCATTCTGAAGCTCCTGGAGGACGTACGACTTTAGCTTCTCGTTGTGAACCAGTGTCTCCAAGGTCTCGCCAGGGATGTTCTTCTCGCTGGCGAGCTTCTTCAGGGCGGCCTCGACGGGCACGATGATGGCAACCGGCCGATCCTGGTCCTGGGCCGCGAAGACGCAGATGTTGCCAACGATCGGAGAAGACCGGTAGACCGACTCAAGCTTCTCCAGCGCGATGTACTCGCCGTTCAGCGTCTTGACCAGGTTCTTCTTCCGGTCGATGATGCAGAGGTGGCCGTACTTGTCGAATTGACCAATGTCACCCGTCTTGAACCAGCCGTCCTCGGTGTACGCGGCCTTGGTCTCTTCCTCGTTCTTCCAGTAGCCGCTCGACACACCACCGCCGCGGATGAAGATCTCACCCTGCGGGGGGTTGTTCTTGGCAAAGTAGCCCGCATCGGGGAAGTCGACGAGTTTGATTTCGATCGAAGCGGGAATCTCACCCAGAGCGTCCGGGTTCCAGGCCATCGGGTCGTTCAGCGCACCCATGGCAGTGGTCTCCGTCAGGCCGTACCCGCTGATCATGGGGGCGATGCCCATGGACAGGAATCGCTGGGTATCCTTGGAGATCGGACCGCCGCCGTTCATGAAGATGCGCAAACGGCCACCAGTCGCCTCCCGCAGCTTCTTGAAGACCACCGAATCCAGCACCCACGCGCCGAGATTCGAGCCGGGGACGCCCGTCGCCATGAGGAAGTTCTTGGCGGACATGGCGCCCCAGAACATGCCCTTGACCAGGAAGCTACCCTTGTTCAAGTTGCTGAGCACACCCTTCTTCACGGACTCCCACACCGCCGGCACGCCGACCAAGATCGTGGGCTTGAACTCCTTGATGTCGCCGCTGCAGTTCCGCATCGAGGCATCCGACAGGGTGCGGGGGTTTCCGTAACCCATGGTACCACCCCAGAAGAGGCAGACATTCTCGAACATGAATTCCAGGATGTGGGATTGCGGAAGGTAGGTGAGCAGAGAATCGGAGGGACCGATGTAGGGTCCGACAATGGCCTGAACACCGGCGGCTATAGACATCGTTAGTCTGTACCACTCGGGAGATCAAAAACAATCCATGCAGTGAACTTACCGGAGGCAATGACGTTGCCCTGCGTCAGGGGAACGCCCTTGGGAGGGCCGGTCGAACCCGACGTGTACATGATGCAGCAGAGATCTTCGGGGCTCGGGGGGACGGGATCCACCGGGTTCTCTTCGCCAAGCTGTCGCAGCTCGTCGAAGCTCATCACGTTCAGGTGCGGGAATTGCGACTTCAGACGGTCGAGATCCTCCTGTTTGTGCTCCAGGTGGCTGTTGTAGATGACGTGCTTGATGGACGTCGCGTCGGCGAGGACGTTTGCCACCGAGGGAATGAGGTTGGGGTCGCAGAAGATGCCATCACTCTCCGTCTGTACCATGGAGTGTTTGAGACCCTCCTCACCCAAGGTATCATACGCGGTGACCACCGTGATAGACTGGCACGCAGCTCCTACAAGAAACAGACAGTCAGTTACCGTTCGCGCGCAGCAAGTGTCAAAGAGGGGATACGAACCGTGTGACATAGCCAGCCAGTTCTCACTACACAAGAACAACAGACGTTAGCGCCACGTCCAACTCCTCATCCAAGCCCATCGGGTAGACTCACCTAGTTGCGCCAAAAAGGTGGACGCGGTTACCCTTGGCCAAGCCAATCTTGCGCAGACCCTGGCCCAGCTGCAGCGCCAGTCGCTCGTACTCGATAAACGTCTTATACTCATAACCGCTCATCTCATAGTAGTTCCATTGCTTCTCAACCTCCTTCTCGACACCGTCGACCACCTTCTTGACCTTCTTGTTCTCCGTGTGGACCTTGATCAAACGGCGAGAGCCAACGGCCTTGGCGTTGCCGAAGACGCGAGCCGAACGACGGAGGATATCATAGGTGGTAGCGACGTCCTCGGGGAGGCGCGTGAACAGGCCATCCTTGGCAGCGGGTAGTCGACGGGGGATCGTCTCGCCGGGCTTTGCTTCGACGCCGGGAACCTCGACGGAGAAGGGAGGCTTCTTCGCCATGCGCGGCTGTAGACGAGCTTCTTTGAGCGACATGTTGTGATGTTTAATATATTATAGAATCGCAGGCGTGTGGGGGTATTGCGACGGCTAAACAAGTTGGGTCGGTTAGCGAAGGGGTCTCTAGATCGGAGGGAAGAAAACACAAAGTGAAGAGGTCGAAACAAAGAGCTCCGTGACGAGGGATCCAAGAGAACAGGAGAAGACCCAGTGGACTGGGGAAGCGGGGAAAGTCAAACTCAAAAGAGAACCACTTACGAGGAGTTGAGGTGGACTGGGGGTCAACCAACGTTGCTCCGAAGGTTACCGTTGAAGTTAGGTATGAGTGGGAGCGGGGGGAGAACTTCCAAGAATGAAGGAAGACGGGAAGGCGAACTTGGAAAGATTTAAGAGGGAAAGGGGGAAGTAAAAAGGAGGAGAAAGTCCGGGGGAGAAGAGGGGAAGAGATGGAAGGGGAGAGAGAGGAAAGAGGAGGAGATGAAGCTGCGCCGGATGAAGTCAGTCAGTCAGGAAAAGCACGTTAACCTAGTGAACCCCAGTAGTTAACCTAGGTACCGAGGCCTTCGTGGACCAGGTTTGGGTCTCATTGGTGGCTGGGTTGATTGCTCCGGATGCAGACTCGACTTCCTCGGTGGTATTCCAGTGTATTTCCAGTGCATTCTCAGAGATTAATTAGAATGTGATCGATCATAGCGTTCTTGTCCACGTTCTGATTTAGCTACTGTGATCGTGGTTCTGCAGGTCTACGTAGCTATAGTATGTAGCTCAACTAGCTAGATCTAAACATGACAACAGCTCTTTGCATGCATCGATCCTGTGATCTACATGATCTGGTCATAAGATCAAGGATAAAGAAGGTAAAGAATGAACACAATAATTTAATCTATACTGTCTATACAGTTTTGAAACCAATATCACCATCAACCCCAGAAAAACAGGGAAATGTCCAAGCTAATGTTCATAATTTTTTTGTTGGGCCTGAGTCCCAACAGTTCGAGCTCCAATGCAGATCATCTGGGGGCCTGAGGCCACTAACGGCTCTCCGTTGCTAGCCAGTAGCCAGTAGCCAGTAGCCATTGTAGCCGACAGGTAGTATGGAGACACATGAAAAGGACAATTAGATGAATGACTGAAACTGAAGCGGTCAGGAACAGCCTCCATACTTGGGCATGTCTGCAGACCCTGACTGTTGTCAGACAAGCGGATTGTGACATGAATGAAACCTACCACCTTGAAGTCTGATGGGGTTCATTGATCTGGCCCACCCGAGCAGCTTCAAGCACCGTCCAATCAGAGGAGCCACCCGGGTATCAGTGCTGACTAAGTGGATAGGGTTCAGAATTTGACTTTGATCACAGTCGACTGTCTGATATAGTAGTATCTACTTCCTTGCTGTTCATCTTTGCTGTTTTGTATTCATTGGTCTTCTTATTGAGACGTAGCTCTGATACAATTACTCTGACGTCATCGTCTACAGCCACATTGACACATCTCACTTTCTGAGCCCAGTACAGCTCACTCTGTAGCTCACACGACTATCTCTCGATCTCCATGTGGGGATCTAATCCCAGTCCTAACATCAAACTCTACTAGAGTTCGAAACTCTAAACTCTACCCTACCTTATTATACTAGGTATACGGAAGCAGAATCCACCATGGACGACCTCACCAACTTCTTAACATCCATTGGTCCAGAGGTAGAAGATGCCGACGAGGGTATGTACCGTAGACACCAACACCAACACACACATGTATACATGTATAGAGCCCAAACTGAAAGACACTACATAGAGTCCTTCTTCCTCTTCTCCCAAGACATTCCCTCCTCCAACCTGGGCTTCGTCGACTCCCGCGCCCCGTCCCTCGACGTCTCCATCCACGGACAGGACTATGTCGTCCGCCAGTCTCCGACGCTGCTTTCGTCGTCTAGAGCGGGTGGGACAACCGGTGCCGGTATGTATCCATTATACTACCTACCTTAGTATAGACCCCAGCAAACCAACAACAAAAACAAAAGAAAGAAAGAAAACACCCAACCAACTCACTAACCCAAAAATGTTAAAAAAAAACAGTCCTCTGGAAAATCACCCCCCTAATCGCAGAATGGCTCTCCCACACCTCGAAAAACCCCCTCTGGACGAACTCCATCCTGAACGAATCCTCCACAGTCCTCGAACTCGGCTGCGGCATCTCCTCCCTCCTGGCGCTGACCCTCGCCCCGTCGATCGGACACTACGTCGCCACAGATCAGGAATATGTCCGTCGTTTGCTCCGCGAGAATCTCGACGAGAATGTTCCTTCTTCGTCTTCGTCTTCTCCCTCGTCGTCTTCGCCGAGGATGGGATCTAAAGGGCGACAGAGAAGACAGAAACAGCTGCCACAACAGCAGCGCAGCCCCACCAGTAACATCACATTCGCAGCCCTAGACTGGGAAACCGACATCCCGGCCTCCCTAAAAGAGTCTCTCTCTCTCTCCTCTCCCACCCCCAGACCAACCGAAGACGAAGCCGACGAAGACGAAGACGAAGAACCAGATCAAGGCTTCGACGTCCTCCTCTCCTGCGACTGCATCTACAACGAAGCACTAGTAGCGCCCTTCGTGCGCACCTGCGCCGACTTCTGCCGTCTACGGCCTACATACACTCCTGACCAGGATCGGGCGCAGCAGAACCAGCAGAGTAAAAGAAAGAAACCAACGGTGTGCATAATCGCGCAGCAGCAGCGCACGCCGGACGTGTTTGAGACGTGGTTGAGGGAGTCGATGCGGGTGTTTCGCGTGTGGAGGGTCGCGGATGAGGTGTTGGGCGGGAAGTTGGGGGTTGGGTCGGGGTATTTGGTGCATGTTTTGGTGTTGAGGGGTGATTAGGATTAGGATTGGGTGTTGGTTGTTGTATTCTGGGGTGGAGGGGACTGTGGTGTATTGTAATTATGAAGCAGACGTAGATTTTTGTATAGACATTTGTTGTATTGGGTTATTCTTATCTACTGCTGCGCTGATTACGCTGTTCATGATATGGGCGTAATGAAGTATTACATATGCAATAATATTTTCGTTAGCCAATGCACCACCCGTGCATGCAACCCTCAAGCGTAAACGACATGTGCAGTATAAACATCCATGCAGATGCAGTATAAACAGGCAGATAGAAAAAGAAATGCAGGGCCATCGCAGAGGCCCAGAACCGTAACCGCCATGCCAGTATAAAGATGACGTGACAGGCAATGAGGAAAAAAGATTAGTACATGACCGATTGAACCGCGGGTCAAGAGGAGGGATCAAAAGGAGGGAGTGAAAGAAAAACATTAACTATCAATGTAAATAAGGTAATGCAGAAAACCACCCAGGATACACAATCGGGTATTGACGCAAAAAGTGCAATGAATGAAGGCCAAAGCGAATGCATGCTTAGACTATGCGACTGGGGAATGCAACAAACGCATATGCGTCGCGAATTTGTATTATACTGGACGATTTCGATCACCTCCGTTCGGCAGGATCTCGGGGTTCACTGCGGCCTCGCTCCACTCGCGGGGGAACAGGGATCTCGGCCTCGTCTCGGGTGGGAGGGGACCGGCGCTCCGGGGAGGGTCGCGAGGGAGGCTCCACCGGCCGCAGAGGGGGTGAAATCTCGCGCTCCCGCTGACGGTACTCTTCTTCCGGATTGCGATCGATGATCGAGGAGATGGACTGTTTCGTTGAGATCGAGGTCGAGGTCGAGGTCGAGCCGTTGACCTTCGGTGCCTGCACCGGTTCCTCCGGGGGAGGGAAAGGGGCCATGGGCGGGGGTGGCATGGTCTTCTCCACGGCCTCCAGCTTCACTCGTTTGATCCGTCCTTCCTCCTCCTCCGACGCGGAGGAGTAATCGATGTCTTGGGAGTAGCCCTCGGGGGCCGAGTCTATGCGGCTCTCTTCGGTGGACGCCCGTTGAACGGTCGACACTGGCGGGAGGGGCGCATTCGGGTCGAAAACGATGCCGCATACTTCGAGCGCTCTCGACTGACTCCCGAGGCTGCGGTCCTTGTGCTTCTTGGTCAGATGGCACATGAACCCGTGCAGCGTCACAAAGTCGGCTTTCCCGCAGCCGGACACCGGACACGTCAGATAGACCAGGCTGCCGTCCGACGGCCGCTTCCACAGGGCACGACCCGACGGATCATGCGATGCTGGTCGCCCATGACGCTCCCCCCACGCTTCGACATTCTTGATCGTGTACTTCTGCTTGCGCCGGATGGCACTGGCTCCGTTGGGGTCGTGGTGATGAAGATGCTGGGGCGGCGGGATATGGTGATGAGGGGGCGGAATCTGCGGCGGCGGGGGAGGGATTGCACGGGGCTCTGGCGGACTCTGTTGCTTGAAAAAGGCAAGGGTCGTGGCCGCATTGGTCTCGGAGAGACGACGCGGGGGCGTGGGTCGTAGTGGCGGGGAATCCACGTTCCCATTGAAGCCCAGCCCCAGAGACTCGCGCTTCAGCCGTTTTCGCTGTCTACGGAGTTCCTACCCGATAAGAAAGGTCCATGTCAGATATCATCATCTATGGGAAACTCCCGCTGCAGCGTTTATGTATCATACCTCTTCTTCAGCTTCGGCGTTTTCAGTCATCCTACGGAATTCTTCATCTTCACGCTTGCGGACGGCTAGTAAATGGCTACGCGCAGCCATGCGGGCAGCCTCTTCATGCTCCAGCTGTCTTAAGCGACCTTCGATGTGGTCTAAGTGGTGTACAGGCGGCGGCGGGCCCGGGGGGCCGTGTCCATGGTCTTGCAACGGAGGCGGAGGCGGGAAGTGACGAAAGTGATGGTGAGGTGGTAGATGGTCCGGGTGCACTTGTTGGTTGGGGTTCATGGCAATTGGGTGGAATCGAGGCAGAGCCATATTGAGATGATGGTGATGGTGGTGATGGTGTCCTGGGACGCCGTTGACACCATTCTCGTGGGCCGGAGCCACGGGAGGTGCAGCAACCGTCATTATGCGGACTGGATTGAGTTAGTGGTGCGATTTACTTTTTTTCTTTTTCTTGCTTTGCTCCTGAAACCATGCACATGCACATGTAGATGAAATTGGATGGGTGATACAGGCAGTTGAAACTGGGGAAACCCCGATAGATGGAGGAAAAGGAAAAAGAACAGCAAGAGCGGAAGACAGGAAGTATCAATAGTAAAAAAAAATATAAATATAAAAATATAATGATAAGACAACAGGACGATGACGGAATCAGGGCAGGGTATGAGGGGTCAATAGAATAAAGGGCGAGCAAAGGGAGATATCAGGAATGAGAGCCGTGGGTGATAGGAGAATATAAGGATGGAGGAATGTGAGAATGGGCTAAGGGGGAAGTGAAGAAACCAGACTTACATTTCCAGCAATGATCATATGCAGTTAAATAAGGATGAAGGAATGATAACAGTCGAATAAATGTCACAAGTGGACAGACAGTCGGGTCGAAAGTACTACAACAACCGATTAAAAAAATAGAAATCGAAAAAAAGAAGTAGAAAAACAAACCGCTAGCGTGCTGCACCCTGCCCGTTATTCTTGTCCTTCTTTCCCTTTTGTTGTATTTTTTTTTTCTCCCCCTTCCGAGAGATGGGACTTTCAAAAGCCGATAGTATCTCAATGTAGAGATGGCGTGCCTTCAGGTGGAAGGTCAATGCAATGCAGCGGTCACCGCTAAGCAAGGGATTTGATAGGATTGAAGTGGGCGGCGGGAATTCTAAAGGACGATGAGCGAGGAAGGGAAAGGTTAAATTTAGTAGACAAGGATGATGAAAAGACAGACAGAAAGAACAGCAAAGAAAGATGATTGCAAGTGAGGGAAAGGTGAGTAAAGTAAGAGATTGAGAGAAGACACTAAGATTTAATTACCAGACTAGAAAAATATTAGAAAAACAATAAGAAGAAAATTCTATAATCAAATAAAATTAGAAGAATCAAAAAATAAGGCTAAGAAGAAAGATGATTATTATGAATCCACCAGATCAAGGGACAGCTCCAACCATTGAGGAATACTAGGCACCGGACTAGTTCATGAGAAAAAACCAGTTTGACGCTTGGAAACAACCCAGTCCATGGACTGATTCCGCTAGTGGGGAGAGCTCCAGTATCAGATGTAGTAATAATTGTCAATAATCAACAGCTTGTTCTGCTGCGCTGCAGGTTGCACGACCGTCAGGGCTCATCCATGATTCCTATTCTTCCCCGGTGCCCTGTCCTCTTGGAGTCTAGGACTGTCTGGGGTGCTGAATAGGTTGATACGAGGTGCTTTTGATCAAGGGAAGAATTGAAACACAATCAAACATGAGATTTGTGTACAAAATATATCAGTCCTGATGATAATTTAAATAGAATAATAATGTATAATATAATCATCGCTGGTTTATCTCTATCCTATTCATATAGACTACAGAGTATGAGAGTATCAGTACTGTTATTGCTTAAAAATTTTCAACCCTTATTAGGAGTTCTTCAGTCCCAATCAATCAATCAATCCATCCCATCGATGGATTTATTAGCTTGGACCCTCCCAATGAAAATCCACTAGGTCACACTAGTGACAAACACAATCAACTCATCGACAACCAAGATTCTGGCCATTCTTGGGTATTTACACGGATTCCTCTAGATCATCTGCTCTTCGGGATCTGTAGCTTGCAGTCTACACCTGGGTAGTCATCTTCAGTCAATGTACCTCCTCGATGGTGTCAACATACATACTACCCCCTAGAAGCATCGAGTACCGCTCACTATCCCAAAAATCCTCCTAGGCATACCTCCCTATCTTCCAAAAGGCGGGAACAGGGAAGAGAAATTCCACTTCACTTCCACTTTCAATATTTTTCTCCCTTTGTTCGTTCAGTGATCGGTTTGTTGGTTTGTTTATTTTCCTGGGAAAACGTCTAATTTATTTTTAGAGGGGTATTCCCCTGAGAACCAATGGGAGTTGGGCGATCTACTAACTTGTATGTAACACATTGAAATGAGAAGGAATGTGGAAGATCATGGAAGATCAGGAAATGTATTGTGTAATGGAGTTTACTTTACTTTTGCTTTTGCTTTTGCCCGGGTGTGACACAGTCAGGACTTGAATTGTTTCACATTGATCTTATCATACCGTAATATATACGGAGTACTATAGAGATGAGTGTGGAAGACTCAATGTCTTGAAAGAGTCAAGGCAAAAAAAAAATACTAGATATGAAATAGAGAAAAAGAAGGAATGAGAAAGAAAGAAGAAAGAAAAAAAGTAATCTAAATGATTGGACCAGAAAGACCCCCAGGAAACGGTCCCAGATAGGTAGAGGTAATAAATACAATAATAAACTGGACCATGACAAGACCAAGTGGAGATAACCAACCCTCGACTGGATTTATTCCTGGAACAATACATTAAAACCAATGTGATCGACAGATAGGAGTTTTGCAGTCAGCTGACAAGCCTATTAGACAGGAAGAGGAAGAACTTGCTCTTTTGTACGCTGCTTACTGGCTGGTTCAATTAGGTTGGAGAGTGTTTCCTCCATGAACCGGAGATCTCCTACTACCACTGCTATTTGGGTAAATAAACAGGTACCAGTTCAACCTCCGACAGTGGACAGGGTAGTGGACACTCCGAATGTTGTTCATTTTCTGTTTTCATCCATCATCCCACCCCGTATTCAGATTTGTATTGATCACGATTACTCTATCTATAATAATAATTATTACCCCTGTCATCACTCGTATCCATGGTTCTCAATCTATCCAACCAACTGTCAAATAGATTAATCTGAATCACCCTCAATCTATCTGGGGTTGAATCCAATCCTATACACCGACCACATGCAATCATTCATCCAGATAAAAGTCTAGCCCATAGAATAGATTTACCCAATGTTCCAAGTTCCAAGTTCCAAATTAATCCAACCCATCTACCAACCTAAAGTAGTCTACCCCAAACACAACCCATCAGAAGTGCAGAACACATCAGAAGTAAACAAAGTACCATCCAGCCCATGCTGCAGCATTCCAATCGGAGCCTTGCCCCATCCCCAGGCCCAGTGGTCTAGTTCGTTCTTCTCGCCACATCTTCCTGGAGTGGGGTGCGCATGAAGGATTGGAACTCGATACATGTGTGTACGCTGCTGATTTGTTCCTTCTTTTCTTCTTCTGCATTGCTGCGCTGCGACTGCTGCTGTTAGTCGTTACTACTGCCGCTGCAAGTGTCTTGGGTGGAGACGACGGGTCTGTGTGAGTCTGTGTGTGCAGCCGATAAGAGCATGGATTATGGACGGTCCTCACCAGTGAAAAGTACAGAGTAAAAAGTCAAATGAATTAAGTAAAAAGTAAATAGTCAACCCTCGAATCAAACGCTGCAGTTATAGATCTCCCTGTCTCGGATCTGGGAAGACATTCCCGTTGGATGAAATCAAGGAGGGAGAGGAGGATTTGTTGGCGGCTTCAGCCAAACTCAATCTACCTATCATTATTAGTCTTACATTCTTTCACCGCCCTGTTGTCCGAGGTAATTTAATTAATTGATTAATAGAGATGGCTTTTACCGATTCGGTGTTATTATTGAAACTAGTTGTGTGTTTGGGGAATCCACTGGATTGATCAGTCAGAAAGGGAGATAAATAAATCAAATAAAACAGTCAAAATAAAACAAAATTGAATAAATAAGAAATAATAAAAAAGGAAAATACAGTATTCCATTCTCCGTCCATTCTCTATTCCCCAAGCATACCTTGCTCCACTCCCTGTGTATCACACAAGTCATCATCCTTCCCCCCCCTTTCACTGGGTAGGTAACTAACCATTTTGCCCACATTCCCCAAATCTTTCATCATTCTTCTTTCATTCCGTTCAAGGTGTGTGTGGGCCGAGTATGAAGCACAATCTTGAGCATTCCATCCACGTCCACGTTGAGCATTGCAGCAGTCTGGATCTACATTCTACAGTAGTCGAGGGGCGAAAATATAAAAAATCAAAATAGAAAAGAATTCGTCAGTCTCACAACAATCCCTGCAAGAATGGCGGGTTCCGGACCTTGAATGGCATCTCCTGCATTAGATATGATTCGCTCCTTGGAGAGAAGACGGAAGTGGGGAGAGACAAGCTGGGTTGATTCAATGGGTAGGTAGGTAATAAATTAATTTATCAGATGCTAAATAGTAAATACTGATAGTAATAACAGTCTTAGTTGAGAGCCAGAACCTACGATCATCAGCGCCTGCTATCTCCCATTGGCAGAGAGGTGATACTGTAGTTTCATGGTTTGTTTAGTTAGTGCAAGGTGTGTTTTAACCCAGTTGAGGTATAGTAGGTTGGATGGAACTTGGACAGCTGGCAATGAATCCAGATCCAACTCTAGACATGGGGTGAAGGATAACCACGAATGATCCTCTGTTTACGCACTTGGAAGCTAGGCACTAGACTACTAACCTAGGAGTAATCTGGTAAGGTCAAACTCTTTCGAAACTGGTTATGGTTATGGTTAGTATGCTCGGGTTGGAGAACATTGGTTAAGCAAGGCAAGGCAAGGCAAGCAGGCAAGCAGGCAAGCAGGCAGGTAGGTAGGTACTTATGGTGCAGTGCGCAACACACATAACATGCATGCCTCTATTCATACATACATACCTAGCTGCCTGCCTACTTCCAAGTTACCTACCTTGGTATCTACCCTCCGACTCGATAGTAGGTACCTACCTACCTACCTACTGATATTCTACCAACCCAGACCTACCTTTGAAAAGGCGGAGAAAAAAAAAAAAAAGTGTAAGGTGGAATTCGAAATAAACCAGCAGGAAGAACTAGTTCCTAATCTAACCCACTGGTCCACCTAACTTGAGCTCTTCATAGCTACTTACCTACCTACTGACTTACCCCTACAATGAGGCGTTCCGGTTCTTGTTTGATGCTGTCGTTTCGGGGCTTGCTTCGGAACTGGTCAACTACCTACCTACTTCACCTGGGTTGCTAACTGGAGGTAAGAATTTATTTAGAATTGTGATGGGCTTGTTTGGTTCGTCTTGACCGGCGAGGTCGGTGGCCCACTTGGATTCTGAACGATTATAGAAGATATGTGCCCGGTTTTGAAGTCTACAAGCAAAACAACGAAGCTACGAAGGGAACCATTTTTGAAGTCGAGAGGAGATTTCCATTTCTATTATCACATGTTCCAAATACCCAGCCCAGCCCAGCCCGTCACATCCTTTTGTGGTTTTTGTAGCCCCCAGCCGTTATATCATTAAGTTACAATGAACTTCCAGGTCTCATTCCACCACCACGGCGGAGTGGACAGCGGAAAATCGGGGGATATGAGAGAAGAAAAAAAAAAGAAAAAAAAAAGAGGAAAGATGAATCCATACAAAAAGAAATGAGAATAGATAATCAAAACACCCGTACACCAGACAATCAGAAACTATCGGTATGTATACATATCATATGCCTGTTAAAAACAAGAGGAAGGAAAGAGACTCTAGGAAAATGCAGAAATACACAACTCCCATCTCGTTCAGAAACAAGATGGTCGTTCAATGGTGGTACACTTAGGCCTTGTTCTCGCCCTGGCCCTCACCCTGGGGGGGCTGCTGCTGCTGCTGCTCGTTCTGGGCCTTGTGCATCTTGTCGAAGAGGGTCAGGCTGGCAGTCTGGAGCTCGTCGGTCTTGGCCTTGAGCTCCTCGGCGGTGGCGGTGCCCTCGCCGGTCTGGTTCTGGGCGACGAACTCGCGGAGAGTACCGATCTTCTCGCGGATCTGCTCGGCCTCGGCCTTGTCCAGACGGTCCTCGAAGTCCTTGAGGGCCTTCTCGGTGTCGTTCAGGACGCTGTCGGCGCGGTTGGCGGCCTCGATGGCGGCCTTGCGCTCCTTGTCCTGCTCGCCGTACTTCTCGGCGTCCTCAACCATGGACTGGATCTCGTTGTCGGACAGACCGGAGCCGGAGGCGATGGTGATCGACTGGTCCTTGTTGGTGGACTTGTCCTTGGCGTGGACGTGGACGATGGAGTCAGCGTCGATGTCGAAGGTGACCTCGACCTGGGGAACGCCACGGTGAGCCGGGGGGATGCCGACCAGCTGGAAGTTGCCGAGCAGCTTGTTGTCACGGACGAGCTCACGCTCACCCTGGAACACCTTGATCTCGACGGCAGTCTGGAAATCGGCGGCGGTCGAGAAGGTCTGGGACTTCTTGGTGGGGATGGTGGTGTTACGGTTGATCAGACGGGTGAAGACACCGCCGAGGGTCTCGATACCCAGGGACAGAGGGGTGACATCGAGCAGCAGAACGTCGGTGACCTCACCGGCCAGGACGGCACCCTGGATGGAAGCACCAATGGCCACAGCCTCGTCGGGGTTGACGGACTTGGCGGGCTCACGGCCGAAGATGGACTTGACGGAGTCGGTGACCTTGGGCATACGGGTCATACCACCGACCAGGATGACATCCTGGATCTCGCTGGCCTGCATGTTGGCATCCTTGAGGGCCTTGCGGACGGGCTCAACGGTGCGGCTGATCAGGGGGTCAACCAGAGACTCGAGGTTGGAGCGAGTCATCTTGAGGTTGATGTGCTTGGCACCGCTGGCATCAGCGGTGATGAAGGGCAGGTTGATCTCGGTCTGGAGAGACGAGGACAGCTCGATCTTGGCCTTCTCGGCGGCCTCACGGATACGCTGGATGGCCATGCGGTCACCGGAAAGGTCGAGACCGGACTCCTTCTTGAACTCGCCGACGATGTGACGGACCAGGTTGATGTCGAAGTCCTCACCACCCAGGTGGGTGTCACCGTTGGTGGACTTGACCTCGAACACACCCTTCTGGATCTCCAGGATGGAGATATCGAAGGTACCACCGCCAAGATCGTAGACGGCGACGATACGGTCAGCCTCCTTCTCCAGACCGTAGGCCAGAGCGGCAGCAGTGGGCTCGTTGACAACACGCAGGACGTTCAGACCGGCGATCTGACCAGCGTCCTTGGTGGCCTGACGCTGAGAGTCGTTGAAGTAGGCAGGGACGGTGACGACGGCGTTCTTGACGGGCTTGCTGAGGTAGTTCTCAGCAGTCTCCTTCATCTTGCCGAGGACGAAACCACCGATCTGCGACGGCGAGTACTTCTGGCCACGGGCCTCAACCCAGGCATCACCGTTGGTGTGCTGGACGATCTTGTAGGGGACCTCCTTGATGTCACGCTGGACCTCGACGTCGGTGAACTTGCGACCGATGAGACGCTTGGTGGCGAACAGAGTGTTCTCAGGGTTGACAACGGCCTGACGCTTGGCGGCGATACCGACCAGACGCTCGCCATCCTGGGCGAAACCAACAACGGAGGGCGTTGTCCGGGCACCTTTTCGTTTTGTCAGCTGCTAGCTCGGGAAGGACAACGGTGATGATCTCCCTTACCTTCGGTGTTCTCAATGATCCTGGGGGTCTTGCCCTCCATGATAGCAACAGCCGAGTTGGTGGTACCTGTAGATTCTCATTAGATCCTGATGTTAAATCCTAACCTAGACGCATTGAACTTACCCAGATCAATACCGATAACCTGACCCTTCACCTTCTCCTCACCACCTTCCGTCGAGTTCCATCTCCGGAAAGGAGTGCTGGGAGCTCTGAAGGCAGGCGACCGCGCCAGGGTAGCGGCGCGAGGGATCTATAAGAAGACACCATCAGTTTATGTTCTGCATTGCGCTCTGTGTTGCGCATGATGTATGGTGTTGTGTCTGCAGGGACGATGGAACTTACCGCACGGCAAAAACGAGAGGGCAACATAGTGAGCTGATTAAAATAAATAGTACAAAAAAATTAGAGAAGTAGAGAACACTCCGGTCGACTCAATCGAAGGGAGTGAAGGATGAATGAGGGAGGATAGGATGAGAGGTGAAGGGGGTGGAGAGGAGGATGGGAGAGTGAAATGTGAAGGAAGACAAGATTTTTTTCCCGGCGCGATTTCTGGGGGAGGAAAAACGTAAAAGAAGGGGAGACGGAAAATTGCCCGGAGAGCTTCGGCCCGGTTCGTCGAAGTTGGTAGAATCAGTGACCGCCTGGGCATCTGGGTCACGTTTCACCCAATGACACCTGACCGCAGAGCTCCTTCAGACCGCCGTAGTTGCCGAGCCAATCCGCCACCCAATGATCACGCATCATTTCCCAGTTCAATGTTTTCCTGTCTCCACCAGGATATCCGCCACTCGAAGGTGCTAGGAACTTCGATTTAGAGAACTGGACGGGTTATACGGAGCCAGGATACCTTACTTCCTGATATATACTGTACGATGGTTTCCCTATCAATCTTGAATATCCTCATGATTACTCGAGTTGAACACCCAGTCTATTTCATGTCCCAGGTCGACTTCCGTATCCCCGAGTGATCTCCGGGTCCTTCCCATGTCGTGACGTCGTAATTGAGATTTACGTGTTGCTCGGGCCTAATGCTGACCGAGGATCAATCACATCGATCGTATCGATTCTACGGAGTACACAACTATCTATATCGATTATATCTTTAGTGCATTTGAGACCTGTGAAAAGGGCAGAACGAAAAGGTAGAAGTTAGAAGGGAATGAAAGGAGTAAAAAGGAATAAAAAGCAATTCCAATTGTGGTTGCGATGTTTAATATGCTCTACGTCACCATTCCACCGTGTTATGGATCTGGTAAAGTACCTCGGTCATTTGAGAATATATATCCACCCGATCGCTATCGGGTACTCTGTATAAGAATTCTCTTATAGATTCTGCCATAGGTATCTCTAAGGATCATAGATATATAAACACTATAGCACTTGTTTATAGTCTTACTTTTATATCATATGCTCTATTCAAGCATAACTGAATATTTTTACCAACCGACCGTGATATATACAGAGTGTGGTAGCAGGCTGAATAATCATGAGGTTTTTCAGTGCCTGAGGCTGCAACGACACAGCTTATCATCAACACCTCAAAGTTCAGGCACGCGCGATGATCATCATCAATTAGAGTTCTCATCGAATGGATGGTGCGATCGGACTCCAAAGAAAAGTATAAGGTACCTGTTATACTCAGTACTTTACAGTTATTTAAACAAGATATTGGAGTTGAGATCCATATCCTCTGTTCATATGGACGGATTCAATAGTCGATTCAATTTGACAATTGTAATAGCTACCTTCCAACCACCCTCTAAGCCAAAGTTTCTAGCCACCCCCTCTGGCACGATTCCATGACAGGGTGGCTCACCACAGTTGACCAAGCAGTGGAATGTCACCTCATTGACTATAGAGAAAGAAACCCTGGAACGGAAGAGAGACTCGACAGCCTTGACCGCATTCGCCCTCCATCAGGTTCCCCGGATTGAGAGTGACCTTACGTCATCCGCACTCCCCAAGCCTTGAACAGCACAAGAGAGAGTAACTTGGGTGAAATAGCTAGCCGGAAGCGGTTGATAGTAAGTGGTGAACGATAAGCCGCAGCGATGATCTCTACGGTGTGGAATTAAGCTGTGTTGGACTTCGATCTCGCTGTCTCCTTCTTCTACCATTCCTTTAATCTTCTACTACTACTACGATTCATATTATTAGTACAATCATCTTGGTTATCATCTTCATACTCATCTATTACTATTGTGACTATCATCGTCATTAGGGTGGAGAGACTGACAATTGCAACGCATTGATTGCCTCCCATATCCTCTCCCTTTCTACCTCTTATCAACCACCTCATAACTTCACCCTGCCCATCAGACCCTTTTCTTGGGCTCCTTTTCTCTTTGTTCGGTCCCCTTATATATACAGTCTTGCCAGTCGGATCTGCAACGGTGTTCATCCTTGTTAACATCGCTTTTAACAATGTCACGCGTGTCTTGAGATTACCAATTCATGATGACTACAGATTCAGCACTCTCGTGAGTTCCCGATCAGCTGATGGCATCGCCGATTCACCGTCCAAGCGCTAATGTCGCCCGGTCAAACTAGGTACCATCCGACCGACTCCCTGATCCTTCCGACCAAGCGACGCTTCTTCCCTTTTAGAATTCCCAACTTGTCTGTCCCCCAGTTCCACCGTCAGATCTCCGAGGAGGCGTTGGCGCGAGCTGACGATCATGCAGTCATCTCCAGCTACACCATTACATCAGCACCGCCGACCCCGATAGGATCTACGCCGTCGTCGACCGAGTCGTCTATGCAATCCACATATCGGCCCGAAAACGAGAGACAATAGCCGTGATTCCGTTCGAGCCAAGATGTCTTGCCGCTGGATACGGCTGGATTGGTGTCGGGGGCTCCGATAATGGGGAGTGCGCTTTCATCGAGATCGCCGATCGGGGAGTGCGCGTTCAGGAAGAAACGCCGGCGCCACAAGGTTCGGATGTGGATAGTACACTTCCGATCGACCTTGAGTCGCCCCTAAGGGCATCTTCCGGACCGGCCGATCCAGAGATGGCGTCGGCCCGTGACGCCGGTCGGAGGCCGTTGCCGGATGTGCAGCTGCACAAGTTCGGCGGCAGCATTGTTAATTCGGTGACGGTGCATCGTATACCGGGCGACGACAAAGCGTTGGCAGACGAGGACTTTATGGTCCTGAGGTATGATACGGAACTTGGTTCTATCGGCATCAGACATCTGCTAATCGATTTCCGACCTGTAGCAATAATGACAAAACGGTCACCGTGTACTCGTTGACACGCTCCAAAGTTCTCAAGGTTCTGCACCATCCCTATTACATGAACTATGCGATCATGTCGCCCGATTCGAATATGCTCGTCGCGGTTGGAGACGAGCCCCGTGCGTATTTCTACGACGTTACCCGCGATTTTGAAACTACTGTTCGGACAGACAACGGCCAAAAGCTTACTGGTTGGAAGTTCGACCTTCTGCGCAGTGTAGAGATGGATATTGGCGGCACGCGCTTCGATGACGGATGTTGCTTTACGATCGCATTTTCCCAGTTCAGCCGACATTGCGCTATTGGGTCGCAGTCGGGCGTCATCACTGTATTTGATGTTAAAACGCTGCGCGATGTTGTCGGAGAGCCAGAGGGGAGGAACTCTGTGATGTGCAACTTCAACTCGTCCCGGCTTTATTGCAATGGTGGTGCCGTGCGATGCATGGCATTCGCTCCCGAGCCTTGGGATCTTTTGGTCTGGCTCGAGGACAAGGGCCGAGCCGGCATTGCCGATGTTCGCCAGGCATTTACGCGCAGGCAGGTCCTTCAGTTGGACTTCAACGACCCAGAGGTTGAAGAAGTCCGTACGGAACCGCTCTTAGATGATGCCATAGGGCTGGGGCTCGATCTCGATGGTCGACCGATTCTTGAGCCACGTACTGAAATGGACGCAACAGAGCGGGCAGTTCTCGATACTTTGGAGAGCTCACCGAATGAACCAGGAGACGGGACGCCAGACCACCCGCTACTGCACGATTCTTTGGTACAAGATCTCACCGAACGAGAGAGGTTGATTGTGGAATTCTTGAATACCGCACGCTGGTCATCGAGGCTGGAAGAAGGGTTGACAGAGCGGCGGCTTGCTAGAAGCAATGTCCACCCGCCTCCTGCGCCTCGGCCCCGATTTCAACCTAGCACAGACAATCCCGCCCGACCTTCTCGTCCTACATCGCCTCCCCGTTCCGGGGACAGCCCTCGTGACCTATCAGGCGCAGGTCCTTCTTCAGCCCGTCCAGGGGGCGGTGATCGACGACCGGGCGGAAGAAACCAACACGCTGGAGCGCCACCGCGAAGTGATGTCGAGTCCGATAGCCAAACGCCGGAGACGACGGCCTCCCAGGCAGATCCCCAGCCAAGTATTACACTTAGCTGGACTGCTTCGCCCTCAGAACTGCAGGGTACCACGTTGGAGATGCCACCGCGCGCCGCTGATCCGTCCTCGCGTGATACGAGCAGTTCCAGCAACGAAAGTAGCAACGGAAGTCGTCCCTCCGTGAACTTTGATTATTCAAATACTACCCCCGATCTTTTCACTCGCACGAGGGCCTTCTACCAGCGAGATCGACAGGATGCCACCCCTGAGCCTAGATATGAGTCGCCACGTTTGTCAAACTCGGAGCTCAGGACAAACGTGGCCGCGGAGCGTATCCGGCGGCAGCGTCAGATCATCAACGAAGCGCAGAGTCGACATCTCCAGCGCGAGCAACGGTACCGACAGCAGCTTATGGGCTTTGACCAGTCCCGCGCTCCTCGGTGGACCCGGAGCGCCATCAACGAAGTTTCTGGTAGAGGTCTGGGGGCTCTACACCGAGACCAAGATTCCGGGAGCACCGCTGGGCTTGGGTGGGGCGCAGATGGGAGAACCTTGTAAGTCTCACATATCAACTAGGAAGAAACGATGACTGACTTGACCCCAGATATGTCGCAACCGTGGACGGTATCTTTGAATTCCAGGTCAATATCATGGATCGGAAAACGTTCCCTACCATCACTTATCGCTAAAGGGTACCCCATGTGCTAGTACTGCATGGTCTTTAGTCACTACCAATTTGCAACTCGACTGATCCCCTTACGACCTCAATGCTTGCAGTTCTCGAAATGATATACCGGCCCTTTCCCGAGTATTCTTGGGTTGATAAGACCTGATCAACATTGAACTAATCGGGTCATTGGCGTTCAGAATTGTTGTTCACTCCATCATTTTGCAAGGCTTTCTTTCTTTCTTTCTTTCTTCTTGTTGTTTGTTTCTTTTTTTGGACATGCATTAGCTCGTCATCTTGGGAGCGTTTTTTTGCACGGTCGGGTTCCTCTTCCAGGTTGCATATGTCTGTGGCGTCGGGGTGGGTTTAACGCGAGGGCGGGTCATAAAGGGATCATGATAATCAGGTACATGGGCATGGAATAAAAGTCTAGGTTTTGTCTTATCTATATTGAGCATTCGTAGGCCTGTGTTGTTGGTATGGGAAGGATGCATGCTGAAAAGCACAGAAGGGAGGGGAAAAGGTACTAACTAGACTGGTGAGCTACGCGATTCAACTTTCAGTCCTAGAAGATGAAGGTGTCTGCATGTATGTATTCTATAAAGACCATCTCATACGAAATATCGATCGCAAGACCCTGTAGAAGTGAAGATCTAAGCTAGCTACCACGTTAGAAAGTCAAGGCGGTAGCTCAAGCTGAGTCCCCACACGACGTCAGTGGTATTGTGTGAGAACCGCTGCCGCCCGCCGCTAACACGCCCGCTCTGCGAATGATGTCTGTCCCTCTTTCCTTCCTTCTGCCAACCAATTTGCACTTCTACCCCTCTTGCTTTGCTCGTTGTCATAACACTCTTTTGGCTTATATTGGTAAATCCGAGTTATTGATCACATTCTTTCCTGTCTGGGGCGTTCAGCTAAGGTCGTATCGCCCCGCAGATCCTGAGCCCGACTCCCAAGAAACAGACCACTCACTGGTGCGATCAAAGCTCTGCTTGGGCTTGGAGTGCCTTCAATCCTAGCTCTCATATCTGTTTGAAGGCGGTTTCAACCACTCAGCGCCTACGAAATGGAGGAAACTCTCGCCTCGACTCTGGCCAATCTGAATCTTAACGCCCAGAACCTTGACGCGGCGGCCTTCGACGCCCGGATCGCCGACGAAGAGAATGGCTCGTATCAGAGCCAAGGACCTCGACAGAGGAAGCGCCAAACCGCAGCTGATTTGAAGGACGAGCTCGAGACCGAGTTTCTGTCGCCGTCATCGAATTTTAGCCCTGATTGGCTGAATCGACTCCAAAGGTGCTGCTTGCCTTGCTACCGTTTGCTTGCTTTTGCTTGATGTGCTTGTCCCTGTTTGTGTCGCGGCCAATGGCCGTCTTTTTTGTATTCTTTGTTGTCTGTGTGATGAGGCTGTGTGGGGAGAATCTGCTAGCGCAATAGTCTGACATTTATTGATCGTTACTGACCGTCTATTAGGAGGTGGGATGTCTCAGCGGACTACACGGACCTTTTCGAGGTAGCACCTACTCAAACGCGAACCGTCGTCCGATTCGACCGTGAAGGTCTGGAGGGACGTGTTACCGGCTACCATGAGGTTACTGTCCCCGCCACCAGCGCGACTGCTAAAAACTCCACGTCTCTGCTCCGTCGCCCGGCCGGGCGCGCGGACTTCGTTCGAGGCGCGGCGGGGTTCTTCCCCTTTGCGCCGGGTGGATTGGAAGGGGTCGAAGCGATAGCTGAAATGGAGTCCGAGACGCAGGAGGCGGATCAGCCGCGATTTGGCGGGAAGAACGCAGGGCTCGATCGGATTATTAACTTCGGAGCTGATGGTGGGCTCTTGGAAGAAGCGCCTGGGTTTTCGCGCGGAATTAAATTCGACGAAGCGAAGACTAAGGAAGCTGCAGAGGGTGATGAGGAAGTCGAGCATGTGCTTCAACAGGAGGAGAGCGAATTCCCTGTGGAGCAGGATGAGGCTGCGTCGGATGTTGAAGGAGGGGTGAAGATCGAAGATGAAGGGGATGATAGTGGGGAGGAGGAAGATATTGACTCGTTGCTGCCAGTTGAATTCCCTTCGTTTGAGCCGCGCGCTCCACTGTTTGGAGGTGCCCAAAGAAAGGGAGGCAGGGAGTGGGCGCATGTTGTCGATGTCAACAAAGACATTCCAAATTTCGGCGACCTCGTCCCTGATATGGCTCGTGAGTGGCCGTTCGAGTTGGATACCTTCCAGAAAGAAGCCGTGTATCATCTCGAGGGCGGCGATTCTGTTTTCGTCGCAGCCCATACCTCAGCTGGAAAGACGGTCGTCGCCGAATATGCCATTGCTCTGGCCGCTAAGCACATGACGAAGGCGATATACACCTCTCCGATCAAAGCGCTGAGCAACCAGAAATTCCGAGACTTTAGGACCGAATTTGACGACGTCGGAATCCTCACGGGAGATGTTCAAATAAACCCGGAAGCGAGCTGCTTGATCATGACCACGGAGATCTTGCGCAGTATGCTTTACCGCGGAGCGGACTTGATCAGAGATGTCGAGTTCGTGATCTTTGACGAAGTGCACTATGTGAACGACCTTGAACGAGGTGTTGTCTGGGAAGAAGTCATCATTATGCTTCCAGAGCATGTCACCTTGATCCTCCTCTCTGCCACCGTCCCCAACACCCAGGAATTCGCCTCGTGGGTCGGCCGTACCAAGAAGAAGGACATCTATGTCATTTCAACCGCCAAACGGCCGGTTCCGCTAGAGCACTATCTCTGGGCTGGTAAAAGCAAGCACAAGATTGTAGACTCAAACAAGAGGTTCCTGGAAGGCGGCTGGAAAGAAGCGGACGACTCGATCTCGGGTAGAGACAAGGTCAAGGCTCAAAAAGCCGCTGAAGCGCAAGCTCAGTCCCAGGCCGCCAGAGGAGGCAACCAAGGAAGAGGACGTGGCCAAGCTCCCGGCAGAGGAGGCGCGCGAGGCAATGCACAGCGCGGGGGTGGTCAACGAGGCAGAGGAGCGCCATCCAACCGTGGGTCGGGGAATATCGCGCGTACAGGGCGAGGCGGAGGGCGGACGACGGCCGCCCAAGACAAGACCATTTGGGTGCAACTTGTGCAACATCTTCGCAAAGAAAACCTGCTCCCGGGGTGTATTTTCGTGTTCTCTAAAAAGAGATGCGAGGAGAATGCCGATTCGCTGTCGAACCAGGACTTCTGTACCGCCTCCGAGAAGAGTCTGATCCACATGTTTATCGAGAAATCGTTGACTCGCCTGAAGCCCGAGGATAGGGTGCTCCCGCAAATTCGCCGGCTGCGCGATTTGCTGAGCAGGGGTATCGCTGTTCATCACGGAGGCCTTCTGCCAATCATGAAGGAGGTTGTCGAAATCCTGTTCGCGAAATCCTTGGTCAAGGTCTTGTTCGCCACGGAGACGTTTGCCATGGGGCTGAACCTTCCCACTCGCACGGTGGTCTTCTCTGGATTCCGTAAACACGATGGAAAGTCGTTCCGGGATCTGTTGCCGGGTGAATATACGCAGATGGCTGGGCGCGCTGGGCGGAGAGGTCTCGATACCGTTGGTTATGTGATTATCGTGAACCCCGGTAAAGACGAAGCGCCGCCGGCAGGTGCTTTGAGGAAGATGATTCTGGGCGATCCCACCAAGCTTCGGTCTCAGTTCCGGCTTACGTACAATATGATTCTGAACCTCTTGCGTGTGGAAGCTTTGAAGATCGAAGAGATGATCAAGCGAAGCTTCAGCGAGAATGCCACCCAGGCTCTGCTCCCTGAGCATGAGAAACAGGTCCAGCTGTCGGAGGCTAGCTTGGCGAAGATTAAGCGCGAGCCTTGCGATATCTGTGACATCGATCTTTTGGCCTGTCACGAGGCTGTCATTGAGTATGAGCGGCTTACCTGTGAGCTCCATGTCGGGCTCCTCTCTTCTCCTGTCGGGAAACGCTTATTCATGCCAAAGCGATTGATTGTCTACCGGAAGGTACGTGGGGGATTGCCGTACTAGTATGGCCCGTTTGCTAATTGCTGGCTAGGACGGATCACGAACGGCTGGTGTCATCATACGAGAGATCGGGGGTGGTGCTACGCCTAATATACAGGTCCTCGAGATCGGCAAGCTGAGCAGCAAGCGACACCCGAGTGACATTCTTCCCTTCCTCCCGAAATTCCGCTCCATGCTACAGTCTCTGCCCACAAGCGCCAGCGATATGACGTTGAAAGTCTTCAAGATCCCGCTCACGGACCTGGAGTGTGTCACCAACACCGTTGTCAAACTGGGAGGGCCCGCGTGGTACCTGAACATCAAGAAAGGTCGGTTGGCTTTCCTACACCGGGGGCTAGGCTAGGCTGGACTAACACCGGATTACAGAAGCGGTTAAGTTCGCGGATAAAGAATTGTCCAAGCTGTGCGCGTCGTGGACGACCCCTGTCTGGGACGAGATTGACTGGGCTCGGATTAAAGAGCTGCAGGTGAGGGATGTTTTGGAGAAGCGACAGGCGCAGGCGACTCTGGCTCAGTCTTGTCGATGCTTGCAATGTCCGGATTTCGTGAAACATGTGAGTAGCAGCCCGAGCGACTGGATTGGAGGGAACAACGGCTGACGGCTAGTAGTTTGAGATGCAACACGACGAGTGGCATGTTAAGGAGAACATTTCGCAGTTGAAGCAGCTTATGTCCGATCAGAATCTCCAGCTTTTGCCGGATTATGAACAGCGGATTCAGGTGTTGAAGGATTTGGGCTTCGTTGATGAGAGTTCTCGCGTGCAGCTGAAGGGTAAAGTGGCGTGTGAGGTATGTTGTGCATATTTCAGAGAGCGGGAACAGTCTAGATGCTAATGTTGTGCACACAGATTCACTCAGCAGACGAGCTCGTGTTAACAGAATTGATCCTCGAGAACGTCCTCGCCGAGTACGAGCCCGAGGAGATCGTCGCCCTCTTGTCAGCGTTCGTCTTCCAAGAGAAGACAGAGAACGACCCGACCCTCACCCCCCGTCTCGAAAAGGGCAAGAAGGCCATCGTGCGGATCTCAGAGAAGGTCAACGACTTCCAGATCCAACACCAGGTGATCCAGTCCAGCGAAGACAGCAACGACTTCGCCAGCCGGCCGCGGTTCGGCCTGGCGGAGGTAGTCTACGAATGGGCCAAGGGCATGTCCTTCAACCGCATCACGGACCTGACGGACGTGATGGAGGGGACGATCGTGCGGACGATCACCCGTCTGGACGAAACGTGCCGCGAGGCCAAGAATGCAGCCAAGCTGGTGGGCGATCCCACGCTGTATAATAAGATGCAGCAGGCGCAGGAGCTGATCAAGCGGGATGTGATTTTTGCGGCTTCCTTGTATATGTAGGGAGCACTTGGCACTTCTTTCGGTACATACTACAAGATACCTAGTACTAGACTCTAGATACCTATGGTGAATAGATGGGGCGATGGGAAGCCACGTGGAGGCTGGGTTAATTGAGTTGATTGTTTGATCCTTTGGACTTGGTCTCATTGGGTGTTTGGGCTGGTTTATACTCTCGGTGGAGATACTGGAGAATTGAGGCCACACCGATAGGAGAATGCCAAGGATGGGATAGATTTTTATTTGATCCACCTCCACAAATACATTCACAATTCAATATTCATGTACGGAGGATGTTCGTAGGTAGAAAAATAAGAATCAAATAATCAAATAATACTTAGGTTCAGGGGCAAAAATAAAAAATATTGATAATCATTGATAGTGAAAAATCAGGGCTGTGATTAGCTGGGATAGACGCGGGGCGAGAAAAAGCACGAGCACCACGGAAGTTAACTAAGGTGGGAAATTCAGACCAAACCAAACCAAATCAAACCAAACCCGAACTTTTGCAATCTTGCACACTGTTCAATCTTTGAACTTCTTCTTCTTCTCTCTCTCTCTCTCTCTCTTCCTCTCCACCCCACTGTTACTTCATCTCTCCCTCTCTCTCCCCTCTCATTCCCCTCAGTCTCTCCCCTGGGAATCTTCTTTTTTTTTCTTCCCTTCGCCCCGCCTGGTTCCCCCCCCTCACCAATCTCCTGGTTGATCATCGTACAGTGGGGAACTCTTTCCTTTTCTTTCTTTTCTTTTTCCCTTTCTTTCTTTTTTTGGGGTGTCTGATTATCTATCTTCTTTCTTCCTCCTGGGGGTCGTTGTTGGTGCGAAATGGACGTGCCTGCACTTCGAGACCGCATACAGTCTACCCTCGACGCAAATGCGGATATTCGCCGTCAGGCCGAGTTGGACTTGAAATATGTACGTTGTGGAGGAGGCTTTTCTCGATGAGCGCCTGTCGAATAGGGTACCTCACGGGGTATCTATCTATCTCCGTTGCGAAACATCGACTAATCTCTCTTTTTTTTTTTTAACTATCTAGGCCGAGTCCCAAGCCGGTTTTATAAATGCGCTGTTGGATATTCTGCAGGGAGAGCAAAATAATGCCGTTCAACTGTCGGGTAATGCTGCTTTCCCCCATCCTTCCCCGCCGATGTCTCACTTCGATGAGGGTCATCGTGATCGTCTGATTTCGTCGTCTTGTGATGGGTTCCGGTCTACACGACTATCCCGTGTCTTCATGTCATGTCTAACGCGCTGTTTCCTCTTTAGCCGGTGTCTACCTGAAGAACCGCATCAACCGCGGTTGGTCTACGGTGGAGGATAACCCGCTGCGCACGCCCATCTCCGACGCCGAGAAGCCCGGATTCCGAGAGAGGTTGATTCCGGCATTGGCCTCGACGCCTCCGAACGTTCGCGCCCAGCTCGTCCCGCTTCTGCAGAAGATCCTCCAACATGACTTCCCCGAGCAGTGGCCCGGGTTCCTGGACATCACGCTCCAGCTGCTCAGTGCCAACGATGCCAATTCGGTCTATGCGGGTCTGCAATGTCTGCTGGCCATCTGCCGCGTCTACCGATTCAAGGCTGGGGAAAAGAGGGAGGAATTCGACAAGATCGTCGAGCATACGTTCCCGCAGCTGCTGAACATCGGTATGAAGTTGGTCGATGAGGAAAGCCTGGAGGCCGCGGAGATGCTCCGGATTGTGGTCAAATCTTTCAAACATGCTATTTGTGTGGGTGCACATCGTGAACTTGCGATCCCCTTGTACTTCTCGGGGGAGGGAAAGATGTCGCGGCTGACTGGTGCGCGTTATTAGTTCGAGCTGGCGCCTCATCTGCAGTCGCAGCAGGCCACCGTCGATTGGTGCACGTTGTTCTTGAGGATCATCGCCAAGGAGCCCCCGGCCTGCTCCATGTTGGAGTCCAAAGAGGAGCGGGAACTCAACCACTGGTGGAAGTGTAAGAAGTGGTCCTACGCCAACTTGAACCGTCTCTTCATCAGGTGCGTGGTCCCTTACTGCAATGGCTCCCTTGACCCGTCTAATCCTTCTCTCTTGGTAGATACGGCAATCCGACGACGATGACCAAGTCGAGCACCCCCGATTACACTCAATACGGCAAGGCGTTCATCAGCACCTTTGCCCCCGAAATCCTCAAGGGGTACCTGCAGGAGATCGAGAAATGGGTCTCCAAGGGCCAGTGGTTGAGCAGCTCCGCGCTCGCCTACACCTTGGTGTTCCTGGAGGAGTGTGTCAAGCCCAAGGCCATGTGGGATCACCTGAAGGAGCACATGGAGAACCTGGTCGCTCACTTCATCTTCCCCATCCTCTGCCAATCCGATGAGGACATCGAGCTGTTCGAGACCGACCCCTCCGAATACCTCCACCGCAAGCTGAACTACTACGAGGAAGTCTCGTCTCCCGACATCGCCGCGACCAACTTCCTGGTGGCGCTCACCAAGAACCGAAAGAAGCAGACCTTCTCGATCCTGACCTTTGTCAATGGCGTCGTCAGCAAGTACGAGGCTGCGCCGGAGGACCAGAAATTGCCGCGGGAGAAGGAGGGTGCGTTGCGGATGATCGGCTCCCTGTCTTCGGTGATCTTGGGCAAGAAGAGTCCGATCGCGGACCAGGTCGAGTACTTCTTCGTGCGCCACGTTTTCCCCGAGTTCCGCAGCCCCCACGGATTCCTCAGGGCCCGTGCCTGCGACACCCTGGAGAAGTTCGAGCAGCTGGATTTCAGCGACCCGAACAACCTCATGATCATCTACCGGAACATCCTCGAGTCGATGACGGACCCCGAGTTGCCCGTCCGGGTCGAGGCGGCCCTGGCCTTGCAGCCCCTCATCCGACACGACATCATCCGGACCTCGATGCAGCAGAACATCCCCCAGATCATGCAGCAGCTTCTGAAGCTGGCCAACGAGGTCGACGTGGATGCGCTGGCCAACGTGATGGAGGACTTTGTCGAGGTCTTCTCCGCCGAACTCACGCCGTTCGCCGTGGCCTTGAGCGAGCAGCTGCGCGACACCTACATGCGTATTGTCGGCGAGCTCCTCGAGCGCAACGCCGCCAAGGGCGACGAGGATGCGTATGGCGATTTCCTGGATGACAAGAGCATCACCGCGCTGGGTGTTTTGCAGACGATCGGGACTCTCATCCTGACCCTCGAAAGCACGCCCGACGTGTTGCTGCACCTCGAGACGATCCTCATGCCCGTGATCAGCATCACGCTCGAGAACAAGCTGTACGATCTGTACAACGAGGTGTTCGAGATCATCGACAGCTGCACGTTTGCGTCCAAGCACATCTCGCCGACCATGTGGCAGGCGTTCGAGCTCATCCACAAGACCTTCAAGGCTGGCGCCGAGCTGTACCTGGAGGACATGCTGCCCGCCCTGGACAACTACGTGGCGTACGGCTCCGACATGATGGTTCAGAACCCGGCCTACATGGCCGCCATTGTCAGCATGGTCGAAGACATCTTCGGCGACGAAAAGGTCGGCGGCGTGGACCGGATCTGCGGATGCAAGCTGGCGGAGACCGTGATGCTGAACCTCCGCGGCTACATCGACCAGTACATCCCTCTCTTCATCGAGATGCCCATGCGCGTCATCGACACCGGGGATGCCAGCACCAAGTCCTACCGCATCCACCTGATCGAGATGGTCATCAACGCCATCTACTACAACCCCGTCCTCAGTCTGCAGGTCCTGGAAGCCAAGGACATGACCAACAAGTTCTTCAGCACCTGGTTCTCCAACATTGACAACTTCCGACGGGTGCACGACAAGAAGCTGTCGATCGCGGCGATCAGCTCGCTCTTGACGCTGAAGGGTAACGATGTCCCGCCGAGTGTGCAGCAAGGCTGGCCTAGGTTGCTCCAGGGCGTGACGAGGCTCTTCCAGACGCTGCCTGCCGCTCTCAAGAGTATGTTATTACCGTATATTGACCCTTTATATCTGTATACTAACTTATCTTTCAGGTCGCGAGGATGCCACGAAAGAATCCGACTTCACGTATGACGACGAGGAGGGCGAGGAAGATGAGGAAGACTGGGATGGGGAGATCGAATGGACCGACCAGGATGAGACCGAAGGTGGCCTCGACGGGGATGTTGCCGACGAGGGCGCCGCCTATCTGGATTTCTTGAACAAAGAGGTGAGACTGCTTAACCAATGGTCGCATACAGCCGGCTCTAACGGGATACCACAGGCACAGAAATTCGGGTCATTCGCCGACGACGATGACGAAGAGATGGACGAGGAGAGCCTCCTCGAGACGCCTCTGGACAAGATCGAGCCGTACAGCCTGTTCAAGCACGTCTTCATGAGTATGTGATGTTTTTCGAGAGTGAAATGTATACCGCTAACTCAGTATCACAGACCTCCAGCAGGAGCAGCCCCAGCTGTACGAGAACCTGACCAAGGTCCTCGACCCGAACGAGCAGCAGATCCTGCAGGGTGTCTTCCACGAGGCAGACGCCAAGCTGGCTGCTGCGAACGAAGCTGCCGCCATGGCGACGAACGGAAACCAATAGACAGCGTTTGAATAAGCGAAAAAGAGACGAGCAAAAATAAGAAAAGAAAATTGTGAAGAAAGAGTGCAGACGACCAGAAGAATGAAAAATGACAAAAGAAACAAAAAAAGCAACTCACCAAAAAAAGACGGGTGGAGCAAGTCAACGAGACGAGCCAGTTGACTTGCTGGGCCTTTGAGCATGGTTATAGCGATGATTTGGTCTCTTTTTGGACGCGACCGATTCTTGATTGATTCATTGATTGACACGTTCGCATCGATTACGGTCGAGAGAGACCGCCGGATACGCCATAACGCTGTTGATGTTTTTTTTTTCTCTTCTATGTTTCCTATTTTCCTATTGTTATCTAGATCTGTTTTCCCCATCCCCATCATCCCCATTTGCACACATTTCCCTGCTGCTATCCATCCCCTGATTGCACCCTTGCACCCCAAAAGTCACACATGTATTGCACATTCCGATTCCCCCTTTGATATTGTCAATTGACTTATGTTTATGACACGAGAAAGAAAGCTAGCCAGCTGCCAGTCCAGCGGGAGACTTCCCTCTCCGTGTTGCATGTGCATGACGTCGCTGGCTTATGACGCCACTGCACTCTATCCCATATATACAAACTTTCCGCCAACAAATATATACCGACTCCGAGACAGTCTCGACCCACCGGGGTAGTAAGTAGTGTTAATTAGTAGTTAAAACTATAGTTGGTAGTTACTGTGTATTGGAATCGAGCTATGAACCGGATTCTGCTGTTTCGATGGTGGAACCGTCCATACGTCGACTCGGTGATAACGTCATTATGATACATGGTAGTTGATTTACTTGATATATCAGCCACACTGCTGTTACTTATATCCAGCACTACACCACTTTATCTCATCAAACATCCATCTCTCATCTCTCAATAACCACACTGGTACATATATACAAAGGTACATACCATCCCTATCCCTCCCAACACCAACCAAGCAACCAAAACTAACATCTCCCCTCTCAACCACACAGCTACCTACCTCCACCTCCACCACAAACCCAACCCTCCCTCCCTATATATATACCCAAAGGAAAAAGAAGAAAGGATTGAAAATGTCCGCCCCCCTCTCCGGCCGCGAATCCCCACCCCCCGAGAACCAATCCGGCTCTCAAGGCGGCGACCCCCCGGGCAAGGGCCACCTCAACCCGACTCCCGTGCACGCGCGGACGCCGCAGCCGCCTGAGCTGCAGAGTAACCCTAAGCATGTGCTGGAGGATATCCAGGCGAAGAAGTATGAGAAGGGGCCTGGGCGGTGATTTTCATTTTGTTTGATCGATTTTTTCTCGACTTGTCATGTGCTGTGCATTTTGGTGAATGTTGTTGATTGCTGTTGATTATTTTGGTTTGTTGTATTTAAAGGGCTGGTTCTAGTGGTGTAAACTTAACTTGAGGTTATTTATGAGTGGTGGACTTACTATAGTAGTGTTTACTGTGTGTGTTGGGAATGGGAAATAGTATCTAGTTTATATGCATTTTGAAACTCGATATCACCGTCTATGCTATCATTATGTGATGAAATGATTGAGCATTATTATCTAACTAGGTAAAAGTAACTAGATAGCTAGCAGCTCCATTTAACACAAGGCTTGTCCCAGACAGCTTCCAAACAGCTCAGCTGTGAACTTTGAAAAAAGAAGAAGAAAGAAACAGGCTTCACATCAAATCATTACACGCGAACGAAACCATCCCTCAAATATCAAATTAAAATCATCAATTAAGGAAAAGAAGCCATGGCCTTGATCACAGAATCACTTAAGACTTCTCAGGCGGTGCCGCGGCATCAGGGAAAGCCGCCGCCGGGGGCGCAGCAGTAGGGTTCACCTCAGGCGCAGCATTGGCAATCGGCACGTTGGCAGCGGTACCACTATCAGTAGCCTGCGGCGCGGCCTCCCCGCCAGCAGCAGCAGCCTTGCTCGCCTTCAAGTCCGCCAACCGGCGCGCCTCGGTGTGAATATCGCGCACCTGCTTATCGGTCTGGGCATAAAAGTCCCGCAGCTTCTGACCCGAGGGCGTGCCGAGGGCCTTCTCAAAGTAAGTATGCAAACCACGCCATCCGCTCGCAGCCTTGTCGCTAATCTTATAGCTCTCGTCAAGCCCGCGCGCACGGTCCGACGCCTTGAGCTTGCTGTCGAAGTTGGACAGCGCGCTGGTGAACTTGGACGAGAAGCCGTGCTTCTGGTCGAGCGAGATCGCCCTTTGGATGGCCGTGTCGCTGATGGCGTAGCCGTGGGCCAGGTACTCTGCGATGATGCGCGAGCGCGGCTTGTCTTCTTGGGCGACGTCGTTCCCGTTCTCGTCCTTCAGGTCGCCCGTGGGGCCGGCGCTGGTGGGGCGGCCGGCGATGTCGTCGAGGGATTGGGCGGATTCGACGTGGACGGTGGAGGTGCCGAGTTGAGTTTGGTCGAGGAGGAGGGCGGTTTTGGCGGCTCTGTGGGTTTTTGGTTAGTTCTGTGTATTTGTATGTATATGTGGTGGTATGGTGGTATGGTGGGATGGTGTTGGGTGGGTTGAATGGTGCGGGGTAGTGGTATACATACGCTGCTTTCTCGAACGTCACGGTCGCGGACTTGGCCGAGTCCTTCTCGCCGGAAACAGGAGTGACCGAGATGGAGGTGATCTTGCCACTACATCGACTGTTAGCTGGATACCATTTCTTCAAAAGGCTGGAGATGTACCAAAAGCTGAAGAACTCCTGGACCTCGGAGTCAGTAGTCTGGGCAGAGATGCCCGACACATGGACAGTTGAAGCTTCCGACATTGTTGTAGATGAAAGGCAAAAGAGGAATCTTGGGTATTGGTAAACAATCGAAAATTGACAGAAGTGAGGGAGGAAGATGAAACTCGCCAGATGAAAAGGAGCGAAGAGGGGTTATATCCATCTGGCGGTGCGGTGTCGTCACGCCACATATGACGTTTCTTGTACACAGCCACACCAGGTGGGTCTATGACGGTGGTGAATCAGGGTGGTTTTTAGATAGTTACTAACTGGATAGCGTACGTACTCCGGTGACTAGATCCAGGCAGTCGCGTTTTCGAGAGATAGACAGCTAACAAGTTATATATAGGATTGGCTATTGTGGATGTGGAAAGACTATTGCCAATGAATTCCAGAAATAGCCTATGCATTGGCACCAAAATAGACAGTCACGATTCTACCGAAAGCGAGGGAAAAGGCACCAGCCAATCCAATCTGCCCGAAACCTGGATCAAATCACAATAAAAATAAAAGAGAAATAAAAAAGAAAGAATAATGGAAAGGGGAAAAGGTGAAAGATGAAAGCTATGGTGAAAGATCCTGCTTCCTCGCCAGCAATATGTAGACTCAAGGTACCTATCTTATTCTGCAACATTGGCTGCTGGAATAGATACATTTTGTATTTCGCTGGGATCGGCTTGTTGATCTCTCGGGTGCGGTCCCTGTTCTCGAAGATTCTTGAGGGTTTGTTCTAGTTCCCGCACTCGTCGCCGTAGGATGTCGTTATCCCGCTTCAGAGATTCCCACTCTCCCCGCTGATGCACGACCTCTTCGTGACGAGAAATCGACGCGGCGGGGGATCGTTGCTGGGAAAGCGAGCTGCGGTGGGAATATGGCGCGTGCGGCCCACTTGCATGGTGAGGGAGAGACTCCATCTGCTGCCCCGATGAGGATAGTGATGCCGACGCCCCTTCTAACGGGCGGGGTGACGTGAAGGACGGCTCTCGGCTCCGACCCGATCGCGAGTGCTCTCCGGGCCGCTGTGACGGTAGACCAGTATCCCGCGACGGGGCGATCCCCGAGATGCTCCCTGTCCTTGACCCTTGAACTGCGGGGATGTACGACGAGCTCAGGCTGGACGAGGAGCGGTGTCGGCGGGACGCCGGAGTTGCGGGAGTGCCCAAGTAGGGCGACGTGTGGTGGGTGTCGATGGGGTCATTTGGAGCAGCGGATGCGGAAGAAGCCGTCGATGCGACAGACGCTGTTTGTTGGCGAAGCTGAGACAGTTCTCTGGACAGGCGATTCACCTGCGAATCAATCGATTAACATCACTATGACCGCCCACGAGAGGTGTTGATAGCTCACCATCGCCTCTTGCTCATGCTCCACCAATGAATGTATATCTGATGGTGTTAGGGGTTTGGGATGTCGCAATGGACCTATCTCGGTGTTAACTGACGTGTCGAATCACACTTTTTGCGATTGGTGCAACCTACCCGATGCTACTTGGATGCTTCCTTGTTCTCCGGGGATCGGACCTCCCGTATGGGCATCAGCCCCGAGCGAGGGAGCCGGAGGCCCCATCACTTGCGATGGCCGTCGTGACGAGGACGGAGAGGATTCCACGATGGAGTGTGATGCTGTTGAAGCTCGACGGCGAGATTGAGGAGCGCTGGGGACGGGGCTGATTTCTGGAGCCATAATTTGGGAGGACAGGGGATGATGAAGGACGGAGATGGAGGGGAACCAGAGGTACTGAACAATCTGAGGGGGAGCAACTGATCGCCTAAAAAGGCAGTGAGAATCGGACAGGGACCCGAGAAATTATCCCTTGATTGGAATTCCAGGGAGACTTAAAACATGCCAAACAAGGAGGCTCCACTGAAGTTTGATTGCTAGACAGGTTTGTTGAAGAAGTTGACGACGCTGCGTTGGTCGATTCATGCATGGGGAGCTCGATTAGCAGTATCAAGTCAACCAACCACTCCTTAGGAACTTCCCCACCTCCTGGGTTGATGTAATAGGGTGGGTTATCCACTTGTTTTGTCTCCCCTGTCATGATCCGGGATTGTTTAATTAATGTATTCCTGTTCCCGGTCTGTTGATCTAACGGCTTGATTTTCCTACAGTGTAATTTGCCCCCACTATCGGTATCTACTACTGTGATGCTATACAACGTGGATGGTGACCAACAACATATGTCCACTCACCACAATATCGAAGATCACATATCAAAAATAAAATAAACAAACCCACTGATCGATTCTACCCCGCAGAGAAAGTATGTGGAATGTACCATGGGGTCCACTGTTGATTCTTGTCTTTGTATAGGATCACGTGAGTACATCACGATCCGCGGCTGACATAACACCACCATACAACAACAACCTCTAGCGACAACAACTACGACCCGAAGCAATCAGACACTGGAAGGACCCAGCTCCTCAATCAGTTATTGGAACCTCGTCGCGAGACGGTTTCAGATGCAAAGTTTCAAAGTGAAGACTGTTGGTGTCAGCAGTCCCTGAAACCCCCTCCTGAACCACCCATGGCCCACCGGACTCCCAGCGAGCCCAACCATGCCGCTGCCCACATTCCCCCCTTCGCAAGGCCGCTCGCTCCTTACATCCGAACCCGCCAGGAGACCCTGCGCATTCGACAGGCCCTGACGATCTACCTCCGCTCGCTCATTACCTTCGCCGACGACGATGCCGATCGTCCGGACCGCCACGCGCAATCCCACCTCTCCCTGTGTGTGCCTCACGAGGCGGTCGTCGACGTGAAACGCACTCCGCCGGATGTGTCTGGCTTGAGGGGAGAGTACTTGGAGGCGCTACGGGCGAACGTCGCGGCGAGGAAGGAATACCAGTCGTTATGCGAAGGCGAGGCCTCTGCGCCCGCTCCGCCTACCTCGGAGACGCCGAAACCAGATTCCACCCTCGAGCTCCAGGCCTACCTTCGACTGCTTCGCGATCGCCGCCAGAATTCTAAGCTGCGCGTCTTTCAGCACCATCTGCAACAAATCAAAGCTCGCGAGACGGTCAAACCGGAGGATTTTGAGCGGACGGATGGGAAAGAACGGTTGGTGGTACCGGAGGACTGGACACAAGATGAGCAGAGCGGGGGCCGGCCCGAAGCGGACATTGAAGGGTTGTTGCATAACTTGGAGAGGGCCGTGGTGCGCGCCAAGAGCCAGCTCGACCGTGAGAAGAGGCTGTTTGAGGAGCTGAAGGCGCGGCACGACGCACGGGAGAACCCCGATGGCATTGATCCAGCCGTCAAGCTCGCGGCATTACAAAGAACCAGAGACGAGTTGGTGCAGTGGGTGGAACAGACGCTGACCACTGCGGGGAGCAGCGAAGATGGCCCCCGGAGGAAATACCCGCGGAGGAGATTGAGGAATCGGTGCGTCTGCTGGAAGAACAAAAGGCACAGGCTATGGAACTTTACTCCGACTACGTGGACGCCCGCAAGCGGCTTTTGGATGCCGCAGCTCGCGCCTGTCAGCCCATCGCCAGCGCTTCCGCGAAGCCTCCGGACCGGTCGCCTGGTCCAGACAAACTCATTACCGAACCGACACCGTCGCTGGAGAGTCTGGATGCTCTCTCGTTTACTAGCGACGTTCTACTCCCTCTTGCCAAGAGCCAGCGGGCACTGTCCCTCCAGAAGACCTACCTCGCCGGGCTTCTTGGGAAAGAGAAGTCCACGACGCTCCGGATCTTGAATCGCCTCAGCGACGAGAGCCATCTTCTGCCGGAGTATCCGATCTTGGCCCGTCAGCCCCGTTTCAAGCACACCGCCACCGCCGCCCAGAAGGACCCCGCCAAGCAGGATGCGGTTGTTTCGCTGGCCGAAGCCTGGGCCTTTGCTTCCGACGCGGCGGACTCGGGCAACCGAGAGTTTGTGGAACAGAAGGTGCTCCAGGGGACTGAAACGACGGAGGATGCGCAGCAGGCGCTGCAAGAGATCTACGGTCTGCTCAACCAGGACCTCGAGGAGACTCTACGCGAAGCCGATGGGGACGGGCAAGGCGACAATGACATCTGGGCGTCTGAGGCACGGTCGATCCGGTCGCGGACGAGAGCCAACCGGAGTGAACGGCGACCCAAGGGGCCCTGGTCCCGACTGAATGGGCGGATTGGCGTGGAATGATTGGATTGATGATTTAATAATATGACTTCCATTGGTACACTACCTACCTAGTACCTACTAAGGAATAAGCACCGACGTGAGGGATCTGCCTAGTCAATCTCATAATGCAAATTAATATCTAGGTACCTTAACCTTATTGACCCTAATTGGCTTTCCACGGGTACTACCGCGATATGGGTGTTATCAGGTGATCCGGCCTCCGAATGCCATTGCCGGTTGCCGGTCCCAAGGCGTCTAGCGTGGTAGCGAGGCTGCTGCAGCGGGGACTGAACCCCAGAAAGGATAGATCGGCTGGTGTATCTTTTTCCTGTTTTCTTACTATTGTACTTATTGATTTATTTTTTTTTCTTTTCCCAGTGAAAGAAAGTCTTCGTAGCAGTTGCTTTGAGGATTCACACGTATGTATCTAACTTATATCTAACTCAGATGGTAACCTGATATACCAAGGTATGGTGTATATGGGTAGAGTAATCAGTCCTCGTAGTAAGAAAAACACAAACTTATAGAAGCCGTGCGGCAGAGAATATTTTCACTAGTGTCCACTGTCTACCTCCATGGGCTCCACTGTCATCATCGTCATAAAGGTCTGAGTCACTAATTACAGAGTACTAACTACCGACCTAGTAACTAACTACTAATGAGTACAACTAACGGATACACATTTCTCGGTTTGCTCCGGATGAGAGATTGAGGGGTTAGTTACTATCAATTAGGGTTAGCGAGCCACAGTGAAGTCATGGCGGTAGTTTAAACACAATTCGGTCAACTCGCATAGACCAATACCAATGAGGATTCAACACTCAACACTGAGTCCGAGGCTAGCTGGAGGGATGGATACAGAATCCTGTAGCGGTGGTTGAAAAGTTATGCAGGGAATATTAGGTAAGGGAGGCGTTTGTCCTGGATTTCCATCAGTTAGATATATCTCATTGGTGGAAGATACAGGCGGTGATAGACGCAGCTGACCTCATCCGAATAATGCAAGCTCCGCAGACCGGAACGCTTAGCGGTCCCTGCCAAAAGTTTGGCTCTATTGGTTTTGGTTAGGAAATTTCCACTCTTCGGGACGTTCCTTGTCCAACTCGCGTCAACTCGCTATCCCGACTCTCTCTTTTTTTTTTTTTTCTCTTCTGGCTCCGCTTTTTTTTCCAAAGAGGGTCATCCCAACCCATTGACTCATCGCCGCTACCAAGGTTTTTCTTTTCTTTTTTATTTGCCCTTGACCTTTTTCCCTCTTCCTCTAATTTTCTCTCCTCTCCTTGTTAGTCGCATCCTCGTGCTTCTTCTGTTCCTCCCTTTCGACTTGTACGCTAGGCCATTTCCTCTATCCACCTTGACCTCTTCGTCCTCTCCGGGGCAATTGGGCGTGTGGCATAAAAGCGGGACAAGAAGGGATCAACCTAGGCCGATCGAGGGCTAAAAAAGGACCTGAATTTTTTCTGTCCTAGAAAACACGCAACTTCAACACCTCCCTCCCTCTCGAGACCATCCGCGGGACAAATCCCAAGTTCAGAAAAAAAGGAGCAAGACCATCCTTCGTCGGGTCGAATTGACTCCTTCATTTTACACCTTTTAATTTTCTAATTTTTCCGTTCCCCCGCGCGGTGCGCAAATATGGTTCTCGCCGCGCGTTGCGGGCAGGCTACGTCCGCTCTTTTGCGGCAGCGCTGTGTGGCCGATTCCCGCCGCTCCGCCCTCTCTCTGCGCGCTTTCTCCTCCCAGACGACGACTGTCCGGTCCACGGCGGCGAACCTGCGGTTGCAGCAGAAGACTGCTTCGCCATGGCGTCCCCAGCAGCTGCGCTCGTTCTCCAGCGCTCTGCGTCGTCTGGCTTCTGAGGCTCCCTCCGCTGAGAGCTACCTCGCTAGCGGTGCCGTCAAGCCTAGCAGCGGTCTTGTCGATGTCAAGAAGGTGCTCGTCATCGGTAGTGGTGGTCTGAGTATTGGTCAGGCTGGTGAATTTGATTATTCGGGTAAGTTATTTCGGGCTATTGAGGATGGGGAATATTTGCGTTGAGTTGCTTCTTTTCTCTTCTTTCTTCGCCCTTGGGAGTGAAGGGTTCCGATCATCGGCCTTTTCGAAGAGTTGATGTGGAGAACACCTGAGGGTGTTGGAAGAATTGATTTGATAAGGGCACAAGACCAACAGAGGAAGAAGAAAGAAAAAAAATGAAGAATAAACAGATTGTCTGGATAATGACTGACCCTGTCCTTTAACTACAGGTTCCCAAGCCCTGAAGGCCCTCAAGGAAGCCGGTGTCGAATCGGTCCTCATCAACCCCAACATTGCTACCATTCAAACCGATCACAAGCTCGCCGATCAGGTTTACTACCTCCCCGTCACCCCGGAGTACGTGAGCTACGTCATTGAGCGCGAGCAGCCCGATGGCATCTTCCTCTCCTTCGGTGGTCAGACCGCCCTGAACTTGGGTGTGCAGATGAACCGCATGGGTCTCTTCGAGCGTCATGGTGTCCGTGTCCTGGGTACCAGCATCAAGACTCTGGAGACCAGCGAGGATCGTGACCTTTTCGCCAAGGCCTTGAACGAGATTGATATCCCTATCGCCGAGTCCATTGCCGTCGGTACCGTCGACGAGGCCCTGCAGGCCGCCGAGTCCGTCGGCTACCCCATCATTGTTCGCTCTGCGTACGCTCTGGGTGGTCTGGGTTCCGGTTTCGCCAACAACCCCGAGGAGTTGAAGAACTTGTCGTCGCGCTCCTTGACCCTGTCCCCTCAGATTCTGGTCGAGAAGTCTCTGCGAGGCTGGAAGGAGGTCGAGTATGAGGTTGTTCGGGACGCCGCCAACAACTGCATCACGGTCTGCAACATGGAGAACTTCGACCCGCTGGGTATCCACACCGGTGACAGTATCGTCGTTGCCCCCAGTCAGACTCTGTCCGATGAGGAGTACCACATGCTGCGTACCGCTGCCATCAAGATCGTTCGCCACCTTGGTGTCGTCGGTGAATGCAACGTCCAGTACGCCCTGCAGCCCGATGGTCTGGACTACCGTGTCATTGAGGTCAACGCGCGTCTCTCGCGTTCGTCTGCCCTGGCCTCCAAGGCGACCGGTTACCCCCTGGCCTACACGGCCGCCAAGATCGGCCTGGGCCACACCCTCCCCGAGCTGCCCAATGCCGTGACCAAGACCACCACTGCCAACTTCGAGCCCAGTCTGGACTACATCGTCACCAAGATCCCCCGGTGGGATCTGAGCAAGTTCCAGCATGTCAACCGCGACATTGGTAGCGCCATGAAGTCCGTTGGTGAGGTTATGGCCATTGGCCGTACCTTCGAGGAGTCGATCCAGAAGGCCATCCGCCAGGTTGACCCTAAATTCCTCGGTTTCCAGGGTGATCACTTCGAGAACCTCGACGACGTCCTGAAGAACCCCACTGACCGCCGTTGGTTGGCCGTCGGCCAGGCCATGCTCCACGAGGGCTACTCCGTGGACAAGGTCCACGAGCTGTCCAAGATCGACAAGTGGTTCCTGTACAAGCTGCAGAACATCGTTGACTGCCACCACGAGCTCAAGGAGATCGGCAGCCTCTTCGGCGTCCAGCACGAGACCATGCTGAAGGCCAAGAAGCTCGGATTCTCCGACAAGCAGATCGCCCTTCTGGTCGGCTCGTCTGAGGACGATGTCCGCGCCCGCCGTACCAGCTTCGGTATCCGCCCGTGGGTGAAGAAGATTGACACCCTGGCTGCGGAGTTCCCTGCCGACACCAACTACCTCTACACCACCTACAACGCCTCCTCTCACGACGTCAGCTTCGATGACCACGGAATCATCATCCTCGGCAGCGGTGTGTACCGTATCGGTAGCTCCGTCGAGTTCGACTGGTGTGCGGTCAACGCCACTCTGTCCCTGAAGAACATGGACAAGAAGACGGTCATGATCAACTACAACCCCGAGACCTACTCCACTGATTTCGACACCGCCGACAAGCTGTACTTCGAGGAGCTCAGCTACGAGCGTGTCATGGATATCTACGAGCTCGAGGCCGCCAGCGGTGTCGTTGTCTCTGTCGGTGGCCAGCTGCCGCAGAACATTGCCCTCCGCCTGCAGGAGACTGGCGGTGCTCATGTCCTGGGTACCAACCCCAAGGACATCGACAACGCCGAGGACCGTCACAAGTTCTCGCAGATCCTGGACAGCATCGGTGTTGATCAGCCCGCCTGGAAGGAGCTTACTTCCGTGGCCGAGGCCGAGCGCTTCGCCGACTCTGTTGGCTACCCCGTGCTGGTCCGTCCCAGTTACGTCCTGTCCGGTGCGGCCATGAACGTCATCTACAGCCAGGATGAGCTCAAGGAGAAGCTTCTGAATGCCAGCGCTGTCTCGCCTGACCACCCCGTCGTGATCACCAAGTTCATCGAGGGCGCTGAGGAGATCGATGTCGACGGTGTTGCCTCGAACGGCAAGCTGATCCTGCACGCTGTCAGTGAGCACGTCGAGCCCGCCGGTGTGCACTCCGGTGACGCCACCCTTGTCCTTCCTCCCGCCAACCTGGACGAGTCCATCATGGCCCGCGTCAAGGAGATCGCCGAGAAGGTTGCCAAGGCCTGGAACATCACCGGTCCCTTCAACATGCAGATCATCAAGGCCGACCAGGAGGGCGCCCAGCCCGAGCTGAAGGTCATCGAGTGCAACCTGCGTGCTTCTCGTTCGTTCCCCTTCGCCTCCAAGGTTCTGGGCACCAACTTCATCGATGTTGCCACCAAGGCCCTGGTTGGCCGTGACGTCCCCGAGCCCACCGACCTGATGACCACCAAGCGTGACTACCTGGCCACCAAGGTGCCCCAGTTCAGCTGGACCCGTCTGGCCGGTGCCGACCCCTTCCTGGGCGTCGAGATGGCCAGTACCGGTGAGATTGCCTGCTTCGGTAAGGACCTCGTCGAGGCCTACTGGGCTTCCCTGCAGTCGACCATGAACTTCCGCGTGCCTGAGCCCGGTGAGGGTATCCTGCTTGGCGGCGACATCAACAACCCCGCTCTGGTCCAGATCGTCGAGTACCTCAACCCTCTGGGCTTCAAGTTCTTCGCTGCCAGCCCCGACGTCAAGGCTCACATCGAGTCCACCGCCAAGGACGCTTCCGTGCAGGTCATCGAGTTCCCCAAGAAGGACAAGCGTGCTCTCCGTGAGGTGTTCCAGAAGTACAACATCCACGGTACTTTCAACCTCGCCAAGACCCGCGGCAAGACCCTGGTCGACGAGGACTACGTCATGAGACGTAACGCCGTTGACTTTGGCGTGCCTCTCTTCATGGAGACCAAGGTAAGACTAACCGAACCGTCCTTTTATCCATCGTGACTATATGCTAATCCTCTTTAGACTGCTCTCCTCTTCGCCCAGGCTATGAGCCAGAAGCTGCCTCGCGCCGAGGGTATCCCCTCCGAGGTCCGCAGCTGGTCCGACTTCGCCGGCACCAAGATGATGTAAACAAAAGCAAAGCAAAAGTGTTTATTATTCCCTTATAGATATAATCATCGGCGATTTACTGTTGTTCTCTGTTTCGAAAGACCGCCTTGCTTGGCGTAGCAGGTGTGGGCATGTTGATATAAGTCTTGCCTGCTGTTTCCGTCCTGGATGAAGCAAAAGCGGATATGAGGATTTTGGTTCATGTGGTTTGGTGCATTTTCTTTTTTCTCTTTTCTTTTCAAATTTTTTTTTTTTCTTTTTTTTTTTACTCCGTTCCCTTTAGCAATTGTTCATTACCCCTCTTTCTTGATGGCGTCGAGAAGGTGTAGACCGACATTGTCCTGGAGAGGAATGAATGTTGGATGACTCGATCTGCTGTTTTCATCATATTCAGATTTTGATGTGTATATTATTAGTGTAGTGATTTAGCCAATCTCAACTCGCATATGAAGTGATCTTACTGTTTGTATACTGCACTTGAGCATACTTAGAAGACATGAACTGAAGTAACTTGCCCGTCCAACTTGCCCTCAAGTCCAATATCCGCAGAGAGATAAGGTAATGACTAATCGCCCCAATCCAACGAATCATTTTCTTCTCTTCATCGCCTAGTCCATCAAATACATCCATACATACATAGTGACAACTCAATCATATCAAATTCCCATGAAACTCAAACACCAACCATGCCCCCAACCGACAATGACAACAACAACAACAACAACAACAACAACGACCTCCCAGGAGTCTACACAAACACCACACCCGGCCCAGCCCCCAACGGCCTCGGCCAAGGCCTCTTCGCTACCAAAGCCATCCCCGCCGGCGGGGACGTCCTGAATATCAAGACGCCCTTCGTTGCGGTTCTGGATACGGAGCGGCTGGAGGATACGTGCTCTGGGTGTTTTGGGAGGAGGTATCTTGGTGGTGATAGTGATGATGTAACATTACGGGCGTGTACGGGGTGTCGGGTTGTGAGGTATTGCGATAGGGTTAGTACTATCTCACTTTCGATGTAGATAGTTTTCACATCTATCTATGTATCTACCTTCTCCCTCCCCCCCAAATCAAAGGCAGGAACCCCGACACTGAAACAAGAAACACAGACATGCCAATCCAAAGACTGGAAACTCGCCCACTCCCTCGAGTGTCCAACCTTCAAGAAACTAACCCCCCGCGTGTTGCCCAACAACGCCCGCGCTCTCCTTCGCATCGTCCAGCGTGTTCAACGCGGGAAGTACGTTCCCGCGGAACTGGACCGCTTCGCGCAGCTGGAGACGCACGAGGCGGCTATCAGGGCGGAGAGTCCGCGGCAGTGGGAGCGTATTTCGCTGTCTGCGAAGGCTGTTGGTGCTTATTCTGGGGGTGGGATGGGCGAGGAGGAGATCTGTGGGGTTGGTGCTAAGGTTTGTTTTTCCTTTTATTTTTTCTTTTCTTCCACCTGTAGTATACGTGCTATTAAAAACGAAGAGGAAACGAGATAAAACTAACAAAAACAGCTGGATCTAAACTCCTTCAACCTAACAAACGCCCAATACGACCGCATAGGCCTCTACCTGCACCCCTACGCAGCACTCATCAACCACAGCTGCGCCTACAACGCAGTAGCAGGCTTCGACGGCGCCGAACTCTTCGTCAAAGCTGTGCGTCCAATCTCGAACGACGAGCAGGTCTTTATCTCCTACGTCGATACGACGAACCCGACCCAGCTGCGCAGGCAGGAGCTTCGTGAGCGGTATTTCTTTGACTGCGCTTGTTCGAAATGTTCGTCTTCTGCCCAAGATGAGGGCCAACAGGAGCAGCAGCAGGGCATGGAAGCGTTCAAGATACTGCGGTCTACCCCGGCGAGTACCTCCAACGATGACGATCCTGTTAGGAGAGTCGAAAGACTACAGTCCGCGCTGCGCGAAGTTAACACATCCACGTCGTGCCCTATAACCAGCCAGCCTATCGTCGCGCTTCGGGATGAGTTGATAGCCTCGCTTCTCTCGGCTGGGATGTTTTACGCTGCGTTTGCGCACGCTGCTGTGCGCTACGTGCGCGTTGATCCTGTCGTGTACCCGTTTGTGGGGCATCCTATCCGGGCGGTTCATGCTTGGGCGCTGGCGAAGTTGGCGATTCATTTGTCGCAGGGTGGGGAGGGTGGAGTTGGAGCTGGGGATGGGGGTGAGAAGGAGGTGCGGGCGGCTGTTGAGAGGCTGGGGTTGAATCTTGGGCTGGTTATTTGGTCGGTGTTGAGGGGGCTTGTTGTCGGGGAGGGTGCTGCTTGTGCGGTGCCTGGGTTTAGGGGGGTGGTTGGGAGCGCGTTTGGGGAGGTGCAGGGGGAGTTTGTGAGGAATGGGATTGAGCCTGGGAGGATGGGGGTGGAGATTGGGAGGGAGTGGGAGAAGGTGGGGAGGTTGGTTGGGGGTGTTATTGAGGGGGAGGGGGGTAAATAGTCGTTGCTTAGAAGACTATATACACTTTGTAGGATTAGGATGAGCGGGTGGTTTGAGGGTAGAACGTGTTGGACAGAAGCCCTTCTGTTGGCGTCTACAGGTAGATACAGATACCTAGGTCTTTATAATTCAATACACTGAAAGGTTCGTTAAATTAAGACACCCCCATCTCAGGAAGGCATCTCCGCCCCAATATGTATGAGGCGGATCATCAGTTCAGTTCAGTTCGTTCACATGCCGACAAAAGACCTTATATTGAGATGCAAACAGCTGACCCGCACTTGACATACAAGTAGACGATGGACCCATATAGACAACGCAAATGGTATCCACCCATTTTTGTTTTCTTCTCCCAGCACATCCGGACGCCTGATTCCTCCACGCGACACCGCAAACCGACTGATTCCCAGTTTACTTGAGGGGAATGAAACGGGAAGAGTGGGTGGCACCGATACCGGGACGACCGTGCTTGACGGGCTTGCTATAGGATTGTTAATTCCCTTCTTTCTTCTTTTTTTTTCTGCCAATCCTAGGGTGAAAAGGGAGAACATACTATGAGATGGAGAATTCTCCCAGGTAGTGGCCAACCATCTCGGGCTTGACTTCGACCTGGTTGAACTCCTTGCCGGAGTAGATACCGACAACGCTGCCGATCATCTCGGGGACAACGATCATGTTACGGAGGTGGGTCTTGACGAGCTCGGGCTTCTCGTTGGCGGGAGCCTCCTGCTTGGCCTTGCGGAGCTTCTTGATCAGGCCCATGGGCTTGCGCTTCAGGCCACGGTTGAACCTGCGGCGGGCACGGGCGTGCACGACATCACGGAGCTGTTCGGAGGAGAGGTCGAGGAGCCTGACGATGTTAGAAAAGAAACTATCCATCATGACAGATTCCATAGCATGGGATGATCCTGTGCATCCTATCCCTCAACGGTGATTCCCCCAATATGCACGCAATCGTCGGTGGTTCGCTCGTTTAGGTCGGATGCACGGATTTCAAGCCAGGAATATCGGAGTCCACATACTGGTCGAGGTCAATGCCGCGGTAAGAAAACTTGCGGAACTGTCTTCTCTTCTTGATCTCTGTTGGCGATGGCTGTCAGCGCTGATGTCCCTTTTCGAAATGTGTGTCCCTCCCGATCGTTGAATCCGGTCCTGATCCTTCATCCCAAATCCATCTCGAAACCCATTTCCATCGCAAAATTTCCACCCCAGGACATATCGCACAACCAAATCGGAATATTCATGGGACCGGACGGGATAGGAAAGGGTTGGTGCAGTAAAAAAAACGTACCGGCGGCCTCCTCGGCGTTCTGCAAAACAAGACAATTGTTAGCGACCTAGTCTCCCTCTCTCCACCGTCGCATGGGATATATAAAGACTCACGTATTCGGTGTCAGCCATTTCTGCAGATGTGTTTCCTCTCAAGGTCGCTTTCCGATCGGGACTCGAAAAGCGAAAGGGCAAGGGTTGTCGTGTCGTGTCGCTGATGAACGTTCGTCGGGCTTCGACTTTTGCTAGGGCGCTCGGGATGGGAGTGAGGGTGGGCGGAGCCACTTTCTAAGCGACGGCTCGGGTTTAGCCCTACCACGCTAACCCTTGTGGGATGATTAGGGTTGCCCCTTTATTAGCCCTAATCTTCGAAGATCGAGTTGCTCGCTCTAACCTAATTCGGTAATTCTATTCCAGGGCCCGGCCAACTGGAGTCTACGATATCAATGGACTGGTTGTCTCGCAATTATACGGTTGTACGCTCAATTGCAGATTAAGTTATTAGAACCTAGCGCGACTACACATACAGTGTTATACTCCGCAGTGGCCGTCAAACTATCATCAATACTCAACCTACGAGGGAAACAATTGGTGGAGGTCAGATAATCTGTATTAGCTAAAAGCTCTTTCCAGCTCCCGTATGCAAGAATCGTCACTGCATCAGAACAGCCTGAAAATGCAGGCTTGCCCAGTTTCCTGAGCGATTTTCCTCCCAAGACTGAAAACAACCGCCAGACCTCTGTGCCCCCATAAATCACCGTATTTTTCTTTTGGAGGTTCGTACGAGACGATACGCTTAGTCGAAGAGACCGAAGCCCATGTCATCATCGGACTCCTCCTTCTCCTCCTCCTTCTCCTGGGCGGGAGCGTCACCACCAGCGGCGGCGGCAGGGGCAGCAGCAGCGCCACCAGCGGCACCACCGGAGGGAACGGAAGCAAGCTTCTCGGAGCCCTGGGCGATCAGCTGCACGGGGGATTAGTATTTGTTGACTCTGTTACGTGTGCGATTCTTGTGAAATACGAACCTCGTTGATGTCCTTGCCCTCAAGCTCGGAGATGAGCTTGGAGAGACGGTCCTCATCGGCGTCAATGCCGACGGCGGACAGAACGCCCTTGATGTCGGCAGCGGAGGGAGACTCGTTGCCGGCGAGGCCGAGGAGCAGGTAAGCGGCGAGGTGCTTCATTTTGAATCTGAGGCACAAAACTCTGTTAACACGAGTCGTTCGAAAAGCAAACCCTTGCGACGATGCGACCACTGGCTAGGAAATAACAAAAGGGCGTAAATGTCAAAACTTACCGGGTTTATGAAATAAGAACACGAGAATCAATCGATTTAACCGCAAGTTGGGCGGAGACTGAAACGTCGAGTTCGCTGGGAGGGATATTTAGCGATGGAGACAAAAGGAAGTCAGGAATCGATCCGCTAAAACTCGAGAGAAAAAGTGCGCTGCGGCTGGCCAGTGTGGCTCATTGGCTTAGTCTTCTCCGTAAGCGAGGGCCCTGTGGCGCAGGCATCCGGACCTTCCGCTTAGCTAAGCCATGACCCTGGCATCCTCTCACGTGACCGGTAACTTCTAGAAGGACAGGATGGCGAGACCTATTTTTACCCACTGGCAAAGCCTTCTCTGATCAGCCTCCTCACTCCTGTCTTCTTCCAGTATCTTCTGGTTGCAGTGTCAGAGCGTGGAGCCTGTTATTCAGTCAGTTCGCATCTTGACCTTTGGTCGAACCGCAAGAGTCATGAAGCTACCCCGTCAACTGACCCACCTACGGTGATTTGCTTCTGTATCCTCCTCGAACGTGCTCTTTACCTGTGACAGACAACACAGCCCAAGATGAGTGTATGGTTATCTCCCGAGTCTCACTGACAGTACCATCCTGACTTGTTATCAGTTCCTCGATTCCGTGCTTTCGTCGATCGACAAAGGCCAGCCGGCGCGCATGCCACCAACTTCGTCCGCTCCACCGGCACCTGTTTCTTCGTCTACCGCTAAACCGGAGGCTCGTAAGCCGACCACCGCATCTCGCAATGCTCCTTCCGACCAGAATCCAGTTGCCTCGGGCATTAAACGGAAGGCTGAGGCACAGCTCCCCCGTCCCCAACGGCCAGCGCCTCCGGATTCAAACAAACCGTTAACCTCTCGACCCCTACCGTCAGCGACGCTGTCTAAGCCCCGTCCGATCGCAAAACCTAGCTCCGCACGACCGGTGCCTGCGAGAGCTACCACCGGAAGTAGCGTGCCCACACCTCAGAAGGCGCCTCAGAAAGCTCCTCAGAAGGCGCCTCAGAAAGAACCCCCAGCCTCTTCGAAGGCTCCTCCCAAAGGTTCCTTTGCAGACTTGATAGCGCAGGCAAAGAACCTCCAGCAGAAAACGCCCACACAGGTCGGCATGTTCAAGCATCAGCCCGTTCCGAAAGAGAAACTCAGCAAGATGGAACGCAAGAAACGAATGATGGAGGCGCAAGCCAAGGAGAAAGAATCCAAGCTGGGAAAGCGGCCAGGTGCTGCGTCCGGGGCCAAGCCTGGTCTCCAGAAACTGGCCTCAAAAACAGCCGAACCCACTTACAGGGGTACTTCCCGACCAACACCAACGCCAACGGCAACGGCCCCTGCTCAGCCTGCATATCGTGGTACGGCCGGTCTACCGAGTCGACGTAACGGGAACGATCGGAATGCGCAGTCTCGTGGCGGTCGACGCAGAATGGATGAGTACTTGGGAACAGATGAAGAGGATGAGGGCGAATATGCGGGTAACTACGATGATTACTACTCCGACGCATCGTCCGACATGGAAGCTGGTTTGGACGATGTGGACCGCGAAGAAGCTGCGGCGTTGAAGGCGGCCAGGAGAGAAGACGAAGAAGAATGGAAGGCAGAGCTTGCTGCAAAGCAGGAGAAATTGGAGCGGCGCAATAGGCTGGCCTCATTGGCTTCCAGGCGGGGCTGAGTTTCGAAAGAGCTCGACTCCTGCCATTCACACAAAATCTCTGATACTTTTTGGAAATCTTCATGGAGTATCATTGAGGTATACCCACGATGATGCCATTACACGGTTGGATCATTACTAGTGTTTTTTCTTTTCTTTTTTTCTTTTCTGGGTTGGTTTTGTTTCTTGATTTCAAGCATCAGCGAGCGACAATGTCCATAGAGGGCTTTCTTTTTCTCTACATGTCCATATTTTGGTTGCATGCAAAGCGCGGGGCGTCTTTTACTCGGTGTCAATCCATTTTCAATACAATTCAGTTAACAAGTCCTATCAATGATCTCTTAATGATCCAACATCGAGCTCATATGCCCGTGACTATCCACTGCGGAGACAATTCTCCGTTCAGGCCCCACCCGGGCGGTGACATCACCGGCGCTTTATCCTTGTCCAGGTATCCTAACGTCAACTCTCCTTCGCTCGACAACTTGTTTTAAACATTCCATGAATCCGTCTTTTGCTTTCCTTCTGTAACATTTACCATCAATCTTCTAAATCAAGCAATTCCACTATACCAGCGCTGCTCATCATGGAGGCACATCAGGTGTCAGCCTCGTCCAAGGCTCTCTTCAAGAAGGCGCGTCAAATCGTGCCTCCCATGCTGGAGCGATTCCACAAAGGTATGCCCTCTGCAACCCTATCCTTCTTCGTCATGTCTTTCTAGCAGTAATTGACTGTATACAGGCCAGCATGGACGCGTTGCAGTCATCGGAGGATGTGCAGAGTATGTAGACTTCCCGGAAGCTCCATACCCATGATCTGACCCCGCCAAGTTACACAGGAGCACCGTACTTTTCTTCTATGGCTTCAGCCAGACTCGGTACGTGCTCGCTTGTCTTTACACCCCAGCAACGATAATAACGAAAACTAACCTCGACCCACAGGATGTGATATGGTACAATTGACCCCGTCCCCGCCTACGAGATCTCCACAGTACTGACAAACCCCAGAGCCATGTTATCTGCCAACAATCAGCGGCTACCGTACGCAACACCAACCTCACCCTCACTCGAGCGCAAAACTAACAACCCCACAGGTCATCAAGTCCTACTCCCCAAACCTAATGGTCCACCCATTCCTCGCAAGCAGCGACACAGTCAAGGACTCCAACCCAGACGCCCGCTCGCTCGCCAGCCCCATCATCGCTATGCTCTCGCGTCTCCATGCACTTGTAATCGGCCCCGGCCTCGGCCGCGACGGCATCGCACTCAAGGTCGTCCGGGAGGTAATGAAGGAAGCGCGGTCCCGCTCCATCCCGTTCGTCCTCGACGCAGACGGGCTCCTCCTCGTGTCCGAGGACCCCAACCTGGTTCTTGGATACAAGGAGTGCATTCTGACGCCCAACGTGAACGAGTTCAGCCGGCTAGCCCAGGCCCTGGGAATCGACATGCCCACGCCGGCACCGAATGCCACGGACGCCTGCGAGAGGTTGTCCAAGGCGCTGGGCGGCGTGACTATCATCCAGAAGGGTCCTAACGACATCATCTCCAACGGGATCAGCACTATGGTATCGGACATCGCTGGCGGGCTGAAGCGCAGCGGTGGACAGGGCGACACGCTCACCGGCTCCTTGGGGACGCTGCTGGCGTGGCGCGCGGCGTACCACGATGGACTGTGGGAGACAGGGGAGAAGGAACCCTCGAAACCGGCGCATAGTCAGCAGGAGGTTCAGGCGGAGCTGGAATCCTCGGGCACGCGGTTGTCGCCTGCGACGACGCTGCTGCTGATTGCTTGGGCGGGCAGTGGGCTGACGCGGGAGTGTTCGAGGCGCGCCTTCAACGCCAAGGGGCGGAGCATGCAGGCTAGTGACCTGACGGATGAGGTCCACGGGAGTTTCCTGGATCTGATCGGTGAGCCGGAAGCGTCGAAGATGCATCTATAGACGTGAGGCGGTGATCTGGAATGGGGGTAGCCTTGTGGTGTGTATCTAATACGTAATGCCATCAGATGATGAGAGCTGTTGTTTTGTTTTCTCCAATCGGGGTGTTGTTCCAGATGATTTGTCTGGGAGCTTGCCTAAATTTAGTACGCCGTTCTCCAGACCTGCTATAACCCTGTTCGGCTCGGGGACTGGATCGAAGACCCGGATCTGACAGGTAGCGTGATGCTCGCTTCTAGATTGCATTCATTTGCTAGGTTCCGTGATTGTATACTGCCTATACGAGAAGCTCCTCGCTGTCTCTGCGTCATGTCAAATAACCATGCTTGAGAGTAATACTCAGTCTACTGTAACCAATTGTGTGCTGCGGCTTCAGAGTCCGGTCTATCCAGACAAACATAGAATAAAACAGTTCCTGAGCACCTGTATTTACGAACATGGAAGAAGGTTTCACACATCCAGCCCACAACCAGCCACAATTATTGGGTTAATAGTCCTCAACATCAGGCCATCCAGTATCACGCCCCCGAACCCAGCCAACAACCACCAAACTAAGCAATCCATTCAGGACCCCAAAGAAGAATCAACCGCCAAACCCCCATGATATTCTATTATTACCCCATATAATTCAATTACATATTAGCCACAAACCCCGCAACGAGTCATCATCGGCAATATAGTCAGGCATAGCAATGTTCCAGATCTCGTATTCGAGACCGCCAGGCTGGAAGCCTGTGGCGTCCGGGTGACGAACCAGATCTGGGCCCCAGCGCTGGGCAACTGTCCATGGCGGAGAGACATGTTTTAGATGTTGAGCTTGGATTGGAACGTTTTGAGGGGTTGTGTTGGCTGCGGCTTTTAATCTTGGTTCGTTCTGTGATACGTAGGATGGTTGGGATTGTATAGGGCTGGAGGTGCGTCTCGTACAGTGAGTGGGAGTGAGATCATACACGTCTTGCCAAGTTTGGGTTGTGTGTGACCGAGATGGGAGATAGATACTCATTTTGTAGGATCCAAGAATAGAATGGGTTTCGATGGTAGTATGTGATGGTATAGATGGGGCGAGGAGGAAGAGGTATATAAAGCAGCACGAGCATCACCATCAACATCTCTATCCCATCCATCCATCAAAGCATCAATCCAGCAATCTACAACTCAATACTCCATCCAAACCTTTCTCATTTCACTACAAAGTATATATACAAATACCCACCGCAAAAATGCAACTCACAACCCTCGCCCTCCTCCTCGCAACCGCAACGGCCGCAGTCGCCATCCCCACGGAGTCCCACCAGCCTCCCCCAGTCTGCAACACCTGCAACCCGCTGTCCGGCCAAAACCACTGCGACATCACGACCTCGTGCATCAACACGGGCACGCGCTTCCACTGCGCCTGTCGCGCGGGCTACAAGGCCTCGCCCGACAACAACGACATCAAGAAGCAGTTCCGCCTCAACATGCCGGACTATAAGTTCTTGGTGTTCACGCCCGAGTCGACCGAGTGTAATACGCTTTGCAATAATCCTTATGGGGCGGGTCCGGATCTCTGTGCCGAGGTGCCTGTTAGGGAGAGGTGTTCTGTTTAGAGGCTGGCTGGCCTGATTCCTGATTGACTGTCCCCTCTTGATATGGGAGGAAAGGGGGCTGGTTGGCGAAGGGTTGGATATTGATGTGGAGGTTGGATGCGTCGAGTTTGGTATTTGGTTTAGTTTGGTGGAGAAGTAGGCAATATAGCGTTGGTTGTGACTTGGTGGTTTTATAATACGATGGAGTAGATAGCTTGATAGTCACTCCTTCATGAATGCAGTCGTTCCATTGAACAGATGTTATTCTCCGTAAATCCCAGTAACAGTAACCTAGTAAATCATGTTCCAGACCTGCAGAATTATGCTCCCAAACACCGGTCATTTCTACCTCATGCGTGACTTCACATACCATGACCCGAACAAAAAAAGACTAAGACGAAACGCGCAATGGATATAAATATTAGGATGTATTCTATTCCACATCTCGCCTCACATATCCATGTCCTCGTCGTCGGCTTCGATGAATATAAGCCGGTTGCTGTCCTCGGACACTTGCCAGACCTAGAGTAACTTGTTAGTACACGGCAAAAACCAAGAGAAAGATAGAAAGAAAAACATACCAGAACACTCTCATACTCGGCCAGTGCCATGTTGAGCTGATCTTGAGTAAAGCCCTTGGCCAACACCCGTTCGCGAATCCGGCGCATGCTGAGCGCGCTGTCATCCCCGTCGCCCACGACGGCCGCTCCGCTGTCCCGCATGCTGCGGATGAGGTTGTAGATCTTGCTCGTCGGCGTGTGATCCAGACCGGAGTGTCCGTCGTTGGACAGCGAGGCACGACTGACGTCCACCAGGCGCAGCGCCTCGTCCACATCCTCCGTGATGACCTCGTTGCTGAATCGGAGACGCGCCAGCGCCTGGGAGAGACGCACCACACCCAGCAGGGTACGCGGGGTGACGTGGGAGAACTGCTTCTTGCTGGCCTCGTCGCTCTTCTGCTGCTTCCGCATCTGCACGTACGCGCCGACCATATAGTCCGACACCGACGAGGGGACAACGGGCCGGAAGGTACGCGCCTTGGCCACGTACTGGCGAACTTCGGCGGGGGTGAACATGATGCCCGAGTCCTCCGTTTCCGGGTGCTTGTTGTGCATGTGGACGTAGGTGACGTGGTTGGCCAGCTCCTCGTCGCCGTCGCGGGACGGGGTGTCGAGAATGAGGAACATGACGTCGAAACGCGAAAGCAGGGCGGCCGGAAGGTTGATGTTCTCGACCGGCGACACGCGGGGGTTGTATCGGCCGTAGAGCGGATTGGCCGCGGCCAGGATCGATGTGCGTGCGTTGAGGGTGGTGGTGATGCCCGCCTTGGAGATCGAGATGGTCTGCTGTTCCATTACTTCGTGAATGGCGGTCCGGTCACCGTCCTCCATCTTGTCGAACTCATCAATACAGCAGATGCCGTTGTCGGCCAGAACCAGGGCTCCACCTTCCAGGACCATCTCGTCCGTGACGGGGTCCCGCATGACAGCCGCCGTGAGACCGACGCCACTGCTTCCGCGACCGGTGGTGTAAACGCCGCGAGGAGCGACCTTCGTAATATACCGCAACAACTGGGACTTGGCCACACCAGGATCACCCATCAGGCAGATGTTGATGTCGCCACGGATGTGCATGCCGTCGCCCATTTCCTTACTGACACCGCCAATCAAAAGAAGAAGCAGGGCCTTTTTGACGTCCAGATGTCCGTAAATCTCAGGCGCAATGGACCGGGCGAGGTACTCATACATGTTGCCCGACTTGTTGTGCTGCTCGATCTTCCGCAAAGTTCGGCTGTCCATGTTCGTATCATCGTACGACTGCTTGTGTTGAGTAACGTGTTGAGCCTCCATGTAAGTGTCCGTCAGGAGACCTGCGCGAATGGCCCTGAATCCGGTGTAAGGCGTGGGAAGGAAGATGCCGGCGATGTCGGCAACGTCGCCCGGGTTCATTTGGCGCGTCAGGGATCCGTGACAGTGGATGGTCATGGTCCGGGGGATGTGACCGACGGGCACCTGTTCCGCCATCTCCTGGATCTTGACCTCCTGGAAGGGAATGAACTTGGACGCACGAGTCGAGAGGAACAACTGTCCCTTGACGTTGTTCTTCTTGCACTCGTCCGACAGACATTCCGTCAACGGCATGAACTGCTTGGTGGTGACGGGCTGGAACACTTCGCTTCCGCAACGGTCGCAGGTATAGGCGTTGATCTCGACGGCGGGCTTGACGTCGGAGACACGGGTGACGATACCACGGACGGTCACGAGGCTACCGATGTGGTCCGCACGCACGTGGCGCACCGCAAGGGCTTTCGAACCGCGCTCAGTGCTCGACCCGGACGGCGTCAGGGGCTTGAAGTTGAGTGTGTATCGGCGAGTCAGCTCGGGAGGGAACATCGACGCAGTCGAAGGGGCGTCCATGCCGGCTTCTTGAGCCATGGCCATCGCTTCGTTTCGCTTTTCACGTTGCGACATGATGACATCGAGGACATCGTCTTTGAATCTGTGACGATAATCAGTTGCTAGGTCCCACGTCCATCACCGGTGTAAATCATACGAGATCTCGGTGGTCTCCGGGGGCATGATGGCATCCGCCGCCCGCGAGAAAATTTCGACATAATGCTTCGTATTCTTTTGCACTGAATCCACGAGTTTGAGGTCGACGTCGTCCGGAAGTGATTTCTCGTACTACCATTTGCATATTAGACACCCGCAAATATAAGACTTCAGCCAGGTCGCAAATATTGCCCACTATCTCTTACCTTGACCAAGTCATCCAGCTCTATCAGAACGTTGAGTCGCTCGCGATTGGCAACATCCTGCAACATCTCCATGTACTTGAGCTTTGTACCCCTGCGCCCACCGCGCGCCCCCGTCTGTCCATTCCCATCCTCTGCATCATCCATGAAATCATATTCGTCACTCGTGCGCTCGCCCCCATCGAGGTGGAGATCTTCAAGGGCCTCGGTGGCAGCCGTTGCAGAGGTCGACTCGAGGGTTTTGAAACCCTTCAAGAAGTCCTTGAAGGTGTCCAATTGTTCGTCATAATTGACCGGGGCATTGTAAGCGAGCAAGGCCATGATGCGACGGTGGACAGAAGCAGATCAATTGGCCGTGGAGGGGGGGGGTGTTGATGCAAGAGACGGGCAAGGGAAGAGAACGAAGGAAACAAACGGACCCAACTGAATCCACAGCTCAGAATCCGACTTCTCCCCAGCTGTTGCCGCGCTAGTCCCTTTTCGGTGTTAAACACGTCGCGTCACGAAAGGAACGCGTCGGGCCATTCCTCAATCCACGCTAGTCCATCTACGGACTAGCGCAGTAGCACGTGGATCGGAGCGGAACAAGTCTCGGTCCGAACAGGGTCAGGCGGGCCGGTTCGGCGAGTTGGACTGGCGGGCACTTGATTTGTGGAGCCCCAAGGCCGCAAGTGAGATGCCGTGGACCTTGGAAGTCCGGGGCAGACAGTACCACTAACACTCACGCCTCGGAGATGGTGATTTGTGTCCTTGTGTCTTCTCTTCCTTCTTCCCTCCGCTTCTTTGCTTCCTTTGTTTCTCGCAATTCTGTCTTTGTTTCCTAATTCATATTCCGGACTTGTGGACTGCTCATTCTGTCTCTCTGCGCCCGAGAATGGCGCCCAAGAAGCCCTCCACGACGGCCGAGGTGGCCCTCGTGCCATTGAAGAATTGCTTGGTCAACCTGCCACCGTCACTCGTGGCGCTGCTGGTCAATGCCAACACGGTAAGCTTGCCTTTTAATCTTCAGCGCCGGTTACTTCCTTTTTCTCTAACCAGAAAATCAGACTGCGCAGAATGTCATTGTCGAGCTGCAGTACCGACCGACGGCCGGGAAGCTCAGCGGGAACCCCGCGCAACGGTCTTGCTACCTGGGATGGACCGGCATGCAGAGCAAGCGCAAGCTTGCGCCGGTGGTCGGACGAGATGGAATCAACAATTCCTCTTCCACCAGAGAGCAGGACGCCTCGACGGTCGAGCTAGATACAACATTTGCGCGGGTTCTCGGACTTTCCGAGGGACAGCGGGTAAGACGTCGCCGCAAGGTTCAGCTGCAGCGCATCGAGACTAATACGTCGTAGGTCGGAATTTTCATCCACCTAGATCCCCCGGTGGCTAATACTATAAACATCGAGCCTCTGACTCCGGAGGATTGGGAAAGTATGCATTGTGAACTCCCAAGGCGGTCCGCCCCCGCACGATTGCTGACCTCGGCTATTAAACAGTCATCGAGCTACATGCGTCATTCCTCGAGCTGAATCTCTTGTCGCAAATCCGCGCGCTACCCAACCCCGGATACAATTCGGCGCAGTCGGAACACATGCATGCGCTTGCGCTGCATCTCTCCCCGACATCAACGGCCAATATTGTCATTACATCACTCACGCCGCCTCCCTCCAACACCTCTCCGTTCGCGAAGATCGCCCCAGACGCGGAAGTGATCGTGGCCCCCAAGGTTCGCTCCAAGGCGAGAGGCTCGCGGGGCGAGAACCGAAGCGTCACCGGCAGCAGCAAGCGCAGCGGGGGAGGACGGAGTAGCGGAAGCACCGTGCGACCGAAGAGCGGCCGGTCCGACTCGACAAGCCGGGGCTCCCTTTACTTCCGTGGCACCGACCGTCAATGGTCCGAGCACACCTTTGACTCGGAGTTGGAGGAGGATCGCAACGAGGGCTTCCGTGTCTGGGTAGATCCGGACGTGCTGGCGAGCAACGAGCTGCGCGGCGCCACTTGGGCGGCCGTCAACATCATCCAACCGTCGGGACTGAAGGCTCCCTTGGATCCCCAACAACAAATGAGCCAAGCAGAGCAAAAGGCCAGTGACGCAGGCATACCCGCAACGAAGATCGTGGCCAAATTGGCGCCGTGGGTAGACGCGCCGGACACCCAGCACGTCGCCTTGTCTACTCTGCTGTGCAGCGCGCTTGGCTCGGAAGGCATGGCCGGTGGCATCGTTCGGGTGGAAGCGGCGCCTACCCCGTTGCAGCGGTCGGCTGTGAAAGGCCTGAAGATCTACCCTTTCACGACCGACACCACCAAGAAGAAGGATGGGCTCAAATTCGGCGCCGACACGGTGGCCGCGAAGGATGCTCTGGCGGAACGGATCAAGGTGATCCACGGCACCCCCGGATCCGACAAGGGATTACTATCTGGACCTCTGACGGATGGCATGATTCTGCCCAGGTCGGAGAAACCGAGCACGGTGTCTCCATTCGACGGTGGTATCCTTCGATTTGATCCGCCGTTGAAGGCCACCTCCGACACGCCCAAGCCGTTTGGATGGTTACCAGGGTCGGAGGTCAAGCTGTCTCTTGAGGTGCAGGCTGAGATTCCTAAGCCCGCCGATCAAGGCTCGTCGGTCCTATCCTCGGAAGACACGTTACCATCTACCGTTCCCAAGATGGTGGGCATTGACCCCATCATCTCCCAGTGTATCGACGGCCTGACCAAGTCATCTTCCATCTTGTTGACTGGCGGCCTTGGTGCGGGAAAGACGGCTCTGACGCAGCTACTAGCCCACAAGGTCCGCAAGGAGTACCTGTTCAACGTCAAATACTTTTCGTGTCGGAAGCTTGTCACGGACGAGACCCGGATCTCGAACATCAAGGAGACGCTGAGCCGGCTCTTCATGTCCGCGTCTTGGTGCGCTCGTCTTGGCGGGCAAGCCGTCGTGATCCTGGATGATCTCGACAAGCTTTGCCCCGTCGAGACTGAGCTGCAAGTCGGCGGCGACAACGGCCGCAGCCGCCAGAACAGCGAGGTTATCTGCTCGATGGTGCGGGAGTTCTGCACTATGAACTCATCAGTGGTGCTCTTGGCGACCGCGCAGTCGAAAGAGTCCTTGAACAACGTCATCGTCGGGGGTCATGTGGTGCGAGAGATCATCCATTTGAGAGCGCCGGACAAGGACGGGCGCCGAAAGGTGTTGGAGCAGCTCACTAGCCAAGACCGGAACACCAGCGCTGCCACCAATGGGCCCGGACGCGCACGCGACGAGAGTGCATCGTCCGCAGACGATTCCTGGTTGGATCCCTCGAACCCGGACAGCCGCCCTAGCACAGCCGGCGTCGACGGCTTCGTTCTAGGCCGGGACATCGATTTCCTGGAGCTGGCCGGCAAGACAGATGGCTACATGCCCGGCGATCTGGTGCTCCTCGTTTCACGCGCGCGGAACGAAGCCCTCATCCGCTCGGTGCAAGACCCTCTGGCCGCATCAAAAGCGATTACCCTGGGGGCGAAGGACTTCGACAGCGCGCTGGACGGATTCACCCCCGCATCCCTGCGCAACGTCACCCTCACGTCGTCCACCACCACATTCTCCGCCATCGGCGGCCTCCACGACACCCGAAAAATGCTCCTCGAGACACTACAGTACCCCACCAAATACGCGCCCATCTTCGCACAATGCCCGCTACGCCTGCGGTCCGGTCTCCTCCTCTACGGATTCCCCGGCTGCGGCAAGACGCTCCTCGCCAGCGCCGTCGCCGGCGAATGCGGGCTGAACTTCATCAGCGTGAAGGGCCCCGAAATCCTCAACAAATACATCGGTGCAAGCGAGAAGAGCGTGCGCGATCTCTTCGAGCGAGCCCAAGCCGCACGGCCCTGCATTCTCTTCTTCGACGAATTCGACAGTATCGCGCCCAAGCGCGGCCACGACTCGACGGGCGTGACGGACCGAGTCGTCAACCAGCTGCTCACGCAGATGGACGGCGCCGAAGGCCTCTCCGGCGTCTACGTACTCGCCGCTACGTCCCGACCGGACCTGATCGACCCGGCGCTGCTGCGTCCGGGACGACTGGACAAGTCCCTCCTCTGCGACATGCCGAGCCACTCCGACCGGATGGACATCATCGAGGCAGTGAGCAAGAAGCTCGCGATGAGCGACGAGGTGGCCGCGCGGCTGGACGAGGTCGCCGAGCGGACGGAGGGCTTCTCGGGAGCGGACCTGCAAGCCGTCGTGTACAATGCCCACCTCGAGGCCGTCCACGACGCCCTCGGCGACCGATCAACCGACAAAGCAGCGGGCAAGAGCGCCGGCAAGCAATCCTCCTCTTCCTCGTCGGCAGCCGGCACCAGCACCAAGTCCTTCATCCAATTCCTATACTCGACGTCCGAGCAGCGCAACGGATCAGTCGCCATGCCGTCCCCGGCCGTCGTCGCGTCCAAGCTAGAAGCGATCAAGAGCGCCCGGCGCCGCCAGCGGCACAACGAGCAGGGCCCCTCCGCCGGGGGTTCGACGGCATCCACGCCGGCGACGAACGGGGCGGCGGCGCACGAAGAGCCGCGCGAGGAGATCATCGTCCGGTGGGAGCACATGGAGCGGTCGCTTGACACCACGCGGAGCTCGCTCAGCGTCAACGAGCGACGGCGTCTGCAGGGGATCTATTCGGAGTTTGTGTTTGGGCGGAACGGCGAGATGCCGAACGGGGAGGCCGGGAATGAGATTGGCGGGCGGACGAGTTTGATGTAAATGCATGGGTAGGAGGAGTTGTATATTTAGCTTGATATCTAGATACGATGTATAGAGGATGTATATTTACTCGCCTGGTCCAACGTAGATGGCACAATAAGTAGTCAAGCACAACCCAACCGTTATACTACGTAGGTAGTAAAAGAAAAGAAAAAGAAAGAGAGTTCCATCCCCAACTCGAACCCCCACCCTCCCCCAAACGTCTTTCTCCCAAAAAGCACCGCACCTCGAATATGCTTTCAAGAATTAAAAAAAAAAAAACTGGTAGCTTCTCTTTGATTGAGCGTGTCATCCTTAGTGCAGGGGCCATGCTAATCTTCTCTGTATCGTTTCAAATTGACCAAATGCCCGAAGGCACTAGGTATTTCCTTATTGTGAACTATATAGGAGGGTTGACTGATGTTGAGGATGATGATTGGGTGGGGGTTGGTGGATGAGCGGGTAAGCGAGATTATGTAAGGAACACCAAAAAAACTAGGTACCTAACTTGGTGGGTGGGTGGAATTCTGGAAGGGAGAAGAAGGGGGGAGGGAAACTAAAACTAAAGGGAGAATGGATGCCACCTTCATTGGCGGCCATGTGGTGCGTATCCACTTATTATTACTACGTGTGGGTAATGGTAGTGGGTGGGTGACTGTTGGGTGGGCGATGGCAATGCTGTTGATGGTTCTCATTGTGCTTTGCTGGGAATGGCAGTCTAGGTAGGCAGATTAATGTGTAAAACAAGTAGGGATGTCAAGCGATGCTATATCCTAACTAATCACTACAGTATTCGTGTGCAATCCTAAGCGAACATAGATGGATAAGCAGAAATTAGTCATCAGGTACTGGGGACTCCACACTTTGCCCCTCAAAGCTTATTCGGTAAAATCGGAGTTAACGAGCTAGTAAACTGCCGGTATGGTGGAGTCTTTTGGGCTGTTGGGACTGTATTTTACTTACACAATACGTAAGTCATCCAGTGGTCCGGTGCCTCGGTGAGTCGGTGGTGCTGGCTTTCAAGGTACGGAGCAGGAGTGCGGAGTACGGAGTAGTTATGCTGGAATGTCCAGCACGGCTTAACCTGTATGTCGCATTAGAAGAGTAGTAGATTGAGAGACCAGGCTGATACCTATCATTTTGTACTAAATAGGCAGCCAATAAGCGCCAACTATATTAACAGTTTAGCACCCTTACCAGCCCGTTAGTGCCTTGAGACTCGTATAGCAAGGTCAGATCCGGCGAGGGGAAGAATTACCCTATGTGGTTTAGGGTGGCGGCTATCCATGGGCGGAGATCGCCTCCGTTACCAGTATCGCCTTGTTATGCCGAGGGCCGAATGGTTACAGGTTCTTTGTATTTGTTCGGCTTTCCTGTTCTCTGCCACTTATTTATTTACTTATTTGAGCCTCTAACTTTTATCCTTTTCTCTCTCGATTGCTTTTACCTCTTCTTCTCTTCGCCTTTTCCCCTCCAGAACCGGTCTATTCCCGCAATCCAACCTATCCGCCTGACGGTTTCCCTATCTCTTCCCCTCTCGAATTCCCCGCATCTGGCCGCCATGCCTGTCGCTTCTTCCTACCCGCCGGTCGACATCCCCAATGTTGACCTCTGGACGTTTCTGCTGGAGCGCAAGGATAGGCAGTTCCCCGATGACAAAAGTCCGTTTATCCCCTTCCGTCAGGCGTCACCGAGACTAACAGCCGTGCAGTCATCTACCAAGATGCCGACACCCAGCGATTCTACACCTTCGGCGGCCTGAAGGAGGCGGCGCTCTCATTCGGAAAGGGTCTGAAAGCCACGTATGAGTGGAAAAAAGGCGATGTGCTCGCCCTGTTCACCCCCAACAGCATTGACACCCCGGCGGTGATGTACGGGTGCCATTGGGCCGGCGGTGTGGTCTCCCCGGCTAACCCGGCTTACACCGTTGAGGAGCTGGCGTTCCAGCTGAAGAACTCGGGCGCCAAGGCCCTCATCACGCAGGCCGCGCAGCTGCCGGTCGCTACCAAGGCTGCCCAGCAGGCTGGCATCCCCGACGACCATATCATTCTGATCGGCGACCAGCGTGACCCCTCGGGCAAGTTCAAGCACTTCACCTCGGTGCGCAACATCTCGGGCGCGACGCGCTTCCGCAAGACAAAGATCAACCCTGAGAAGGATTTGTCGTTTTTGGTGTACTCTTCTGGTACGACGGGTGTGCCTAAGGGTGTTATGCTGTCGCATCGCAATATTGTCGCCAATACTCTGCAGCTGGCTGCTGGGGAGGCGGGCAATCTGACGTGGAATGGTGGTGCGGATGGGGAAGGCGATAAGATCCTGGCGTTTCTGCCTTTCTTCCACATCTACGGTATGTTGCTTCTTTCTTCTTTCTTCTTGCTTGGTCGTGCGGTTACTAATAATGACAGGCCTGACATGTCTGGTCCACCAAACCCTCTTCCAAGGTTACCGCCTGGTCGTCATGGCCAAGTTCGACCTGGAGAAGTGGTGTTCGCACGTACAAAACTACCGCATTACATTCAGCTACGTCGTGCCGCCCGTCGTCCTGCTCCTGAGCAAGAGCCCCGTGGTAGACAAGTACGACCTGTCGAGCATGCGGATGATGAACTGCGGGGCCGCCCCGCTGACGCAAGAGCTGGTGGAGGCCGTGTACGCGCGCATCAAGACGGGGATCAAGCAAGGGTACGGGCTCAGCGAGACCAGTCCGACGACGCACACGCAGCCGTGGGAGGAGTGGCGGACGACGATCGGCGCGGTGGGCAAGCTGCTCCCGAACCTGGAGGCCAAGTACATGACGATGCCGGAGGACGGGTCCGCGCCGCAGGAGGTGCCGGTCGGCGAGGTGGGCGAGCTGTACATGCGGGGCCCCAACGTCTTCCTCGGATACCACAACAACCCGGCCGCGACGGCCGACTGTCTGTCTGCCGATGGGTGGTTCCAGACCGGCGACGTCGGGTACCAGAACCGCGACGGGGCGTTCTTCATCACGGACCGTGTCAAGGAGCTCATCAAGTACAAGGGGTTCCAGGTGGCGCCGGCCGAGCTGGAGGGCATCCTGGTGGATAACGAGGCGATCGACGATGTGGCCGTCATCGGCGTGGAGAGCCAGGAGCACGGCACGGAGGTGCCGGTTGCGTTTGTGGTGCGCAGCGGCAAGAGCAAGGCGTCGGGGGTGAGCGCCGAGGCGGAGGCGCAAAAGATCGTGAAATGGCTGGACGACAAGGTGGCTTACCACAAGCGTTTGCGCGGGGGCGTACGATTCGTGGATGAAATCCCCAAGAGCGCGAGCGGGAAGATCCTGCGCCGGGTGCTGAAGAAGCAGGCGCAGGAGGCGGCCGCGCCGCCCAAGGCCAAGCTGTAGATAATGATTTGACGTTTTCATATTATATATCCATGATGCACTTAGACTAGCATCTGTTAAATTCAAACATTCACACATAACCTTCTGCAACACGTAGACAACAACATTAACCCAGCAGTGCGAACGCACCAGAAATCACAAAAATTCTACAACCCAAACCTCCTCACCATCCCCTCCACATCCTCCCCCTCAACAGCATCAACCCCACCCCGCGCAACCCTCTCAACAGCCCCCTCCACATCCTCCTCCCCCGCCAACAAATCCACCCAACCCTCCGTATCTCCCCTCGCCAGCAACAAATCCGCCACGATCGCAACATCCTCCCTCGACACAGTCCCATACCCCCTGCTCGTCCTCCCCAAATCCACCTTCCGCGTCGCCTCCTCATCCGTCAACGTCCCCGGCCTCAAATTAATCGCCTGCAGCGGCTTAGCCTTCCCAGCAGCAACATCCTTCGCGCGTCGCGCCGCCAGCGCAGTCATGTACTCGTCGGCTTCGAGCTTCGCCTGCGCGTAGGCAGGCAGCACGCGGTGGAAGACGTCCTGGATGCGCGCCCAGTCGGCGTCGGACATCCACGATGGCTGGGCGCGTCGGCTGCCGATCCAGGAGATGAGGAGGATCTTGGACACCCGGGCCGAGGCAAAGGAGGCGGCTAGGATGTGTTTTGCGGCGTCGCTGTCGATGGCTTGGGTGCGGGCTGGGCCGCCTTTGCCTCCTGCGCCTGTTTCATCATTAGTATTCTGCTTTTCGATATATATGTATATGTATAGAATGGGGTATCAGGAAAGGAAGGAAAGGAGGAGTACCAGCAGCCCAAACAACATAATCCGGGTTAGCGGCGTCGAGGATACGCTTGGCGTCGGCGTCGGAGCGAACTTCGTCCAGACTGGAGAGCAGGACGGACAGCTTTCCTGGGTGGTTGTTGGCCAGGGAGAGGATATCCGGCTTGTGCTCTGGGTTGCGGATGACTGCCGTGACGGACCAGGAGCGGGCGAGGAGGAGGGGGATGAGGCGGAGGGCGATCTTGCCGTGGCCGCCTAGGAGGAGGACGTTCATTTTATTTTATGTAATATATTATATTGTGGTTATAATATGTATGGTGGAATATGTAGATGAATGTATTCAGGTGGTGGTGATGATGATGATGCGGGGTGATTTATGAGGGTTATGATTAATAATTGTGTATGGCGTCATGACTTTATTGATCTGTTTATTTATTTATTTATTTATTGATGTTTATTGCTTCATCTACTCTATTTGACTACTTCGTTGATCAATATTATCTATCCACTACTCTATTATAGTACAACGTTAGTTGTACATCACTTGATATACACAGGAGAAGAAAAGAAGCAAGATGTCTTAGGCACCAAGGGATACGAAGATCATCACTTCCCATATCAACCCTTCCCTTATTCAATCAGACCATTCCATCTCTGCCTACTCCAGACTACAACACTGTTCGTTTCACCCAGGTGATCCTCTTACGCCCCAAATTTCCGGGACACCAGACGCCACTAGAACCCGAATGGTCCCCACTCCAAGCCCATCAATCTATATCAAACCGGGTGACAGGCTGACAGCCCAACGGGATTTCAGTTGGCTTTCATTTCGGGTGAATTTATTATGACCAGTCGAATGGGAGGGGCTTAGACGAAAGGAGATTGGTTCGGATGGGGAGGGGGGGCTGTAGTGGAGACGGATGCAAGGAGTCGAGAATCATCTTGTTCTTCATTGTGCCTGGATAGTACGGAGTCTTCTGGATAGGATTCATTCGGTGGAGACTGGAGAGTTATAGTACTTGATTATGTCGGGTACCTGGGAAGTACCATGGGAGGGACTGACTGACCCATGGTCTGTCCCGCATATCAGATGCTGCATCGGTCTAATTCCCAATAGTCTGATATCGGTTAGAACAGGAGGAGAAGAGAAGAGAACAGCTGAAGGGATTTCTGGTCCAACGCGATCGAGTTTAGTCGGATCGAAGTTACCAATCATGAAGAGATTTCCATTCAGGAACAGAAAGAATCAACTTCATATGCTTAATCTTAGGATTGGATGATGATAATTTAGAAAGAATAATCTTATAAATAATCAATAATAAATAAATAAATAATCAATAATAATCAGAGAAGAAAATAAATCCAAAAATCCACGATCGGGTCCAGATCTCTCCCTCCTTCGGCCTCCCTCTGCCTCTCCCTTCTTCCTCCTTCTTCTCCCTTTCTCAATCCTCCTTCTCGTCCTTCTTCCTTCTTCCTTTTCCTTTCCTGCATTCCTTCTCTTCACGATCCTTTTCTTTCTTCCCCTGCCTCGGGTTCCTTGCCTGTCCACTCGTTCGCCATTGACTCGACTCCCAGCCATTTTCCGGTCAATCCAGTCCAGTCATTCCTCCGCTCACCAGCGGAACGGCCCTCCCTCCAGCCAGTTGTCCGTCTCCACCCGCCTCGCCCTGTCAATTCGTTCTGTCAATTCGCCTGTTACTTCGCCTGTTACTTCGCCTGTCCAACCTGGATCCTGGATCCTTGCCATCGTCCGACCTCTTTCCGTTGGTTTCGTGGCTACTGGGGAACTTCCCCTTGCACCCGTCGTGTGAGTCTCAATGGTTCCGGATGCGCCTGGCGTCCTCCCGACCTGACCCATACTATCGACTCGTCCGATCTGACCTGCCCCCGTTTCAGTATATGTGTCAATCGCCTCCCTGTCCCTCTCGCCAGTGTCCTCCGACCCCCCAGCAAGGGCCTCTCCGACCCAAATAGTCTGTCTCCCCGACGACAATCGGTCCGTCGCCCGCTCCTGCGTGACGCCACGCCTCGTCCACCCGGGCCCCTGCCCTGCCTCCCATCCACCACCACACCATGAATCGATTTCGCAAGTCGCGAAAGGAGAAGGCCAAGGAGGAGGTGCCGGCGACACCGGCCGAGGCCGTACCCGCCACCTGGACGCCCAAAGTCTCCAAAAAGCCCAAGAAGCCCGACCCGGAACCGCCCATGCCGCCGCTCGATTTCTCCACGGCCCTGCCCTCCAACGACGATTTCCGCACCAGTCTACTCATGCCCAAGCTCTCCGCCCGATTCAGCATGCTGCGCGAGCAGGACGACCCGGGATCCATGATCGGCAAGGCCAGCGACGACAGTGTCCTCTTCCCCAAGCGCGCGTCGCGCCTCAACCTCTTCGGCCACAACCCCAATCTGCTGGCAGATATCGACGAAGTCTCCAACGATGGCAGCCGTCCCTCCTTTTCCGTCAGTCGCGCCGCCTCCGTCATATCCGGCGTCGACGGCGAGGGAACCGACGACGATCGCTCCCAGAAGGAGAGCATCATGAGTCGCGCCCGCCGCGTCGAAGGGAACAACCTATTCGGCGGCCGCCAGAAGGTCTACAAGATCCCGACCAAGGTGCCCCCCGCCGACACCGCCGCCGAAGGTCCCTCCGCCATGGGCGGCCGGGCCGTCTACGACCACGACGTCGGCCTCTCGGCCTTTCAGCGCCAGCGCCTGAGGGACAAGGAGGACCGCGCCGCCGACGACGCCCAGCACGAGGCCCAGAGCCCCGTCGCGGAGAGCACTGGCTCGCGCATGTCGTCCGCCAACCGCACCACCTACTCGTCGACCGCCTCCGGTCCGACCGCGAACGGCCGTACCTCCACCGCGGCCACCTCCATCGACGAAGAAGCGCCCTTCGCGGGTCCGCCGCTCGGTGACCCTCCCGCGCCCCCTAAGTCATCTCAGCCCGGGTGGGGTCCCGAGCGGGGCTCCGTCAAGTCGCGACGGCTCTACGGCCCCGGCCTGACCCAACAGCAACAGAATTCCGCCCTGAGCCGCCTCGAGAGCCTTAGTCGCCAACGCGCCGGCACTCCCGAGTTGCCCCCCCTCAAGCGGACCTATTCCCGGAGCGCCACCAACCTGCGCGACCGCCTGCAGCGTCTGGGCGTCGCGGATCAGACCGTCCAGGCCTCCCGCCGCGCGAGTCCCCCGGCGTTTCCGGCGTCAGCCGCCTCCAAGGAACCCGGGCCCGCCCCGCGGACGGACGCGCCATCCCCCGCGGGGCTCCGTCCCGCCGCGCCGCCGCGGAGTCCGGCCCCGAGCGACCCGGACGACGCGTCCTCGCTGACATCTGCCGTGAATCCCGAGGATCGTGGGAAAGCCACCGCCATGGGCATGTTTAATAAACCGCCCACCGAGTTCGACGAGAACCAGTTCACGCGGCGCCAGCTGCAGATGCACCAGGGTCGGAGCACGCCGCCCGCGCGACGCCCGTCGCCGCCGCCCGCCGGACGCGCCACCCCCCGCGCCACGCCGGGCGGGCCCGCGGGGCCTCCCAGTCGAGCAGCCGTCGATCCCGCTCCGGGTCGCTCGCCTCATCACACTATAGCGACGTCTGGCGACCCGGCAGCCGCTCGGCGGCCACGAGCGGTCGGGCCTCCCCGGCGCACTACGCCCAGGGCACGTTCCTGGCCAACTTCAGCCCGAGTGAGTCGGAGGATGAGGATGCGGTCCACTCTCACGCGCGCGGCGTGTCCGACGCCAGCGCCCCGGACGGCCCCCCGGCCGAGGACCCCCACCCGCTCCCCGAGGTCCGCTTTTCGGACCTGGGGGATTTGAAACCGATTGCCGAACCGGGTCCGGTCATGGGCAGTGCCGCGGACGAGCCGTCCGCCCAGCAGGAGCCGGACAAGCCCGACTCCCCCACGTTGGGGCCGTCGGGGTTGGGTCTCAGCGGGTTGGTGCGCACCCATCTGCGCCGTGGGAGTGACCGGTCGTCCGTCTTCTTTCCACCGTCCGCGGGCGATCCCCCCAGCCACCCACCCCCTGTGCCCCCGCCCGTCGCCGCCGATCACTGGGCCCGAAAGTCCTCCATGGACTCTCGGGACTCGGCCAGTGACCTGGCCTGGGGCGAGGAGATGATCGCCCGACACCAGCGCGACGGTAGTACCGCCACGCAGCGGGAGCGCGACGAGTTTGAGCGGGAGCTGGCTGAGCGGCGTCGGCGAGTCCAGGAGAAGCTGAAGGGCATCGCCGAGGCCGACAGCCGAGCGGGTAGTCCGGTCTCCGGCCGGCAGACGCCGGATCACGGCCCCGTCCGGCCCGGGAACGCCTTTTCCATGCTCAAGAACCGCACCACCAAGGGGAATCTGTTCCACCGGCCGGACTCGAAGGCCGGCGGACGCGTGATGGGGTCCCACAACACCTCCGCCGCGTCCCTGACCCAGGACGATTACTGGCACGACGAGGAGGACCGGAGTCCCATGGACTGGGGAAGACAACAACAGCACTCCCGGTCGAGCTCGCCGCACCCCCCCGCCGACCGGCCGATCCGGTCGCGCATGACCGCCTACGGACGGAGCAGCCAGGAGGATCTCGTCGAGTCGCGGGGCGGCAGCCGCGGCGCGTCGCCCCACTCGAGCTACCGCTCCCACCGGAACCGCTCGGGCTCGGACGCCTCGCGGCGCTCCAAGAGCCGTCCGCCCCGTGACCGGGATGACTTAGACACCGTGGAAGAGGTCACGATCGCCCTAGATGGATACTTCCCGCCCTATCAGGGCTCCGTGCCCCCGTCCACGCGCCCGTCCACCGAGCTGGAGCCCCTCGTGTACGAGCGATCTCCATCCGCCGCGTCGGGATGGACCCGCGGCGACAGCCGCTCCGCCACGCCCAGCAACCCCGACCGCGCACCCCCTCAAGCCGGCGCAGCGGTGATCGGAGCGCCCACGCGCCCACCCCCGCTCGCGCCCTACTCCGCCAACGCCACCCCGCCGCTATACGAGCTGCCGCCCGAGCCCACGCCATCCTCCTCCACCTCCGCCTCATCGACAGCAGGTTCCTCACGATCCCGATCCCAGGCCGGTCTCCAAAAGCGAGCGATCAACAAGATGCAGATCTCCGAGCCAACATTCGTCTCCTCCACATCCAACGTCCCACTCCGCGGCCTGCCCCCAGGCGCCAGCCTCACCAACGGCGCAGCAGGGACGCCCCCGATCCCGCCCATGAACCCGCGGCGCCGCCGGCAAACAACCACGCAGACGCTTCTAGGCGCGCTCAAGGGTGACCGGCACGACTCGCAACACAGCGCCTCGACGGCCAGCTCCCTCGGCGAAGAGCAGAGCAACTTCTCCGACGAGGGCGAGAAGCGGCCCCGGACCCGCCACCGGCTGCGCAAGATCTCCAGCGAGGGAGGGCATTTGAACGCTCGCGCCAGACAGCAGGTTATGGCGGGTGGATCTGGGGCGCCGCCTCCGCCGAAACTTCCTGCTGAGGGTGGGATGTTCTAATCGCCTGTCTCAAAATACTCCTTATCATATATATTCCGCTTTATAATGTCTACATAAGCCACTGGCTCACTCGGCGAACTCATTCTTTGACATTTGACTTGCATATTTACATCGATACCTCTCTTTATTAAATTTCATGTGTCTTTTCCCTTCTTTTTCATATTTCTTTTTTCTTTATATCTACTGATCCATCTGATACTTCAGAGCAGATCATTCTATGTCCAGGATTATCTATCCTCTTATGATTGATATACCAACTACATTATGTTGAGCGACAGGACTGTCTTTTCTTTCTTTTTCTTTCCCCCCCCCTCATGTCCCAAAACATTTTGAACTATATCTATCTTTCGCTGAGCCTTTCTCTCTTCTCTTTCCTTCCATTGTTCATTTTTCTTTTTGTCCATGTACTAAGCAAGCAAGCCTTATGCTCTGATTCTTGTTCCTCCATACTCATTGAACTGAAATAGATGTATGTATGTATGTATCAACCTATCTATAATAATATGTACCGTCCATAATGTAGATCTTTTTTGATCACTGCGACAAAGACTAGCAAGATCACCGACAAGCTGCGTCCCCCACTTTTCAATCCGTTTAGGGGTTTCCGGCCCTACCCCAAACCTGCTCCGGGCCCTCCTGGCCGAAACTTGACATGTTTCTCATTCAAATGGTCAATGCCGGTGGATCTGGCTAACAATCAGTCAGTTCATAAGACCAAATCCCTGATAGGCCCTCCATACATACATACATACATCATGAGATATATTGAAAAAGGAGTCCAGTCCTCGTGGAGAGCCTGTGGACTGGTGGGTAAATTTTATTTTAATGGCGGCAAAGAGACATGGAAGACAGACTTGCTTGTGACAGAACTACTAATAGACGGATACAGGGTATGGTTGATTATACTTCAAGCAGTAGGAGTCGGTCTTTGAAGAAAGTTCTACCGTTGTTCGGCAACAGTCAGAGATGGATGCAGCCATCGAACACCCGAAGTTCATGGACGGTGGTTGGGTTGGTTGACTGACCTTGGGAGCTGGCGACGGAGAGAGGGAGCTATAGTTAGTACAATTGTCATGGGCTGATAGACATGGGAATGTTAGTTAGTTACTTAGTTAGTATATGTACCCCATACCACCCGAGCTCAGAAGTGTCTAGATATCCTTTGTAGCCGAGTGGTATTCTATGCCACATAATACTACCTTATGCACTCAAGGAGTGAACAAGACCTATGAAGTATGATGCTCTTTCTGATCATGACTCCACCAGTTATGAACCTCTATCTATCATACTCCAGCTCACACTGATGGAAAGAAACACCTGCATTGTGGCGTCAGGCAAGCGATCTTGGCCAACGTTAGTACTCATTCAGTCAAGACAGAAGCGAGCCGTGTGTGTCGTGGGTGGAACTAGTGACCTTGGGTCTTGGCGATCTGGTGGTCAAAGCAAGCTTTCTCTCATGGCGAAGGAATAAAGTCCAGCATGACTCCTAGACCGTTGTTTGAGATGGTGGCATGCACATGCTGGTTGGTGATGGTCGAGTGGCAAGTCGCCGGCCTGACTCCTATGATCAGCGTGGTGGGGGGGGGGGGGGGACCCTACCTACGTGGACAGGATGGAAGATCCAATGCTTTTGAGGATGGACTAACTCCCTTGCACATATTCTCTCAACTTTAGTGGTTCCCTTCCATTTCTTGGCTGGTGGCCTTGATTCCTCGCCTAGGAGGTCCGATCTAGAATAGTCAAGTTTCCGTAGCCACGTCAGTAGTATGTATGGAAGTATGGTGGTAGTTTCTTGTATCGTTTAGGTGGTGGTTGTTACTCGTGAACACGAACAGGCACGTGTATTTACTGACAAGATTTTTAATACAGGCCGACTAAACTATGGTGTGCTTCAGCTTACTGATAAAGATAGTACAACGTCGTCTATTTACTATAAATGGCTAATTTCATACAGACCTTGCAGGTGTAGGATTCACTAGCTGCTCTTCTGACTGGCAATGCTAACATGTTCTTGATCAGACTCGGCTTGTTCATGACTAGCAGACATGTTCCTTGAGTTGACATGGTAAGGCCCTCTGGCACATTCGAAAAGTATTTAAAGACCTCACAGCCCTGATACTTTCCTAGGTTGGACATCAAACTTCTCAAGTCAATCGAATCTCCCTTATTTTTCATCTTCATATATACAACGATTTTCTTCTTGACACCGACATCATGTACTTCACAGGTCTCAGTGTCCTTGCTGTGGCGCTCGCCTTGCCCAATTTTGCTCTCTCCAAACCACACTGCGAAAGTAGTGCAGTGGAACCTTGGAGGTACGAGGCAGGAAGAAGTGCAGCCGCACATGGCATTGACAAATGGTGTAACAACATTGCCCCCTCCAGGTTCAATGCCGAGCAGGAGGTGAAAATCTGTCTTGAGGTTGATGCTGGGTCGAGAAATCTCAACTTGTGGTTCAAGAACACCAATCATCACAAAGCCGACTTGTCAATCGACTATTGCAAGAGCTTGCTCAAGGCGATTGTGGATTCGTGTACCGGGGTTGGTTATGATAACACCAACAGCGGCTGGTATGGAAGGTAAGGTTTCCCAGACCCCTGTAGGAGATACGGGACTGACACATGGGTCTCAGGGCGTACTCTGCAAATACCTGCATCGTATAGAATCTCAAGAGTACGGAGAGAATGAACGATGGTGACCAAGAGAGCTCAAAGTATGTGAATGTCTACTGATTGGTCAAAGCCTTTTGCCGTCTGGTGCTCATTCACACTAGGTTTATTTTCACCAAGAACAGTGTCCAGAGTTCTTATCGACAGGATTTGATGGGTATTATGATTGTGGAGAGTAGTCTGGTTTTGGGATATTTCGTTCTTTTTCTCGTCTGCTCGTGTGTACTCTAGGAGTGAATACAGGGTATATACGTCAAGGCTCTAGGAGCTCTTCGTGCTTCTGTTGTACTCGTTATGGGTGACTTGGGGTTTGAAACCTGTCGCGGATCGTCTCCAACTTGAATAACTTGACTATCAATGCGTTCGACAAACCTGAGGCCTCACACAGTGGCTGTGGCAACTTTCAATCAAGAGGTAACCTGATTCCGAAGGTGACTCAACAACAAGAGAAATAAAAACCCATTAGGTATATATACTTGATAGTAGATAGAGTATTGGCAAATAGACACTAGATTTAAAGGTATACTTTGACTGAAACTGTGTAGTAAGCATGACTAACTAGGTTTAGATGAGTGTCCTTTACACACTTTTGTGATATACGTTCCCATATACTTTCTGAAGTAGGTCCTTGGGTGTATCTAATCACCATGCTTTTCCCCCTAAATTACACTGTAGACTGTCTAGGATATGTGCCTGAGTATATAAGTCATCACCCACCTGAAGATACGCTAGAATTGAACCCAATGTGCTATATTGGATCGACAACCCCTCATTAGACAGGGCTGCCTTTGTCCCCGAAAAAAGCCGACTCCAGTCCTGTGTGTTCATAAGACTAGTGACAGGAAAGCCTGCTTCTTGGCCGAAGAGAAAACTCCTTCGCCAGTACGACTGCGGGAGCGCGTGATGACGGCTGCAAGTAGAGCCAGATTCCGAGATATAAATCTCTTGCATATGAGATCGTCAAAGGATATTTGACAGGGTCTCAAAGGTTTCGCTCATCTAGAGTAGCGCTGAGTCCGCTTGGTGCAACCATGTCTTTTGATCAAACAGTGTTGGGGTCAAGTCAGTAGAACCCAGATTGGTTGAAGCGGGCGGGATTGAATGAGTGATAATCTTCTTCGTTAAGCTGGAATGGTTCGAACAGGTAATGACAGGCTTGAATCCGGGTTGAGCAAGACACCTTGGTCATGCGGGCAGAGACGGTGAGAACCAATTGATCTCCGCAGGTATCGACGGGCAGGAGAAAGATCAGCAAATATACACTCTCCCTACAGACCAGCAACCACAGTATGGGGGTTTACCCAGGAACAGACGGGTGATCATGTACCCAGGAGTATATCACAGGCTTCGCATAGTGCACTACAATCGACTTGATAGAAAAACAATTCTTCGGGACCAATATTGGATTGGCAACGAAACAGCTAAGTTCTGATTGCCTTGATCACTATTTCAAGATACACCACATCCACCATACTAGACTAGTAAAGAGCAAGAATAACGAGAGTCTGCAAAGCCTTCCTTCCTTCCATGTCTCCTCTCTGCAACTGTTCCTAACGCCATCACATCCCTATGATACAATTAGCTTCTCTTTGACCATCGTGGTATAGGGCTTACCTGGTGAATATGCATCCATACTTTTCAACCAGCGAGCGAGTTAACAGCATTCACACTGGTATCACCATAAGAGTTGCATTCTCCGAGCTTGTAGTCATGGGTTGAGGAATCCACGTAGCCGCTGTCAATCGCTCCAGGAAGGCTGCTACAGCCACCTTGGGCGAAGAAGTACGCCTTCTGATGCTTGCCGCCCCAGGTCTTGATCTTGAAAGACTTGAAGCCGTCAATCCAGTCCGCACAGGAACTGTCCCAGATATTGACATCTTTCTGGACGGCTTTCTCGCATTTCTCGTCACTGTAGGTGTGGATGACGAAGGCGGATCCGCTGGCGCTGAGACCAGCCATGATGGCGACGGTGGTGGTGAAGAAACGCATCTTGGAAGTGGAAGAGATTCTTGAAGTTGGAATGATAGAACACGAGGTGAAAGATGAGGCTTGATAAGCTAGAGTGTCTTGAGTTGATGAGCTGGAGTAACTTGAGTTGATGGATTGTGCAGATGTAGAGCAGTGGAAGAAGGGGTTTATATACCTGAGCTGCTCTGGCATTCATCAATATTTGCTCTACTCGTGCCCGTCATCAACAAAAGTGTACAGCCCCATGATACCATAACTGTGTCCTATCGGATACGTACAGAAATACTAGGTATGTGCGAAGCCTCCCAAATCTATTCCTAAAGATAGAAGAGCGAATATAATTTGGTGTTTGAGTTGGTTCTGTTGGTATCTAGAGAGACCATGAACGTCCATATTGGTCGATCATTATCCTTTCAAGCTCCTAAAACATTCCAAACAGTTCATGTATATAGAAGTCCAAGAGAGCCTTGAGAACGCCTTACATACATGGATTATACAGGTTCGATCGTGTGCGGTTTGATGCTATCTCATCTCAGCATTGCTGCGGCGTGTTGACCATGTATGTTGAGGGCAGGGATGTGACCGCGAAGACTTCATGTTGGCATAGAGCGTATTCTGACCATAGCAAAAGACGAGACGCATTCTCGGCACTTGCGTTTTCTTTACCTGTGGGTGGTTTGAGGAGAAAGATGGTTGGTTGAGAGAAAGGGTTTAATCTGACAAGGCTATCACGGTCTGGTCCCAACATCCATGTAATTGGCCACAACCACCAATTACCATTTTAGGCATATGAGAGAATGTGGACGTCACGGTACTTATGCTACTTAGCATCCAGGCCCTATTATTTAGGTGGTTTGGGTATCCTGCCCCAGATATCAGAATTATCAAGCTGGCACCAGCGACACCGACGCCAAGCCAGAACGTCGCTTTATATCCTTTTTCTAACCCCTTGTCCTTGACCACAGCCGACTGAACAGTGTCTGTCAACCCGAGGACTAAGGCGACGCCAAGCTGCAACAGAGAATTCAACACCCCGCCTGCCAGTCCCTGCTGCGAAGACGGGGCGACTGTCGTGATGAAAACTGTCATCAAGACGGTAGACAGGTCGATGCCAATAGTGCTGAGAATGGCCGATGGGAAGATCCCTAGTAGCTTCCTCTACTCGGTGGCATGAGAGCGAGGAGGAGCTGCGATCCAACGGCGGCTAGGCCCGAGATTAGCATAAGAATGTGGCCAGGGACGAGATGTAAGATGTGCTCTTCGATGACGCTGACGACTAGTTCAGCGACGCCAATTGGGATGTACCACACCACGACCTGGAGTGGCGAAGCTGACAAGACGGTTTGGAAGTAGAGTGAGCCGTTGACGAAGAAGATGCCCCAGGTCCCCTAGAGTATCAGGAGGGCAATGAGTAGAGGTGCCTTTGATTTCACCGAAGAGTGATGCAGGCAAAAGCGGATCCGAGACAACGTTCCGTTCGACATACCACGTCCCGGCAAGGAACAACATGCGTAGGAGGAAAGTAGCCAGAATATATAGCGTTTTTCATCCTGAGGGAGCATGGGTGGATTGCGTGATGGCGAGAATTGTGAAAACGAGCCCGCAAAAGATGCCAACGGCACCGAGATAGTCCATTTTTACTTTCGGGAGACGCTTGCCAAAGCCGAGTATGGCATAGCACATATTGACGTAGTGAGTGTTACCGCTGCAAGTGCAGCGCCGATCCAAAAGTAGTAACCCCAGTGTAAGAATTGACCCACGAGCCCTGCAATGGCAATGCCATCAAAAAAGCCTAGAACGCCCGCTGTGCCATAGATTGCAAAGAGAAGGTTTTTGCGAGGAACTTTTCCTCATCGAAGTGGGCATTTGAGGGTGCGGAAGCTCACCACATGAAACCAAGATATCAAATTGCCTGTGTCTGGCAAGCAGCGGTCGCGATATACGCGTTGCAAGTTCTCCCAGTTTCCTTCGAAAGCTATGTTTTCAACGAAGGGAGAATCAGAAACTCACTGGATTCAATTCTTGACCATCTCAAATCTATGGACCCTGCGGATGGTCATCTCAAAGGCATCCTATGGCCTGCATTTGTCATTGGCGCCGAGGCAACAAGCAATGTCTCAAAGGGTACTTATTACTGATTTGTTTGGACATCTATGGACACTATGGCGCTGTCACAATGTGACTAATGCCCCGAAGGTGCTTGAGAAGATTTGGGCTCGTCGAGCTATGGAAGGGTCCTCTCGACGATGGATCGAATATGTATATGAGTGGGGTGAAGATTGGATGTTCATATAACCACTTTATTCCTTAACTATTATGCGGGCCTGACGGGACCTTGTAGATGAGAACTTATACGTCTGGTGAGGCAGAATAAAGATGATGATAATTCCCTGTTACATTAATAATACTATCTCCAACTTGAGAGGGTAAAGAGCATCGACAGTAAGAATGATTGAGTACATACGAAATTAACACAAGCTATGCTTTACTATACCCAGAAGAAGATATACACATAATTACCCTTCTCTTGTAAGGTAATATGTTACAACATAGTACATATTGTGGAAATGGGGATGAAAACGCGCCCGAAAGGATGAAAATTGATGATATTCTTGACTATGGAAAACGTTGCAGATTTTGAAATTACAAGATGAAGAACAGTGGGAATAAAAGAGACTATGCTGGTCAACTGACATGCCAACCAATTGCAGTCACCACTACACATATCATCATGTCTAGACAGTAATATAGAAGATCGTTCGCTATATAGTTCTTTTGCATTGAGCCCGTGTATTTCAAAACGATGATGTTACTCTTCTACTACTTTCTAATCCTTTATACGTTTTGACACTCTATAATAATCTTCAACGCTTATATTGATAAAGACAAAGAAGATAGCGTGATTAACTGATCGGGGCTGTATGACCTTCTACCAGGCGCTGGTAGCTTTATTGCCAGTCACTCCGACCTATATAGAATTCGCAAGGTTTACTAGTGATCCACATGCTGTGCAATAACAATATGCTGGAGATATACAATGGAGAATTATCGCAGAGATCACTTCAGCCTTGGATTGTTTGATACTAGATCTCATCGGAGACCCGACTCCCTCGCGATGTCATCGTCTGTGAACCCTTCTTTCAGAGTCGACAAATACGTTTCAAATCTGCCGGCGACATTGATGACGTGCTTCAAGTGCGCGTGTGACACTTTCTTGCCTTTGAACTTCGCCAACTGACGAGCGGTTGTGATGGCGTTGCGAATTTCACGCCCATTCATGTTCTTCTCAGCCAGCTCCGCTACGTAGCATTCAACGTCATCAAAATCAACACTCGGCTGATCAAGCCTTTTCAGGCGATTGATAAGGTTCCGCCAGACCTTGAGGCGTTGAGACTGGCTGAGGTTTGGGTAGTGTAAGGAGAGCTGGATGCGGGATTTGAAGGCCTCGTCGAAGGTGCCCACGCGGTTTGACGTGAGGATCAGGATACCATCGTAGTACTCAAGCACGCGCAAAAAGACGGTGACGAGTGCATTGCGTTTCAAGTCCGACAGGGTGCGTTCTTGCAAGAAAACGTCCGCCTCATCCAGCAGCACGACACAGCCCCAGATCTTGCCCAGGTGAAGCGCGGACTCGAGGTACTGTTCGACTTCTTCGGGATGGGTGCCGATGTCTCCACAGGTCACTCTGTAGAGCGGCTTTTCGGCCAATTCGGCGACGCTTTCCGCGGTGAAAGTCTTTCCGGTTCCGGGGCCCCCGTGCAGGAGGATTGTTAGGCCGTTGCCCTTATCGTCGATCATGTCTGTGCCCCTCTCGGCTTCGAGCCGGTTGGTGACCAGGGCTTGGACGAGCTCTTTGGTCTCCTCCTCGACGACGAGGCTTTCAAACGCTTGCTTGTTCCACTCGACTTTCCGGATTAGATCGACTTCCAGATTTACTGCCACACTATCAGCGGGGGAACGTGAGAAACGGGGTGCATGGGAGTTTACCCCACTTCTTTCGACGGAGGTTGAATCCGATGATCGTGGTTGGGAAGAGAAACAGCTCTGGGGCCGGTGGCGGTTCATCGAGGTCCATCCGCTCGGCTGAAATCTGTTCGCCCTTCCCCACTATACGAGGTATTTTTGGTTCGGAAAAATGGAGTTGTTTGTATGTTGGGAAATCAATCATGAACCTCTCGTTGTTCTGCAAAGACTGGTCATTAAGACGCAGGTCTCGGAATGAAAGAGGGTCTACTCACGTTGGTCATTGATTCAATATCATTGCTGCTCCTGCGAGAGACGAATTTCTTCTTCCGACACTCCCAATACGTCTGTCCCCTCTGCTCAAGTCTCAGTTGGGTGCCTTGATCAGCGTATCGCATGGGAAAGACACTCAAATCTCTCAGCGCGATCTCTTCGGTGGGGTCTTCGACGTTGATCTCAATATCCAAAACCGTACTCTTACGGTAGAATGATCCATCATAGTCGTATGACCAGGCAACCACATGCCAAGTCTGTTGCACTTCTATGCAGTTCTCGCCTTTGTTATTTTTTTTCGCGGTCTTACTTTGCTCAGCCCATGATGTAGCCATGTAGGCTTGGAAATCGGCTTTTTTGGAAGACACAAGCACGTCGCCCGGCTTCACAAGATATTTTATAGATGCAGGGGAGATAACGCCTCCAGAAATCTGGTTGTCTACATGCGTATACTCGCTCTCATAGTTGGAGGTTATCCAATGAGCAAATAGCTCCATCAGACCCCTATGACGAGGGGACAGCCCCTTCAAGATAGTGTCATGCGAGGATCGACAGCAATACCAGAACAGGTAAGGAGCCGGAATTTCCTTTTCCAAATCGAATCGTGGAAACAGCTCTTTGAACTTCGGTTGCTCGTCCAAATACGTATCGAGAGCTTCTCTCATATAATCGGAGACGAAGAAAATGGTTTCGGCTTCAGGCTCAGGAATTGGCCACATATCAGGTTCCTGGTCATGCTCTTTCGGTGGATCATCTACCGGCTCGAAGACATAAGTCTTGAAAATTGCAAAGGCAAGATTCCTGCTCCTTTTCAAGTATTCGTCCGCTTTCATGGAAAGAGGATCTCCTCTCAAGGTATACCGGATTTTTCCCTGTGAAGCATTCCGCGTCCATGTAGGCGGCCTCAGGAAGACCCTGTCGTTCCCCTCGAAACGATAGAGCACCTGAAAAAATGGTGGCCCGTGATGGGTTGAATCGGGGTCAACGAATCTTCTCAGCAACGTGTTCTCTTGCTCCAAGGTCTTAATACGATTCATGAGCTGCTCATAATGATCCATGTCTCTTTCATATGGGATATGAAGGCCAACCGCACTTGCAAGACCGTGATCCCCAACTTCACGGGGGTTTGGCATACTCGAATCACTTTTTCTCTCTGAGGGGGGAGTTGAGGCCATAGGGTGCAGATCTGAGTCAGGAAGTACTCCCGGGGGTTTGCCTACCTCCTCCAGAGAATCCTGTTCCGCACGGGCCAGCACTACCCTCCTTTTATTCTGTTGTTCAAGAAGCATCAACTGCATTTGGTAGTCTGGTAGATCTGAGTCAGGAAGTACTCCCGGGGGTTTGCCTACCTCCCCCAGAGAATCCTGTTCCGCACGGGCCAGCATTATCCTCCTTTTATTCTGTTGTTCAAGAAGCATCAACTGCATTTGGTAGTCTTGTAGGGCGTGATTGCCGTGCGTCGGGTCCCTATCTGGTTTTGAGAACTCTTGTGGGCGAGTTGCGTTTGTGGAAATACCAGAAGTCTCCGTCTCCGGGATGGCATCTTTATGTTTGTTTTTGACTGGTCGACCATTACCAGTAAGGGCTAACAGCTGCTTCCGGCTATAGTCACTTCCAGACGTTCTATCTTCTGATAGCGTGATGTTCCTTGACGGGAACTGTTTGTTGTTGTTTTTGTCGTTGTTTTTGTCGTTGTTTTTGTTGTTGTTTTTGTTGTTGTTTTTGTTGTTGTTTTTGTCGTTGTTTTTGTCGTTGTTTTTGTCGTTGTTATCGTTATTGTCGTTGTCCTTGATTCCAACAGGCTTGGAAGCAGACGAACTAGGATTCAAATTTTTGAAAAGCTCCCTGACTCGAATGGGGTTGGTTGCTTTTCTTTTTTCTTCTCCTTCGCCTCTCTCTTCCTCCTCTTCCTCAAACTCTCCGCCTGGGTATTCCTGTTCACTTTCGGCTTCGTCCCCTTCGTCACTCTCGTTCGAACTTTCTCTAATCTCGCTTTCGCTTTCGCTGTTCTTGGCATTTCCCTCGCTCGAACCCTCGCTCGCCGCGCCTTCGAATTTGCCTAATGTGGTATCACTTGGTTCCATGTAACGGCCGGAATGGCTAGGAATGCGCCATGATAGCTCTCCCACGGTTTGTAGACCCTGGGAGGCGGGGGAGGTGAAACGGGGACGGTTTAGCCTCTCAGGATTGGTCCTGCTCGCCTGGTGAAGGCTTGAGCGTGGATACGAAGGCCGTGGCATGGGTCTTTGAGCGCGTCTTCCCGGTCTCCAGATTATCCACACTGAACATGTCTACAGAGAACTTACCAGGATGACTGACATGAGTAGACTGATATCGGAGTAAGAAGCGTCAAATAATCAAGCGAGATACTTCGTGCGGTTTCCTGCCTTCGATTAAAGATATCGGTATCTACAGACAAGATTATGTGCCATGGAAACTCGAATTGCTCTTGATGTAGATAGCGGGGAAACTCGCACTAGCATAGCCTTGGGCAGGGATGTGATTCCTATTCTGGGTTGCTATCTATCTATTGGGCACCAACACCTGTTCTTTTGCTGCATGCTTTGTCTGTTAGCCTTGCCAAAGGCTCGTGCAAAGAGCCTTGCGCACTGCAAATGAGACTGTGGACGCGACAGACCTCTCTCTACACCTGGACTTGAGCTCCGAGACGCCACGCATCAAGACGCTTTTTTCGGGTGACCGGTATGGCAAATTTCTAGAAACAATGCCAGCCGACATAACCACCAATACCCGCGATGTTCGAAATCTCGTCAATGGAGATGTCAATGGGGATCAAACCGGAGGAGATAAAGTCGCGGGGAACAAGGTACCTTCTCCAGCTCGTTTATGTATCAATTTCCTGCAACTGGACTTTCAAAATATACCGCAAAGCACCGGAATCATTCTAATGTGAAACCCAATCGATGAGATCACCATTGAAGTGCATAACACAATATTCGATGCTGCGACTGTTAACCAGCTGCTTCTGACAGGCTCTGACGAAGAACTCTCCGAGGATCTCGAGAAAATCTGTCAATTGGTTTCAAGTATGAGCTTGAAAGGCCTGCAAACAAAGGTCGCAGCACATCAAGGTTTCTCCGTACTGGAAGCCCGTCAGCTACGACATGGCTTAGAAAGTATGTCCGAAAAACTGAACTCATTATCCCATAAATGTCCCAATCGCTGATGCATCTTACAGGATTCCATACATTGCATTATACCGGGACCCTCGACACGAGCAAAAGTGTGTGTGAAATGCGCTTCTCTGATCTACTGCCACACATTGTCACACCGTCTTCGGCCGATCCCCAAGCGACCCTTCGTTATAATACTTTGATGCAAAACATTCGACGGCGAAAGGGAGGAATTGTCGCAGATCCCTTTCTAAGTTCTCGACTGGTACAGCGCTGGGCCGTAGACCCTTGTTTATCTCTGGCCTGTATTCAAGGCTCCTTTACAACGCGGCACATACTGAGAGACTTCGCCTCAGGCATGATCAATCTGCTTGCGAAGCAGAAAATCCATGTTGTGTGGATTCTGCCTTCCAATACCAGTGACTCCAAGAAGTACGGACCAATTGATATTGTGAAGCAACTTGTATCCCAGATTCTTCACCAGAACCCTGCCATGCTCAATGAGCGCTGTGCTTCTCTGAATGCAGCCAGGTCTCGAGAGGCATATAGTTTGGATAATTGGTTCGACATACTAGGCTCCGTTCTAGTGGGTGTCAACCGTATTTATATCGTTGTTGATCTTGAAGTTCTAGGCGGCAATGATCATAAATGGTCAGATAGATTTATCAGACTATTTGATGAACTGCAAAGACGACAAGTTCCGACTGTCGTGAAACCAATTTTACTGAGCTGTCGCAAGCCTGCATTCACGGGATTACGGGGTGGTTATGACATTTCTATTGATGTTAGCTCAGCTAGGGTCATGGAGAGATTACAGTCACGTTGTACGCGGAAGTCAAGGTGACTTTTGAAACCCAGACTTATATGACCAATATGGAATTACTAATGACTGTATCCAATTTGGATTGCTTGCGCTTGTTAGGATGAATACCCGATTGAATCTCCCTACGTCGAATGCACACGGAAAACCAGATAATGGCTCACCCACTCCTCCAGTTTCACGGCACGCGGATTCAATATCCCAACACATTTAGTTAATGGTTGGTTGGATGACGATACGACACGCCTGAAATACTCAAATGCCTGGGATAATTGATTTGAAACGATTGCTACAACTTCGAGCTGTTTAGACTCCTGGAGTGAAGTAAATGCCATTTGTTGAACAGAATACCACTCGGCCACAAAAGATATTTGACCACATTTGCGCTCTGTGGGTACCTTTTTTTCACATCTTATATTGCGACATCATTGTAATCATCCAAGTAGAGGAAGGGAGAGAAAAACCTATATCTTTCCCTTTTACTTCCACTCGTGTTGTGCCACTTTGATACCGCAAATCTTGTCTCCTCCCACAATGTCTCCTGTGACAGACCCGTTCACTAGGCTCCGAACGTTGCCAGTAGTTATGGTAGTCCGGCCTTTTGCTCGACTAGATTCTTCCCCCGCCTGCATAGAAGATGGTACGCTCAACGGCGGGACGAGTAAGAGCAACTCCTTCGCGTACGCGGCCGCGGTAGCAGCAGCGTAGGGCTGCCATCTCTTGCTTTTGTGCGAATCGGCATAGTCGCAAATGCCGCGTATAACTAGACATGGAAAACTGTCCATCAGACCCGCTGCTTCCATTTCGACACAAAGGATGTTGAAGTCAGCCTTCAGCCTGTCCCTTGTCGTACTGTCCTTGACAACGCTGTTTGAAGACCCGATCATCCCGTAGTGAATCACCGGTTCCCAAGACGTCCGAGGGGCGCGCTCAATAGTTTCTCTGGGATCGCACTGCCGACAGTCCTCGCCAGCACGGTGCTCGAATGCTGCCTGGAACAACCGATCATTCCCAGCCCCTTGGTGTACATAGTTTCCCTTCTCCATTTTGGGAAACCTCCGGATCATATCCGCGAGGATAGTGGGTATTTGGCTGTCTATCCGCCTGTGGAGCGATTCAAGCCTTTTGACAGAAGCCAAGAGAATACCGGGAGGCTTCTGCAACATTGCTACTCGCTCATACCGACCGCCAGACAGGACCTTGCCGCGATCAAACTGCACCACGCCTCCGTATGTACCGGACGGGTTACTCACCACCACATCGCCTAGACGAATGTCAATATTGCGATCCGTGTCGGGAACACCTCCACCAATGCCAACCAGTAAGCTGAATCTGATGCAAGGGAAGTCGTTGAGCAGCTGTGTTGCAACCGCCGCGGCGTTGTTGTTCCCAATCTCCGGCATCGCGGCAATGACGATATTGTGCGCCCCCATCCGGCCAAGGGTATAACTGTTTTGGTCCCGGTTGTAAGGGAGATTGGGATGGATAGAGTCTAGCATTGCTTCGAGCGGTGCTTGCTCGAGGCCCATGGGACAAATGCAAGCAACTCCGTAGTCATTGTGAGTGAAGGAGGGAGACGGAGTCTTCATTTGATGACAGAGAGTGAAGAGCGCCGAGTGACTGACGTTTCTCTGTCAGTAGGACCGGGAGGTATTGATTTTGATAGGAGTGTGACTGCAAAATATCGAGGTCCCATGAATATCTTTCAAAGCAATGATAGTGGTCTGGGCCAAGGAACTATCCTCAGTTCACTTGCACAGCCCCGCGCAAGGCTACGTGTCAGGGATCCCCACCTCATGTCTAGGTGAGCTTCTTGAGACAACACAACAAGACAAGGATTAGAATACTAAGCCACCAGCTTAGTATGCTCAATTTATTATATGATCTCAGGTTCAGGTTAAGGTTTATCAACCCGGGGTGTAGGAACTGGCATGGAACAGACAGGGGGATATCCTTAATATTATACCAGATGGCAAAAGAGATAAAAAAGGGTTTAAAGGTCTTGTGTCGATTATGAACAGTATCAAGGCTGAAAGAGCTTATTGCAGATTATTCAACTTGTAATCAATATAATTAGACTAGTTCTATACTTCCTGTATCATAGCTTTACTCGCAGTGAAGTTTGTTATGGAAAGTACTTCTGTATCACGTGAGTGAATGAGCCCTGGCATACTATGTACATGGGTAGTAGTAGGATGTAGGTGTCTATCCTTTACTGCCAGCGTAAATAGTGTGAAATGCTGAACATGTTGTGACTGTGAGCATGACTTATGCATTTCATGCTATCAGTTCTTCAAGGCTTCTACTGTGTTGATTTTCTTTATTTTGTAGTTCTACTGATTATCATGTGTAGACAGCCCCAAGTTGATAGATTCATGGATAGCTAGTCTGAGTGTATGATCTAGCTACATATGTAGAAAAACCAGAAAGACTATCATTATCATAGTAATTAGCACCAGTGTTCATTTCCAGCGTCACTTTCCAGCGTCACGAAAAACGACTGAGAAACGGAGCTAAGTAAGAAACACGACGACGACGACGACACGAAAACAATAACGACATAATCCACACGCAGCGTGTTTTCTCTCTTCCTCTTTTCTTTCATCTCACCTTCATTTCACTTCACTTTCTCATGCAAAAATATTGCATCTTCATCCCCTCTCTTCCACCTCACCTTAACAATCATCATCTTTATCATTGTTTCTCATCTCACCAACTCTCTGGTCTGTAGGCAAATGTCTACTAACCAAGAGAAGAACCTCTCTGAAAAACCACACTCTCAAACCCCCCAGCCTGCTCCAGAAAAGAAAAGACCTCATTCGCTCTGCTCCGCCGAGCTGCCATCGTCAACCATCCGATTTGACGACTTCTTCGGCGTAGACAGGATGGTGCTCGAACCCCCGAGCGCTCGCTTCTCAATGAGAAGGATCTTCTCGGAAGGTCCCAGCCCGCCCATGATGCCTCTGCCTCAGACAGATGGGGCGTCCGATCGCCGTAAGCTCAAGAGAAATAAAAAGCAGAAGAAAAAAGCCAAGAATAAGACTAAGGACGACAACGATGACTGCCGCAGTGAGCGGTCCCAGAGCACAATCGACCACGATCTGCCGGCTGATACTGAAGACGCGAGTGGCGTCCAAGCGAGTGACTCTGCTGCCAAAGTGGCTGGTCTTTCTAGAGTTTCCGAGCAGTTGACTCCTGTTTGTTCGGAGCTGACAGGTGCCGTGGCGTCAAGCGTGTTGCAAGCCGACGCGGGATTGACTCCTGCCTTGTCTGTGTCTCTGTCGCCCGCCACTCCTAGCGCGAGGACTCGTCCTGTGTCGATTAAGGTTCTTGGGCCTTCTGGAAATAACGCGTACGTTGTGTCCTGCTATCTTAGATTTATCTTCTAACAAAATTCGATAGCAGTCTTACCCCCAGCGTAGCTGACGGAGGGCCAGGGCTGCTGGACTCTTCGTTTCAAAAGCTGCACGAGCAAACAAGCCCCGGAATCTCATCAAACAATCAGAAGCAGCCTGATCCCACGACCTCCATTGACCCACCAACAGGCCCTGCCCGCTCCATTGCCAGCCAGACCGAAGCGCACGTAAACTGCGATGCGGATAAAAACGGTAACATCTCGACCCCGCCAGTCACGTCCATTGACGACAGGGGCGACCTCATATGCCCAGTTCATAAGAAGCCTTTGTGCCAGTACAACCCAGAATGCTGTGTCCACAAGCCAAGGCAAACTGATTGCAGATGCTTGCCTAAGTCCTCATGCTGCTGCATGCACCACTTGGGCGATTGTTGCTTTTGTGTTTTCGTTCTAGAGGGGAAGGGATACGACGCAAGCGAATCCGAAAAGAGCAATGCTCGACGAAGGGACACTGGAAGGAAGGGCATTGATGCAGTGACCGACAATGATACATCCAGTCATCCAGAGTCCTCCCAGACAGTAGAAGTACACAAACCCTCAAAGGGGTCGAATGGAAACAAAGCTTCAGAGGGGGATGAAAGTCCAAAAGAGCACACAAACTCCAATCCAAAAACCACCATGGACAATACACTGTCTCCACGCGAGGCCAACAAATCCTGGGATGAGATGGTGGCCGAAGAAGAGGAGGAGCGTATGGTGTCTAGGTACCACACCGTTGAACCAATGAAGCCCATCAAGCCCGAAGAAACCGTGGCGGAGAAGGCCGCTATAGGGTTTGTCAAGACAGCGGAAGAGGTCGGACCGAATAAGACCACTGAACCAGGAGAGGTCCTTACCCCAGACGAAGACACTGATGAAGACGAAACCATCAAACCTGCGAATAGTGTCGCACCTGAAGAAGCTACGCCATTTGGAAAGACCATACATCCAGAAACAAGCAACGATTCTGGTGAGGCTATCAAGTCAGGTCAACCCATGATAGCAGAAGACAAACTCGAAGCTGGCGAAATTGTTGAGTTGAACGGAACAGCTGGACCAAATTTGACCTCCGAGATTAAAACTCACACCCAGAAGGTGAAGAAAGAAGGACATTCTGCGAGTATTGAGGAAGGGGAGAAGTCCAGGTCAGGGGAGCATGTAGGCTCGACGGGGTTTGCTGCGCCTAAGACTGTGTCCGCGTCACTGGCAGTGGCCAACGAAATAGGAAAGAACCAGACCACCACAGGCCAAACAAACGCAGGTAAGCGTTCAACGGGCAAGGATTCCTTCTTCTCTCCACAACACTCATACGGGGTACCAGTGTCGGAAGATAGCACAAAATTGGCAAACAAACCTTCAAAACAAGACACAAAACAAGACACAAAACAAGACACAATGGATGTCGTTGCATCTCTAGACGCCACCATTCAAGAAAGAAAGAAAGAACTCCTTGACGCCATGACCTCCCTCGCGAACCATTTGATAGAATCCCTTGGGAACAACGAATTTTCAGACATGGGAATTGTGCTGAGATCCTCGAGCGAACAATTCTTGCCCATTTGCTTCAAGGCACACAAGATAATGATTTCTCGCAGCCCATTCATTGCTGCTCTTTTAAAGACCCCCGTCGACCCGATCGTAGCGGTTTCGGGAGAGCGTTTTAGCATGCTCCAGGCATTTGAATTGGCCCTGCGAACTATGTATGGCATTCCCGTGCTTACCGGCGACCAGCTGAAGCCCGTGACGCTTTCAGCACTAGGTTACGACGATGGGACCCAGCCGGAGAGCTTAATTGTGAGTACAGCCATGATGGACTTTACCCTATGCTATGCCGCGTCTGGGGCGTTCTTCGAGCAGCCTAGAGTCGTCGAATCCGGGATCAAACTGGCAATCCGGCTGATCGATCTAAACACCATTCCCTTGGCCCTGTGGCTTGGACTCGATGCTGCCAAATTCAGTGTCGTTTTCGACGACACTGCCCACCCTCATCCCCCCACTAGCGACATCCAGTCTGCAGGAGCCCCGCCAGGACATCAACTCGGAGAGCACCCTACTGTCAAGGAACTCCAAGAGAGGTGGTCCCCGTTCTTGGTCACCGCGTGCCTAAGATACATTGCGGACAAAGTGAGCCCCGAGTTCCGCTTATTTGAGCAGGCCCAGTTAGAAGAACTACCAGACCGTGTTCCTGAGCATCTGCGGTCTGTCCCAGGAACGGCCGTCAAGAACTCTCGCGTGAAAGACGTCGGCTTCGGATCGATGCCATCCATCAAGGAGCAGAAGCCCAGCACGGAGGTCGAACTTGTTTCCGCGGCGCTCATTTGCTTGCCGTACAAAGCGCTGCAGGAGCTCTTTCTTCTCTTGGATGCAAAAGACGTCTTGTCGGCTGGCCTGGCCGGTCGCATCGTGGCCGCACGGGAGGATCGACGCATACAGGCGCTTCGGATCCTTAGCCAGCAAGGACTCGGCGTGGACCAGGACGATATCCCCAACGATGTTCGGGAGTTGGGGTATCGAGAGTTTTTCACCACGCGTCTTATCTCGGTAGCAGGAGAACTTGATACCGTCACCGAGAAGGTGACTCTTGAGAGAACTTGGAAGGGTCTCCTTATTGCAGATCAAGCCTCATCTTCCTCCGAGAAAGGAAGCCCACCCGCCCGCCCACTTGAATAAGCGACTTGACTTTGTGTTTGTATGGAGATAAGAAGAGGCAAGGAAGCAATGGAATAGGAGGAAGAGGGTGGTAGAAAGTGACGTCAAGTCAGGGAGAGTGAGGGGATAGTGAAGGGAAGAAACAAACACTGTGATTGATCATGATGGACAACAACAGGCAGAAACACGTCCACAAGCGAGGCGGTGAAAAGCTGCATGCAAACAGGCAATTTCTTTGTTGTTTTGAGTATTTTTTTACAGTTTTGATTACTGTGATGTGTTTACCACATCTTGGTCTTCTTCTTTTGTGGACACAACCCTAGTGATAAGCTACTAAGCAGATCTCAATTCCATCAGTCTAATTGTGAATAGACATCATTGTCCAGTTTTGTCTTTATTGTAGCTCAGTAGTCTATTTACTAGCACTTGCATCCATCCCACCAACTGTACAGTGTATGAAACCAGCGATTTAGGATTTGTCAGGGAATCCAAAGTCAACCCCGAAAGGCGGATAGACATAGCGGGTAAAGGCATTTCTCGCAGCCAGATCGTCGGTATATTTGGCGATCGTCTCCATATCGGACGCATCCAGCTCCACCAGGTTGCGATTTTCCTCAATGCGAGACGGCGTCACGGACTTGGCAATGACAGAGGACCCACGGGCAACTATACACAAAAAAAACGCACCATTAGCCGGGCATAAAACCATCCAAGGGGGAGAGGGGAAAGCATACTATGCCAGCTCAGCAAAACACTCGCAGGAGGAACCCCCCGCTTCTCAGCAACCTTAACAATCGGTTCAGCCGAGAACATCGGGCACCCGGTGCTGCCCAGCGGGCTGTAAGCCGTGATGTGGATGCCCTTCTGCTTGCAAAAATCGACAATCTCCTGCTGGGGGAGAGAGGGGTGGTTTTCGATCTGGTTGACGGCGGGGACGATGGTCGCTTCCGGGAGCAGCTGCTCGAGGTAGCGCACGCTGTAGTTGGACACACCGATCGCCTTGGTCTTCCCGGTTGACACGAGCTTCTCCATGGTTTTCCACGTTGTCACGTGGGAGTGGGAGTGCACGATATCCCGGGAGTCGTCGGGGAGCCTGGGAAACATGGGGTGGTTTCCTTAAAGTTTGTTAGATGTATTGGTATTGATTTGGAATTAGTTGTCCACGAACCGTCAGGATTCATGGCTAGGGGCCAGTGCATGAGATACAGATCCACGTAGTCCAGACCCAGTCTCTTGAGACTCTCGTCGAGGGCCTGTTCCACTCTGCTGTGGTAGGTGCACCACAGCTTGGTGGTCACGAAGAGGTCCTCGCGCTTGACCTTGCCTGAAGCCAGAGCTTCCTTGATGCCATTGCCGACTTCCTCCTCGTTTCCGTAGCACGCGGCTCCATCGATGTGACGGTATCCCACAGAGATGGCGTGGCTGACGGCGTTCTCAACCTCTCCTGCTTTGGACTGCCAGGTTCCTGGGATTCATGTTAGCAAGACTCGATCGATATCGGGAAAAGGATTCCGTCATCGGGGATGGTTGCGGGGCCGTACCGAGAGCCAGAGCGGGGATCTCCGCTCCCGTGTTGAGCTTGAATCGCGTGTCGGCAACACCCATGATGGAGGATAATTGTTGGATGACTGGGAGAGAGTGTAATGAGAGAAGAAGACAAGAGAGAAGTAGAGAAGTGAGGAAGAAGGTGAATATGACCAAGTGAAACAAGAGGGGGAGAAGGCAATTGGAGACTAAAAGTGACCCCCACGTGCCCCTCATTTCCACCAGTCTTTACTCTCTTGGGTCACATCCTTCTTCTTTCTTCCATCAATCACAGTCCGTCTTGGCTTCTCCTCTCTATTGCTTCAATTGGAACGGTATTTGCATATAAAAGGTTTCCTTTGACTATCTTGTATCTCATTATCCTTGGTGATCAATCTTCAACAGAATAACAGTCCAAATATGGCTTCTAGTCTGATCTAGATGGCCTGCAGTATCACAACCCTATTGAGTAGGGATATATGAATATAGAAGCACCTGGATACCTCTTCTTGCTCTTATAATTGAGTAAATAAACAAAAATATTGCTGTCTTGATTTATAGTTTTTTTTTTTTTCAGTTTAATTGCCCAAGTCACAAAGTATCGAGTTCGCTCAACACCAGATACTCCCTTCTATAGATAGATTCTCAAAAACATTCTGCGGAAAAGCTGGATCAGCGCGGTCCGTTGTTTCTACCTAGCTCATATCGTCAAGCCGTACAAGATCGACAACATGAAGGCCCGAAGACCTCCAACCTCTCTTGGGTTGAGATAGAGGAGCGACGAAAGGCCTTCTGGGCTGCGTATTCCCTAAGCCGGTATCCTCATTTTGTCACTAGTCTGCCGCTCGCTTTGGATGACCACATGGTAAGCTCATGTATCAGTTGAATTACCAGCTCCCATATCATACCATGCACTTACGTCAAGAAATTCTCACCCGTCTTCCTGCTCCAGAGGCGGCCTTTCAACGTCAGCAGGCAGTCTAGACGGAACTCCTAGCCCCATCCATGAGTCGAACGAATGACGAAGAGCTATCACCGTAGGCCAAATCAATCGTCATCGTCACAATCCTAGCACGCTGCCTCTCTCACCGCGACCAGTGCAAAGTCGAGCGAATCATGGGCCCATCATCAGAGGACTTCCTCACCCAGCATAGAGCACTCGAACCCATCCTCGATCAGGGCATCCAAGAAACAATGACTAGTACCCCTTCGGAAATGGAGTCAAGTGATCCCACATACGTCTTCATCGACATGCTCGCGCAAGCAGCCGTGCTGGTCCTTTTGACCGCGCTGAAATCATTGACCCTGGACACAGAGACGTACCATGACACCTGCGGAGAGTACGAAAAGAAGGCGTTCAAAGCAGCGGAAATGATCCACAGCCTCGTGCAGAGACTGTCACACCTAGGCTGCTTCAAGGTCAGAAACCCCTTTTTCCGTGGCCCTTGAATATCTCTCACCTATGGCTCAGGTACACCCTTTCACGCCGATTGCATTGTTTATCTGTGCCGAATTCACGCGCTCGCTCCAGACGCCCAGTTCGAACCATGCTGCGCAGTTCAAGACCATTTCTACAAGTCTGCGGCAGCTGGCGCCGGCTAACAAGTTAGCCCAAATGCTGGAGGTTAAGCTCCAGCGAGATCCCCAGACTGATGGCACAACTCGGGACCTGTAGCTTGCGGTTCGGATTCAAGGATGACTGCCATGACCGAGACAAGACGAGACGTTGTACCGACTATGTCCGATTCATTGTGTATAGTACTGCGACTTTGCGATTTAGCGACTGGTGCAAGGAGGGGTTTTTTCGCACATATTATCTTTGCAGAACCTTGAGATACTTGATCATGATTCTATAAATATGTACTTCTTCCCTCTTTCATCCCTCCGACTACCCATTCCAGGCACCGTTCCTTCGGCTATATTCCTCGAATAATACTGGCCCAAATCAGTCAACAAAATGACAAAATCACCGAAACGAAAGATCAGCATATATCACGCATCAGGCTGTGATTAGGTGGGACGCGTGTAGAAATATGACCGAATTTCTCGGCGGTCGGAACTCCGAAACGCCATATCGTCCAGTACAGAAGGCAAGTCCGTGACTGCCTTGGACATGTCATATTAGCTGTCCATGCGTCATGAATAAGAAATTAAGCTACATCCGACCAACAAATATCCCTTTGCCGCATTTCGTACAAAGTTCTTGATTGATAAAGTAAGCCCGACTCGGGGGCTGTGTATACCACCGACTGCTTATGTCCGAGAACGCTGTATTTACCTCTTTTGGGATAAGCCCATTCGGCCTGCTCGATGTATATAACGGAAACCCTAGAAGTTACAACTGGGCATTCAATCTCTCACATCCCAGTTCTCAATAGCTTCACGATCTACTTTAACCTGAGCTATACAAACCAATCTCCCTCCTCTTCACATTATCACCTCAACAACATACCCAAAATGACCTCAGACGAGAAGTCAGCGTAAGTCCCACCGTCGACCATTCTATATTTTCTCTGGTGAATTATACATATTCTAACAAATCCCGCGAGGTATTAGACCATGCACCGTCCATGGCCCCTCCCAGACCCCACACCTCGACCGTGAACTCCAGCTGCCCTACGCCCAGGCTATGATCCAGGCCCTGACAGCCGCTCTCAACGATCTCACGGATGAGAAGAAGTGCACGCAATGCGCGCTGGAGAGATCTTCCGCTCTTCTGACCAGCCATGTGCAGGAGATTCAGGCCGTGAAGAAGAATGGGCAGTGGTCGAAGGGGGAGAGGAAGGCGCTCAAGGCGGAAATTAAGACCTCAATGAAGGGTGTGAAGCAGAATGCGAAGACTTTGTGGAGTGAGGGAATGGGCGGGAACTAGATTTGTCTCTGGTGATATATACTGTGCTTGGGTTTTCCAAGATACGGGGGTTGAGTTTGGTTTATGCATCGCATACAATAGGATATTGATACGCGTATACTTGCACTATGCTATGATTCATATCTAGTTTCTACCTCCACGAGGAGGAAGTAAGAAAGAACATCCGGGTTGTCATCGTTGTCGCTTTATGCTGAGCTATCTATTCACTAGACCAAGCCCTTTCTTGGAGGAAAGGTTTCTGTAAGACTTTTGGACGATAAGATATGCTTTGTGTGCGATATATGGGACGCCTCGAGGCCCCGAAAACCCCCGGTGGCATCGGCAAGTCCGGACAAAGCCATCTAAGCGGTCCCCGCCCAGCAAGGAGCACCCCGAAACGGTATATCGGCCAAATGGTCGTATCGTCTCCGGTACGCCGTCACAGCATCTCCTGCTGGTTGGCGAGGATACTGGCAGCGAGATGCGCGCCCTGGCTGAACCCGAGCAGACCCACCCACTCGCCCGTCGCGCCTCGACAATAATCTGCAACTCGGGCCGCTTCTAGAGTGCTTTCGATCTTGTTGACAATATGGTGTGCTTCGAGGACCGGGTCTTCGTCTCGGATTCGCAGCCAGGCCTTGAACGGACCATAGAATTTGTATGCGACGGTGACGTCCGGACCCGGTCGTGCGGGGAGAGCTGCCTCCGCAAAGACCAGCCGGAAGTAAGGGCGGAGTTTGCGATTGAGAACGCGACATTGCATGCGGAAGATGTGGGCGTTTGTCCCCCCACCGTGTAGACAGAGGATCCGGGGGAGGTGGAGAGTGGCCGAGTTGCCCGCGCCTGCTGCCATGTTGGCTTCAATGGAGCGATGCTCTTGGCTGTACATAGCATGTGAAGACAATGCTCTGTCGTTTTGAGCTTGATCTGCCACTACTCAAGCAAACAGATGGCTAGACCATAAGCGAAACGGCTGCCGGGGAGCCTCGTCATACCGACGGGACCTTTCTCGGGACTATCCACGGAAACAATTGATTCGGGGTCGGTTTGAACAGAAGACAAGTGGCAGTCATCGTCCATTGATGTCTCGCTCATGATTTGCTGGTTCGGAGTTACTTTACTGTCTTCTCTGTAGGTACTAAAGTATCTGGATAGTAAGTGTCACCAAAGACGGGTGGCGGCGTGATCGCCGTAGCCCTAAGTCCATCCGGTTAATTTCCCGACATCTCCGACGCAGTCTCCGAGCAGGTTCATATCCGGCCCGATCTATAAAGGACCTTTCTTTCATTCTCACTTCAAATCTTCCTTGATCTTCATTGTTTGAAGAAAACTTAATAGATTCATCTACAGGATGAGCGATCCACACGGCGAGATCTGTCGAGTCCCCCCGACCCTCGAAATGCCCCCGCAACCCAAGCCAGCGCGAGGGCCTTCTCCACCTCCCCAACGGCGGCCTGTTGTCACGGCTGAACGTCCTCGGCAGCTTCATGCTCTACTTCAATATCTGGGGCATTCTCAACACCCTTGAGACGTACTAGACCTACTACAAGTCCGGCGCTCTCTTCACGCACGACCAATTTCTCCGATATCTCCTGGTCGGCTCGATCGCGGCCTTTATGCTCCTCTTCGTAGGCCTCTTCGTCGATTGAGTTGTATATATTCCAATTTGTCACATAATTCGATAGTCTACTAAGAATAGAAAGCTATCTCCAAGCAGTAGACGGGTATAATCACCGGTGTTTCTCTACCTACAAATAGATCCTGTCCAACAGAGTGAAGCCACCCCCCCCCCCCCCCCTAATCACCACGGCTGGATAGGAGACTATACTCTCGCACCACCGTCCCCACGTCAGCGTCCCTCTTACCCTCCACCACCTTCCGAATAGTATCCTCCTCTAATACGCGGATCCTGCGCATCCAGCTTCTTCAAGACCTCTGGATTGTCGCCAAGAGAAGTAGCCAACAAACTAGGAGCGACCGTCCACACTTTCACACCATCCTTTTCCAAGGCCTTGAACCACTCGACCACCAACATGTTTGGACCTACCTTCGCGGACCGCTACCCAACAAACGGCAGTGCTTTGGGCATTCCCGCAGCGGGAATGTTATTCTTCTGAGAATGTTATCCTTCTGATTGCTGGGATCTGATACGGCTTGCAGGGGGACAGCCCACTGGTGATGAAGAGCAAACGAGGGTCTTGGAAATTGAGCTGCAAGGGAAGGGATGTGATGGTCATGGTGTGTGCCCCGGTCACATTGACATTCTAGGTTTTGTTCCATGCGTTGCGGGCTGTCATCGCCTTGTCAAATGAGGCATCAAAGCAAGCGTCTATATTCGGTGAGTGAGTTGATGGGTGGGCATGAATGAAAGGTCTAACAATATCACCCACATTGTTGATCAGGCAATCTACACTGTCGTACCGGCCAGAGATCTGCTTGAACGCGGCGTCAATGGATTCATCGCTCTCGACATCCGCCTGGAACCGTTCCACCGAAGTTATGAGTGGACTCGGATGAAAGTTGTTTCGAGGCCAGTTGGGTTTTCTCGAGATGGCGCCCGCCTAGGAAGATGCGGTGTTTTTGGCTCGAGCGCAGTAGCGCTTTCACGGTCTCGAACCCAATGCCCGTGTTAGCGCCTGTCAAGGTTAGCTCTTGTGGTTCTTCTGAGAGGCCCAACATGTACCAGTGATGACGACGATCTTTTTTGAGTCCATCCTGATCTAAGCCGTAATACAAATGTGATATAGCCCTGTCAGCATTAAGTATTGAGCCAACCCAATAACGATGGGCTGAATGCTTACCCCACGCCAGGGTCGAAAATTCCATTGAAAAGGTAAACTCCCATGGCATTCTTTACTCATACCTCATACTCCTCCGCACAGCAACATTACATACATCTACCTTGAGTGTTTGTCTAACGGAACACACTGTCTTAACCAGTATAGCCCAACTAGATCAAAAAACTTTACTCCCATCATGAGCGAAGTCCTCGTCATGACCTGCCCAAGCGGCAAACAGTGCTCCCGTCTCATCCCTCTCCTCTACAACAAAGGCAAATTCACTTTACGACTGGCAGCACACTCGGAGGCGTCCGGCAACAGACTCAAAGAACGCTACCCAGACGCCGAGATCGTACCAACAGACCTGCAGTCTCTCCCGGACTGCCGCAAGCTTCTACAGGGCGCGACGGCCATCAACGCCGTTCTCCCCAGTCTGGACTCCCACGAGAAAGAGATTGGGTTTAATCTGGTCGACGCAGCGGTCTCCGAGTCCAGGCGCCAGGGGAACGTTTTCAAACATTTCGTGTTCTCGAGTGTGCTCGGTACGCAGCATCGAAGCCTCCTACAGCATGATCGGAAGAGCTACGTCGAGGAGAGGCTCTTTCTGAGTCCTTTGGACTGCTGGACGATTCTCAAGCCAACGAATGTGCGTAACCTCGGACATAGCTATGCTATGTCTCCACCTCAAGCCCACAGTCTACTAGATGCTGACAGAGTGGGACAGTTCATGGACGCCTACCCCCGTGGCCGCCCTCGCAAAGCAAGAGCACCCCATCCTGGAAAAGTGGTGGAATCCCAAATACGCGAACAGCGTCATCGCTCTGGCGGATCTAGCCGAGGCATCTGCCAAGGTCCTCCATGAAAGAGAGCGCCATTACCTCGCCGAGTACCCACTGTGCTCGACGATGCCCATATCGGAGACGGAGATTATCGGCATTATCGAGAGACGCATCGGGAAGAAGATCCTGCTCCAGACGCCTTCGTTCGAGACGGGCGTGAGCAAGTTGACCAAGGGGCTGCATGGTGGGGACGAAAAGGGCGCCGGCGAGTTGGGGCTCGGTTCGGCGAGTGAGGGAGACCTTCGTGGCGATCTTGTCCGTGATGCGGTGGAGCGCTTGATCTTGTTTTATAATCGGCGGGGATTGAAGGGGAGTCCGAATGTGCTGAGGTGGGTGCTTGGGAGGGAACCGACGTCTGTTGAGCAGTGGGTTGATTCTGTTGCTCCGGTTTGAAGGAGTTGTTTTCCATGATCGAGATAGTCTATATTGGTGAACAAGGTACGGGAAAGCCAATCAAATAATTGTTGTTACTCCGAACGTCGTGTCAGATCAACCCCACTCGCGCCGGCCTCGCTGGCAGATTGGCAGCTATGCCCCTGCAATTGATGCCAACTAGTATATACTCCGCAACTCATTCACTACGGAGTAGTTGACTGATTATTACTTAGACCCCCCATCAATCCGAAAACATCGGTCAGACTAAGCTAAGTGGGAACACTCAGGTGAGACTCTGCTCCGCCTCAGCAGCCAAAACCGCCAACATCAGCAAGAGAAGACCAATGATAGCGTTTATTCAGATCACCAATGCTAATATAACATAGAAATATCTCAAGGAGCCCTCGTTTTATGTACAGCAGGACTGTTAGTAATCTGGGAAGCTGCCCCCGCCGCCCAATTCATTGGGATATAAGTCGGATGAGGAGCCCCCTTCGCAACATGCCCATCAGCACCATAAGCATCCACAGCCTCCTGTTCTTGTTCCGGCGTCAACGGCTTAAATCCCGCAGTCTTGGGCGCTTTTGTGCTTGCCACATCAAACCAGTCAATCGGCTGCGCGTCGCACTTAATCTTCGGGCCCCCAGCAGACACAATCGCCCGCTCAACACAACCCTCCTTCATGAAGAAGTCTGTGTTGAACCAAACATACGCATCTCCATCCTTTGTTGCATCGTTCCAGTCCCAACCAGTCAGCGTCGCGCAGCCGTCTTCTTCCTCGTGCAGCTTCTTCCCGCCGTCCTTGACCCAACCGCGGATATTGAAGATCTTGAAGCGCCATCCCCAGCCTTCATCCCAAAAGTCACACTCGGCGTGCGGTGTTGGGTCGGGGTCTGGTTTTTTGGTTGTGGTTGTGGTAGTGGTGGTGGTAGGGTACGCAGTATCTGCATCCCGCTCCCACTCATCGTACTCTGAGGCAAGGTTCTTGAATACATCCTTCCCGTTCACACTGTCCGCCACAAAGTCGTAGACAGCGTACACGGTAGCCTCGGGGCCCGGGGTTTCCTTCGTAGTTATGGTCGTTGTCACAGTCATATCTTGGACGTCGCAATCGAAGATGTTCTTGCACCGCGTGCGCGTGGTGGTCGAGTAGCTGACCGGATCCGTCTGGACCTTGCTGCTGCTGACGAACTCGGTGCAGTCGCTGGCGGTGGTGAGACTCGTGCAGGCCTTGTCCGTTGGCATGCTGTTCGGGGGACATCTGTCCATATTGCAGGGTTTGTTACATGATGAGCCGCCGCCCGCGCAGGGGCTAAAGGTCGGGCAGTTCGTCACACAGGTCGGCTTCGCCGTCGGTTTAGGGCCAGTGCCCGGTGCTGGCCGCACAGTAATGACGATTTGATTATCACAGCCGGGGCAGTTGACGTCGATACCGCAGCCGGGACCAGAACAAGAACCAGGGCTGCACTTCTTGAGCGGTGTACTGACGCATCCGCCGCCGGAGTTGCACTTGTCGCCTTTGCATGGACCCCCCTGGTGGCATTTGGGTCCTGAGCAGCCTCCTCCAGAGACACAGCCATCGCCTTTACAGCCTCCTCCCCCTTCGCAGTTCTCCCCGATACATACACCGCCTCGGATACAGTGGGGACCGGTGCAGTCTCCCCCGCGAGTACAGCCGGGCCCAGTACAGTCTCCGCCGCGGGTGCAGTCTTCGTCTGTGCAGTCTGGCCCAACTGTGCAGCTGCTATCGACGCAGTCGACGACGCCGGGGTTCGGGGTGGGGGTTGGAGAGTTATCGTCTTTGGGAATGGTAATGGGCGCAATGGTCTTGGGCTTGATGATTGGTGGGAGACTGTAGCTTACCGTTGGATTCCAGGTGACGATCCAAAGGAATCCGCCATCATCATCGGTGGTAGTAGTAGTGGTGGTAGTGGTAGATGTCGGACCTCCAATCAGGCTTGTAGTCGAGGTTGGGCCATCAGCCCCGCCGCCAGCGGACGTGATCGTCCATCCATTTGGCACCGTGACTTTCAGGGGGGACGGGTTTACACGAGGGACAGGCTTGTATGTCAGGACGGTGCTGGACTTCGTGTCGGTAGAGTCAATGGTAAACGGCTGGTAGTTGACCTCGGATATCGGGAAGACAGTGGACACGACGGTGGTGCTGAGCGATTTCCCAGAGACTAGGGTCAGCGTGGTGTATGCAGTGCGCGTTACTGTCGTTGCAAGTGGCGACGCCTGGATCAGGTTCGTACAGCCCACGGGCGCCTCCACGACGGGGTTCGCCCAGTCCCAGATCATATTGTCAAAGACATTGACGCAGGAGGACTTGTCGTAGTCCCCTGATTCGCCAACCAAATCAGCAATATTGAACTCTTGAAGATCTACTGCCCAGTCGATCGTGCCTCGAAAGTTGAGCTTCTTCCACCTGTCTCGTCGCGCCTGTTTCGTCTTCGATCCCAGGTACGCCGTCCATTCCAGATCTGACAAACGAAGTCAGTACAATGCGTTGGCGAAATGAAACACCTGATGTATAAGAACACTCACCGTTGTAAACCAAATAATCCGATGCTGTCTCATCATCATACCAAGTCTTCACCGAATCGCCCCCACGCGAGATAAGCTCCTTGATTTCTGCATCCGCAATATAGCCCGCAGTATTCGTGCACCGACCTGGCTTTGCGGCTGAATCTCCATCCGACGTACTGACATAGAAGCAGTCTGGGCCGGTGCATCCTGCTTTGGCCATTTTGAACGATCGCCCATAGCTCGACTCTCCAACCATGATCTTATTGGATTGCACGCCTGCTTTGGTGACTGTAGACATCGCGTCAGTAAATCTGAGGTTCAGACAGATGGTCAACGGATGGGCAGCATACTCATGGAAAGCGCGAGGTTCACTTCGGTCTGATTTACGTGGCTGCGAAGGCAATTACCACCAGGGCAGCCGGATTGTGAGAACGAGTTGCCGTTATCCCACTGGCCTAGTCAATAGAGAAAAAATCCGTTAATGCCGAAGTCGGGATATTGAAAAGGAAAGGAAGCGTACCGTGAAGGTCGTAAGCCATGTACACAATATAGTCAACAACCTTCGCCATCTCCTTAATAGGGAACGCCTTGAGGTACCAATACGAAGCCGGGGCCGCAATGGAAATGGAGTACTTGTCTGGCAGCTCCTTGCGTAGGGCTTCCAGCGTGGCAAGGTAGTTTGGCGCGTCTGATTTTAGACCGGGCGGAATACCAGGGATATCTGGGGCCTTTGGGCATTTAGAGATGGTCACTGAAAAAGAATAAATGAGGAATGAATACTTACCCCTGGATACTCCCAGTCTATATCAATCCCGTCCACGCCAGTGTCCTTGGCGAATGCAACCAGATTCTTAACAAACCGATCGCGATGGTCAGGTTCCATAGCCTTGCGAAGGATTTTGTAAGTAGACTGCTCGGTCGAAAACCCCCACCCGCCAAAAGACACAATCTTCTTGACATCCTTCAGCCCCTTGAACCCATCCCATTGATTATGAGTATCGTTGACGTAGATTGACAGATCCTCGCCCACCGATGCAAACGCCCAGTGCATATGCGTGTAGTCCAGCGTGTTCGACCACTCGCCACGCATATGCAGACACTCGCGGTCCCAGTTATAACTCTCGTAATACCCAACACGCTGATACTCCTTAGGCCCTTCATCATTATTCACAATGTCCGTACCACAATTCGAGACACATCCGAAGATCCCAGGCTTCGACGTGCCAGGATTCCCCGTGGGCCCTTTGGACTTTGTACAGAAGGTAGAATCGATACCGCACTGGCCCCAGATATTGCAACACGAGTTAAGAGGGCACGGGTTCAGTGAAGCCAAGTCCTGTGCGTTTTCAATGGGCCCATCGAATTTTGTATCTGGGACTTGCGGTCCGCAAACAGCGTTTGGAAGAACAGCCGGCATTGGAGGGTTGCCTTTGCTAAGGCAGATGTTCAGCCCAGCAGAGAGACTGTCGCAGCCGTTCCAGCCCCAGGTTGTGCCGTCGTTGAAATCCGCTAGGTCGTCGGCTGTTATGCTCCAGATCAGGCCAATGGCGTAGCAATTGTCGTCAGGCTGGGTCGTGTATGTATAGCAAGTGCCGTTGTCGTACGGTTGCGGCTTTAGCGCACCATCTGAGCAGCAGACCTTTGAGTTGATCTTGAGGTTATTGCACATGCTTTTGGAGTTGTACTCGTAAAATTTGTCGAGGCTGATCCCGCAGGCTTTGGCGAGGGATGGACAGGTGTCGCCGGAGACGACCGTCTTCTTCTTGCAGTACTTTGTGTCGCGGGCCACGAGGTCTCGGGCCTGAGAAGTCCGGGCATGGAGGTCCACATGGGCCGTGGAGTTCGAAGGCCCAGCGTGCGCTCCTCCTTGGCGTTGCGGCACCTCCAAGGCACTGAACGACACCGAGCTGGCCTTGCCGGTGCCACTCGAGCAGTTGCCTTTACTCCACGACACCAGTGCGTCCTGTACGGCGTTTAGGTCTGCGGCAGGCGAGACTGCAATACCAAGGACGTGGTCTGCATCGCGCTGGCTGCCGCAGAGCTGTACGACGGTAGTGGAAGAAGCCCCATCAAGACTAGACAGGAGCTTGTCAATTCCCGAGGGGGCTGTGCCTTTTCCAAACGCCTGGCCCGCGTAGACGCCAGCAATCACTCCATCGTTGTAAGCCAGCATGATATTCTTAGTGCAATCTGTGCCTGCCTTTAAGTACTCCTGGACATGCTTGAGGGCGGTGTGCGCCTTCTGGCTAATCTTTTCAGATGAGGCACTAGCAGCCTTTGGAGAGGAAGCCTGGTGGGTGACGTGCATCGTAACCTTGGTTTCACGAAAATGGCTGCTATCGTATACCAAATCAATCGAGTCACTGATAGCTTTGGTGTTGCTGCTTTCATCCCAGCCATCTCCGGCTGTGCAAGCACGGAACCTCAAAGGCCTGGATGCATCTTTCACCGGCGTATGAATTGCAAAGTCGAAAAGCATCGGTTCATGGCAGAGGGCAAACCGATCGAAGGAGGCATAGACTGTCCAGTCTTGAGGGCTACGGCTCGAACACGCCGCTGGACAAGGTTTGAGCTCTGAAAAGAAGACATCAGGAGAGTTCAGAGCTGCTGCTCGGTCTTCAGATGATGTAACAAGAGCTGAGGCCGGTTGGCCAAATGTCAGGAGCGCACACAGCAACGCTGATGCTGTGCGTAGACTGGCCCACGGCATGATGAGTTGGGCTGCTCAGAAGGAAGTAGAGAGAGGAAAATATAGGGAACAGAGAGGACCATTCTGATGAAGATGGAAGAGAGAAAGTGACTGATATAAAGTATAAGCAGAGGCTGGAGGAAAACATCTTTCACTCATGAAGGTAGGGTAGTATAAATGACGCCCACTCAGGCTCTCACTGGATCATCAGGGACTGTAGACCCACAGATCACTTTTGCACGCACGATCCTTTGCCCCGGCGTAACTCTAACAATAGACAGCGACATGGGATCCACATGGACCCATATTCAGAAGGAACAGATGCTTAAAGTGAAACAGAATCTAATCGCTATTCCAATTACAGATGCATGCCGCATACCGGAGACTTCCCGAAACGGCAAATGGTCAACATTCCCTAGCTTTATCGAACCCGGATACTAGATGCCTAAAATGCCCATCTATTAATTGATCGGGAAGACACTCCGAGACACGAGATGAATACATGAATACGCCTTGCAGTGTGCAGGGGTGGAATATCCAGATCAGGTTCGATAACCTTACTAGCCCTAAGGCGACTTGGCTAGTCCGGCACTGGTGCTTAATTGGCCCGCCACTATACCCAGAAAAGAAGGGATGAGCGTGAGTTTATCGAGTGTTGGATGTCAGCGTATGATTGATATCAATGAAACATGCTTGACTGCGCCCACCTCGTCTGATGCATCCTGGTCTTGATAGGGATTATCGCAGGCCGAGGCGAGCCCCCGCCTAAATTTCGATTTACGTTCGATCAAGGTCATAGCCTCTTATGACCAATGAAAACAAGTACTTCACGAAGCAATGTCTTTGTCTCCATTGTTTTTGATCTACAAATCATCAGTTTGTCGTATTGAACTAGATTTACCGACCTCAGGCCAGTCCCGTCCCTGTCCTAGCCCACAAGTGATAGCACCTTCCGTCGGTGGCTTTTACAGTATTTGAAACCTATTGAACCAGTGGTAAGTCCATTATTTCGGTTTGTCAGGCACAGTAGGGGGCTGAGCATTGTCCAGTGCCCAATTGAGAAACAGCAAGGCACTTTATCCGGAGAAATCACAGTTAGTATGTACGGTAGTGGCTTCGAGCAAACCCTAGGATTCAGCTGCTGCAGCACCAACTTCCCAAGAAGGCAACAGCCTCCACGGCTATGATGCCCGCTCTCGATAAAGTTTTGATTCGGCCCCAAAAGCATCACAGAAACAGGAAGTTCCGGCGAGTGCCGCGAGGCGAAGCGAAGCGAGGTCATTTCAGGCCAGCCAAGAGAAATAAGCAAGCTACTGCTAGAGTCTGGTTGTCATGTCATATTAGAAAGGATGTGCCGGAGCTAGATCTCGAAGGGTTTTTGACTTGAATATCCATGGTCGCTTGTCTGATTGTTTCAATGAAGTTGCTCTCCCTCTCCGTGTGGCCAGGGCTCCTGTTAGCTGGTGTCAGCTATGCTGCCCCGACCAGCTCAGCCCTGGACAATGGCAATGCCAGCGTCTCTGGCTCCGTCGACAATGCCCTAGTCGCTCGCGCGGTTCTCGAAAAGCGCGAGGTCTTCTTCGGCTGCAGCGATACAAACTTTTCGCCGTATCTCTCTCAGGCAATTGAAGACGGCAGAACGATTGTATGTACCGCACCGATCTTCCATTTTCACCTCACCGGCTATGGCTATAGCGATATGAATTCCAATTGACATTAACACCTACAACCAGATCAGTAACGCGGTGGACCACCTCGAGCTGGCAATCAGCCTCTACGACGAGGACGGATCCGGCCGACTCAAGCAGACCAAGGACGAGAAATCTAAGCGCACCTTCGACGAGCACAATGCATGGGCCACTTACTCGCAGTTCGTTTCGAAGCTGAGATGGTCTAGCAAGACGGAGGACGGGCTTGCCAAGAGTAAGACAGCGCTGAAGAAAATCAAGGGGACAAGGGACTTCGCCAAGTCACTGGTGAAGCAGTATGACAATTATATGGCTGGGCGATCTGTGCCGTGGATACGTGGCGGAATCCCGTATATTCGTATTTACTGCAATGAGGAGGCCTATCTATCCGTTCGGGACAGTAACGGCCTGACATACACGGAATGTTTGTCTTCCATCTCCACTGAATCTTCTGGCCCCCGGTTCCAATTCAAAAGCTAACTTTGACCAGCTCACCCCGACTATCAAGACTGTAAGCGGAGCCTTTCCAGACCAGATCTCTCTCATAGGAGGAAGTAAGCAAACGCTAACCGCAACACTCGCAGGGTTTGAACACCAAGGCAGCATATATTACATGCTCCTGCAAACAGAAGGGACCGAACTGACCGGGAAGGAAGTCTGGGTCCCGCGGAGAGACGTCTGCCCACTCAATCAGGGCCCAACGCAAACCCGGTTCGGTCAGGTGCCTGCTAGAAAAGGAATCAAAGCGTACGTAAGCCACCCGCGCGATGGACTCGTCGAGGAGACAATGACCTTCTGTCCGGCGGAGTTCGACCAGTGGATTTCGGTCGACCAGGATCGCATAGCGCGGGGTATCCACTATCGTGACCTGCATGTCAAGATCGGTGGAAGTCCGAGTGAGCATCAGAAAGGTGCAATAAGCACGCTCTTGGCGGATCCGGATATCACTGCCGATCAGGGGTTCAGTAGGGGGATGATGTGGCTGGGGAGATTCTTGACGGCGACGATGATCCACGAGTCAACGCATTCTGAGGCGTTTGCGGGTGGTCTGAAAACGTTGAGTATGTTTGTTCCACCCTGAGTTTGTGCCTTGAGATCCTTGAACCTGCTTGCTGATACTGTGACAGTCGACGTGAAGTGTGATGACGGCGATGTGGCGACATCTCCTAATTGCATGGACGCAATCGCCAAGGGGGAGCAAGGGAAAGATGCAGATGGAAATCCCCAGGGAGACAGGGATGCAGAGACATTTGCTGCTTATACCATGGGTAAGTCACGCCCTGTCCTGCTGCAAAGCGTGAATCGACTAAAGCCTTCTTTTGTCCAGCAATGTACACCAATGCGGTTCAATGGTTCAGGTTCAAACCTCAGGAAAGAGGAGCCTAGGAGGACTGTTCCCTAATTAGCTTGTCAAGTACATAGCTGCAAGACAGCCCCTTTATTGTAGTCCAATCGGGAATTCTAGCAAACCAGCACTTTGACATGTTTGCAGGGCACAAGTAAGAAGCTTTCCATGGTCTAGTTCGAGGACAGCGTGGAAATTGCAGTGCGCTAAATTAGTGGTATTGACTCCATACTGTTTACTCATCAAATGCAAATCGCATCCGGAGTCATTGATATGACTAAATATTAGAGTTCCCATCAGAGATCAGAGTAATCACTGTCCGGCATTGCCCAATATGGATGCTCAAAATTCCCTGGTGGGGTATAGTCCCCCTGGTAGAACGACAACCTGGTTAGTGGCCAGCTGTCGTATGCAAAGTCGACCCCAGCGTCAGCAAACAGGGACCTCACAGCATCTTCCGCATGCAGCTTGGCATTCTCGTCCCATCTCACCTCCTTCAGGTTCTGGAATTGCCCTTTAAGAGCAGCCTCGCCAAGACCAAGCAGAGCCTTTTCCAGCCGCGGAATATCCTCGCCAATACGCCCAGCAAGGTGTAGGGAGTCAACGCCGGAAGGGAGAATTTGGACTAAGATCTGGGAGTCGTCCGTCCAACGATGCATGAAAAACCTGCTGTGGAACTCGTCCAGGTTGAGAAAGAGGTGTTTCAGGGCAGTAAGCTCTCGGAAGCTGAATGGGCTCGGGGTGGCGGGGTTCCCTCCCCGGTGCCGGAGATCGATATGCACTGATTTCAGTGTTTTGCGGTGGCGGCTGAGATATCTTGCAGCATTGCGGAGCTGGAAATGATCGCTGCAGTCCCATGTTTCTTCTGACCAGTCCTCGCCCAAGTGACCACCCGCCTCGTACGTGAAGCTGCATAGACTGTCACAAGAATTGAGTATATTTTCGAGGCCTTGCTCGCTGAGGCGACTGGACGTGATTCTAACATGCTTAAGTCTCGGCAAAAAAGGTAACGCGGCCCGTTTCCGAGTACCATAGTATTTATAGAGAGTACCATAGCACTTATGGAGGTTAAGCGTTTCAAGGCACGGAGAAACATCGAGGAGAGCCCTGGCATTGTAGTCAAGATCAAAATATTTCTCAGCAGTGCGTAGCACCGAAAGATTTATAGTCCGCAGCGGCAGTTGTGAGATCCCAGCGGCCGATAGGGTTGCAGTGTCAACAGAAATCATGTCTGAGTCTGGACCAATGAAAAGGCTGCAATGTTCCAGCTTTGGTAGTGCCGCAATCAAAAGAGTAACTAAGTCTTTCGCCGACAGTCTCTTGGGCTCTTTAATTCTCAAAGCAACGGCAATCTCGCGGAGAGTGTCACGAGCTTCCGCTTTCAATATGGACTGTCTCAATTCTGGCTGTGGCGGGTCAAAATGGGTATACACGCCACAATAGGTTTGATAGGGGATAATATCAAAGTCAGGCGGAAGCAGATCCCTCACATTCGGTCGAGCCCGTGCCTTCCCTTCATTTAGCAACCTTTGACGGTCTCTCTCCTCCTTTTCCAGGGCCTTGAGAGAAGCTTGGAGCAGATGTGGCAGTATATGAATTCTCTTCACGAACTCCGCCAAGTCTCGGCGCCGAGCGACTGTTTGCAAGAATGAAAGAAGCCGGCCATCCCATGTATAAAGCTCTGAGCGCCACGAGTCGCCATACCCGAGCATAAACTCACTATATAAGATAGGTTGAATGGCGCTGCACAAGCGCTTGGAGACCAGGCAAAGGGAGAGAAGCGGCTGTAGTCTTAAGGAGTACCAAGATGGCTGGTCGAGCTTCTGCCGAGAATAGCGAAAGTGGGCATCTGGCGGTTCAAATTCGGTTGAGTAGCGGCAATCAATGTCCAAATAAGCCAGTGTCATGTGTAGTATCTCCCGGGGGAGGTGGTCCAGTGCTGGCGACATCTTGCTGGTTAAATTGAGAAATAGAAAAGCCAATGAAGAGATGAACCCCTGAGATGTCTGGATGCCTCAGAGATACAGCCAATGGTCATTTCCGTTTCAATGGTTCCAATTGGACCTGCAATAAGCCTAACCCCTACTGACCATTCCAAAGAACTAGATGTCGGACTCACAGAAAAACACTAGAAACGCATGAAGGAGAGAGACAATGGTACAGTTGCTAAGGAGATATGACATGATTGTTGTAATTAGAAGAACTAACCAAACTGCTGGTTCCTTCCGCCCACATGACTAGAGAAAGCGCATCCACGTGAAAGGAACCCCGGAAACCAGAATCCTCAATATAGCCAATGATCATGGAGACTGACATCATATCTCCACATCTCCCGAGGCCGATCCGTGGTTGGATCCAGATCTGTATACCTGAGATCATGGTGCATTCTGCAGTGGAGATGATACGGAAGCCAGAATCCGAGTGGCTGCAGGGAATTAATATATCAAGTGCCACCGCTAAGGCAATGTATATCATCGGGTATTGATCTGTGAAGCCTGTACTCCCTATTAGTCCTATCACTGGAATTCCTCACTGTGCTGTATAACATTCACTAATATACATCAGTGATTAAACTCTTGTTTTTAGGGGTATATATACCTTGATTTTCTCCCCACTGTTCCTCTTCTCACACATCTCTCTACCTATCTTGATTTTTGATATCCTGCTCGCTTGATTCCATATGATATCTATCTATCTTTGATATCATCGAACAACAAGAATACATTCACAGATCAAACACAAAATGGCACCCATCGCCATCTCCCCAGAACCCGTCCCCGTCACCAAAAGGGATGGCCACGCTCTCGAAGACCTCTCTGACGCCATTGACGATGTCAACGTCTTCAAAGCAGCGCTGAACAAGAACCCAGAGGGAAAAGACATATACAACGCCTCCGAATTCGACAAAAACAAAGACAAAACCCAGTTCCGCCAGTACGAGAACGCCTGCGACCGCGTGAAATCTTTTTATCGAGAGCAGCATTTGAAGCAGACCGTGGCTTACAATCTCAAAGCGCGCAATGATTTTCGCTCGAAGGTCCGCGCCCATATGACTATATGGGAGGCGATCGAGAAGCTCAATACTCTGATTGACGAGAGCGACCCCGACACCAGCCTCTCCCAGATTGAGCATCTCGTTCAGTCGGCTGAGGCCATCCGCCGCGATGGCAAACCCCGTTGGATGCAGCTGACGGGGCTGATCCATGACCTGGGCAAGCTTCTCTACTTCTTCGACGCGCAGGGACAGTGGGACGTTGTGGGCGATACTTTCCCTGTTGGTATCGCGTACGACGAGAGAATTATCTACGGACGGGACTCGTTTAAAAACAACGAGGATTATGGGCACCCAATCTATGATACCAAATTTGGTATCTACAGCCCCGGATGCGGGTTGGATAATGTGATGATTTCCTGGGGCCACGACGAGTACCTCTACCACGTTGTGAAGAACCAGTCAACCCTGCCGGACGAGGCGCTCGCGATGATCCGCTACCATAGCTTCTACCCCTGGCACAAGGAGGGGGCCTACCGCGAGCTGATGGACGATCACGACGAGAAGATGCTCAAAGCTGTGCAGGCTTTTAACCCTTACGACTTGTACAGCAAAAGCGACGAGGTGCCGAGCGTGGAGGAGCTCAAGCCTTATTATCTGGAGTTGATTGATGAGTTCTTCCCGACCAAGGTGCTGAAGTGGTGAACATTCACTACTACTTCTCTCTTGGATGAAATTCTCTTGGATGGATCTTTCTTGGATTTATCTTCCTTGGGCTTGACACTGCAATTTGGCTTGTAAAACAGTGGAGGCTTCTTTGTTTTCTTGTTTTCTTGGTTTTTATTTTTTCTTTTTTTCTATCCTATGTACACTGTCACCCCATCTTCATGTCCCCTCCAATTTGTCACGACTCCACGAATATCACGACTTAACGAATCCAAATATCTAGAACCAAATGATTCTACTTCCTACCAAATAAATCAAACACAATCCCGGCATTGGGACCGCACAATACAATCTCCTCCAGCTGAGTAGTAGTACAAACCCGTAAAAGCGCTATGCATGACATCAACAACAATCTATATATAGCTATCTAATTAGCGAGCCGTATGACATGGATATGTAATACCACCACACATACTGCAGTGATAGTAGTATATACCCTTGCAGTACGCAGAGAAGTCGAGCTGACCGGCTGAACGTTCGGGATCAGGTTCCCGTTCTCGTTCTAGAATCGGATCATAAGATCTAGATGCGGGGCTGATCTATCAGTAAGTACCAAGTAGTAAGTACAGCTGGTGGGGAGTACAGCATACTGCAGAGTTCTATTGCCGTTGTCATCGGGTATGGAGAAAAAAAAAATAGTATTGTTTAATTATAATATGTAGTATATAGCTTTTTAGGATGATTCTTAAGAGGATATACAGTGGGTGAGATCACTAACTCGGGATTAGTTAGTATATGAGATTAAACATAATTTATTCATTAATTGACTATTAAATCATGATAGTATAACAGAATCATATGATTCTATAGTTGTCTCTTCTGTATATCATATATACCTGTTGTTGAATAGCCTTTTAATAGTATCAAATCCCTATCATATCAGAAAAGTCTATGAGATACGGTGACTTGAAATCACATCCCCCTCCTACCTCTAATAAACTATTCAAGGATGTGAATGCAGAAACTGTCTCATCCTTAACTAGTCTTCAATCCTTGACTACCCAAGACACAGTCACTCACTTCTGTATGTTAAAGACATTCAAGCTTGTGATTACCCAGCCCTTCTTCACACAACACATGGATATACTCCAACACATGCCAGTTTGATATTGAAGTCTATGTATATACCGCTTGAGAAACTAATTATATGCACATCGCAAAGAAATAAAGACATAAAAATAGTAGTAAAGTCAAAATCAACAAAACAAAAGCAAAGTGGTGGGAGGGGCAGTCTGATATCTCGGTACATACTACGGCATATCGCGATCTCTGTCGGAAACTGGATACCGGTCTTCTGGACCAGTTTCCCACCCCACTCTAGCTAAGTACGATGCTTGAATTGATCTCAGATGAATATACATGGCTGGCCAATTGCGAAAAAAAAAAAAAAAAAAAAAAGACAATCAACATATCATGCTATCAAATACTTATGCGATCCTTCAATACAGCTTCCTCCTCATCGATCCGTGTTCCATCCACATTTGCACTAAAAGAAGCAGATAAAGAAGTTTGGGAATAATCTGAAATAGGAAAAAAAAGAAAATAGAGACACGCCAAAGAAACCTCACTTGACTTATAAATCTGCATAATGAATGCCGTCTGAATCACTCCGCTTCAGCTTCCTTCATCGCCGCCTTCTTCGCCTTCCTTTTCGCGGCCGTATCAACAGGGTCCATGTATCCCTCGCCCTTCAACCAGGTCAAGGCCTTTCTCACCCCGCGGCCTTGAACAGCTGACGGTCGCGCCTCAAGGATCGCGCCCATGATGGCCCACGCGATCACAAGAACCCACAATTCGCCGCCCTTACCGGGCTTCCACAGGCCGCGCTTGGCGCCTGTCTTCCATGCGGAATCCACCGCTGCGCGGAAGAAATACAGGGCAACACTGCGGCTGTTGCCCAGGAATGCGAATGGCAATCCGGCAAGCGCTCCGCTCAGGAAGAACCGTTTCGTCGGCAGGGTCGCGCGCGGCAGAATGGAGTTCCAGAGACAAACACTACCCCACGCGGAACCAACAGAGGCGGAAAGGATGGCGGTCAGGGTGATGATCCTCTTGGACACGCCATTGATGGCAAAGATGGGATTGCTCATGAATGTCTTGAATTTGAGCACAGACAACGCTAGGGTCACGCCAGTAAGGAAGCGAGCCGCGCGGGGCACGGACAGGAGAATGTGGTGCAGGAACGCGGTTCCGCAGCTCGGGCTGCTGGGATGAAGCACTGCGCAGGAAAGGCGGTCGATCAATGGATGAGCCGGGCCAGTGATGGGAGAGATGGACTTGACCGCTGCGGGTAGGGTATTCGGATTCGCAGGGTGCAGAATAGGGGACACAAATGCTCTAAGCCAGTGTTAGCCTTGGATACCCTCTTCCTTGGAAATCGGTCTGCAGGGGTAGCATAGAAAGAACGTACGGCCACTTGAGATTGGCAACGGTGGCCAAAGAATCCACAATGTCCTCCTTCTCGGGCCAGAAGACCTCCGCAGGCAGCGATTCCGGACGGTCGGGTATATAACTCGGCGACAGCCTGAAGATGACTTTTCCAAGCCACTGAATCCACGTTAGCCTATGTCGTCGAAACACCCAAAGAAAAGGATCCAACCAACATTCGGCGTCGTCTCCCGATCGAAAACAAAAGCATGGAACAGCTGCGCGCACGACAGGGGCATCAACAGCCAGCTGCCAAACCACCACGGTCGATTATCCAGATATCCCTTCTCGTCCCCCACGTTGAATAGGAACTCCAAACTCCGAGTTCCCGTGTAGATAGCCAACGTCAACCGTAGCTGCTCCTGGGGCGCAATGCCCAGCGCAAATCCCGCAACACTGGCCCCGACGACAGGCGCATATCGCGAGGTCAGTGCCTTCGACACGCGAGGGTTGCGAGTGCGGAAAGGCTGAGCCTCCTCCGTACGGAGGTTGGCGCGTAGTCGCACAAAGAAACGATGCAGCAATCGGTGGAAGAGAAGGACGAGGGATAGGGAAAGAGATAGGCGGAAATTCGGGGAGCGGATGAGGGAGGTTCGCGGACCCTTCCTGCAGTCGCCAATCCAGTATTAGCTTACTCGTTCTAACGGCTTCATTCGCTGCCACGGACTGGCAGAACTCACTTGGACTGGTCGCCCCGAATCCGGCTGAGGATCAACCCAACCAGCTTGAACAGAGCGCCGGACACAACAAAGACGCGGAGCGAGGTACGCAAGGCCGCTTCATTGTGTCTATTCTTGGAGCGGACAATCGCCTCGAACTTGGCCGGCGGGGGCAGCTTGCTCTGGATAGCTGGGGCTCGTCGGGTCGCAAGGTCGTAGAGCAACCGGTATTCCTTGGCGCTCAGGGAAATGCGGAGGGCGTTGCGTGCCGCCGGATGCACGTCGGCGTCGGCCGGGGGCGCAGAAGCCATGGGGTTCTGTAAACCCGGGAGAAATCTGGGGACTGAGTGACAAATGAGTTCCCAAGTTGAAATAGATGACCTCACATGCTGAGATCAAACGAGTGAGGAAGAGAGAGGAAGCGGGAAAGAAGGCGCGAAGGGTGGAGAAAGGTGGTTTGCCCGTGACCTCGGCTAGTGCACGTCACCACGTGGATCCTCTTATATACTTGTTTCTACTCCATCCATCTTGCATATCAACTAATATATAGATTATTTGGTGGATAAGATTGAAAGTGGTATAGATATCGTCGGTAATATTTGGCCATGAACAAAAGTCTGTCGATTGTTCATCCTTCCCTCCAACAAATGGTAGGGTAAACACAGGAGTCGATCAGAGTAGGTAGTTCTACAGAAGAATAACAACTAAAAGCAATCAAAGGACATTCCATGCCATGCAAAATCCATCATATCGCAAAGTACGCCATCGTAGTAAAAGCACCCCAGGAATCATCAATAGACCATGGGGGATAATAAACACAGAAAGAATAGGGAAAGGTTCACCAGAAGCTGCACCATCCAATCCAGTGTTGACATATGTTCTCAACACTCGTTGCCTGCGCCAGCAGCTTGTCAACCTGGTCGCTGATATTGAGCTCTTCGCTGGGCCGGAAGTCCCGTCCAGTGAGCTTCTCCCGGACCCGCGCCAGAACCTGTAACGCCCGCGCATTCTGCGCTTCACGGGCTTCGTTGGGGACACCTTCCTGGGCATCCAGGATACCACCTTCCAGAATGGAGGGTCGGCGATGACGCGAAAAGTTGCTCGGTTGCACGCCTTGTTCCGTATTAACATTGGAGACAACCGACTGTCGGCGCTCGGCGCTAAAGGGCATGCGGTCCGGGGACTCGCGGATCCCCAGGCGCCAGTTGATTAAGGGGTCGTGGATGAACTGTGAACACATCATGTTAGCCTCGTGACCACGCAAGCAACGACTTGCTTGAAGAAACTTACTGCTTCCAACACCGCCATCAGAGAATCCTTGTTCTCCCTCAGAACGCGCATCACAGCCTCACAGGTGATCCGGTAGCTTCCCTCGATGTTGCTGACTTCCATCGCAAAGGTCAACATACGGGTCAACCGGAAGGGCACCCTCTCCGGGTATTTCTCTCGGTGCATCGCTACTTCGAAGCAGTCACCGAAATCAATGTGAACAACCCTGCCAGTAATCCGGTCGAGAAGAAGATTCGACGGGTGGCGATCGCCCAGACCAAGGATATAGCCGACCATGGACATAACACCGAGAGACCGGGTGTAGTTCGTCCGACGCTCTAGCCACGACTCGGAACTCTTACTCTTGAGCCACAAAACCCGGTATAGATCCTTCCCGGTCGTGTTATCCATAGCATACCCAAAAACTTCCACCTTTTGCATGAGCGTGAGATTGTCGTAGTCCGGTGCCATTTGCAACATTATGCGGTGCTCAATGTTCAGCAAGATACGGCGACTCTCTCGGTATTCCTTGATCAGCGCATGCAACGTGTCGCTGTTAGAGACCCATCCCAAGAGACCAGAGCTCTGCGACAGCGGGATGGCCGGGAATCGTTGCACAGACAGGTGGCGCTTGAAGCTTTCTCCGTCGTTGTCCAGCAGAGTATTGACAAGGCCAAACAGCTGCATCACTCGCTCGTCCTGTCTGATATCTTCGTGTCCCTTCAGAGCATACATGTACGAATTGCCGTCGCTGCCCTTGAGCGTCATTCTCCTGGGGCGCTTCTTGGTCTGGAGGACATGCAGGATAGGATCAAAGCTGATAATCCGGATGATCGGCCTGCCCGTCTGGTAAGTTCCAGGAACGGCAAGGGCCAGGTCCACGCAATCCTTCAGTCTAGGCGAGACATATTTCAAATCCAGAGTGGAGAGCTGTGGAAGCTGCCGGCTGATCTTTCGGAAAACAGTGTAATACAGATCCCAGGCTTGGTTGAGATCGCCGATCTCCTCGGTCTCGCGGTAGAGCATGCAGTAATGCTTTGCCTCCGCCAGATCTCGCCCAAATGCTTGTGCGAAGGATACCTCGCGCAATGTTTCGGCGCCCTTGTCTAACATTTCGTGCAGTGGCGCAAGTGCTGCGAACATCCCTTCCACGTTGTGGTCACCGAAATAAAGTCGGGACGCCTCTTCGAGGCCTTCATGCCAGAGCTCGTGCCACAAAACGGCAACCCTGATTAGCTCATGACTGACAAGATCGGCTTGTTCGACTAGCTGCGGGCTATGCTGTCGCATATTGTCCATGATACTGGAGGCAGATTGCGAGCGCCGGGTAACGTTGGACTTCATTGCAACCGTCAGGGGGTACACCAAAGCCTGGGGATGGACTTGGCCAACTTCCGCGAGTAACCGATGGACGGCGCTCCGGACCCTGAAATTTGGCTGGTTGATGCGTGCAATGAGCTGGGGTGTAACTGCGAGCCAGGTGTCGATGTTCACCGCGGTGAATCCTTCCGTCACAACGGCATTGACCTCTTGGTCGCCACCGTGAGTAAACCACAGGGTAAGCAATCTCAATGTATCTTGCAAAGATGACGTTGAGGACAGTCCGATGGATCGAAGGAAGCCACGAATAGCGGGGATGACATGCTCAGTCACAATGTGGCCAGGGACCATTGCCATTGTCGCGCCGTCTCGGTTGGCCTGGCCAGCGATAGTTGTGACGACTTCAAAGTTGGCAAGTGCCCAAGAGTGCCAGGCCTTATAGGAGTCACGGTTGTATTTGGTCGCTGCAGAGTATGCATTAAGGACCTCTCGGACATGCTCTGGCTTCCAATCGCCGCGCTGCAGCGTAGTTTGCCATTCGCCCTGTCGGAGGTAGCTCTTCGCAAGCAGCCTCCGGAACTTGGCCACATCTCCGATGCGCTCACGTAGCCCGATAACATCTACATGGCCAGCATCGGCGATACCATTCACGCCGTTTATGCCACTATGTTCGTTCTGAGAAATCATAAGGGTATTGAACCGCGCGAAGTCTTCCGTGAGGTTCGTAGTAAACTCCTTCAGCATCTGAAGGGCATCAGGCTGACGTCCGGTGGCCCAGCTAAACTTCAGTCGGGCGTATGTGACTTCAGGGGGAGCAATGGCCCGTGTGCCGTTACTGTCGGAGACAACGGTTTCCAAAGACGCCAGCGACCGCTCGGCAAGACCCATTCGACTGGACTTGCGGCACAAGTTCGCGAATTTGATCCACATGTCAAGGTTCTCGCGAGGTGATGTGACGAGTGCTCGGACCTTGAGCATACGCTGCCACACTTCGACGTTTTGTTGGCAACCAAGCAATCTCTTGTTCCATGTTTTGCGCATCGAATCCTGTTTTTCAGGGTCGCCGATGTTCTGCTTGTATGTGATGATCTCTTCCAACTCAGCAAGCATTTGGACACGGACAACAACGTTGTAGGCACGGTTGTATGATTCTCCAAGCAACGCGGAAAGTTCGGTATCAAGCCCCTTCCTGGCCTTTTCGATGTACATTGTCGCCTCGTCAAACTGGTTTCTATAGATGGCAAGGATGGCACCGAAAAAGGATCGATCAGGCGACTGCTCTTTCATAACACCAAGGTAAGAATCCATCAGCTCCCACTGGCCTCTACCCCAGGCTGCAGCTGCAGCCAGAGGTGCAATGGCTCTCCGATGCTCCAGTGATGCTTGATTCCATTTTTCTTGGGCAAGATCAGACAGGACCTTCCATTCGCCAAGGGCGTGCAGACACCGCATTTTGCCCATTGTGACCCCAAAGGAGTCTGGATCGACCTTCTCGCGCCGCTTATAGGCAGCAAGAGCCTCCTCCCAGCGTTGTAGCTTCTCAAACCACGTCTCCTTAAGCTCTACATCCCGATATGCTTGAGCTTTTCGAAGGATACCAATTGCAGCATCAGATTGTTGAAGCTGGTTGTTGATTGTGATCAGAGCCTCCACTGCGCCAGAGTTCTGATCCTGCTCGAATTCCAACTCCTTATAATGTAGAGCCTTGGCAAAGGCGTGGCATTTTGCCGCATACTTGCCTAGAGTTCGGATGTCAATCGGCAAAGCCTTGTCATCGTGTTCCATGAACTCTGCAAGATTGAGAAGAACCTGAAGGATCTCTGGAGGTATGTTTGGCGAAGTTAAAGCCTTCTCAATCGAGCGGACAAGCTCCTCTTGGTACTGGTCATATAGCTCCGTCCAGCATGAGACGAAAGCTGCATTGAACAGATCCCTGGCAAGTGGCTGGTAGATACCAGCCAAGCTAGCACAAGCACGCAAAGCCGGCGATGGGGATTCCTTGAGAAGCTCCACGCTGAATCGCCGGATCCACTCCTGCCAGTCTTCCCTAGTGGATTTCTGGGAAGCGTCCCATGCATTCTTCAAGTGTTGCTGGTTGACGACCATTTTCTTCTGGCCGATCTCCGCATAATTAGCGTCATCTGATGGAGCGGTGTAGCTCTCCTCAGGGTTCAGATCCTGTGGAATCGGGTCGCCCTTCTGTAATTTTGCCACCAGACTCTGGTAGGTAGCATGGTTGATCTGGTGCTGTTTCATAATCTTGCTCAGAAGCTGGATGTAGTGGCTGAAATCCTGACCAAGCTGGAAGATTAAAGCACAGATACAGTCCAAAGCAGCTTGTCGCAGAGTGCGATCACTACCTGCAACAACACGAGACAAAGAATGAACCATCAATGATGCAAAATCTGACACATTCACTTGACGAGAGAGTTTCGTGAGGCTCTCGATCGCAATTTTTCGGACGCTTGGCGGGTTCTGGGATCGATCAAAGAGACGCACGATAGCTGGGACAATAAGGTGCATATATTCCTCTCCGCTGGAGCCAAAGACCAAGAAAGTGTGGAGAATCCTTTCCGAGGGCTGTCGGCGTTGCGTGTTATCCTTATCAAGCGTATCAAGCATCTGGGGAATCAGCCCAGCCATGTATTTCTTGAATTCGCCCTCCAATGACTTGGCAATTGCTTCAACGAGCGACAAGATTGTGGCTTGCACTTGGTAGGATGCATCCCAGAAATCTTGGATGACTTGAATTATCTCGGGAAGGAAGGCACGGATATGCTGGCGCACAATGTTGACCAAGATTGCCATTTGGTTGAAGTAGGATTCAAGACGGCTGGGTGGGGATCCCCTGATGACCGATATGAAGCCTGGGATGATTTGCCCGAGAAAGGGTACACATTTGAGACCCAGCGTCTTGAATATTGTGACAATGGCATCAATCACCGCGGAATGGTATTGGGCCAACGAGTTTTCGCGTAGTATGTTCTGCATCAGCGTATTGATGACCACAGTTGGATAGTACTCCTCATTCGATGGCGTTAGGCCTTGCATGATGAGAGCTACATCCGAAACCGTTTGCACTTCATTGATATGGTGAATATCAGGTGCCGTCTCGCTGATCTGCTGGTACTTGTACGGGTCAAGGGCACCGAGTATTCCCAGCAATTTGATCGTCTCTTTGCGAAGAGACCCGGTTTGCTCCGTTTTGATGATGTTGATAAGGACGGCAAGGAGATGGGGGTATTCTAGGTACGGATCAATCACGTATCCGGAGTTGCTGGCCAACTGTCCCAGCGTGCGCAAGGCCGATTCCCGCTTAGCATGGGACGACAGGTCTTGCAACGAGTCCAGAATAATCGGCATCAGCTGAGGCAGGTAAACCTTCATCTCAGTTCCACCAACATTGGCCAGTTCTCCGACAGCCTTCAAGGTAGTCGAGGCAACCCCTGGGTTGGCGTCGGTCGCCTTGGGGAGCAGGGTGCTGACCATCGGATCGACGTATGAGCGAATGAGCTTTGTCGCATTCGACACGAATAAAGTGATCAGCTGGGCACTCTCTTCCTTTTGCCGAGCAGTGTTGGCAAATCCGAGGCCAGTCAGGAGATTGACGAGCAACTTTCGTAGAGGTGGGAAGACATAGGCCGGATTGACGCTCGAAAGGCGCCCGATTATGCAAATTGCAGCCTCGCGAACAGAGAACACCTCGTCATTGACAGCAAGAAACAAGCAGCGGATATTCTCCGGTCGGGCAAGATGACGGTCGAATTTACGATCCAACGACCACAAGACAGTGCGGCGAATGTCAGAATCCGCATCCCCGATGCCAACGGTCAAGAGTCTGTCAATGACTTCGCTGACAACCTGTATAGAATGACTACTGGTCTGGTTGATGATTGGGTCGTGCACAAACAGCTGGCAGCAAGTAAGGGCGGAGGCTTTACGTATCTCCGGGTTGTCGCTGTCGACATAATTGATGGCGACGTCGCGCACGAACTCGTTCAAAATGTGACCCGAGAAATCGAAGCTTCCTAGGGTATGCAGGGCTAACGCGATTTCGGCATCGGATTGTAGCTCTTGGGGTGCAAAGTCCCTGGCGAACGAGGGAACTGGGGGCAGCCTACTCTCGGGGCACCCTAGGGGCCTGAAAGGTGTCCCGTGAAGGATGAGACTTAGCATGTCTAGAAGTTTCTCCTGAATCGTAGGTTTGATCGGCGGAATATAATGGGCCATATCAACCAGCGCCTGTGTGAGTGATTCGCTCAGACCGCATGCAAAAATTGGGTCGAGTAATGACTCCATGTACTTGCTAAGAGTCTGCCCTACAGCCAGAGACAGCATGCTGATACACTCAAACATCGGTGCTTCGTTCACAGTAGCTCGGCTTCGTCTAAGGTGGTGGTTAGTCAATTGAAGAGAACCACGGGAGGTAAATGTCCAGCTTACGCTTTCATGGCCAGTCCCTCTCGTATGTAGATGATAATTCCATCGAGGTACTGCGCGATAGCGCCGCCGACCGCGTCCGCAATTTTGCCGATGGCTATGAATGCCGAGTTCCGTTCCTTATCCCTCTTAAGTTGCGCTTGTAGGTAGATCATGAATCGATGGAGGTATATTTCTGTAAAGTCGGCAGGGGCGTAGGAAGCTAGGATCGGTATCGTCAACACGACCTGGGTGCGAATCTTGGGGTCGCGATGATCCTTGAGGCGAAGGACGATTTCGCAGGCGTTTCTATAATGCTCGTTCATGAACATAGCACCTTTCAGCAGAAGCTCTTTGAGAACCAGAAGGGAACCATGAATCCAGTCCACATTAGTGGACTTGAGACCATTCATGGCCTCATCGTGCACCTTTGCAAACCACGACTGTCGGACCTGGTTATCTCTCGCGGCGATGATCTCAAAGCATTCGCTAACGGCTTCTGCGGCGGTTTCCCGTATGATGACCTTCGGATCGCGAAGAGCGACCCAGATGAGCTCGAAGATTTGCGGGACAAAGCCGTACAGAAGGGTTGGGGAGCCTTTGGCGAGCTCTCGGACCACGAGCACGGCGCCGAAACGTCTGTTTTCTTGACGTTCGGACTGCAGCCATTCCAGCGCTGATTGGATCTCGCTTTCAACTAGCTCCGCCGTGAGAGCGCCGCCCGGCTTCGCCAGATGGCCAAGGCACCGGGCGGCGTAAATCAAGACGACATAGTCGGGGCTGCGGAGGGCGCTGCGGAGGTAGCTAGCGAACCGAGTCGTCTTCTGAGCGGCATCAACTCCATCAAAATCGATCAGGCGATCCAGCGCTAATAAACCACCGATTCTTTCATTGGCGTCGGTGCCGGTGACGACGAGCTGCGCGATCCGTTGGCTGACGGCATTATAGAATTCAGTGAACTTCTCCGGAGGTAAATCTAGAATCCATCACACTAGCTGTTAGTCGAGTCCGAGCGGTAATTGAAGATCCAGATGATATATATACCTCGCGATACAGCGAGAACGTTATCGTAAAGCTCGTAAGCACCTCTCACCCGGGTCTCCTCGTTCTTGGACTTCAAGTCTTGAAAGAGCCTCTGGGTGAAATCTGTCAGGGGGCTTGTTTGCGCCATAATTGCGAACCACACCCCAGGGTGGACATTTGAAGTCAACCTCTAGGGTATGCACTATGGCACCGAGGGAACATGGAACGGAAGGGATTCCAGGGAAGTGAGTGGAGGGGGGATGAGGAGCGGGCGTGAGCTTGAGCGATGTGGGAGGTGGAGATGGAGGTTGTTCGGGTCGTTGAGCCTTGCGGGAAGCATGCACGGACCAGGCACCTACTTTCTGCCTGGGGCATCCCACTTGAACATCAAGAGAATCCTCGATCGGTTTTCGATTGCTTCATCTCTCACCCTTGCTGATGATTCTACCCACTCATTCTTTCTTAGACGGATAGACAGATCATGAAAGTCTCGAGACAACACACGGTCAATCCCGAAAGACAATTCTAAAATCAACTGCCGGGGTTTCATAGACAAACGAGACTTCGCTGCCCTCCATTGTCTGACTGTTTCCAGCGGTCAATGAATGCAAGGATCTATTTACTATTTCCTCTTGATCCAGGCTGCAACGATATCCAACGTATAACAAAGCCACCCGTCAGTTGGGGACACAGATTGCAAACACTATCACACGACTCATAGCTGTACACATGTACGTGGGAAAGTGTCTCACACTTCATGCTACATGGTGTACCAAAGTCCTTTGTTGGTGTAATTGGCATATGGTCAAGGTGCAAACAACTTGAAGATCCGTAAGGCCTTTTTAATCGATTCAAGGATGATTTAATTGATTGCTCACAAGACTTACCTCAATTCTCCAAGTGATAATCTCCGGATTGGGACGCATCTACGGAGTAGTTTACAAGGGTCCACTACAGAGGACATTTACTTTTGTTCCTTGTTACTATCATGAGATCTCTAGCCATTTCTGAGGAGAATAGCTACTATAATATAGGTACTGAACTTCTGGTATGGTATCGAATACAATGTATAACAACGATCCTTGAAGGCTACCAGGTTCATCTACCGATGCATACAGTATATGACGAGGACCACCCATAAGGACCCCGCATTATAGTACTTTTCTACACTGCAATTCTACACCAAACTATTGACGTCTCCAATGCTTGCTAATCCCATGCCCTGTTGACGCAAAACGTCGCCATTTGTAATCCTCATGGAGAGGATACCCTATCACATCCGCCCGATAACCTTCATGGTCCACCTGGGTGGGGAAATTTGGAGTTCGGACAAGGAGGGGTATAATGCGGGTGCGCCCATACGCAAGTACATATAGGAAGCAAAAGCGCCTCGGGTTCCTGTCACAGCACGTCGTTTCTGCAGGAACTAGAATTGAGCGGTATAAATATTTGACCATTCATTTTTCATCATAAGCATGGTTAAAGTCCTCCTGACTGGTAAGGTGTCCCTTTCGTTGGCGGCGAAACCGAACTAGCAGGCTGACTGTCTGGTTCAGGTGGTAGTGGCTTCATTGCCGCCCACATCATTGATATTTTGTTGGCACGCGGGTGAGTTCGCAATGCAGTTATTATTCTATTCTCACTGTGACGAAGCTGACTGTAATTGATCCAGATTCGATACAGTTGTGACGGTCCGCTCCGACGAGAAGGGCCAGAGAATCCTCGATGCCCATCCCAACACGCCCAAGGAGAAGCTCTCCTACGTCGTCGTCAAAGATGTCGCGGCCGACGGGGCATTCGATGACGTGAGTTGGGAATCGCCTTGCCGTTATCCTCTCTATTCTGTTGCAAAAACCTAACTGTTTTCCTGGAAGGCCGTCAAATCCAACCCACCGTTCGATTACGTCCTCCATACAGCTTCGCCGTTCCATTACAACGTACAAGACCCCGTGAAGGATTTCCTAGATCCTGCGATCAAGGGCACGACGGGTGTTCTGAAGGCAGTCAAAGCATATGCACCGACGGTGAAGCGGGTCGTGGTCACGTCGTCTTTTGCGGCGATCACCAACCCTAAGGAGCATCCCAAGGTGTACAGCGAAAAGAACTGGAACCCCGTAACGTGGGAAGATGCTATGGATCGCTCCCAAACCTACAGAGCCAGCAAGGTAGGTGGGTCCTATCCCGATTGGGCGATTCATCGTACTGACACTGTACGTCGACAAGACATTCGCAGAGAAAGCGGCGTGGGACTTCGTTGAGAAGGAGAAGCCAAACTTCGACATTGCGACCATCAACCCACCGCTTGTCCTGGGTCCGGTCGTGCACTACTTGAACTCCCTCGACTCCATCAACACATCCAATATGCGGATCGCTGGATTCATCCGAGGCGAATACAAGGACAAGTTGCCCCCGACTGCCACATATCTGTGGGTCGACGTACACGACGTTGCTCTGGCGCACGTGAGAGCCATCGAGGTCGATGCAGCGGGTGGACAGCGGTTCTTTTTGACCGCTGGCCTGTACTCCACCAAAGACATTGCCGATATCATTCGAGAATCATTCCCGGCCCTGGCTGACAGACTCCCTCCGCCGGACTCACCCAGTGATATGCCAGCTGATGTCTACGGGTATGACAACAGCAAGTCCATCGAGGTGTTGGGCATCAAGTATCATACTCTGAAGGAATCGGTGGAGGAGACCGTCAAGTCATTGCTGGCTGTGGGCGCATAATGGTGATGCAAGACGTTGCCATATTTTTCTGCGGTATTCCAGCCAGTATTAGAACTATAGATAGTCTCACGAAATCTGATATACATCATTATCATCATTATTTCCAAGTCACTGACATTTCCGACTCAATACATTTTTGATGTATAAAATTACATAATCAATGCAAAACTGCGTGCCTGGACGACCCCGACCGCCGTATGTAGTGCCAGGCTTGGCGCGCCGTCCACTTCTTTTCCGATGTCCAACTTTTCTCCAGCGTGCACGGAGAGAACATCGCTCTCGATCCCATCGTCAGTCTTCAACCCCACACGATGTCGTCAGCGCGGTTATCACCCACGGCGAATCTTCTACGGAGGAGTCGTCTGTTTGCACTTCCGCAAACATTGACACCTCCTCAGGAACCGCCGACCTCCAGGGTGACCTACACGTCCGAAACGGCCACCCTCCCCCATCCGATTCGAGCCTCCATTGCCAGCCCTCGGTCCTCGTTGGCAAGAGGAGACTGGGGTTTGAAACGACCTCTGCCTGCCAAGAGCACATCCGCGCAAGCTAGGCGGCCTATCGTTCGAATCCTCGAACACGATACCTACGAACATGTCACCGATTTCGAGTCTGCCTCCGACCACACGGTGACCTTGGAGAAATTCCAAGAACTCCACATGCCCATGTCGCTCCCGACTAAGGTCAACTACGCCACGAGCATCGTCCCCAGACACCAGAGTCCCTTCGAGACACACCTCGACAACACGAACACGAGTGCTGGTCTGGATCAGCCCGGAGCCCGGCAATACAAACATTCAGGACCGTGGCTTGCTGGACTGTCGGAGGCGGAATTCCACGCGTACCTGAAGAAGGTGCAACGGGGTCGCCCTGCGATCATGCACAAGCTTCGCGAGCAACTCGTTGCCAAGCGGACCGCCGAGCGCAAGAAGCAAGCCCAGGACAACGGCGAGGATCTGCAAGCCCTGAGCCCCGTCCAGGTGACCGACGAGGAGTTCCAGGTCTATCTGAAGAAGCTCCGCGCGGACCCGTTCGCGTTGGGCCCCGTGGTCTTCGAATTGCTGGACCTCCCGTCTTCCCCGGCGGTCCCCAGTGACCGCATCGGCCAGAAGTACTTCCAGTCTCCCGGCACCAAGCTCCCATCGGCCGAGTACGCCGTGACCGGTCCCCCGCGCACCCACCCCTCCGCCGGTCTCTCCTACTCGCGATCGCACGCTTTGCTCTACAACCACCCTAAGTTCGGGCCTCAGACCTACCAGCGCCCCGTCGAGGCGCGTATCCTGCGCCCGAAGGGCCGCTTCAAGGGCAAGACCGCCAAGGCCATCGCCGGTGTGGGTGGTATCGCCGTGGAAGACCTCAACGCCATGACCTTCGTGGAGCAAGGCTCGCCTCCCGGCCTGGCCGCCTTCGACGCCACGATCCCCGGCGGTGCCAAATACTACGTGACGCCCATCCGGGCCTCGATCAACTCCGAGGGCCGCATCAACCTGGCGTCCTACCGGGCCAGCGCCTCCGCCAAGGCGCCCCACGGTCTCGAAGACTACAGGAAGCCGAACACCCTGAAGATCGCGGACTACGCTCGCGGATACCAGCGAACGGTCCCCCGGCTGGACAGGGGCATGCGCCGCAATACCTCGGCTCCGGGCCCCGAATCGCAGGGCTCCACCGAGGACATCGCACGGAACTTGATGAAGACGTTGAGCTCGTAGAATGGTTGAAAGTAGGTGTCTTGTCTTCCACCTCCGTCCTGTTTATCTAGCATGGGATTCTTGGCACTAGGAATGTTTATTGTACGATTAGAATATTTTCTTTCCCTTTTCCTTCACTTTTTTTCTTTTCTTTTTCTTTTCTTTTCCCCCCGCTGTCTTTGATGTAAAGCACTTGTAAATGAAACGATAACTTTAACTTAACTTCATCCATGCATCACCAATTCATGCAATTGTATAGTCTCAACTCTCCATAGACCCGGGTATCATATATACAGTATCAATAAAACGCCACACAACCTTCCCAAATCCCAACCAATATGCAAACCTTTCTACTACCCATTCCTTCACAAGAATAAAAGGCACAGAAAAGCAACCCACAAAATATGGCAACTCGTCAAAGATCAAACCCATATAGGATAACATCACGGAGCAGGCACATACCCCTCAATCGAACCCCCGCGATCATCCCCAGGCCCCATCCTCGGCGCAACAGCAGCCGCACCGCCCAAATCATTCTCGCGAACGCACACCCCAACCCTCCCATCACCCCAAGCCCCCTCCACAGAATCACCCCTCTCCAGCGCCAGCGCACGAGCCGCCCGGCCCTCATCCCTCACCGACAACCGCGCCATATCCCCCGCAACATCACCCGGTCCACGCCCGACAGAGTCAACATCCATAGAAAGATTCTCCAACTGGCCCGTCACATTACGCACAGACGGGGGATTATCCGTACTCCTCGCCTTGCCCTTGCCGTTAACCTGACCTGACTGCGCAGCCCGACCCTCCTCCAACAAAAGAATCTCCTGACCACCCGCAACATCCGCCGCGCGCCTCTCCCAAACGGGCTCCGCAGCCAGCTGAACGCGAATATACAGCGCCCGTTCCGCACACTCATCCGAGCACCATTTCTCCAGCGACTCGCGCGGCACGATATTCATAGACCGGCCGCGACCGCCGGGGCCACTGCCTTTCGCGCCCCACGTGATGCGGTAGCTGCCGTTTGCGCCGGTGCTGAAGGCATTTTCGGTGCGGTGCGGGCGGGGACAGAGCGGGTAGCCGCAGCGGCCTTCGATGTTGCGCTCTTCGATGAGGTTGTCGTAGTCGGAGGGTTGGAAGGGGACGAGCGCTGATTTGAGGGCGTGGGCGTCTGCGGGGGAGGGGGCGGCTGGGTCGGCGGTGGGTGAGGAGGGGAGGGTGATGAGGTCGAGGATGCGGTCTAGGATGAGGGCTTCTGAGTCTTTTTGAGATTGGATGCGGTGGGCGTGGTGGAGGGCGATGGCTAGGTGGCGGGGGTCGGAGGAGGGTTCGTTTGGGCCCTGGGAGGAGGTGGAGGGTTTTGCGGGCGCGCGAGAGGCGTTGTTGGTGGGTTTGGGTTTGGGGGCGGATACGGTGGAGGCTGCGTGGGTGGCGGGGAGGGAGTTTCTCACGGGGGGTTTGTGGGAGGACATCTTGTTGTTGTTGTCGTTGTTGTTGTTTGTTGTAATGGAGTTGTTTGGAATTGGTGGTGTTGAGATGATTGATGATGGGTTTTGGGTGGGAGAACTAGCGGGTCAGGAAAAGCTTATGACGACGACCTTAGTTACCTAATATTCCCTGTCACTGCACATTCTTGATATTGATCCAATTATAGATTGTTTGATAGATATTTGGGACATATAAATTCTGATTGATGCTATAACCAATTGTTGGGCGAATATATAATAGTACATCCACCTGGATCAGCTATATATTGTTCCAGCCTTAATCAATTACTAGTACAGAGGTAATACAAAGCTCCCGAATATATATAGTTCGTGATATCGAACCATCTGTTCTAGATGTCAAAGTCATCGATTAAACTATACTCAGAAAACAACTGTCAGGTCTTGCGAACAAGGATCCCGTCAAGATTGACAAACAAGTATAACCTCCTCCATAGAAGGGAGCATCCAGATCGTCAGTCCAACGGAGTCAAGCTTGTCGAGCAGGCAGTTTAATCGATAGCTATGCACACTACTAGTATTGAACTACAAGTGATCGCTCAAGCCACAATACTCCTTGAGAAACAAATACCTGTTTAATAATTTGACCTGACAAAAAGAGTGGGCGGTGCTCCCAAAACAACCATACTCTATATCAACAAGGATGACAGCCCTTTGACGTCATGCATAGCAGCACCACCGAAACCAGCATGAAACAAGTCAAGATCTTGAATCTTGACCTTACCAATTCCTGTCCAGACCTTATCCCCTTGATATGACGTGCCAGACATGACGTAGATGAGCATTGTACAACCATGAGATAGCTATGACACCCCGCCCAGCACCACAATATAGAAGACAGCACGCTCCCGACACATAAATGCAGACAAAATGCGACCCCTCCAGTCGAAGCTATTTTTCCCATATAACATCAAGAAAACCTGTTCCTTCCGTCCCTCTTTAAATGCCATTGCTGTTCCTAAGAGCATTCTGAACCGACCATCACTACCACTACCCTTGCAAACAGCACCCTCCATCCAGCAGACACGCACAAACTCGACCAAGATGTCCGCTCAGCAGCAGAACCAGCGCTTCTCGCTTGATAATGTCTTCAATGTCAAGGGCAAAGGTTCGCCCACCACACACATATTATATATACAAAACAGTAAAAACTAACCAAGCAAAACAGTCGCCCTCGTAACAGGCGGCGGCTCCGGCATCGGCCTAATGGCCACCCAAGCCCTCGCCGTCAACGGCGCCAAAGTCTACATCACAGGCCGCACCGAAGAAAAACTCGAGCGAGTCGCCTCACTCTACTCAAAAGACATCCCGGGGCAAATCATCCCCCTCGCAGCAGACATAACATCCAAGCCCTCAATCGAGCACCTAGTTCAACAAATATCCGCAAAAGAACCCGCCCTGCACATCCTCATCAACAACGCCGGAATCTCCTCGGCGACCCAAAACACCGAGCTCACCTCCGCAGAGGAGCTCAGCAGCGAGCTCTTCAACAAAACCAGCTTCGAAGAGTGGGAGAGCCTGTACCGCACGAACGTCTCGCAGCTGTACTTCGTGACGGCGGCGTTCCTGCCCCTGCTGCAGAAGGGCACGGAGCGCGAGCACGGCTGGTCCAGCACCGTTGTCAATGTGTCGTCCATCTCGGGCATCGTCAAGGTCGCGCAGCATCATTTCCCGTATAATGCGAGTAAGGGTGCGGCGGTGCATTTGACGCGCATGCTGGCGCATGAGGTTGCGTCTTCGGGGCTGAAGATCCGTGTTAATGGCATTGCGCCGGGTGTGTTTCCGTCGGAGATGACGGCTGGAGAGAGTGATGATACTCAGAAGAGTAGTATTCCCAAGGAGAAGTATGAGGGCAAGGTGCCTGCGGGCCGGCCGGGGAAGGATGAGGATATGGCGGGTGCGGTGCTGTTCACGACGGCTAATCAGTATCTCAATGGACAGACGATTGTGGTGGACGGTGGGTATGTTTTGGCGGCTGGGACGGTCTAGTAGTATAGTCTGGGGTTTCTGCAAAAGATAATGATTGTGATGATTATTTGCTTATGGCTACTCGAGTCTTATGTATAACAGTCTGTTCCATATACGCCTGCTCATGTACTTCACGTGGTGTAGATCCATTGACTTCCATCCCGTGCTCAACCCAGCCCTAATTCACTGATACAATCCCATGCTTCTCTTCTTCCATGTTCGACGCTCACCATAACAAACAAATCCACTGCCTCTATGCTATACAAATCGCCCTACAATATTCTCTCTCTAAGAGTTGCCAAATGTGACCAGAAAAATAACTGGATGTCCAACTATATACAGGAAACCATAGTAATAAGGGGCCGGATAGTAATGACTCCGATAGTGAATCCCATAGTGATAGACCATGTAATGACAGACTGGGATAGTGATAATCCCCCATAGTGATAAAACCGATAGTGATAAGCCCGGTAGTTGCTGTAATGACTGTAGTGACCGTAGTGACCGTAGTGACTGTTGTGACCGTAGTGACTGTGGTGACGGTGGTGACGGTGGTGACCCGTAGTGATAGCCCCCATAGTAATAAGCCGGTAGTGATATGCCGGTAGTAATAAATCCTCCAAAAAAACCCCCAAAAAAAAAGATCAAAAAATGATCCAAAAAAAAAAAAAAAAAAAAAAAAAAAACCTCCCAAACTCCAAAAACGCCGGGGATGGCCAGTCCCAACACCCAATATCCCAAAACAATTTTTTGATAGGTTTTTCTATTTTTTTTTTCGTTTTTTTCCCACTTTCTTTTCGTTTTTTGATTCCCCCGGCCAAAAGAAAGACAAAAAAGCAACGCAAACCCAAACCCAAACCCAAACAAAAGAAATCCTCCCCAATCTCCCACGACCTCCCACGACACCTGCAAGTCAATTAGCACAGACCACCCACAAGGCAAGCAATGCGTGAAACCTACCAGCAACCCTTCATGGTTGCGCCACCAGGACAACCTCAAATCCGCTCACGCCGCGGCGTGCGACTCCCCCGAACCCCCATCCACAAAAACCTCCACCTCGGTCTCCGCGTGAGACGTCGACGGCGTCGTCGGTGCTGCCGGCCAAAGGACTACGACTTAAAGGTGCGTACACCCGTGCGTCATTACGTTCTGAGCCAACCTCTGAAGCGCGGCGTCCTCTGCGCATGGTGTGTTAGCCAAGGCGACGTCATCCAGCAAGGCACCGATCAACTCACCCATAATTGCAACTGATGGCACCACCAATACCACGGCAGGACATCACACACGACTCCGGGCCTGTGGCCAGGTTAGCCGGCCCGGGAGTATGGCCACTATCCACCCATAGTGGCCACCCCCCAGGCAACAACAAGCTGACAAAGGAAAATCAACGAGTGGCTGACCCGAAGGTCCTAAGAGGGTTACAAACGAAGGTGCATATGCAGGGTAGTAGGGAGGGGGTGCTTTAATGAGAGACGAGGAAATCCTGACCCAACTCCAAAACTTACCACCCGCTAAATATATGGATGCGGGTATCAACCCACCGATCGATTTCGACGACCGAAACCTCACCGAAGTGGACACACCTCTTCGGCTTGACGCCCGCGCTGGCGCCAAGGATAGGCCGAAGAGGCCCTACCACCCGGTGTGGTGGAACGAATGGCTGGCGGCCGGGGATTAACGAGTGGCAGCCTCCCCCGGTGGGAGGCTGAGGGCGGCGGTCACGGCGGATCCGCGAAGGAGTGTGGGGGACGGGGTCCCGGCGGCGTTGGCGGCTGGCCTGCGTCACCTGCGCACGGTGAGGCATGGCCGGAGGGGAGGACGAGGTAGAGACTGGAAGGCGCCGAGGCACCGGAAGGAGGGACGGGGAGGAGGCTCCCGAAGAAGAGACAGGCAGGTGCCGAAGCACCGGAAGTCGGGAGGGCGAGGCGGTAGAGACAGGCAGGCGCAAAGGCGCCGGAGGGAGGCAGTCGATGGGTGCGACTGGGGCCGGGGCGGCAGCAGCCGCGGCGGCCAGAGGAGAGACAGACTGGCGCAAAGGCGCCGGAAAAGAATGGACGTCGACCGGGGTGGTGGCCGACAAAAAGGAAGGTGAAGTCATCAGAAACTCCAGGTAGGCAGCCGGTCTGGCATAATAACGATTGTATGACCGGACTGCGCAACCAGGGGCCTGGTGCTCCGGTCGGGCAATGCCACAATGATGGATCATTGGTGGCGACGAGAGGAAGGAAGGAAGGTAAACGTCAAAAGGCTTGGTATTGTGGTTCCTTGTAAAGGGTCACTGGTTGACGAAGCGTAATGCGTTTGGGAGAAAAGGGAAGAAAAAAAGACCAAGAGGGGATCGAACGGGGGGGATCTATTTGTACTGGTATGAGTCTTGTTCCATGAAGAAGGAACGGCTTGTCGAAGATGTGGAAGGTACGCATAGCTTCAGACAGAAGGATGGTCACCGGGAAGGCAGGTACGGCTTCATATGACGTGCGGGCTATACTGATGTGGAATGGCAGCAGTCGAAGCAGTTTTGATATCGGGACCAGCGTCCCCTGTTTGAGGGTGAAAGATAGCCCTAAGTGACGATGGTACTTGAGATTCGACATGAAGACCGAATAGCAGCTTTCCTCTGATATAGGCATGTGTTTCGAGCAAGTTTCTAGGAGGAGACTGCAAAGAGACTGTATTGTTCGCGGGAACGAGTCTGTTGTGTCTAAAAGCGCGAGATTGACTTACCAAACTTTAGCCCTAACGCATACAGAGGCGTAAGACGATATAAGATGCCTGCATCAATTTCACACCTACCAAGCTACCACCCTACGAAACCCGGGGAATATGGCCTTCTACCACTCATTTTTAGCATCCCGGATCAGATAATGTTGGGCTTATTTTATCTACAGCTCTTCTTATATCGATCAGCTATACCCCATGTCTTACAGGAAGCCCCGTTATCAGTCTGCTCGGGGCCCATGATCTCAAGCGTCATACCCACCATCGTACTTTCCCTGTCAACCATTTTTCCTCAACCCTATGACGTCTGTTTGCATTTGAGGTCGCGGCCGTACCCTATTAATGCCTGAGGCACAGATGGCCGGAGTTGGGGGATTGGGGCCTCATATTCACACGGGCTATTGGGCAAAAAGAACAGAATTGACACTATATAGGACAAATGTGCTCGTATATTTTGCACTTTGCAAAGTACCTTATAGTTATATGTAGCCAGTTTCGGATCTATCTCGTTGAAGAGTGAGCGCAAAGGGAAAAAATCTACTTAAAAACAGACGAGAATCCGGCATCTTCTATGATACTGGTCTAGCCAAGATGATACTATTGCTATTCCCAGCAAGGATTCTGCACTACATTCCGTTATAACCGTATGATCTAACATTTTGAGATCTCTTCTGGCCTGCCCAGAGGTTTTTCGACAGATACAGCAGGGAAGCATACTGCAGAGCGGCGCCCTCGCCACTTGGAGGCATGACTTCAACCACCACAACTTTGCAGCACTTCTCAAATCAAAATACGTCTTACTGGAACGTTCAAGCCTTCTATACCACAGTTTCTAATGGTGCAAGATAACAAAAACTAGAAGAAGCAAATCTACGACCGGTCCTTGAGTTGGCCAGGTAGCCTGGTCACACGCATACAAGCATATTTAGCATGTAACAAAGACACTGTAGAGCATGAACTAAGCAGAACATATGCACTGAGCCCACTCCAGGCGTCTATCCATGTATTTTTATTGATATTCTATCCATGGGCTTTTGTGGACTTCGTCCCTCTATTCGCAGCCTCAGGCACCCTATATTTGCTTACATGATAAGAGTGATACATCTACTCGCACCTGCTTGTCAATAGGTTACAAAGAAGATAGATTGGATATGGGCCACCCTATGGAAGAGTCTTGTCCCCCATGCCAGTCGTTATGGACCAGTCTACATCATCTCCGCTTCGTAGCCCTAATTCCGCAAAGGTTTTCTTGGCATCCAGAACACTGGACAGTGAGATGCGCTCGCTCCTTGATGAAAATCTTGACAACATGGATAACCCCGTGAAAAGTGTTGAATCAATGGTCTATATATAAGTACCAGGACCCAAACTTGTAGGATGTCAATCAAAATTATACTCCTGTTTTCAGTCTGGCCGTGGCCCAAACATTTAACTAAATTCGCTGCTACGCTGATCGCCTGCTGATATCAGATCATAACTCTCTATGAGCTGTCTACCTTACTCCATGACTTGCAGCTATAGTTTTTCTCTTTTTTAATTGCTAAAGATTGGTGGTATCGAGTTATTGGCACGTTCTTCCTATGTATATTGACCTGATGGGACCCTCTCAGGGGCATGCCATCATGGAAGCCTATGTACTGATTTATTTAATCACAGCACCCGGCCTGCGATATCCCTTCCCATGTTCATACAGGGACACCGGTAATTGGACTGCTAACCATCCGAAGTATTATTGAGCCAACAGGTTTCTTTCCAGTTCTCAGCCCCTTAAAATTTGTTCCCAATAAGGTAACTAATTGATCCGTTGCCCGGTGACAATGCCAAAATCCAGGACCATTGGAAAGACCCAGAGGCCAAAGATCACCCTCCCTTCACAAGATCGATCCACTAACCTCCAAGCATATGTGAATGTATGTTCGATCAATTCAAACTTCTCTGATCTTTCTTAGACTAGCTCTTTGACACAATCAAATGGGAAAAGGCAAGGTCCTATACAAGGCGAAGTGTAACATGTTGACGTGGTTGACACACCTCCAAGCCCTAAACCTAGAATCCAGTACAATAACCCACGCGACACAACACAACCATCTCTCCCCCGTTTCTCACGCCCCAAATGAAGAGGAACTGTGGAATGTGACCGATACGGCGATCTGAACAATGCTCATACCGCCAATGGCATGCGCTCTCACAGGCGCGACCCTTTCGTAAGCCAGATCTGCATACTTCAACCTAGACAGGCGCCTCCTCGCAGTCTGCAGAATGAGCTCAAAACCTAGCGGTGAATTACCAAAGATCTCATGTTTATTTACCTTCGGTTTTCCTCGTGTCTGCTACTTTATTTGATTACAATCGCCAGCATTCCCGATATGCTGCCGCTGTACAACATACAATGGATTCTTACAACCGCCGCGATGCCTCCTGTCCAGATGTGATCGATTTGGAAGCAGATCAGAAAGTCAAGCAAAGCACTGAGATCCGGAGCAAGTCTATTGGAGACGCTTCTGCCGACGACTCCTCTGCAGATGAGCTCAAATCCCCGTATACCGTCCTTTCCGAGAGAGAGAAACGATTTTTTATTGCAGTCGTATCGACCGTCAACTTCCTAGGACCAGTAACGGCTACGATCTATTATCCGGCTTTGGGGCCACTGGCGCGCGAGTTGAATGTCTCTGAGAGTCACATTAACCTGACTATCACGTTCTATCTGGTATAGCCCCCTTCCATTCTACATTGACAAAGGGGGGGGTATAAAGAAGGCAAAAGATATAAATCAGATAAAACAAGCAAATGAAGTCCAGAGAGAGAAAAAAAAAGTGCCAACATCCCAGATTATCTTAGGAATTGTTCCCCTCTTGACAGCGGGTTTCTCTGATCAAAATGGCCGGCGTCTCATTCTCATCGGCTGCCTCGTCGCCTTCGCCTTCGTCAATATCGCCCTCGCCCTTCAAACCAGTTTCCCTGCACTCGTTAGTCTCCGCTGTCTCCAAAGTTTCAGCACAAGCAACATCGCCGTGGTCGCGGCTGCCACAGTCGCAGACGTGATCACTCGGGCCGAACGCGGCAAATACCTCGCATACATCACACTAGGACCCAACATCGGCAGTGCGGTCGGTCCCATCGTCGGCGGCGTGCTCACCCAGTTCCTGGGGTGGCGAAGCATCTTCTGGCTCTTAGCCATCTTCGCCGCTCTGCTCGCCATTCTAGTCATCTGCTTCCTGCGGGAGACCTGCCGCGCCCTCGTCGGCAATGGTAGCATCCCCCCCGCGCCCTACAACAGAACCCTCTTCGACATAATCCGCCCGTGGACACCCCACACCCCCGAGAAGATTGAAGAGACAACACTCACCACGTTTAAACGGCGGCCCAGCGTGCTCGACGCCCTCAAAATCCTCTTCGACCTCGAATCCTGCTTCATCATCCTGTACAACACCGCCCTCTACTGCGGCTTCACGGCGGTAACAAGCAGCATCCCGGCCCTCTACGAACGAACCTACGGCTTCAACTCCCTCGAAGTCGGCCTCGCCTACCTGCCCTATGTCCTAGGCAGCACTCTCTCCCGCTGGACAGTAGGCAACCTCGCAGACTGGAACTTTGCGCGCCACGCCCGCACCGCAGGCATCACGATCCAGAAGAACCACCAATGCGCCGAGCAGCTAGCGCGCATTCCACTCGAGCGAGCACGGCTACAGCTTGCCCTGCCCCTGGCATATCTATCAACTGTCTTCCTGGCAGCCTACGGCTGGGTGATCCAACGCGAAGTGCACATCGCCGCGCCGCTTTCGCTGCTCTTTCTAATGGGAAACACAATGACGGGCACTAGCAACACGCTAAACCTGCTGAACATCGACATCAATGCGCAGCGCCCGGCCACGGCCACGGCTGCGATGAACTTTTTGCGGTTCACGTGCGGTGCTGGGGTCGCGGCCGCGGCGTTGCCGCTGGAAGGCGCGATCGGGACCGGCTGGATGGCGACGCTCGTTTCGGGGTCTGGGTGGTGGTGTCGCCGTTTTTGTGGGCGGTTTATATTTGGGGGCATGGCTGGAGGGGGAGACGTGGTGGACCTGAGGGGTGATGGTTGTGTATTGTATAGACTCTGGTAGACTATATATACAAGTGTGCTCAATGAGTATACATTTTGGGTCTAAAATTCAACTTGGTCTACTACGGAATTTGTAGCCACATTCACTACCGCTCTTGTCTTGTATAGTAGATCTTGTTTCTTCTCTAGGGTGCATTGGCAATTACAATCAAACCATAATCAGGGGAGATATTTCAAGACACAGGATGAGTTACACTACAATATCATCAAGCAACTGCAGTCACACAATGCAGCCATGTAAGCTTAACTGCAGGTAAACGTGTAGAGTAATTAGAATGAAACAGCATTTACCGGATAGACTATACTCCATGTGCAACTACCTACTAATTACATGCAGTATACCTGTAGTACAGCAAGCTAGATCTTGCACATGCAGGATGGATGTACCTCTTACGGAGTAATTAAAAGCTGGTAGATATCCATCCACAAGGATAGGCTTATAGTGCCATGCCCTGAACCTACCCTCAACCAATCATCGGCCGGCTGGCCCAATGGCAAGGCGCTTGACTACGAATCAAGAGATTGCAGGTTCGATCCCTGCGTCGGTCAATATTTTTTGTATTTTTTCTTTTTGTTATTGCATATTGCCTATCGATTGTTACATGCTTTGAAAGTGTGTGGAAGGCAAATGTATCCTACGATGCATTTTCTTCACATAACAAAGAAAGCCCATCCTTGAGTAGTAGACGAGTATGATAGCTCACCGCTACAACATAGCCTATTTCTTGGTAAATATTGGAAAGGTTTCGACCTTTTGCTACTCTCTAATATTTACATAGTTCAAGAAGATGATTTCAAGATCGTGTAATTGTATTTATGTGGTTGTGAGGTTACAGATATCACTGACTATTACCACACTGGATGATACTGGTTGAAGATGGTTGTGGACGGTTGCTAACGGTTATGGAATGGTTGCCTGGGGTTTTGGTATAATATTACTCCCGTCAAATAATACTTTAGTATTATTCTTATATAGTTATGAATGGTTTGTGGTCATCTATAACTGTAGCACAACCAGCTGCAACCAGCGGCAATGTTTATACGACCGCTGGTAACCCTTGCAACCTGTGGTATCGACCTACTATGTACTTATTTTCCGCTTCATAAAGCTCTCTACTATCTGCATAATCGGTGCCTAGTTCATTACCTTGTCGGCTATTCAACAGGAAAGCAGCATCTAAGACGTCTAGACCGGCTTTATAAACCATACATGCGGTGGTAAATTATTGGGGCCGCTCTGCATCATAACTAGGCAGCCTTGGCCCCCAGGCAGCCTAGCCTAATGACTTCTTGTGGCTTAGATCCATCACCTGACATATATTAACAATTTGTTTTCACTTAACAACAGGCATTGACTTCATCAGCGATATCCCCCTTTCCTTCCCTTCCATCCCTTCCACGCATCATTGACCCACACAGTTCCTTCCCACTTCAATCTACCAGACCACCGACCAGAACGTCGGACCGCTAATAATCACGTGCACAGCCATTATTGGCCAGCACCCGTTCCACATACTCGCGTGATTCCGACTCAACCCCACCACACAACCGTTGTTCGTCCCACCAAGCACGAACCCATTCTTAATTGTATGTCAAACTCTGAAATCCATACTCAACAATCAAGGCCGGCTGGCCCAATGGCAAGGCGCTTGACTACGAATCAAGAGATTGCAGGTTCGATCCCTGCGTCGGTCAATTCTTTTTTATAAGTTTTTTTATATAAACTCTGTATACTGTACACTGTTGAGTTTGCTCCCTTGGGCATTGTAGATATTCGTGCGCTTCCCCGGACGCCACAGGTTGCAAGGGATGGACTCCTTAATGCTAGTGCGCCATGAAAGTTTATTTTTTTAGAAGCTTAGAGGTCAATTGTTAGTACAGGATTCAATACTTGTTGTAGGATTGATAGAGATCGAGTTCTATATGCTCGGTAGGGCTGCAGTCGCGCATGGCCTGGGTGCGCTGAGCCCAGTATGTATCCAATCATCTATAACCCTCTTAGTTGGACACCGTCACTTTTGACCCGGTGGTTTGGGTAGTTGCATGGCGTGGAGTTTGCCTTTTAGCCAGCTAGTAGATTACTCTAAACACAGGAAAGTGGGCGAGGCCACAGAGCACAAGGCCCTATCTAATTAGGTGGGCGTGTGACGGAAGATGTACTCTAGGATCATGGAGAGCCACAATAATTTATACTCGAATCAAATCTATGGGTAACAAGTTAAGAACAGACTTGTATATAAAGACCTTGACTGTGGCATTAGATTGGGGTGGCCAACTGTGTGGTTGCCCCCAAGCAGTCTACAGCAAAAGTATGCAAGTAATAACATGACTTAAGTGGAACAAAAAGAAAAGATAGATGCATATCATCAGGAGCCGTTAAAAATAAGTACCTGGAAAGAGAAAGAAAAAGACAAAAAGATTGACCGACGCAGGGATCGAACCTGCAATCTCTTGATTCGTAGTCAAGCGCCTTGCCATTGGGCCAGCCGGCCTAGTTGATATCTGTTGATTTGCTTGTCTGATACGTAGCCTAAACCTTATCTAGGCACACCCTCGACTACAATCGAGATCAATCTCACTATATACATCAGGCCATACACAAGGTCGGTAGTAGGTGTTCTCTTTACTTTACTATCAAGCAGGGCACTATTTCATACACTTCAGACAGTTACATATCTATAGTTTTTTTGGAAGTCATCTCAATCCGAAATGCGCGCGAGATACAGTGTACAAGATACTTTAAGATATATATATAGCATGCAAGCCATGGATGAATGTTTGCTTCGCCTAGCGGGTTAACTATGCTGTTAAGATCGCCTATCAAACATTGCACAACATTTTATCCGAAGATATGGACCTAGAAATTCATCTATTATCAAATGAAATTTACAATACAATTAGATAGCTTCTAAAGCACTCGTGTAGGGCTCTGCACAGCACCGCAGGGAAAAAACCCCATGGTCTGGCAGTCCGTACGAGCTCTATATGGATTCCGAATATTATCAAGATTATGGTAGAAGAAATTATCTGCTAGATACAGGAGTCCAGATCAAAAAATGTAGCAGTGACTGCAATCGGTTGGCATGTCAGCTGATCTGCAGTGTCCTTTTCCCACATTTGACCGTTTGTAATTTCAACAAGCAAGTGACATCCTACATGGTCTGAATATCATCGTTTTTCATCCTTTCGGACGCGTTTCCATCCTCCATTTCCACAAAAAAACAGTCAATGAATATTATTTCCTCTTGAGCAATCAGTTCAAGATCATGACTTCTCAGGATGTCAGTAGTTCACGCAGTGTCTTCGTACCCAGTATAGCTTGGATTGGACAGTCTTTCACATGAAAGTGGCCCTTGTGGTCGACAATAGTGGATTTTAGTAGGATTTTAGTAGACAACGATTTACATGATTATTCTTATATCTAGTCACCCCCATGCCCATACTCTATAATTGAATCCCCCCACTCATCTATGTACCTTGAATGCCTACGAACACACCTGGTGACGATATCCGGCCAATGTGCTGGATTTGATTGGGAATATAACTGATATGCTGACTGTCTGGAAAGTGTCATACATCAAGTGCCGAGCACCCTCATACTGCCGATAAAGGGCTGCCTCGCATGGCACCCAATACGCCGTATGTCAATCAACATTCTCATCTCATCATTTCCACACCCCTGCAACAGTCGAAATTGGCCTGCGGTACTAGAATCCAAGAGCTGAAGACAGGTGGTAGATACATCAAATTCCTTACCACTGGAGACCCCTACTGCTGCCATCAGAAAAGTCCAACGAGATCAGGTGTAGTTTCTGCGCAACAAGCTCCTCATCAAGTCGTTCAAAACGATCCAGAAGGATTGATGACGGGCCGCACGTTGCATCCTCAACCTGTCCAGATTTGATTCCCAACCGACGTCGTCGCATTCTTCGAAAATCGAGCAGCCGACCATCTTGACCAACCAACGGAGTCTGTGCTGCACCGACTAGTTTCTGAAGTACCTCTACTTCGTCTCCCCCGAATACGACATCGTATTCCGTGGCCAGTTCGTCTCCCTCCTCTGGGGCCTGGTGATCCAGTTTCCACGCAAGCTGGACAAGGTTCGGACACTAAAAGCTTGGTTTAGCAACAACACCCAACGAAGGAACGAGAAAAAGGAAGAAGGTATCCAATCCAGACATACCCTTCGTAGTACTGAATGGTAAATGTCTACTCGTCGGAGCTCTTCAAAAAGCGTACAGAAGTATTCCCGCCAATTGAAAACAAAATAGCGGTCCGAGGCAGTGGATTGGCAGGAGAGGTCCATTGGGAGCATATCTGTCGCACCATCCCCAACTATCATTGCCATACAAGGATGATAGCCCCGCTCCGTGAAGGCAGACAGCTGATCGTCAATTAGGTCTGCGATAGTGAGGGATTGTGCAGTGCTTCCGCGATCACCGCAGGTGAGAGACGACCGGAGGATGGCCATCTGCTTCGTATCGTCCACCCAGCCGTCAAAGCAATAATTCTCAGTAAGTTCAGGGACATCAGGCCCAATATTGAAGTAGTTTGGGCAATCTATATCCAGATGGGTGTTTTTTAGATACTTTTCAATATAATAGTCTTCTGTGACTTCCTTGAATAGCCTGTTGACAGGACGGTACCGCTGCCACAGTTCCCAGCGGAATTGGTGAGGCATGCGGAGAGCATAGTCGACGATGATCGACCAAATCTCATTGGGAAGGCAGCAGCCTTGGCCAGACGACACGGGACTCTGCTCCATGGCAATTAGTTCATGGTGAAAGAGAAGGGTTCCAAATCGAATCAACTGAATCATATGTCGACTGTATCGTATGGAGGAGTGTTGACGGCTAGGAAGATGGTGCTATATTCGGTTCGGTGTCGGATCTCCTCATACTCACGTCGTGACCTGTCATCGCATAACCTACTTTGCTACGGCTCTCTCTCCTCACCTCGTCATCTTCCAACCTCCAAATACTCCTCATCAGGGCCTCTAAACTCACTCCTACACGCACTAATACAAACAATAGATAGATTTGATGTCTACCTTGAATTATCAAACCACATATATTTGAAGACAATATAGATACGTATCAGATAGAAATGGTCTGTATCAGTCTGTTATTGTGGACAGGAGGTTCGAACACACCAAATCTATTCACAGAGCCAGTGTTATTGACACCGAGAATAAAAGCAATGTACATCATACCTTATCAATAGGTAGATAACTATTATCAGATTGCTTCATAGCCAATCACTAGTCTGAGATTGTATATAGATAGAACCCAACATAAGAACTGGAAACTGGGGCACCTATCATCTTGGAACTATCTATCATACACTAACTCTTAATAGAAATGCGATATAGTACCAAGGAGCCTCTTGCCTGTATGACTAGATATGCAATCTCTGGTTCCGGTTCTATAAATCGTTGGAATATCTGTCAAATTAAGCCCTATACCAAACATTGGCCAACGTTTTGGCGTAGCGGCTATGATGAAATCCACTTCCAGATATTCTATATTCACCATATCCACCCACATGCTGATATTAGAATGATACCAAGAATATAGGCAAAGAATTGATGTCACAAGAATCTCTTCTGTAATATGACATTACAGAGGACTCTAATATGTTTTACAAGTGCGTCCTTGAACTTGAGATGGGGGAAGAATTCCATATCCCTTTGATGCTGAAGTGCCGGTATCTGGACTTTGACGTACAAGAGAAATACCTAGGAGGTGCCGGGGACACCGGCTCCCTCAGCAAGACTGGTTGGCCAATGGAATGTACCCTCCCTGGAAAGCATTGACTGTGGGCTGGCTGAGGACCGTCCCCAGTACCTGGTCCACTATAGGGAATCTCAAGGCTTGTCTAGGCATGGATAGTTATACTTGGGATGGAGGCATATATTGTGATGGACTATCTCCATACTACGTGTGAATGGCCTATTGTATTCGCTACATTCGGTCAAATTTGCTAGTCTCAAGTGAAATAATACCATGAACGTAGGTTTCGTTCGAGTGATGCCGTCGGATACCCGGAGGATACGTTCAGACAGGCAAGGAGTAGTAAAAGGACTTTGTTTGAAATCCTGTGATGTCAGGCCCATTATTACATAGTATCAGCCTTCACAACCACCGTCGGACGGCAAATATTCTGAGCGAGTTGGTACGCTTCCTGAATAGATGGTCAACGTATGGGGAGCAGACAGACAGACGCTCCAGATGCACATCAAATGGAGCTTGTGACTCGCACACGCCTAGCTTCACACTGCCAGACGTGCGTGTCTTTTGACGAGGCTTAGTACGTACTCCATATATAACCTATCGTTGGGGTTCTATTTGCGTTTCCAAGATCACTCGGCATTCAAATGGCCCTTTGACAACTTCTATACCGGACTTGCGCCGGCCGACTTATCATGAGCCGCGGTAGCGGTTTCTATAGCTCGAGAGGGAAAGTCTTCGCGAGGGGGCACTGAAGAAATATGGAAGCCATTTGGCTAGGTTCTCATTCATCAAATAGCAAGCTAGGATCGTCGTCAAGCTGCAGCAGCGGTTACATTGGTAGAGCTGGTGTGGTCGGATAAGAGACCACTGCGGAGTTCACTGTAGAGAAAATGTCACACCTAGGGGTATAACACCGATATCAACCCCCAACCCAACCACCCCGAAACCAGCCACGTCATTTCACCCCAAACTCTCCATACAGCTTATGATATCACCTCATACTATCCATATCCAACAGCATATGACACATCCCCAAGACACCGCACGGGCAGTGACCCAGAAACTGGAATCAAAACCATGCACTGCCATCCCGATCTCCCCCTATACGGGACAGACTCCCACAGATAGAGTTCACCGAACAAGGTTGTCGGGTGCGGGGAGCAGATCCACAGTTACACGAGACTTTATCCTAGCCATCTTATATGATATGATATGATATGATATTGTGTTATATATGGTATACTCATATGGAATGGTGTATATGATATGGTATAGTATGTAATCTGTATGATATGATAGGCTATCTACTCGAAGAAAGGATCAGGATCATCCTTTCTTCTCGTTTCTCTCCATTTCTTTCTTTCTTTTCATTCTTTCTTCCATTTCTCTTCCCTCGCAGTGTATACTAATGTCGTCTAGCGGTCAGGCATAAAGGTAGTAATCTACCTGATATCTACGCGACCAACTAGCCCGGATCTGAAGCGGGGTTCGACTTCGGATATAACAAGCTGAACAATCTGCTCGGTTGCCACCAAAAAGAACCGGCCGAGAGTGAAAGTAAAAAAAAAAAAAAAAAAGGGCATAGTCGGAATTATTCCCCCCCCCCCCCCCCAACCCAAAGCACTAATCATACGGTTTATGCAGATGGAGACACTACACTACACTACACTACACACCCCCAGATCAGGAGATCCCGTCCGGCCGCTATCCTAGTCTCGCGTCTCGTCCGTCTCGTCTCCTGTGCCGCGTCGGGAGGCGGGTGAGGCTGCGTGTCGATCGGTGGAGGGGACTAAGCTCTTACTTAATACTTACTAAGTAGCTAACTAACTGACTAATTACGGATACTCACGAACTAACAATGTAGCCAGGTGGGTAACTGATGGCTTGAGGACTAGCTGATGCCAGGGTACGATGCGCCTAAGACGTGTCGAGGCATGGTGTCCGTTTCGTGGTGTGGTGTGGTGTGGTGTGGCTAGGTTGAGTGGGTTCTTTCCATGTGCGTCGTTTTTCGTTTTTGAAAGCCTTGTTGGGTTAGAGGTTGATGTGTCTCTTGTTTCTCTGTAGACATTGGGTTATTAGGTTTTTGGGCCACTGGGTGGTTGGATTAGATTGGACTGGTTGTTTCATTTTAGTCTCGGATAGCCAACCATAGAAATGGTTGAGGAGGATTGGATATATAAGGAGAGGTATAGACTGGAATATTTTCCCGAGTGATTGCCTGATTGGAGAGGTGGATTTAGATAGCTTGTCCCTAGTTAGGTATTTACCTCATGGTACCTTACTCAAATTAGTAGTAGGTAAGTACTACCTTACTACTACCAGTAGTAGCTGTGTCAGAGTAAAGGCAAGAGTGAATGGCCCAAGCTCACCGGAACAAAGACAAGAGTCGATCCTAGGGCGAGGGCGAGCCTCACCTGACGGGCACTAAACAGTAAACAGCATATTAGTTCAATTGAGCCGAGACGCCACATGACTAGGGTATCCTTCTCGTATTCTGAACTGGTCGGTTGTGGCCTCATGATAGAACTAGAGGTGGTCGAGGTAGGGAAGGGAGTAGTCCATTGTCCAATCATGGAGGATGGTGTGTTGGATGGTTGATATTGCGAGTCGTGTCGATGCAGGGATGGGAGTGTGAGGTCTATCATCATTTATGAGTAGTCTTGTCCTTTCAATCTCTCTATGGCGATCGGGAGAGGATGGGATTACGACTGTGGCTTCTTGTTTGAGAATCTGTCAGTCAGTCACAGTCACAACCGGACGTACTCCGAAAACAAACCACCACCAGAACATGGAATCGGTTAAACCATCCTCATGATGATAAACCCCTGAAGCCAAGGTAAGTAAGAAACAATCCAAGGACGTAGGTAGTCAGTAAAGTGGTATCCGAAGTGTTCTCCACAGCCACAAAGCAGTAAACTCGATCTAAATTAAATCCCCCCACCCATCGAACTCAAGCTAGTTCAGTTAGCGTTCCACGATTCGTCATACAAGAAGTAAACTAAGTTATCGCGTCTCTCGTCTCCCCGGAATCTTTCTCCACCTCATGCTGATTGATCTCCCGTCTGTTTTTCTTTTTCCATGCTTGTAAGCAGTCAATTCCCCTGTCTCCCCTGTCTGTCTGCCAAGGATGGTCGCTGTTTCTGTTCCTTACTGTAGGAGTGTGGTACGCTTGCGCTTCGGACCGTGGGGATTCAGTTCCTTCTTCCTCTTCCTCTTCCTCTTCCTCTTCCTCTTCCTCCGTAGCATTGGCTGCCTTCTATCTCTCTCTTCTTGTAATTTACTTTCTTTCTTTCTTTTCTTTTTCCTTCCCGTCTTCGTTGGTTGACTCCATCAAGATAAATCCCCGAAGGTCGTCATCAAGCCAAGCCACGCAGAGTGGCGACTGTCCTGATTCGCATAGTGCCATGGAAACCTACTGCTCCTCGCACATTAGCTCGAGTCGACACACCCCCGACACTGGCGTCGGGTGGCCTTGTGAAGGGTGGCAGAGGGGGTTGCCTTCTCCGAGTCCAATCTCCTTACGACCGTGTAGAAATGAAATGAGCCGACGATGGATTCCCGCTTTTCCTCCAAGCGCTCGCTCTCTTATTGTGGAGTCGCCAGCCCGTTCCGACTGTCGATCCTTGGCTGACGTTGGTGGTGTTTTCGATTCATTCTGTTGTTTTCTCTTTTTTCATCATTTTATTTTCTCTATTTCGTTGTCTTTTTTTTTTTTTTTTTTTGTTTTCTTTTTTCCCGTCTTTCTTTCTTCTTGTGACATTGAGGGTGCAAGGAGAGGGTTGCATGTCTTTCTTTTTTCTTTTCTTTTTTTTCCCCTGTCAGATGTCGTCCGACCTGATCCCTCCTGTCTCGACCCGTGGATCACCGATCTAAATCTCAAAACAGATAAAGAATACCAAGTCATAGTAAAAGTCGGATTCATCACGAAGATCACAAACACCAAAACAACTAGATGAGAGATGTCAAATAGTCCTCGAATGCCAAACCAAAGGACTAAGTTAAATACAATCCACGCAGAAAGAAACATGTAAACAAATCAAGTAGAGTGTGGGAAAGACAGAACATAGATGACCAAACATATCAGGTATCAATTAACAAACGCCTGTCCAGAGCCTTTTAGCGGGGAATCACTCGAAACAAATCATTGGGCCGGCGGAGGGAACAAGACAGCAAACACGAACGGCACGGAACGGATAGGTATCGAATTCAATAAATCCAGAGACACAGGACCAAAGCAGAAAGACTCGCAGAACGGAATAGGACGCACCCCCGCTCGGCTCGTAAAGACAATCGTTATAGACATTACATGGCACAGTGTTGTGGGGTTGGGGCTGGGTTCTCGTCGATGATCTTGATTGTTGCCCAATCAGGTGGGAGGGTTTGAAGAGTCCACAGACGGACGCGGAGAACCACACGATCCATTGACACACGGTCTCTCGACACAGACGCTTTCAATGACGGTGGCCTTATCCTACCCCGAGAAATCCCCAGTCGGTTCCTTCGGGCTGGTTCAGAATCCGCGTTTGTGATTTGTACTGGAACCCAGGCTGGTAGGAGGGCATGAGGGGATGGCCGTCAACCATGGGAATCCCCTGGAAGGGTTGCTGGTAGTCCGGCGGCACAAAGTCCGGACGGGTCTGATCGTATCGCTGCTGCATGAGCATGTATTGTTGCTGGGCGTGGACGTCTACCGGCGACGTGACCGGTACATTCTGGGTCACGATCGGGGGCTCGTGTACCGCAACGGGCGTCATGGGCACGTTCTGCTGGCGATAATACTCGTGGTTGGGGGTCGAGGCATGAGGATAGTAGGGTTGTTGGGCAAGGAGATATTGATCGTTGGGGATGGAGACCGCCGTGGGAGGGTGGTAGGAATGCTCCGACGTCGCGTCCTCGGAGGAGGGTCGGGTGATGGTGCCCGGTGGGTGGGAGCGGTGTTGGTGTTTCGTCAAGGTGGTTTTGCGACAGAAGCTGCTTGAGAACATTAGATCACAATCGATAATCCGCGTGATGCCCAGCCAGAATTTACCTTCGTTCGCACGCGGGCTCCTGGCAGATATAAGGCCGTTTCCCCGTGTGGATCCGTCGGTGACGGGCTAGGCTGGAAGACTGAAGAGGTCAGCATGATACCGTGCGGTCTGGTTCGCAGGACATACATCGGAGAATGCCTTGTGGCAACCTTCGTGGTCACACACATGGGGTTTCTCGCCCGTGTGTGTTCGCGAATGGACGGTCAAGGCGCTGCGCTGGATGAAACTCTTGTTGCAGTCCTTGACCGTGCAGTGATAGGGTCGCTCATTGGTATGTATTCGGTAGTGTCGACAGAGATCCGACTTGCGATTGAAAGACTGGATGGGTGGTCAGTAGTTGTCGCGTGGCCCTGGTTGAGCGAAGAGATACCCCAGTGACACCCGGTGTGAGCTACAATTAGACGGCGTGGCTTACCTTTCCGCAGTGCTCCCACGAGCAGTTGAAATCACGCCCACTACCTGGAGCCATGGCTACAGGGTAGGAAGCACAGACGTCCTCGGTGATGTGCAAGACGTATGGAGTGGTGGGGGAGCGATTCGTGGAGCCAGATGACGCGAAGAGGGGAACACCCGAGGTTTAATAATAATAAAAATGCAGACCAAAAAGGCCAAATGAGGTCACATCCACGGAGTATGTTATAAGAGGGAAGGAAGTAGAAGAGAAAGGGCACCGATGGGTTGGAAAATCGGGGTGTGGATCAGAGATAAGAAGAGGAGGGAAAGAGTCAGAGGTGGATCGGAAATTGAGCGAGGAAAGAAGGTAAGTTAAGGTCAAGTAAGTCGAGGAGCTAAGAGAACTAGACTAGATGTGTGGAGAAGGAAAGCTGCCACAGTAAATTAAATCCGACAGCATGCAGAAGTCGATAATTGGAGTCTGGGCCGCGAGTCAGAGGGAAAATTAAGGGAAAAAAGGTAACAAAAGGGAAAAAGGGCCAAAAAACAAGGAATAAAAATGGATTGAAAGGGCGAAATGGAGGAAATGGAGGCGGATGGAGTCGGGCTTATGAGTCTGATTCAGGCTTCGGCATCACCAGGCAATCAAACAAAAGATGGTGGCAATAATAGTGACAATAATGACAATAATAATAGCAGGAGAGGAGGAATGGTAGAGTGTGGAGGCGTGGGTGCAAGAGAGAGTAAATATAGCACCCGCAACATCAAACATCAACCATGATCCTATAGGAGAGAGGGCTGATATATGAATTCACGACCAGGGTGTTAAAGCGATAATAAGGAGGAAGATGGATGGGAAAGAAGGGAAGATAATCAGAAGAATCATATGGTCTAGGTAGGAAAGGAGGAAGTAGACCAACGAGATAAATCGAGAAAAGTCACCAATATTAGATAAATAAATAGGAAGAGAGGAAAATAACAAATGCACATAATAACAGGGAGGAGGGAGGGGAATGGAATTATATTATTATTATAATATAATAATAAATTGTAATCTATAATAATCCATAATAATAATAATCACGAGGAGTGACAGTTCTGAGGTTGTTCTAGCCAGGGACTGACTGGGCTGGACTCTTTCCTTTTCCCACGCTGTTGATTGACTGAAGGATCATCCTATCCAACTGGATGAAAAGGATGAGAGGGCAAAAGAGGGGGAAGCAAAGGGAGAAAGAAAAAAATGGAATGAAATGAAAAAGAAGAGGGAAAAAGAAATAAAAAAAGAAAAAAGAAAAGAAAAAAGAAAAGAAAAAAACAATCAAATACTACGACAAATACTAATCCGAAAATTATCGGAAGGATTGGCAATCATTATTAGATTCCTGGTAATAATACTGGCTAGTATAATCATCATCATAATAATCAGAATAGTAATACTATCTAGCATGACAGTCTTACTAGTACGGAGTACTATATCTAATTATAATCAGATTGATCCTATAATACTGGTAATTTGATAAGAATGGGTAAATGGTCAAAGAATAGCAACCATGGACAGTCATATCCATATACCAATCAAAGTCATCAAGCAATAACTGCTATATTGATTCTGATTCATCTGTGAAAGCCCCCCGCGCCTATTCTCAAGCAGCGGGTCCATCTTGGGCGGGTATTCCCCAACAGACAGCCCGATAAACCACGGTCGATGCTATATGGGAATAACTGGACGCCCGTTGGCGGTGAATTCCACCCATCCACCACACTAGTTAGTATCCGAGAACGCTTGGGCTAGGTCCGCCGCTACGATGATCCAGAAGGCTGGCGGCTGTCAGGGCCAAGCAGATGGGAGGAGAAGGCGGTCACAATGGTCGTCCCAAAGGGGGGAGGGTGTCGCCTGTGGTTACTCAATGACCAACGGCGCTGTTGGTTCCGGAACTATTTAGATTTCAGAGAGATGATCCGACTTGTCAGGAAATCAGCGTACGGGACGGGGTTTCCCGGGGGAAAGTATGTGGAGGACATGGACATCGGTGTGGAGTGTGGAGATGGAAGTAGAGATCAAATGGAGATGGAGATTATCCCGACCGTGGACTTGTCGTAGTTGTATCAAAGAAACCCCGTCTATTGTTAGATCCGGAAGTAAACGGTGAGTGGGGGGGAAGGGAGGAGCAGTAAGAGGATGGAGGGATTCCGCCAGACTGGATTGATAGACAAAGGGTAAAATGAAGCGGTTACTAGAGTGGAGCTGTTGGCCGCGGGAGAGAGACTAAGGTGGTAACAGGCCACTTTTTGATGCCCTGGGGTAGGAGCTAGTCCCCACCACGCACCTTAACTTGGCCAATAATCCAAGGTTCTGAGTGAGCCGTAGGAACAGTAGTCGGAGAACTAGTCCATTCCTCCTTCTACTTTAATACCCTGGAATACGGAGTAGCTAATCGCCTAAGACCGAAAGAGTCACCAACCCTAGACGGCAGGCCCTAGGCACCAAACTAGTCTCCCGGTCAAGGTTGTGTGATTCGAGACTGGGATAGTCTCTCACTCTCTCTTGAGAGAAGTGGAGAGGGGAAAACACTGACCCACCGGGCTTTGCCTGTGCCTTGGGATTCCGTCCAAAGCAGAGTATACAGTCAACCAATCATACAGATGACTGGTGACGGCCCAGCCTTGGACCAAACCCCCTAGATCACAATGGGGCAAGTGTCATGCAGTGATGGGATCCCACATTCATGTTGGAGGGAGGGTCGGTCACTCGCTACTGGTTCACCCGTCCGTCTCACTCAACAGTTGAAGATGGTCAAGAGACTAAGATGTCAGCCTGGATTTTCTAATACTTGATCGGTATGATCGTATGATACCGGTATCTTACCATTGATTTGGTAGTGGTGGGTTACAATTGCCTTGATTATTGTACCGGCGTACACACAGAGTATAGTAATCTGTACTCTAAACGAGGCATTTCATCTTATCCATCAACGCCAATCTACCTCATACCATACGGGTTTATGGTAATAAATCCGTGCCAGGATCGCAGCTGTCATCGTGATGGGTCCTTATTGCCTTTGCGCCTGACTTTCAAATCCAAGGTTCAAATCCCGGGGAGTCGGTGTAAACACCGAAATACGGAACACTATATCAAATTTGTAGGTACGGTCTTTGGTGTCGCGTCGTGGTCGAAAAGATGAATAGAGAGTAGTTACCTGACCATGGTATCTTCATCTCCGTCCTCGAGGTATTTCATACTGATGGTCTCCTACGAGTAATGACACAATGCTCTCTCCTCCTTGCCGCGGACGTTCCCCGAGCCGCGATAGTATCCCAAGGCAAGGAAAGAGGAGAAAACACCGCTCTACTCACAGCAAGGGATGGAATCAAGCCATTCTGAAACACTTTTACTATATGGATGAGTTAGCCCACCAGGTTCAGCCTTTCCCACTTCTCGTTTCCACAAGATTAGCCGTGCCAACTATCTACTTATTCCATCCAGCCTCGCGACATTTTCTGATACTCCAAAACCGTTACCCCCAAATACAGTACCGGGAGCATAGGACATGGGAATCCTCCCGCTGGGATCGGTCCGTATCCTCATTTCTTCCCCAGATGTTCCATCTCCCTGGCCAATTGACGATGCTGCCCTGTTTGCTGCAATGGAACGAAGGAAGGGATCGTTCCAGAGAATGAACTGAACGAGAGCTTCCTTGACAATATCGACTCTCCCCCCCTCCCCCATGAGCTTGAAACCCCATGCTGACAGCTGCATTCCTGCTCGCTGCTCCAGGCTACATACATACATACTACCCTAGACGAAGCAGAAAACTGTAAAACTGTAATGCAGCTTCAGACCCATCACGGCGCAATCACCACCACATAAGACTGCCAATGTCCTGGTTTCCGGGTCGCCCCCCCCAATCCTCCACGTGGCTGAGGGTGGCATTTGTCGAAGGGAAGTAAGTCACTCTAGGAAAATGGGAGAAAAGTAGGTAAGACGGATCCTGTGCCTGTGTCTTGGCCACATTCATTCCGCGATGCGGTAAGTACGAACAGCCGCTAAAATCTCATCGATGCCTCATCCATCTTCCTTCATGCTAACCATCCCCCCTCTTTCGATGACGGATGCCGTTTCCGGAGAATTGAGCCTCCCCCAACATGTCAAAAGTCAAAGTCAAAGTCAAATCAATCAATCACAATCAAGTTGTCAACAGATAGATCCTGTGAGGCGTGGGAATGTTGCATGTCTATCTCCATTGTTGGGAACTGCAGATCTCAATGATTGAATGACACAACCGTCAGTGGATCAAGCCGACAAAAGCCCAGACAGAAAAAAAAAAAAAAAAAAAACAGGAAAGGCCAACGGGTAGCCTCGGCCAAGGGCCGAACTCTTCTCCAGCCAACCAAGATTTCGACCTTTTACTTACTCCATAGACTTAGAGAGTCTAGTAACTACGGAGTACAGTATCTCTACCTAACCATGGTCGGCAAATCTTAATCGCGCTCGATGGGGGCGTCTAAATCTGGTTCCGTCCTACAGTCTCAGAGAAACAAGCCGGTGGACCTCCTCCTCCGCCCACCCAGACCCACCCACTGCGGTGGGCTTTGCCGTTCTGTACAGGTCCTAAACAGATGGAAGAGATGAGATGACAGTGTGAAAATTGACAGATCACCCGGAAGTTGCCATCCTGCCAGCCGCCCTTCCAATCCTCATTCCTTCCGGCTTCCCCTAAAACCTTCGGTTTTTGCTGTTGAAGGTACATACCTACTAGGTTAGGGCTACAGGGGGACACAAATCGGAATCGTTGCAGCTGCAAGCGATTGGTGGCTCTTATTCGCCACGGTCGCTGCAGCACTGGGTGGAGGAGGTGTGGGTGTGGAATGGATGTAGAATCTTCATGGGGTTGCAGAAGCAAATACGCCGTAGATCGAAATCAAATCACAACCGAGCCTACTGAGTCGAACAATAGTCATAATAATCATGATACGAAGGAGAGGACGATGGGAAGACGACAAATTGTTTGTTTGCAATTTACTACCCAAACGCTATCCTTTGGGGGCCAATTGCCTGGTCGTTTGCCTTAGGCTGACCATATACATACTATAGTTCGTATGGCGTACTATCATCGTTTTGATTGTATTTTACTCTGATCTCCTTTCTGTTCTCCCAGATTACTCCATGACTACTTCCTTCGAGACACTTCGGCGTTTCAGCGATATTGACGGAAGAAAAAGAAGCAAAAAAGCAGGTGCCTGGGAAGATATCTCCCCTCGTGTATGTTGTAATGTTGTATATGTGGGCGTAGGCGGGTGGGTGGGTGTCATCGTCATCTGTTAGGGG